AACAAAAAAATATTTAAAGATACATATATATATTTATTGTATTATAAATATCCGAAACAAATGAAATAAATTAATTATTTGTGTTATATTCAAACAAGAGTTATTGCGCGAGGCCCGTAGTATTTGCGACTCTCGCTACTAAGCTAATTTGGCACTGGTTTGGTGGATACCTACATATATACTTACATACAAAGTAAACACCATACACATTAACATTGAGCCTTAAATAGTCTCGTTATCGTAACCGTTTATTTATATTATTGAATCTTTTACTAATATTATAAGCTGAAAATTTTGTTCCGACTGAACGCGATAATTTTAGAAATGGTTCAAATTGAAAACTTATTTTAGTGGTGGACAGCCTATATCATCGATAAAGGTTATATAATATAACAACACGCTACGACTCATAGGAGCAGAGCATCAATAAAAAATGCAAATGAGTACATTTACTTGACAGTTACATGTATATGTATATTAAAATGCTATAGGTATTATACCTAATTTATGTTTCTCAGAGTCTAAGCTAACGTTATATTACATAAAAAGTTGAGATTAAGCAGTTTAATATCAGAGTCGAGTTATACAATAATATACGAGTTAAAAATTCTACAAATAAGTATTTCATCACTTAATTGTCCTTATAATTGTCAACACATACATATCAGGTATATGATAATACTTTATGTAAATCGTTGGTGTAGATGATGTTATTTTTTTTTTTTATTTATACGGACAATTAGAAATCATTCTTTTTATTTTCTCACACGTTAAAAGGGAGTCCACGAAATGTGACACCTTAAGTTACGTTTTAAAAACAGACAGTAGATACTTGCTTCAGAATATTTAATAAGCCGTAATTCGATATTGTATTTCTCTCATTATTTCTTACTTATAAGTAAATAAAATAATTTTATTTAAATGTATTTAAAAATATCTAGCATACACTTTCATAGAGTGTACATCCACTTTTCTTTTTTATTGTACAATAGGAAAATAATTACCGAACTTAAACCGTAACATGGTACCTACTGTAATATATGTACGGAAGGTGTGTGTGAATACATATACATACATGTCTAAATATGTATATTACATGACAAAAAATAGGACACCGTTTCCACAAGCAAAGGGACTAGCAAGGAGACCCTAAAAATACGCCGATACACGTACTTCGTAAAGGTTGATCATGACATCATATTACATATAACATCCGGTGAAAGTAGACTGGCCACTAACAGAGGCTCAGCCGAAATAGCTCTCGGAGCCGTCGAGACAAGTTACCAATTCGGATAGCTGCGTACAACAACCAGTATTCCCAACTGTGAGACGTATGGACGGACAGATACGGTTGCAACATATTTGCTGATAGTGTGGCAAATAAAAGGAAAATAACTACACAGCTAGTCCAGTAAAACTAGTTTTCTTAGTTCAGTCAAGGCTTCGACTACAGGCATTTTTAATTTTCCTGCAATTACAGTAGTAATCGACGTTTAAAAGTGTTGATCTGCTTTATCAGTCAATTATTGAAATCAATTAAACAATATATAATAAACGATAACCTGTCGTGACCTCAAAATTCAATTATAGAATAGATTGCATATTTTTGCGTATAAACCAACCAAAACTTTTTCAACAAGACCTACTTCATACTTTACTTTTAAAATTTAGGTACCAATAATTTTTTATATACCAATTTTTCAGTGATAGTTTATTGGGAATTTTACATGAAGTGAGATAAACATTCCAAATACATACAATAAGCTTACTGAATGTATCAAATTCGGAATGATCAATTAATACTTTTTAAGCATTAATTGATCATTCCGAATTTGTATATAATTATCTGCATATGTATGTATGTTACTTATGACAATCAATAAATTCAAACTTAAGGAACTTTGGTATTAAAGCTCTTATATACATTTTTATGTAACAAGACTCTCCAATATCCTTATTACCATAATTATATTATATTCTATTATACTTACATACTATACATTCACAGTAAAAAATCAGCTATGCATTACAACCCACACCTAAATACTACTTTCTATTCTACTTTCCGGCACTTTGATGAGAGCGGTCATACTGATAAATATTTGGAACTTCACGAACATACTATCAAGTAGATATAATTTTTAATAACATATTTATCTGAAACTTGCTTTATGATTAATGTAACGTTAACTTTCTATGTATCATTTTTAAGATAAGGGAATATTTATTAAAGTTCTCCTATACATAATATTCTTGGTATGTATTGTATAGACTTAAACTTAATATAATACAATAATATTAGTAAAAAAAATACCGTTACTTTTAATTGCAAAACTTTACATACTACAATAGTAGGCAAGTACCTAGGCGCCTGCGCTCCGTTTAATTGGTATAGGTATGTATAATACATTATATTTAATTTATTAATATGTTTAGCTGGAATAAGGACAAGCCGTAATAAAAATATAGAAAAAACATACGGAAATTAATATGCAATTATTCATATAGTTGCCTAAGCGACGGTCGCAGGAAGCGTTGTCTTTTTTCTATGTTCAACCCATGAGAGCGCAGTGAACGGTGGAAAATTTTGCACTTTATATGTCTACATAGATCCAATGACGTCATTCGGATGTTTTGCCAATCTTCTAATTTATTTGGACTTTGTACTTTTCAAGGTTGACTCCTAAAGCTACCTTAAATTGACTAATAAAGATATTATAGATTACAACTACAAAACATACCGTTAGCGATATAGTAAAAACTGTTGCTTTTGTATATTGATATATTCTTGACTGGTAATGCAAATGGGTATGTATACAATTTACTTGTACTTGACAATTATTTAAAGGTAAAATTTAAATTTCGTTTTATAAATTGTTAATAACTAACATACGGTGTGATTATCAAAGAAACTAACAAAAGTAGGTATGTAGTATCGATACGTAAATATGTTTACATACTTAATATACAACATGTTAACATAAACGACCTATATACGACACTAAAATCAGAGGCAATATCAGAACAGAAGTTGTATTGGAGGTGAAATCGACTACAACTAAAACGCAGTACAGTCAACCTTGATTTCGACACAGCAGTCAGTGTATAAGCAGCAATCCAGGACGCTCCCCATCACTACTCCGGTGTGGTCCCATGATTTTAGTCAGTGTGTAGGTCGTAATAGAGCTAATGTATATTTCCGATAAAAGTCGGACGGCCCGTGCCGCCAATGCTGGTCGATTGACGCATCGGTGGTACACGTACGTGTAAAAGCCGTCCTAATATAATAGTTTCAGAATATTTTCCATAAAAGTCGGACGGACCGTCCCGACGACGCTTTTCGATTGGCCTTTAGAAATGCGCCAATCAAACAACGTCGCGGCACGGGTCCTCCGAACTGGTCCCGAACCTAGGTTAAACTAACGGTACATGAATACCATTAAATATGCGTTACTAGCTGAGCCCGCGGTTTCACCAGTGTCAAATGTATAGCCTATATGTTATCATGATATATAAGCCATATTACTGTAAGTTTCATCAAATTCCATTGAATAGTTTTTGCGTGAAAGGGTAACAAACATCCATGCATACTCACAAACATTAGCGTTTATAATATTAATAATAAGATTAAGTTCGATTACATTTATGTTGATGGAACACAGATATCGTAAAAAATCTAAATGTTGGTCAAATTCGTATAAAAATTCGATATGCAGGGTGATTGATGACCAGCAACCTTGTTTAATACTATTTAGAGATAAATGCATCAATGTCTGACGACCACCGTTAGTATAACCGTAAGTAAGGCCAAAGGCAGACAACAAAAAATACATTTACATATATTTTTAAAACAATGCTCATTATGTTTGTTACAATGACACAGCAGGTTTCTAATGATTTTGTTATGCAAAGATCCTGACATCTTTACAACACCAGGAGCTGATACGACTAAATAGTGACTTCATAATTAATGTTATGTGAAATAACAAAGGTCAATGCGTTAATTAACATGTTTATAATAATCATTCATTTACAGTACTGTAAACAGAAGACATTTTTACCTACTGTATTTAATTTTAATGCCTTTATAAAAACTGAATTAAAATTATATACCTACACATGAATAAGTGATATACACAACATCCCTATCTAGATAAACCTAAATATGTTTAAAAAAAATTAAATGTAGAATAAATTAATAAAGATCAACACGCCAATAAAACGAATATAAAAAGGAAACATGAAGTATCGTCAACATTTAGTGAAGACACCCTATTACTTCGGATGCTAACGGGCCTGACTACCTCGAACAGGTAGTTGTATTCAAAACCATGTAGCCCTTGTTATTATTTTCATTCATTTTCCCACGATATTCCTTGTTGATATGGTGTAGCTAAAAGTAACCGAGAAGCATAAAAACGAGAGAATACAAGTTTAATAGTGATAAGAGAAACTTAAATAAATCTCTAGAATCTTACTGGTCTCCAGTCTGGTTTTATCCTATAAATCCCAAGTAAATTATTACATCTTTGTCAGCTTACATGTCATTTGAACATTAAAACAATACAGGAGATATATAGGATATATAAAAAAAATACAGGACATAGCTATTTGGCTTTGGCTTTAAGTTATATGTACGCTATTAGGATTTAAGAAATGTAAACTCTCAAGTTATCAACCATTTCAGTTATTAAGTAGGTATCCATCATAATACAGTGTCAAAATCAATATTAATTGTTGACTGATGGCTTTTGATATCTAAATACATTGTTTACCAGCAATACTCCTTTCACTAATGAAGATTACCATTACATTATTAAAAATATAGTAAGAAGACAAGTATTATACTTATAATGTGATCAAAAATGCTTAAGGAAAATCTTTGTCTGTCTATATAACCTACACATTGAAACTATATACTTAATAAAATATTATTAATAATTTAATCTATATAGATGAGGTAAATCACTTGTAAATACAATATTAAGAAGGTTACATACCTCAAGCACAGCAGCATTCTGAAAGATGATGACTGTCCATTTGATTTGAGGCCAAAGTGTATCAAGTGTCCCCCTATCCAAGAAGTGAATCGCTGTATTCAACAGTAAATATGTCCATCTAGAAATAAACAGATTTTCTAAAATATTTTTCATTCATGACATATTTTTCTATAACAACCAACTACAATTTAATAATTAAAAATATTATTACAAATACGGTAATTGATATAAATTACGAAAGCACATTAAATTAATGTGGTTCAACTAATTAATAATTAATTTTGGTATTTATAACTAAATTATCTAAGTACCTACCCGTAATAATGCATAATTTTAGTATTTAGTGAATGCGAAATCATTACGTAAGTAACAATAATTAAGCCTTTAATAATATTATTATATTTATTAATACTTACTTTTAATTTTATCAACCACTTACCCCAATGTTTGTACTCCATTATATGCCAGAAGGTAAAATTTAGCTATAGCCGAAGGTTCTGATTTTTTACCACTTTGCTTTTTTTCAGCCATAATTTATAATATAAATATTCTAAGATCTAATACCTAAAAATTACACAAAAATATTAACACACTTTTGTAAATGAAATATTCAGTAATACACTTATGAACATACAGTATAAAATAACAAAAGTAGTATCATCAGCAGCAATAATCTTTAGACTATAGTACTAAATTATTATTTTATATTAGGCAGTATAATGATAATCACAATAATCTAAGGGCAATATAAAACCTACCACAAATTATATTGTTTGTTTTATTAGGCACGTCACACGTGTAAAATACGTATATAAGCATAGAGGTAGTTTACCTACAAGTCAGATCAAATGATATTCATTCATTGCTCTGAGTTTGAGATCTCTGGATTACTTTACAAACAAAAATAATTTAACAACTACAAGCAAGAAAGGAACTCTCTCTACACTAGGGTTGTAAATATAATCGATTAATATATAGAGTATCGATATTTTTAAATATTTTTTTATTCATTTCAGGTTACCAGGCCAATATGATATCTTTATAATCGATAATGCTTTTTAATTTATTTCGATTTTTTCATATAAGTAGAAAAATCAAGGTGTTAAAAATAGGACCCCAGAATTGTGGTTGGGGAAAAATATACTATTATGAAAATTAATTGGTAATCTATTTTTATGCCGAATATCTCATCTATACTTTATACCTCTATACATACATATGTAAATAGAAATATCAAAAACAAATCAATCCTAAACGATTTAGTTATGTTATAAGAATAAAAAATGTAAACATGCTGAATAGTCTAAAAAATTATGCTGTGAAGAATCTAATTTAGAAACCATCATTATAAATCAATAAAAAAATTATATTAAATTAATGTGTGTATTTATTATACCTACAAAATAATTAATATATTTTTTTACTACTTGTCAACCCTAGCAAACATCAATACAGGGGGATATTACGAACAGGGTGACCAGTTTTAAATTTGTGATTGTGCTAAATAGTCGTATACATAAATAAGATGATGATGATCTACTAAAATATCCTTGTTATTGTAACGTGAATACATTGGAATAAAACTGACCGTAATATTAGTTATTTATGAAATATTCTAGAATCCTTTACTTCACTTCACTTCTTTCTACGAAATAAAATGTGTATGTGGTCTACTTGGATCTGATTACGTCACATATATATAAAATCCATAAATAAATTTAACTTTAGCGTAAATATAATTTGTTATATTTTACTTTTACTTAAACTTTATTTATTAGACAAACTTCCATTTATATACACTGTAGGTGATACATTTGATACATTGTGTTGAATTTAATTAAATTACTTTTAGAACAATGGCAAACAAAAATAGTAAAATTTACTATAACGGCAATTATAGACGTATTTTAATTATGTGTAATAAGGTCAGTACAATTTATATAAAAATGACAAATAGCTATTTGGCTGAAAAGCAGCAATTTCGAATAAATAGTTTGTCACCCTCAATACGGCCAAATACTAAGGCCTCCAAGCCACCTACATGCTACCAAAATTCAGAACTGTTATTATATGGCAACCCTAGAAAAAAAACTAGAATTAGGGATGTCAGAATAAGCAAAAACCCAAAAATGTCGATACATCGTTATATCTGTATTTCTAATAACATTCATATTGTTTTCTAATACTATATAAGTGAAATTTTATAAAAACTTTTTTTTTAATTATGATGGTTTATTTCTATCCAGCTCTTTTTATACAGTAAAGAAACACATAAAGTAACACAAAGGTCTTAGAAATGAATTAGTACATTGATCTATAAATTCCTTAGCTTTTAAGTAAATTTCTATGGTAACGAGAATGATTTAAAGAATATATATATAGTTTGACAAAAACATTTCATAAATATCGATACAAAAATAAAATATCGATACATCCGCAAGCCTAATCGTTCGTTATCATGATATTGTCAATCCAAATGATCCAAATATTTTATCTTTTTCACAGTAAACTAATAATCAATTACCCTATACGAGGTTCAAATTAATATATAATAATGTGCTCATTTGAAAGCTGCAGTGTTATTACTTAACATATTTCTATATTAGCTTAAAAAACTGTAAATATGTTCAAAAAACTGAAAGATAAATTAGCTGAAGAAGTGAAGTCATCACCCCAACGAATCCAGCAATTTGCACAGGCTGCTCAGGTAAATTTGATTTGTTTTTAACACATTTTTTTTACTTGCTTGTAAAACAACAAGTATTATGTGTTACAAGTTAAGAATGACCACTAAATTGTTGACGTATCATTATTAGGTCAAAGTGTAGATAGTACCCATTTCCAAGACAACTCATCAATTCAGCACTTATACTGATCTAGATATATAATAATTATACATTATCTTATGTTAAAATAACAAATTTATTTAAACTAAAAGTATACATAAACATTTATATCTGGATTTTAATGTACAAGAGTTATAACCAATGACAATAATGTTAGTAAAGCTTGCTCAGCTGGTAGTTTGTAATAAGAATATTACTAGTATCAATACATTAAAAATAAATCAAACTGATCCTTTCAAGCTTGTATTGTAGTTATTTTTTGTTATACATGGGTGACCTGATTTACATTTAGTAGTATGTACCAGCTGCAAATTGGGTCACTTATTCTAATACAGTATATTCAATTGAAATTTAACTTTAATCCTGTAAACATTTATCCTACTTATTAATATAATAATAGAATTAAGATTGATACTTATGTATCAATCTTAATATTATTATTATTAAATTAATCACACTTTGTGTGTGTTTCTGTGTCAATAGAACTTACCAAACAAACATTTTATCTTATAAATATCATATCAACATACACTACATGGAAATAATAAAACATTAATACAAATCTTCAATGTTTAACTGCATTTATTTGTAATTTTTTCTAATCGTGTTTGAAAAATATTAAGCATAAATCGCGTGCAAAATGGATAATTCAATTTGCAGAGACTATATGTTGCTTATTGAATTGGGATGAGTTAAAAAGCATAATTCAAGTGCCATATAATATAAATAATTAATAAACAGATAGATAATCTCAATTTATTCAATATAAATAATTAATTACATGTGTAATTAATTTAGTGAAATAAATAGAAAATTCAATAGATTAATAATAACTTTTAGTTATTGGGCTACCTCTTGTTTGATTTTTTGTAACTTTTATTTTAATGGAGTAGAGTTCACTTATAGCGGTAAATGAATCATTTGTAACAAACTTCATGTGAATAACAAAGATAATTTAATGTGATGAATGTGTGATTCCAGGCTGCAGTAACATCAGCATCCAGCAGCATATCTGATATAACAAATAGTGATTTGTTTTCAATTGGTGATAATGGTAAGTATCGTCTATACATCTATAGGAATTATGAATGTGTGAGACACTGAAATTTCACATTATAGAAAAAAAATCATATGTACAATTGTTCTGTTTTCTGTATAAGATGAAATTTCATCCAAGTATTGATGTATCCAAATACAGACATTTAAACAATAGTTGTAAATTTTTTCAATAAATATGTGTTTATGCTATACTTAAGTGTATAAGATCAATAAATATTACGACAAATAATTTCAGATGGTCAACAAAACCGTCCTATCAGGAATCAAACAACAAGTGATCAACAGATACCTTTTCAGGATGTTCCTCTAATGCAATCTGCAATGGACTCATCTCATGGACAAGATTATGCATCTACACATGATGGAACAGTAGCTGTAAGTATAAGTTATGTGACATGTTGTGGTCACTGTCTAACCCATTCAGTTGTGTTCATGTATAATTCGTAAAGTTCATATATGTTCTTTTGAGATTATTGTGGAAACATATGGACAGAACATTGTTTTATAACTTGTATAATATATATTACACAATTATCAAATCTTTTCTAGGAAAATCCAAGACAGCGGCGTTTATCAAATAGTTCATTTGCTAGTGATGTCTCCTTTAGACTACCTAGCTACGAAAGTCCCTCGATGTACCACTTGCAGGTATGTGTAATATTATGTAATATAGTTATTACTAAACTATATGTGCACTAATTTACTGACTTACCTATATAACTTCTAGTCGGACATGGAAATATCTGCAAGTGAAGCTGAAGAATGGAGCTTTTCTAAAAGCACGGTCAGTCTTGAACGTGTTACTAAAGAACAACTTTATGCAGCTTATAGACGAACACAAGAAAGATATACAAAATATAGAACACAATATGCAGATTTGGCTCGACATTACAAACAATTGGAAAGAGAAAATGCTAAAGCAAAGGTAACATAATCATTTAATCTTTATTCTTAAGTTAGTTATAATGTTAAAATATTTGACTTCTCTTATGTATTATTATTTTGTTCGTAATTGGTAAACTCAAAAAATATTTTGTTGATATAAAAATAATCCCTTATGGAAGCACAATTCGTAATTCCATACCCAATGTCAATAAAAAACCTCTCATTTGTTGGTGATATTTTAATTCTAGAGTGTGTTGGTAGAAACCCAAGATAAGGCTCTAAGAAGAATATCTGAATTGAGAGAACAGTGTGCTCTGGAACAAAGTGCCAAGGTAATTTGTTATTGTATAAAATAGAAATATAGGAATTATATATGTAATATATATTTCTTTATGACATATATATCATGTTTAGGGTTTGCAATCCAGTATTCGGCATTACAGCAAATTTACACGTGTCGCGGGCCTGTGATTTGTGATTGCCTGTACATTTGAACAGAGGTCACTACTGACAAAAATTAGTATGTAACAGTTTTCACCGATATATTGCTAGAGGTCTAACATAAAATATAGGTTCTATTTAACCACAGGAAAATGCCTTATTCCGGTGAACTACAGGTACAATGGACCCGTTCGTTAAATAACCTTTGACTAGTAGTCTGCAATTTTTTTTAATTTTTAAATATTGAAAAATTTAACAACAGGATGCATTACCGATTTCTATTTCGATTCTTAGTTAATTATGTCATCTTCTATAAGTTATGTACCTATAATGGAAAAGTAAACAAAGAAATATTGAATACTTTAAAAAGTTTGCATAGTATTAATATCAATAAGAACTCAAAAAGTGCATAGTTTTTAACTGTTTGTATGCGTTATTGCACGCTAATCTCATATATAAGTGAATCGGTTTGTATACTGTTTCCACTGATATATTCTATCCAAAATCTTTTATTTAAGATTTGTTTCATTCCAGTCCATTAAAAAACAAAATTGTTTTAAGTTATTGTATAACCGAATGCCACATTTATGAACTCATTATTAATAAATATAAATTTTATTGATTACAGTACTTATCCGTTTAATGTTTTAATACAAATAATTATTTATATATAATTTGTTTCAATATTACAGGATTACAATATGATCTCGCTATAAAGGTGAAATTACCGCGAATTTTTAGCTTGAGAAAAAAGCACTGCAGGATTGCAAACTCTCATACTAACTATTAAAAATAAAAAAATATACATTTATTAAAGTGAATAATAATTTAGTATAAACTATCATTAAAAAAAACATATATCTCTAGATAACCAATATTATTCTAGAGTTGATGTAAAATTTAATTCAATTTATTTAATTTTCTACGCACCACTGATGAATAAATATAATTACAGGCACATTTAGAAAAAGCCCTACGAGTCGATATTGAGGAAAGAAATATGAAAATTGATACATTAAATACTAAAGTTGCGCTTTTACAAAATAATGAACAAATATGTAATAATGTACAGAAATCTGATAATGTATATAATAAAAATCAGACAGAAAATGAATATCAATTAATTAATCTTTCCACAAATGATGAAACAAAACAAATAAATGAAGAACCTTCTGTGGATATAAATTCTGTATCTAATAAAATTGTGAAAATGGAGCAGTTACTTAATAAGTACAAGGAATCCCTTAAAACAGCTAAAGAAAAAAATTCCCAAACAATTGCAGAGCTACAAATATTATCATCTGAACTTGAAAATAAAAATAAAGAAATTGAGCAGCTAAAAGTAGTAGAGTCAGAGTTAAGTGTAGCAAAACAACAAATTGAAGAATTAAATATTAATAGCGAAGAATTACAAAACAAAATCAATGCTTATGATTTTAGTAAAACAAAGGAAATGTCAACAATGGAACTAGACTTACAAAAAGCGAGGTCAGAAATAGCTCAATTACAAACAAAAATTGATATATTTAGCAAAAAAGAGGAGGAATATGCGATATCTCTTGCAGAAAATAAATTAAGTATCCATAAAGAATTGGAGAGTAAAGAAACTGAAATAAAATCTCTGAAAGACAGTTTATCCACTACAAAAACAGAACTGCAATCAACAAATATTATTGTTAGAGATTATAAAAATAGTATATCTTCACTGGAAGAACAATTATCTAAATCTGTAAATGACCTTACTATAGCCAAAAGTAAAATAACTGATATGGAAACACAAATACAATTGCTTTCACAAAAGTCACAATCTTTAGAACACACCAAAATAAAAATTGAAGAAGAGTATAAGTGCTTAGAACTACAAATGAAACAAGAAACTGCAGAAAAATTAGCTATGATTGATAGAAATATATATCTGGAAAGTAGAAATACCCAGTTAACAGAGGAAAACACAAAAAAATGTACACAGATCAGCAATTTAGAAAATTATATGCAAGATTTGAAAAAAGATACTGAGGATAATACATCTTCATTCAATGATGCAGAAAAATCTAAGATGATTGAAGAATTAGATGTTTGGAAAAAGAAGTATAGTAATTTAGAATGCGAGATTCAAGAGGAAAGAGATGAATTGGTAAAATTACAATCCGAGATTGAAAAACTTCTGGTTAATCATGAGTTAATACAAATAGAGAATTCAAAATTACATAGTATAGTAAAGTCAAAGAATGCAGAGTTGGAAGGAAATAATTCTATGATCGATAATTTCAAACTTAGCATTGTAAAACAAGCAAACGATATTAAATACATAAAAGAATCTATTAATAATATGGGACATGAGGCAAAGGCATACAAAAATGATATAAATAATGTAATAATTCCAGAAATATATAAAAGTATTGGTCTTTTCACCGATTCACAGTGTGCTCTTAATACAAAGTGCCAAGAATTGCAAAAAGAATATGAAAATACTTTACTCATATTAGACGAAGCCAATAAACAAAATGATATTAATTTAGAAGAAATCAGTAATTTGCAGAATAATAATGAAATGCTGGAAACAAAACTTCAAGAAAACCAAGCAGAGATTCATAATTTAAAGAAAGAACTTAAAATTTATGACAATACTTACACTGAAATAAAAAATGAAAATGAGAAATTATATCTTAATTCACTACAATACTTAGAAGATAAGGAAGTTATTCAAAGTAAATATCAACATTTGCTAAACATGAGTGAATTATCTCAAAAGGAACAGCTTAACCTTACAGACAAGTATACTACAACACAGAAAAATTTAGAAGAACAAATTAAAAATTATAAATCAAATCTTGAAGAAAGTCAGTCACAACTGACCTATCTCAAAACACAACAAAAGGATGATGAAAGCCGATTAAACCAGTTGCAAAGAGATTTTGATGTTAAAGAAACACATATAAAGAAATTAGAAGAACAATTACAATCAGAATCACAACAAAATATGACACTGAAAAATCAATATGAAAATATTGCAAAGAATTTTAGAACTCTCGAAGTCGAAATTGAAGAATTACGCGCAGCTCATGATAAAATAGAAACAGAAAAAAATCATCTGAATGCTGTAATAGAACAGTTGGAAAAAGGACAATTAGAGCATAGACATGGCAATATCAATAATAAAGACACTCAAACTGAACCATATTCAGTTTTAACAGATGAAAGTTCACCTACAGCAATCGGTGACAGTCATAAAGAAGATGAAATAGTACCTAAAAATTTTGCTACATTAGATCAAGAAAATAAATCTTCTGAGGATGTAAGAAAAATGGATTATGAGATTCAATCATTAATACAAGAAGTTAATTCATTGAATAGTAAAAAGATTGAACTTGAACAAAAAATTAAGGATCTTAATGAAATCAATATTCAAATGTCAAATAAATTATTAGAAAAAAATTGTTCAAATATAGATCAAATTGATAATACAGAAAAATATCAAACTACACAAAATGATTATGATTCATTGAAAGAGGAAAATAGACGATTACAATCAGATGTTGAAGGACTTCAAACATATTTAACAAAAATATCTAAAGAAAATGGTATTTTAAATGATAAAATAAGGGAACTCATAGCTAGTGAAATTGCTGCAGATAAAAATGAACTGGAATCAGATTGCATGACAGAGTTGAAAAATGAAGTTCGACAAGGAAAGGAAAAAATTGATGATTTACTAAGAGAAAACTCGATTTTATTAGAAGAAAATTTGGAACTGAAAGATCAGTTGGAGTCACAAGTATATGTAAAACCAAGTAATAATGCCAGTCATAAAGATACAGAATTTGCCGCTATGAATGAAAAGTATGTAAATATTCTTGAGGCAAAGAAAAAGTTAGAAGATCATTTGTTGAATACAGAACAGATGAATACAACTGTAAATAAAAATATGCAAGAATTACAAGTAAACAACGAAAAATTAAAACTAACAAATGAAAAATTAGAAAGACGACTAGACGAAGCACTTGTTAGTTTGAGACATTTGCATTCTTTGCAAGAAAATACAGAATTGGAATATTTAAGAAATATACTCTATGAATATCTTACAGGGTCTGGAACACATTCCATTACATTAGCAAAAGTTCTTGCAGCTGTAGTTAAATTTGATGATAGGCAAACACAACAAGTACTGCAAAAAGAAAAAGAAAGACAAGGACTTGTAAGTAATTAATACTAAATTACTATAAAACTATGTTATATAATACCTTAAATAAAAGTTTAATCTAATGCCAATTTAACATCATGTTGCCAATATTCTATAACATAAACTTTTCCATAGAATGTTTTAAACATTTTCTTTAATTGACAAATGCTGATAATGACAAATACAACAAAGAATAAATTAATACCTTGTTTTGATGGCCTTGGTTGTCTAGTGGTTTAGCACACCGCTTTCTGATCGTCGCCGGTTCGATTCCCCGCACGGTATAAATGTTTGTATTCATGAATACGATAGTTTTGTATTGGTCTGGATTTTTAAATGTATGATGTATTTTAAAGAAAAAGCATCTAAATTTCTGTCAGTAAAATTTCTATAAGTTATCCAGTATTCATGACACAAGCTCTACTTAGCTTTTTATTTGGTTTTTAAGTACCTATAGTTAGTCATCCGATCGGAAAAGTCGCCCTATTAGCATATACTATCGAAACTTACTAACAGTTTATAGCTTAAAATACATTACATTATATGTCAATTATATAAGAAAATAACGGAATTATAAATGTTTCAGCTTCGACAACTAGGCCTCACATGATTGGTTTGAATTCGAGAATTATAAATTCAGAATTTTACCTCTAACTGATATTCACGGTGCAGTCAAGAATCGTGTTAAATATGTCAAAGACTACAATTAGTTTATGGAGACGAAAATCGAGGGATTTATACCGGATAACTTAGTTTACCCTATGGTTATAAATTACTATGTATATGTACCATATATATATTATAGTACTTTAATTTTGTACATATGACCCAACTTTCTCTGACCGAAGTCAAATAAATAGTCCATATACTGAATGACTTTGTTTATCGTACCGAAAATAATATGACATAACTGGTACATCCAGGTGATTCAATGCATATATATTTTTGTTACTTTATTAGGTGGAAGGCTATTACAATATTCGCTGTATACTGTACCTAGAATTCCTCGGCCTCTGTGGTTTAGCACACTGCTTTACATCCGATGGTTGCCGGTTCGCCGGGATCGCAGGGGGCAAACATTTGTATTCATGAGTATGATTGTTTGTAACGGTCTGTATGTTTTATTTGTATATTATATATGTATTTACAAACAAAAAGTTCTAAGTGTATCACTTTTCTAGTACTCGTAACACATGCTTTGCTTAGTTTGTTCCAAACAATAACAACTGTTAGCATTATATTATATTAAATATTTATCACAAAACAGCGGCTAATTGAGTGTATGTGTCGCTTCATTAGAATCTGTAATAGACCTACATGAATAAGACATTTTGCATCCGCGCCACCTTCGGGCAGCAACTAACAAATCAGTGTTTTATCCTTGAGCAAAGTAGTTAGAGTAAAGTTGAGCATGTACATATTTCAATCAGTTGTCTTGTGTCCATAACACAAGCTCTGCTTAACTTGGGACTAGATGGTGCCGGGTGAACTGTCCTGGGTTGGTATTATTAGCTTTTATTAAGAAAATAATGATTTTGGACAATAATAAATTATCCTTTTTCCCATCTTTACATAAAACACCATCAAGGTATATATATATATATATATATATATATATATATAAGGTATATGTATAGTGAGGTTAAGTTTATCTAGGTTTGCCGCGCTATTACGACGTAAAGGATGGAATGTTTTATTTTATATTCAGAGACATTTCAAATCGTCTATTATTTACTGAAAGTTTACTACTGGAATATGTGCACTAATTTTATAATAACGACTAAAAAGTTATTCGGTATAATTATACCTGAATCGAATTCTACTTAGGTATAATTTATATTAATATCCTAAATATTTCATATTATTCAATATAACTTATTAAGACATTATTTGTTAATGTATATACTATATCTAATAGACTAATTTTTTTGTTACACAGATCATTAAATAAATAACTTTACTGAAATAAACAATTGTTTAGCTATTTTAATTCTATGTTATTTAGATTTAAAAGTTTGATTTATCAACAATGTAGGTAACTAATACTTACTTAATAAATAAGAATGTATATATTATTAAAATAATTTAATATGCAAAATTTATGTCTATTACTGATTTTTTTTATGTTGCTCCACTGTCACTATCTGATTCACTGACACAGTCCAGTTGCCTCATTCCTGCTAGCACATCTTCAATATGAGCCATAACATTCACTTGTGTTGTTGATGACCCATCTTGATGTTTTTCTATATACCTGTGAAAATAACCAAATATGATAATTTTTATAGTATAATATTATTTGTATACTTTCATTGTTAAATTACTAAATATTTTGCTCATTATTTGGTCAAGGTCACTATTTTATGCGGATGAAGCCGCTGGTACAGCTAGTAGTTTATATGTTATTCTTTTGAATTCTGTTTAAGTCAAGTGAATATTATCATAAAGAATTTGAATATCAATACTTCAATACAAACAGTATTTTATAAAATTAAAATACATTTCTACTATGTTGCAGTGGTTTCTGTGAGTAAAAATTATTTATAGTAAACTAATTACTTACCTAAGTATGCTACGACGTTTTCGTTCTGGTAATCCTGTCAACTTTTGATGAAGGTTTTTGTCTTCACTTAATTCTTCTAGAACTTCCTCCTAAAAATTATAACCAAGGTAATTTTAACATAAACATAAAATTTTTGGCTTTTACTAAATTCCATTTTAGAATGTCTCAATATCTGTTTTTTGATATGGAACTGTCTCTTTCACTCATCATAAAAATTATACAGAAACTAAGCATTTACTATTTAATATTTAGTTCATATAGGAACAATTTGGACAGCCTTAGCATTATTTTACTGACAGTTTAGGCCCATACTAGTAGTGCTACAACTCCAATCAGATATAAGATAATTATAGTAACAAAAAATATTAATCTATATATATAATAATATGAATGGGATGAGTGGGAATATTTGGACAGAGTACCTATGGAAATGGGATAAGGAGTGTAAACAGCTAATATATTTTACAATAAGCATTAGATTACCAAAAAATTAAACATGCTACACAGTATATGACTGATATACACATATTATATATTGTTCAAACTGGAAAAATAATGGAATGAACTGTGGTCAAAATTCTACCATGATGACAGTATAATATGACTTGTATTTGTAGGTAAAACATCATATGTGAATAAGTGATTCATATGTCACACAAGAATTCGTCTTTTTTATTAAGATAAATGAATAATATACGAATATCACAAAACTTACATGAAAAGGCTTACAACATTTGGCACACACACCCTTCTCTGTTGCACAGTTATCACATAAAAGATGATAAGCATATTTGACAGTTTTCTGTTCACAGCCAACGCACTTTCTGGCAGCACTAAGAGGCTTGTACTTTTTAAATTTTATTTTCCATTCCAATATATCTTTGCAACGTTTACAAACACCTTTTACTTCCATTGAATTTAAGAATTTGGTTTTCTGGCTGGTGTCATGTAAGTCATTTTTAAAAACGGTTCTATTCTGATGTTTCTGTGGTCTTTTCCTAGATGTATTACCTCTTGAAGTACTCATAATTATCTAAAATATAATAAACACAACGCAAAATCGAAATAGTATTGTATTCAATTCAAATGCGCTAATCTGATATATATACAACACATGTTCAATTGAAATGACATTCTATAAACACAGACTGCAGACTATTTTGGCGAATTATGTTTTATTTACAGTTGGATACAGATCAATCCTAAGTTCCGACGTCAATCAAAGTAACGATCATTGTGATCGATTACCCTTATTGAAAACTATTGACAACTATAGAGGCCTTAGTTTTTATTTTTCAGATACATCTATGATAATAATTCCTAGAATAGATAGACACGTAAAATAAGAATAAAAAACTTCCCAAAAGGAAAATATAGATATTTTACATTTTATTTCGTAGTAGATGCTACTTTACTGGATTGAATGACATTCATTATTATTGACTGACAGTTATTGAATTTTATTCTAGATTTGACAGCTTGAAATTTTCAAATCGTTTTATTTTCGATTATAAAATTTTATTTCATAAAGAAATATAAGTGTTATTATACTTACGCTGAGAAGACTATAATTGGCTTGGATTTTTTTATGATTTAAAACTCAACGGTGAGTTTCGGAGTTCCCTGCACAAAATTGAATATAGATGATTCTTATAAAATGACAATTTCCACTAAAAAATTGGTACAAATTGCTGGTTGGGGAGGTTTGGTAGTCGCTTCTACTGGGTTTTATTTACAAAGTCGTTTAGTGGACCAGGTCCGAAATTATGATTATTACAAAACAGCTTTAAAAAGGCTGAGAACTCACCCAGGTGCTGTATACTACCTTGGAGAACCTATCAAAGATAAATCCTTTAAGTTAACTGATACTAATAATAATTTCTCTGATGGCAAGACGGCTAGATTTCGTATCCCTGTATCAGGACCTAAAGACAAAGGAACCTATTATTTTTGGGCTAAAAAAGATGATAACCAGTGGATCATAACGAAAGCAGAACTGGACATAAGTTCAAAATCAGATGTAGCATTAGTCATAGTAAAGGACACAGAAGTTCCATAGAAAACCATTGTTGCATTGTAAATTATAATCATAAATTGCCAGTTTTATACTTACTAATTTCAGGGCATAAAAGTTTAAATATGTTTGTTGGATTCGCAAAGGAAAGATTCTTGTACCACAACACTTTGCTATGTTTAGTAAAAGCTTTGCAAGATAAAAATATTACTTTAGATCTTCGTAATGACTCATATGTATGTGGCCAGATCATAACTGTGGATGGGTGAGTGACTATCAGTTGGTATTTTCTAAATTGTTAATAAATGATATGTATATCTTTACCTTTGTACATATTTATGTAAAAGTATTTAAAAATATAATAAAATAAATATTTAAACCAATATTTAATACTTATCTGTAAATATACCTATTGTTCTATTCTTATTTAATAAAATGGATTCCTTGAAAACCTGCCCTCTTTATGTTTTGTAAAATGTACTTTGTAATGTATTAAATAAGCAATGAATGAAAAGCATAATTTAATTCATTCATTAATATAATACTTTTGGGAATAGACATGAAAAGATTATAGTTATATTTAGTATTTATATGAAGTAATTTCTGTTTTCATAAAACACAACTTGTAAAGCAAGTAGAATATATAGTTATCTTACTTAGTGCAGACTTGTAAATAATACTACATATTGCCATTATACCAGATTCCTATATATATTTACATATATTTAATATTAAGTTACAAACATTGTTGTAAATTATTGCACTGTTTTCATTAGTGTATAGTAGGGACTAAAGGTCCAATTATGTGATACTGTTGGAATAATTTCTTGTTATGAACAAATGGGGATAATATATAAATATGAACTGAATTGTATATAATTGTTAATCAGTTTATACATAATTCCAATTGTTTATAAAAAAATATGAAAAAATAATAGTATCTAAGTATTCTTTTCTTATATTTATTCCTTCAGTTTATTGTTTGATTTCTTTATGGACCTGTATGTGTTGCAGTCATTTATTCATACAAGTGTCTAAATTACTTATTTTATGACTATTCATATTGAGTTATTATTGTAATAATTTACTGATAAAGACTATGATAGAATAGCAGGGACTCACTGCCACTTCAAAATTCTAGATATATCTTGTTTTATCTTGATTAAAATATTATGATAACTAGAAATAGTTACAGCTTATTAGAGACAAATAAATTTTATTATTATTACTTTATTTTTATTTAAGCAACAAAGGTTCTACTGTAATTTAATGATGAGTTAGTAATGTAACCATCTCTTAGTAATAATACATAAACTTGTATTTTTTACAGTTACATGAACATTTCTCTATGTAGTGCTGTCTATTGTGATCCTCAGGGAAATGAGTTCTTTTTTGATAATCTATTTATACAAGGCCGTAACATTAGATATGTACATATTCCCGAAAATGTAAGTAAAATGGTACTCTGTACTTAATATATTAATGAATCTTATTATATCTGTTACTCAATATAATATGCAATCTTTTATTGTAGATGTCAATGGTAGCAACAATTAAGAATGAATTAAACAAAAATAAGAAAGGGCCTGTTAAAAATCCTATTGTCAAGTCTAGAAAAAACACAAAAGCTCTACACCAACATATGCAAACTGTAGCATCATTAGATTTGTAAGATTTTTGTAATATACATTATAATAAAATATTGTTAAATTACAATTTAGTTCATAATTACTTAATTGGAATAAAGTCAATTTCCCAAATAAAATTTTCAAACATTTATTTTTAATGCTGTTTATTATTGGTCTGGTTTTACACGCACAACAGCCTAGATGAGAAGAGAGCAGAGAGCTCGTTAGCACTAACTTGGATAAAAGGAACTTTTACTTAAATAGTTAACACGCCAACAGACAAACCCACATCTGTGCATAATAAAATCGAAAAATGGTGATGACTGACGGTTTGTTTGTGTAATGATCGCCATCTCTATAAGACGATCTACAAGGGACACGGGTTCGAAGCCACGAGCAAAATTTGTATACATAGAAAAAGTGATTGATTTGATAATAATTTTGATTATTGAGATGAGTGTTTTATAAGTACCTGTACAAATTTTAAAGAATGTCTATCTGCCCTGTTCTTAAAGGAAAAATATGATGTGTACCTAAAAGACTTCTTTGGTACTATATAGTAAAAAATTACCGACTGCTCGAATCTTAAAAACGCGAAATGCGTGATGATATGTATCTAGGTTCGTTCTTTGGACTTCAGGTAATAATTACATAGTGAAAATCTCACCAAAATCTATTCAGTGTAAATTGTCGTGTATTCAGTGTCGTTTTGGAGCATGTTTCGAACGACTAAGTTCATTGTAGAAAATTAAAAAAAATAATTGCTGCTGGTTTTTTCTTAGGCTGCTGATGGAGTCTGTTAGTCGTCAGGTCGCCCGAATGAGCCTAACATTCTGATGAACTTCAATAATTTGCTATGTCGCGAAACTGAAATTAGTTGGAATACTAGATTTATTAGAATGAGTGTGAATGCTATCGCATTGCGTGCGATCCATAATAACCAATTTCCTTCTGCAGTCGTTTTACATTGTTACGTTGATCCCAATTCCCCTTAGTACCCACGGTTCCGATAGGCGTCCCTCCTACCCTTATTTACTATAATTAAAACCATTTGTCAATTCTACTTATAATATTTATTTTAAAAGAAATACCTATATAGTAGGTCAGTTAATTATTTACGTGTCTACTTAATATTAAGTTCAATATTCAATAAATAAGTTTATTAATTTTTATCAAATGTAATGTAAGTATATATTCAGTTATACAAATATGTCATATATTAAATTCAAAAGTTTAAAACCGCGTAGGTATAATGTAAAACTACAAGACTTATTTATTATTGTTATTAATTGATTATTCTTAATGTTTTTTAGAATAAGGAAAATGAGCTTAAGGTGCAATATTGTCTGTAGACTTATTGGTTTCTTCTACTGCATCTTCGTATACTTTCTCGGAATTTGTGGTAATTACAGTTAAACGCGTGTTATCATCCGGCTTTTCAGTAGCAGGCTTTTCTTCTTTTATGTAGTTTTGAGGAGGTGCCATAGGCGCAAAATTTTGAGTTGCATCATTATTTAATACACCATTATCAGTGGAAGTAAGATAAAATTTAGGTTTGACATAAACATAATTACTATTTTTTAATGCTTCTGGGTATCCGTCACCATTTACTTGTTCACTTTGAAAATTTTCTCGATTGAAATAATTTTGATTATAATTATTTATAGCGAGATTTTTGAAGTCATAATTTTCTTGTGTGTTTGTAGACTGTAATGTGTCTGGCTTCTCATTGGCTTTGTAAGTCGCATCCAACTGACCATTCAATATATAGTTTTCTGGAGTCTGCTGAGGGCTCTTTATGGTGGGTCCTGGAGTAACACTGGATTTTTGTTGAACAATAACTTGTTTGAACTGTTGTTGCTTAGATTCAGGTCTTGGAACATGTTTGTTGGGTTGTTGAAATACATGGGTTGTAGTTTCTTTATACACTTGAGAAGCAGTTTGTGAATCTGGTGTTTGACTGCACAAGTAATTTGATTGATTTATACTTGTGATTATAGAAGTCGGACTAGGAGATGATTGCATAACATTGGGTCTTTGTAGTGCTTGAGAGTTCAGTGTTGCTAAAATAATATATACATATTAAATATTATCTGGGAGTTCGTCTAGATTTCTGTGTGCAGGAGTCATAAACGAAAAGAATTATATTAGTAGTTGCACGTACATTACAGAATGGATTGTAAAATTTAGTTATTATGGTCATTAAAAATAAAAAATTTAAATTTCTTTTACACTAAGATAAAAGGGCCTCGGTGGTCTAGTTGTTTAACACACCGCATTGCTTTCGATGGTCGCGGATTCGATTAGTTTTATTGGTATGGGTGTTCTTTATGTATATTGTGCATGTTACATATTTAAGTATTTCTATCAGTTGTCTGGCCATAACTGAAGATCTGCTTATCTTACAATCCCAAGAGGCCGTGTGACAATTATAATTATTATAATAATAATAATGTATTATAATAATAATAATTTATTATTATATGTAATATAAATATTTTACCTTGCGGTTTATACTTTGCTAGCTGTGAATAAACTAGTTTGATACGCTCAATGTTTATTTGCGAGACTTTCTCATGGTTTACTATCGGCAAAGGGTAATCACGGCCGATGGTGCAGCGTGCCGCTTGCTGTACGGACTCCGGCGCCACCCAGGGCTCATGTATATACCGAGTTGGCATGTTTTTCAATACTGGAATGTATCTCCTGAAAAAATTGGTGCTAATTAACTAATGTCGTATTAAAAGAAATTTTTAGCCGACACGGGCATCCCGGTGTATATAAAACACCCGTCAATACAATTTACTAATCAATAAAAATAAAAAACCAACGGAAAATAAAATTAATATAAGGCGATCTTACGAGAGATGTTTTTTGGCTTAATGAGCTATTCGGTCCTTGAGCGTAACATATACACAAGATAATCGCGAGAAGTGGCGTAGAGCTATTATAGAAAGTCATGCCTCGCCGTGACGGTAAACTGTTCGGCCGTTCCTAAACTCCTGGCAAGCGTATGATATAGAAAGTATCAATAAAAAGGATGAACCAATTTGATATAATTCAAAACAAGTCTGTTAAGTTATGTTTAGCACATATGTGACATTGATCAACAATGGCAGTATATCATGGCTGTGTATTTCATAGAAGACTGTTGATGTTTTGTATCAATGTTATTTTAAAAAATCAGTACAATGTTTTGATAAAGAGGCACAACTACTTAATGAAATAAGGATGAAATGGACTAACATTTGTTCCGGGTTCGGAACTCTAGTAGTTAGCGTATAAATAGGAATACATTAATTTTTATACGAACCTGATGAAATCTCCGTTAGGATCAGTCTTCCGTCCGAATCGAACAGGGCAATAGCAATGAAAAAACTGTTGAAAGAATGACGAACAAGACAGCCACATCCACATGCCTGCATTAACTGACCAGTCAGCGTCAAGTAGCAATTCATCAAATACCTAAAGAATTGGAAATGGTTAAATTTATCTAGTAATATTCTAGGACACACCTATGATATACAGAGAAATGATTTTAGAATGTCAAACCGAACCTCTATTCATATATTGTGAAGTAAAAATATTTTCTCAATTTTCAATATGATTATTAGTAAACCATTTTAAATCAGTAGCATCAGTTATTGTTGTTGTCTGAAATATGTGAAGACAGACGGACGAACAATATGAGTATTCCATTGTCTTTTTTTCTGAATTCTAAATACTGGCTTTCAGTAACTCACCTTCATACCTTCTTCCCACGAAATCCATAAGTCACCTCTGGTAAGAAAACAAGCAACCGCATGTCGTGCTAAATGATGTATCCAGCCTTCTTCTCTTAATTGAATCATTATTGCATCAATCCATGGAAATCCAGTTTGACCCTATAAACATTATTGCCAAAGCCAAATTACCGTAATGTCATTTGAGGACCTAAAAATGGAGAACATGAAATATACTTACGCTTGCCCATTTCGCAAGAGCTTCGTTGTTTTTTTCCCAAGGTATCTGAACACATATGGGATTACCCTCCATACGATCAAAGTTCGGATTACGAGTAGCAGCACAATAAAAGAACTCCCTCCAAAGAATTTGACCGTGTAGTGATAGTGGAGGTCGTACTTGTTTTACTCTTTTATATAACTCTGTTAACTGATAGTAAAACAGTCTTGTTGACAAGCATCCGAACCTGAAATTGGCCATTAATTTTAATGTAAATAATAATAATAGTTATTACAGAAATTTAAGCATTTAATTGAACAATTGTACCTTAGATAAGGCGACAAGCCAGTTTGACTAGCTAATAATGATTGCGGTGTCATTTTAGGCCGCCCAAATGATGCTACCCAAGCTTTTCTTTCCAGGTGTCTTTCTAATCTAACTAACGCTTCACTTTCGCCACCCAGCCACACTGGAGACTTAAGGCCTTCAGTCTCAAAACCTTAAATATAATATATTACAGTAAACATATATAAGTCCATCAACACCAATATACCTCATTTCTCTCAAAACCCACCAAGTTCTTCAAGAGTAGGCACCCCAAAACGATCATCATGATCATCTGCCACTGGTGTTGTGGCACCATTTAATATTTGTGTGGTAATTGTAGCCTCCGCAGGTGGCGGTGGAGGCATACTAGCTATTAAAGCTTGAAATTGATGATATGTCAATGGTGCTTTACCACCATTTCTTTCGATAATTCTGGAACAAGTTTAATAAATAATAATATAAAATAATACATTAAAAATACATTACTGTCACCAAGCTTCATATTAAACATTTTCACTGCATAACCAGGACAGGCATACAGCATAGATCTACATTTTATTATATTGGGAGACAGAATGGTTTATCTACTAGATTTATTATTTTTATATATTTTATAGTATTTTCATTTCGACTTTAAAGACGTTTCATACGTCTTTAAAGTCGTTTAACTTTATTTTTTAAAATAAAATTTATCTGAAATTATAGTGCTATACGTGAACATTACAAAAAAATAAAGTCTCATTTTATATTATAGCCGTATTTAGTCTTCCGTATTTCCGTATTTAGTAAATCTCTTCTCTACTCAGAAATGTTAATCATATTTATGTCAATTGTCTATTTCTTGTAAGTTTAGTACGGTTTTATCTAATTGAATTACCTTGTGCATTAAGTATCTTACATATGCAATGCGCAGTCCTACTGAAAAGTAATACCTATATACCAAATATTATATATAAGCATATATATTTATATATATAAATAATAATCTTGTTTAATAAAGAGCAGTCTATATCCAAACTCTGAAGTAGTCATTTATCCTCCCAACTTCCATCGATTCGAAATGACTCATAAATATACTTCTACTATGTTGCATTCTCGACAACATTGAAGTATAATTAACGTTATTACTATAAAAGAGATAGACATACGATTACATTCATTATGTAACATAATGCCTACTTACGTCAACGTCATATTTGTACATACATAGTATAGTACTTGTACATCTTTTTATTTCAAAGATGAAATACCCCAATACATATATTGAATTCGTTTCCGGAAAGCGTGTCTCAGAAGGCATTCTTATTTAGAAATTTGTTGTAATTACTTACTTGTCTAACTTATACAGCGTATGCGAAACACGAGATACGACTGTAATGCCGACTTCCCGGCATTTTGACATAATATTATGGTCACGAACACGGCCATATGGTTCAGGATCTTCCTCAAAGGTGAGGGCTGTAGTACCCCACTCTTTGAATAACTTTGGCAATGCATCTGCAGGCTGTCCACGAACCACAAATAGACGAGAATTCAACTTTCTTAAACTAGTATCAAGATCTTCCAGGCACTGTAGGAGAAACCTGTAGCAATAAGTACATTTTTAAACAATAATACGTAATAACATTACATAAAGATAATTAACGATATCGCAACTTTTTTTAATTCCTAGCATCAAATATTGGCTTTCGTAACAATATTGTATTTTGGTACAATTCGAATTTACAAATTAGAATGTTCGGAGCCGAACGACACTCTACTTAGATCTGCATTGCTCTATAATAGGTACTCAACTAAATATGTAATCGAAACTAAATTAATCGTAGGATTGAATAATTAGTTCGTATCAGAACTTTTAAGTACTCTGATATACAGTACGGTTACGCGACGGACATTTACATAATTTAGGATGAGCTTACTTTAATTACACTACCCACTCATATCAATATTGTTATTATGCATGTCTCTTAAAACAAAGTTCATATATTTTTCATTAACATCTTATTTGGTATTTATTCACTAATATATATCATGTGCGATCCTTTTCACAGCCAGGGCTAGCCAGCTACGGTGCACTGGGTGTCACACATCATTGATCTTGATCCTTTTCATTGATAAATTTCTGACCTTGAATCGCCCTGCTAGGTGGGAGGCTGTGACGATGCAGTTTTTCGGAAGAAATCTAAGAGAATTTCGAAAGCATTTTGAAGAAATACATAATGGATGCTACAGGTTTCAAAGTATATTTTGTAACATTCGTAGTACCGATCATGTGTATACGACACGTGCCATTTTCCATTAGGCGAGCACCTTTCAATTTAGTCATAAAATAAATACAAGTTTCTATACCTGTATTTACTTTAGAAGGCAATGGCAGAGGGGAGATCATGTTACTATCTATAAAATTTGTGGGATATGGAATGGTGACAGTTTCGGTGGTTATCTTATGAATGAAAGATTAACACATTAAAGATGAAGATGAAATAATATTATTAGAGCTATTTTACAAACCTCCATTTATTTATGCCAACATTAGAAGAGCTGGCGAACCAGGGATCTATTATGAAAACACATCGAAACGTGATTGCACCATTGAGACCTTCTCTTAGAGCAGGATTGTCGTGTAGTCGTAAACCCTTACGGAACCAATGCACGGTATGTTTGCCAGCGCGAGACTGTGCTGATCCAGCAGGTGGAGGAACCTCCGGAGCATGTGGTCGGGGTCCGGACGCTGGAAGCGTCTCTGCGGTAGCTGACATGGCTATGACCACATGGCGTGTACTGCAATAACATATAAGTGATTCTATTGTGATTATTTTATTTGAAATGTTCAGTATAAGATTATGAAAAATTATCCATTATCATAAACCAGATGAATTTGTTTACCATGTTGAAAAATTGGTATAAGAAAAGAAAATGTGTTTGACTTATATACGCTACTTTTTATTTTGCATTAAGTAGACTATACTATTGGTAAAATTGTAATTACAATCAACAATACATGGTATTCGAGCTCATCTATTTCACCCAACAAACAGCTTGCTTTATATTTCAATTTCAAGGTGCAGATTAAACAGTGATATTACAGGATAAGAGGAATGACATCTTAGTCCTTTGTAATGACAATGCATGAGTAATACTGCAGTTGTCAAATGAAAACAAGATATTCTTAGTGTTGTTCATATATATAGAAGAGGGTTATTAATATACACTTACCATCACATGGACTGCCAGCTTGTTTCTCATTCCAATTACATAACATATTAGGATTAATTTATTGTTTAGACTTAAGTATTGTAAAAAGTTCTACCCCCCACTATGCTTATAGTATGGCATAGGTACATGTTTATCCAAGGCTCATAGGTATATTTACATTGTTTTACATTATTTTCAGTAAATTGACTTTGATTTAAAATATATAGAAATAATCATATCTTATAGTTAATTGTTATTAAATATTATAAATAATATATATTTCTATTTAAAGCTCATTCTTATAACTATTTAAACAGAGAAAAACCTTTTATTTAAGAAAAAAAATAGACTAATACACAACAGACACAAGAGGTAGGTCGACGCGGGTCGTACTGAGAGAACGGATTTTGTTTGCGCTCCAGATACTTATATGATTTTAAATATAAAAGTTAACTTTCACTATAAAAAATATATACGAACATAGTCTTACTATCAAGAATTTAATAGTTGTACGGACTGTATTGACTAAAGTGAAACTATATAGTGCTAAATGACAAATTATGAAGTGACACAAATCGAGTGCATTGCAAGTCGTTTTTCAATATACCCTCAATAGAGTGACGTTAACGATACTTATAACAATTACTGCCTGATTCTGCTGGATATTTTAACTAAATATTTATTTATTTATTGACAAAAGAAAAATAAATATGTCAAAGAAAAATAATAATATTACATGAGCCGGGTGTTTGGGAAATATTGAGAGCAGACGCTATTTGATTTGCAGCTCATGTAAATTACATTACGACCTAGATTGTGCCAACATACCAGAAGCTCGATTTTATAATACTATGACACAAAAATACAAAGACTTCTGGAAATGTGTCTCATGCAAATCAAAGATACCAAAAAAAGATAACACAAATACGCCCATCAGATCGGACACTGGTAATGTCACACAACGACGAGGTGGCGGTATATTCACACCAGAGAGGTCTCCTGCTTCTACACATGAAGAAGACACGGCAACGAGTAATGAAACACTACTTACACGTCTTTTTAGAAAAGAAATGCAGGAGACGCGAGCACAGATCGAGGTATTTAATGAGACCATCAATAAGCTAAACTTAAGAATGGATATATGTGAAGACCGCATGGAAAAATTAATTGCACGTGTCGAAAAAATAGAGAATCGAGTTGATACTGATACAACAACACAAAGCAACACTACTCTGTCAGAATCTATTGAACAACTAAAGGCCGAACTAAACGAAAGAGATCAGGATCTTTTGCTTAATGATCTTCAGATCTCATGTATACCAGAACAAAACAATGAAAATGTTACGCATGTTGTAATGAATGTAGCTGCTAAGCTAGGCGTACAATTAGCGGATCAAGATATTGTCAGTGCTATACGGATAGGAAGTTCATCTAAGCCTGATGAAAGTGACAAAAACCGACGACCCCTCTTATGGTAGTGCGGCGGCACGTCGCGTTTCACGTGATCAACTATTGCAAGCTGCACGGGTCATACGAGGTCCTACTACAGAAGGTAAGGACCTACCCGGACCACCACGAAAATTTTACATTAATGAAAGGTTGACACTAAAAAACAGGCAGTTATTTCAAAAGACTCGAGAAATGGATATTCGTAATAACTGGCGATATATTTAGACAGCAGCCGGTAAAATTTTTGTACGACAACGCCAAGGCAAGGATGAACCACGTTTTCGTCTAAGAACAGAGTCAGATCTCATTAGGGTTTTTGGATCAGAAGCGATTGGCTCGTAAATATTTGTTTTGTTTTTTTATTTTCTTTCTTTTTGTTATTTATATGATAACAAGCTTTGATGTACTTTTCATTATTTGCCAATGTTTTACAGGTAGAAAAGTTTTTGTATATACATGTAATGTAATATATATGTATTTGTCAATTATATACATTTTGATATCCAATAATGTTCACAGTATATTTGCAACTAAACTTTTGAACATCTCGTATTGTGAGCCAGTAAAATTTAAACGTTGTATCAAATTCACGCTATTCAGGGCTTGTCTCAATTATACGATTAGGCTAGCTGAATATAAAAATGATTTTTAATAAATCAATCAGTTTTAATGTAGGTCTTATAAATGCACGGTCATTAAATACTGGCCAGGACAAACTAGTAGCAGCAGTCGAGAATTACAGGCCTGATATTCTAGCCATCAACGAGACGTGGTTAAGAGATGATCAGGGAAAGTTAGCGCCGAAAATACCAGGTTACATTTTTAAACATAAAGCGGGAAAAACGGGAATGAGAGGGGGAGGTGTCGGTTTTTATTATAGACAGGAACTACGAATTCGAGTCCTACAACATCCATCATCGGATTTAGAGCAAATGTGGTTAGAATTGCGTGTGATGGAGCGGGTCGTTTAGCCATAGGAACAGTATATAGACCAGAATCAATTTCAGTCGATAGCGCTATTAAGAATCTGTGTAACTCATTGGATATATTTACTGGGTATAATTCTGTTTACATATTAACAGATTTTAATGTTAATATCAAGGACACCGCGACCTCATCCTCATCTGCGTTAACTACTTTTCTTTTCCAACGGAATCTTCACCAGCTCGTGAAAGAACTAACAAGGGTAACTAATAATACTTCCACACTGATTGATCTCATAATTACTGATACACCGAATATATGCCATGGAGTTGATGTTCATCATAAACCGCAGCTTAGCGACCATGCCTTGATAATAGCCCGACTTAAAATAATAAAACCACACCAAACACCGAGATACATATATAAAAGATTTTTAGATAATATTAATATTAGTCAATTTAATACAGACCTTGACAGCCTGGACTGGGATAGTGTAAATACTGGTGATTCTTTAGATGCAAGAGTTAATCGATTCAATAATCTAATCAATGTTTTATTCGATGTTCATGCTCCGGTTAAAAAAATACGTATTAATAATAATAAGCCACACCCGTGGATTACCAACAACATTAGGACCATGATGAGACTACGTGACTCTGCACTATGTAGGGCACATATATCGAGCAAAGAAAGCCATTTGGATTACTATAGAGATCTTCGAAACTATACCAATGGAGCCCTGGACCGTGAAAAAAAAGCTTATTTCACATTTTATATTAATAATAATAGGAACAAACCCAATCAGATGTGGCGTCATTTAAAGCAAATATCAAATATAGATAATATGGATGAGTCGCCAATGCCATAGCATCTGACGGATCCAGATCTAATTAATAATTTCTTCCTCGACATCCCGTGTAACCAAGATAATTATTTAAAAGCCAATTTCAAGGCAAGAAATATCGTAGACAATCAATTTAATATAAGAACATCTGATGAAATTAAAATTATGAAAATGATTACCTCAATCCATACTAAAGCGTGTGGACATGATGGGATAACTATCGAAATGCTGAAAATGACATTGAAAGCTACGCTGCCAATTATTACAAACTTAATTAACGATTAAATCACATCCAATTACTTTCCACAACAATGGTCACTTGCTAAAGTAAAACCTATTCTAAAAGGATCAATTGTTAATGATTTAAAGGATTTGCGACCGATCAGTCTTCTTCCAATTCTGTCCAAAATTATAGAAAAGATTGTCTATGAACAGCTCTCGAGTTATTTAGAAGATAAACAATTGCTGCCGAAACTACAGTCAGGATTCCGGAGCGACCATGGGACGGCATCTGCTCTCTCTAAGGTCACTGATGACATACTAACAGCATCTGATGAAAGCAAGTATACTGGTACTGTTAGACTTCTCACGCGCCTTCGACTGTATAAATCATCGGCTCCTTTTGGAAAAAATGGCTTATTATGGAGTGTCACCGACAGCATGTAATTGGTTTGGGTCATTTCTGGGAGGTAGACGTCAGTACGTAGAATTACAGACAAGTGATGGCATAATAAATAAATCTCAAATAAAGTCAGTCAACAAAGGTACGCCACAGGGCTCCATTTTGAGTCCTCTCTTATTTATAGTGTACACGTCTGATCTCCCTGCTATTATCGGTCACTGTCGGTTGCATCTCTATGCCGATGATACTCAACTTTACTACTCCTTTTTGCCAGAACATCTCAGCCAAGCAGAAATTGACATAATGACAACCAGCTTGTCCTAAACCCCTTGAAATCGAAATTTTTAATTCTAGGTACTAAAGTACAATGTAAAAAAACTAGACATCAAAATACACAGATTTTTATCGGTAACCAATCAATACAAAGAGTAGATACAGCAAAGAATCTCGGCTTGTTAATTGATTCACAATTACGTTTCATAGATCATATAAACTCTAAAATAAGAAAGTCCTTTTACAAACTAAAAACACTTTACAGTATAAGAAAACACTTAAGTATTCCCATACGAGAAACTCTAGTAGAAACCTTAATATTGTCTCTTTTTAACTATTGCGATACAGTATATGGTCCAAGATTGTTGGAGGAAACTCGCAAGTCTATCCAAAGAGTTCAAAATGCTTGCCTTCGCTTTTGTTACAACATACCTAAACGTGAACATGTTACACCCTATTACCACAAAAATGGAATATTAAATATGACTTCCCGTAGAGAGTTGCACTTCTCTGCTTAATTCAAAAAATTGTCCATCGCGGTCGTCCGCAGTATCTATATGAGAAATTGGAGTGGCCAAAGAGTAGACATAACAGAGGACTTCGTGAATGCAGACGTGATAAGTTAAGCATACCTACACACAAATCCGTTAATTATAGAGGAGGTTTCAAATTCACTGCCGATAAAATCTGGAACGATCTGCCTCCGCCATTACGCCAAATGATAATACCACTAAAATTAAAATCTCTTTAAGGAAAATTATATTAGATAGACAGAAAAAGTCCTTGGATAGCGGCGACAAATCTCGACATAAAATGTGATTTTTTTTTGTGTAGATACACATTAGGGTTCATGATTTCTCGAGTTTTTCAATTTCTCGGGTCTCGAGAATTCTCGAGGTTAATTTCTCGGGTTCAGTTCTAATAACGTCAAAAAACTCAGTGGTTTCATTTGAGAGGAAAACCACTGCATTATTTGTTAAATATTAAATATAAAATTTAATTATAAAATTAATTATAAAACTTTTATTGAGTATATTTAAAAATATTAAATACTGAAATATATTAGGTTCTTAAATATGAAATTAGCGTTTTGTCGCACTGGCCACATTGATCTTAAATATCTCCTCTTTGGTTAGGAATTTCCAATTTCAAATTTATATGGCTATTCACTCATGTATTTGTTTTTCGAAAACCGTAATACATATGCTTGGTTTTTTCTTTGGGTCAGTCAGCTTACAAAATGGAAAACTTAAAATAGAGTACGAGTACGAGTTCCGCCATGGCATGGCTAGCTCGAAGGATTAATGATGTGTATGGCGGTGGTGTCGCAAAAGAAAACACAATGCATTTTTGATTCCAACGTTTTCGTTGTGGAAATTTCGACCTGCAAAACAAACCCCGTGGGTGGCCAGAGTCCAAGGTTGGTAATGCAGAATTGAAGGTTATTGTGATAACAGATCCATCGCGAACCACGTCCGAGTTACAGGTAGTTGCAGGTTGCGGTGTTAGTGACAAAACTGTATTAATCCATTTGTAGAAAATTGGGAGGGTGAAAAAACTTGAAAGGTGGGTCCCTCATGAATTGAGTGGACAATTCGCGTTTCGATCGACAAACGCGCGTAGACTGCTGCGTTACATTAGTCAACCGGCATAATCATAAAGGGATTTTAAATCGAATCATTACCTGTGATGATGTGGATCTTGTATGATAATTGGAAACGCTCATCGCAATGGCTGAATCAGCAATTGAGAAACCATAATGGAAAAGCTAGCTGCTAAACAACCGAGGCTGGTCAATCGCCGTAGGCCACTGCTGCTTCAGGACAACGCTAGACTACACACTGCACAACTGACATTTACCAAATTAGAAGAGATTCAATTGTAATGTCTAAGACAACCACCGTACTCCCCGAACCTTGCTCCAACAGATTACCATTTTTTTCAAAATTTGGATAACTGATTGGGAAAAAATTAAATCCGATGGGGCAGGCCAAAGTGCCTTCCAAGATTTTATTGATATGTCCAAATGTTCTCGTTCAAATGTTTTTTTCAGTAAAGGGATCAATGAAGTACCTATGAGATGGCAAAAGTGCATAAATAGCAATAGTATATATAGTTTGATTAAATAAACATGTTACATTTTGAAAACAAATACTTCAGGTTACTCCCTTACAAAACACCACTTTCATATGTTAGTCCTAATATTATTCTGACTTATATTTATAATGACAGCACCATTTTTGGCTGGTTATTTAGAAAAAAATCTACCTTAAACTTGTAAACAAAAATAGTTTCTGTAAAACAAAAAAAAATTACATGAAAGAAAACCTTAATATCTTGAATTATTATGCCGCCACGCAACAAAACAAACAGCAATTTAATTTCTATATAGGTACTTGATTTCTCGAGTTCTCGAGCTTGATTTCCCGGGAACAAAACCCAACGAATGAATCCTAATACACATGCATTGCATACATGTCACGTGTGAATCCGTATGGATATTATTATTATTTATGTATTAATTTGTTAAATTTTTATTTCATTATGTTGTGGTATTGTTATCTAGCACATGTGATTAGGTACGCCTGCGTAGGTACAAACTGAAAACCAACACTGGACGCCCATCAGTAGAACAATAGCTGAGTTTGTACCTATTGCCAATCATGATAAATATATATAAATGTGTAACTGTGTAACTGTGCTGATGTTGGCAATAAATGGATTTATTATTATTTTTTTTTTTTTATATTATCTTTTCTCGACTTTCGCCGGTAATCTTGGTATGTACGGGCCTAAGCCAAGTACATAACAATGTTCTATATCAGGTGGATATACCATAATACAAATGTAGGCCTAATCTGTCTGTAGAAACTTTCTAACAATGCGGCATGGATTTATTATTATTATTAATATAATTTCATTTGGAATGTTTTCATATATCTACAATACCCACATCTTTTATAGAAATCCGGATTACTCTGATGGCAGTAAATTAGTAGTAGTAAAACTAAGATGTTTTTGTGTCATATTTGTGATATTTAAAAAATGTTAACTGAGATAAAGATACTGTAGCTGACTAAGACTGTTGTTTAATAAAAATAACATTAGTACTATAAGGATTACAAGAAAGTTTGCCTAATACTCCAATAAAATTCTTTCAAAATACTTTATTATTATAAAAATTTTAATGAATACAATTATAAAAATAATCACATTTTTCCATACCATACTTTTGATTACAAATTGTAATCAAAAGTATGGTATGGAAAAATGTGCTTATTTTTTTTAAACTTTCTAATAATACTTCATAACCACAACAGATCCTTGAGAGAAAGTGTCATAAGCCCTATTACAGAATTAAATCATAATTGATTGAAGGTGTCAATTATCCTGGAAAGAGACTGACTTTATTTGACAATAGCATACTATAGGAGCATGTTTATTTAAAAGAGTCATGTGGAAAGAATTGTATTTATTACCAATCTTATTTGTTAAAATTCTCTCCAATTTATGGTCATAAGATTGAATTAAATATTCTCGTAGTTTTTTTTTTTTTGGTGGACTATACATTCAAAACTGAAATTATCAAGTTTTTTCAATGTAATATTTACATTTATATAATAATATGTGAGATTAGTAAGTTCAGTCATCACCAGTTGAAAGTTTAAACAACAACTACTATGAGATATATTAAGTACACATTAAAAACAACTAGCCATGTTTATATCTGACCATTTCATCTGTTAATGCATCTATGAACAAATCAATATTCATTCATTTTGGCCTGCATGCTAATCCCACATTCATTACTCTCACAGATCTATCACGTCAATAGACATAATTTCTAAACACCCCTTTCAAAATGGACTCTTTAATTTTAAATATATTTGATTAAAGAGATTCTGGGGGCGTGGTGCATTACGTAGGTAATAGCCGGGAACAACGGGATATATAGGATTGAGAAAAACAATAACTTACCAAGCTGAATAAATTCGACAAGATTACACTACAGGTTTATATGAAATTACTAAATATAAACATGTTTCTCACAAACACGAATTATTGAAAAAACACTAAAGAATAATCAAGTTCATTATCATATTCATTCCTTTCTACAATAAATATTTTATAAGATAAAATCACTGATTTAACTCTTTTTATAAATTATCTTTAAAATATTTGCTACGCAAAGTTGAAAACTATAAAATAGTCGTTCATAAAATACTTTAAGATAATAGGTTCCTCTATGTCTGAGAGAATAAATTGTAAATTTGGAAAACAACAAAGTTGTCAATAAGTCCACGCCGCTTGCAACGTGACTATAACGTGACCTGCCTAGACATTGTACACACAGTCGCACAAACATAACATTTATAACCGATAATTAATTTATAGACATCTTATAAAGCCATAATAAAAGAGCAAGCAGTAAATTATGAACAGTTTAGTTTGAATCGATATTGAACCAAGACCGGAATATAATACTTGCTATAGGAAACTGTACACTAAACTTAAAAAAATGGACTTTAGAGGATATTATTAAGAATTAAATGGTAAATAGAAATATAGAATGATATGAAAATATTTACATTAAAAATTTAAATTGTGCTCGCAGCTTTATAACAAGATAATGACAGATTACCGATACAGAGAACTACGCTGACAATCTTTGAAATTTCAAATTGACATTTGAGTATATTCATATACTCTCCTCTAACTCATTATTAACTGCAAATGTAGAAATGTGACAAATATAATTTTGTTCTTTTTATTGGTAGTTAAGTTAGTAGTAAAAGGCGAAAGATTTATGCGTTTTGAAGGGAAACCAGAGTGTAGTTAAGTTAGTTCTTATTCTTGCGATCCTTAAGAAAGTCTAAGTTTTGGGCCTTCTGCAGCTTGTTTAGTTAGTGCACCACATTGTATATAAATTGTGGTGCACCATAACACTGTCATTATTGTATTAATATATACAAGGACAATAGACAAGGAAGGTTTATTGGAGAGCCAAATGGAGCCAAGTGTACGAGATTTCATTTTTAAAGGCTACTCGAAAATCTTAAGTCTGGTAATTCTGAATTTTTTATATAAATCTAGTCACAAAATGGAATGTGAATTAGCAATTACATTAATGAATACAGAAACTAATTGTTGTATGAACGTTCCTGAGTGTAACTTGTTTTATCTGTTTCACCACCTATAGATAAGTAGGCAAAACATTTTTTTTCGTAACGTAAGTGGAGGAGTTGACCATTTTACAAAATTTTCAAATTCAGTCGAAATAGAAAAAAAATCTTTTGCTGTGTGAACCGATTAATATGATAAAAAAAAATTACGTGCTAAGTGAAGTTTGCTCTGAAGTTAAGGTACATGTAAATCTTTTGAAAATTATTTATTTGGTCTCAGTAACGTTGGTTTAAATTCATCTATCAATAGGTTATTTAATAAACAGATAAGGTTCGTTTTCTCTTCTTATTGAGTAATTATTGCTTAATTTATACTCCTGTCAAAAATAGCATATTTCAGCAGAATGTACTGGCAACATTATCTTTCTTTTTTTTAAAGTTCACCTCTTCAAAATGTACGTATTATTTCATTCCTAAAAAATATCTATAATTATCTCAATTTGTGTAATGTTTTACTTATTTAAAAAAATGAAATAAGATTTTGTATATGTTCATATATCCAATCATTTATATATTTAAACTTGATTGTTGTGACAAACTTTCAGTGAGGGAACTTAACCATGGGTCGTGTCATTCGTGCTCAACGTAAAGGTGCCGGTTCAGTCTTCGTTTCACACACTAAGAAAAGGAAAGGAGCTCCAAAATTACGTTCCTTAGACTATGCTGAACGTCATGGCTATATCAAAGGTGTTGTTAAGGTATGTAAATAAATATAACCTAATTTTAAAACAAACATGCCTGGTACTGCTCTGATGTTGTGCTATGGTTTTCTTCACAATAGCTTGCCAGTATAAGCTATTTTGTTTTCCTGTGATTGTATAAAATCTATCAATTTGATGCCTTACTATAGACATTTATAATATTACAATAGACTTGGTAGAATTGACTTAACGTCGACTTCAGGGAAACCGGGTATTTTATATAATATAAATTGTGTCCTTCAAGTTTAAGAATAAACACTTATAAATAGATCAGGATAAAATAGTGTGAGTCAGTCTTTTACTACATTTTACATTTTTGTTGTTTTGACAACATCAAAACAACAAAAATATTTTAATTATAATTGAAAATCTTGTGAATTTAATTTTTTATTAATCTCTTAAATACTAGGATATCATCCATGACCCTGGTAGAGGTGCACCACTTGCAGTAGTTCACTTCCGTGATCCTTACAAGTTTAAGACCCGAAAAGAACTATTTATTGCTCCTGAGGGCCTCTACACTGGCCAATTTGTGTACTGTGGCAAGAAAGCTACACTTGAAGTTGGTAAGTTTTTTTTAATTTAGAAGTTTATATATGCTAGTGGTAGGATTATTTAATACTAGCTGTTACCCATAATCATCATAACCATTTAGGAGATGGTATAAAAGCCATAGCATGTGGTACTTGGTCAAGAGTAGCTAAGCATAGAGAGAGATGGAAACTTGGAAGAGGAGGCATTTGCCAATAAATGTCATAGTACATAATTAGTAAATATTGTTAAATACTGTACTGTCTGAATAAAGACTTATATATTAAAATGTTATGTGACTCTGGGAAGTTTCGGAAATCTCCTAATCCATAGTATATATTTTTTGGGATAAAAGAATAATATGCAGAACCAAATATAGCATAATAAGTACATGAAAGGGATTTAAGTCATTTGGCATGGATAGGCAAAAGACAATTTTATAAAACTTAATATTAATTTTTTGAAATAAATTAACCATTCCTAATCTATCTAATAAAATTAATAATATGTATTTGTACAATAAGTTTTTCATTATTACAGGCAATGTAATGCCTGTGGGGGCTATGCCTGAAGGTACCATTGTTTGCAACTTGGAAGAAAAGATGGGTGACCGAGGTCGGCTTGCTCGTGCATCTGGAAACTTTGCTACAGTGATCGGCCACAACCCTGATGCTAAACGTACCAGAGTTAAGCTCCCATCTGGCGCTAAGAAAGTATTGCCATCCAGCAACAGGGGCATGGTTGGTGAGTAAAACCTAAGAATTATAAAGTAAATTTCTTATGCTTTATGTTTAGTAGTCAAGTACATGTAATAGAAATTCAATGATGACTATCACTTACCTACTCTGAATGTTATGATTACACCGAGGCTCTTTCTGATGATTGTACTGAGGTTGTAGAATATTAATGTAGTTCAAAGCAAATATACTAATTTGTTTTGTAATTGTATTTCAGGTATTGTTGCTGGCGGTGGACGTATTGACAAACCTATATTAAAGGCAGGTCGTGCATACCACAAATACAAAGTGAAACGTAACTGCTGGCCATATGTGCGAGGTGTTACCATGAACCCTGTAGAGCATCCTCATGGTGGTGGTAACCATCAACACATTGGTAAGTTTTTTTTTCTGATCAGCAAGATCTGTGTTTTATATATTTTCTGCTTATCTGTAATTTATATAACTAACTAATAGATACAGTTATAAAAAGATATGTACACATCCAAAATACATGTAAGTTACAACCTATATCTTAAGTACAAGCTAGACTAGGTATAAAAATTAGCATTCATAATTTTTTGAAATCTGAAATATTGACAATGAAGCTCAAAAAATATTTACATTCTTCAATGGAATAAAATTCCACAATATGTTAAAAGTCATGTGATTTATATATTCCCCCAAAAGCAAACCTATTATATTATTGTACAATATACCTATTTATTGTACAATCAATTTATTAATGGCAGTAACTGTATACTGGTGATATTACTGGATATGAATATTTAACACAACCACACACGCACAAACATTGAATGGAATATAAATCGTATGCTTATTTTCAGGTAAGGCTTCGACCGTAAAGAGAGGAACATCAGCTGGTCGCAAGGTCGGTCTTATTGCCGCCCGAAGAACCGGAAGAATTCGTGGTGGCAAGACCGATACAAAGAAGGAGGCGTAAATGTATTTTTATGCAAAATAAAAAGTGTAAAATCGCAAGATATTGTTTTTTTAAGTTTTTGTTACCCTTATAAATGAAGGTTTTATGAATGTCATTCTACTAATATTATTTAAAGGCGTTTGTTTTCGATGGATGGATCTTTGTTACTCTTAGACTCAAAAACTTCTTAATGTTTTATGAAACTTAGAAAATATAGTTTATAGATAGTATAACACATAAGCTATAATTTAAAAAGATATTGTGTCAGCTGCTCTGTAAATTTCCACGGGTATGAAGAGCTATCTGCAGTCGCCACCATATCGTTCGGTGAAGCTGTAAGTCCAGCTGCGGCTAACAGGATTAGAAAAGTTAGAAAAAACATGTAAATTCAATGAAATATAAAATATATGTAGCAACTTAAGATTCTTCAATTTGAGAGCTATTTTAGCTTTCGCTTCGCAATCCTTCAAAATCGTACACTAAGGTTTAAAGTAGATAACTGTCTCGGATATGAGAACAAATTTTAAGAGCGCGGCTAAGTGTGTTCATTTTACGATTTGTGAGGTAATCGTAATAAATAGAGTTGTGAGGGCTCAAAAACTCCATTAGCTCTTGCAAGGTTACGTATCAGAAGATCACTTATAATAATACAATAGTAAAGCGTGTCTCGGTCGTATGCTAGTTATTTATAAACATGATTTATTACTTTAATAGCACCATTGTCATAATAGCTTCACAAACAAAAAAAAAACAATTATACAGTGTATAAAGTTAAATATTATTAAATACATGTGAATAAAAATATTTCATGTTATCAAAAAAAGTTAAAAAACAACTAAATATTTTTATTTAGTAAATATAAAATTGTTAAAGTATTAATCAATATTTTAAAAAAAATCCTCAGGATTTCCATGTGAGAATTATAGTGTACCTTGCGATTGCTAACAATGTGTGTTAGCAATGACGCTACTAAAAAATACTGAACTGATTCATAGTACTATCATTGAAGACAAAAGTGTGAAATATTACTAAATAATTAATAAAATAATAATTCCCTAGCAACCTGGATGATGAATTTATTTATACATTTTATTACTGGTTAGATAAAAACGGCATAGTGGCTTAAAATGGTGGTGGAATAGGTGGAAAAAAATATATATGCATGTATTATTTAATTATCAAATCGATACTAACATCAGAAATATCTTGATGGAATTTAATTGGAATATAGCTATCACTAATTACCTATGCCTTTGTTTAGATAAAAGATAGCCAATGTCCAGGCTATCTTTTATTTAAAAAAAAACATCAAGTCACAAGTAGCCAATCTATACATCTATACATATAAAAGTGTAGTGTCTGTTTGTAATATTAAAACAACCGTTTTTTACTACATGGATATGAATATAAATACGGTACATACACCAAAAAAACATTTACAATATTTGTCTGCCTATTTGTTCCGGCTAATCTCTGAAATGGCTGGACCGATTTTGACGGGACTGTAACTGGCAGGTAGCTGATGTAATAAGGAGTAACTATGGCTACATTTACTTTTGAAAAATTGTCTAATTAACTTTTTTGTTAAATTCCACGCGGGCGAAGTCGCGGGTACAGCTAGTATACAATATTTCTGCCAAGCTTGATGCGCAGCAAATGGGATGCCTCGACGCAATAAGATGTTTATCCAAACATTACTGTTCCCCTCACCCCACACTCTTTCGCTACAGAATATAGCCTAATACCCGTGTCCATGGGGTATCTATTATTTTAATATCACAAGTAAGAGAATGTCTATAATAATATACATAATTATATCAGCTGTTTAGGCCTGGCGTGAACCAGGTAAACCTGTCTGTTTTTACCTACAAACTGACACTTTTGCATTATACCCACATTACATTACCTGCTCAAAAAAGTCATACCAATATATGACTCGAAAACTCGAAGAAAATATATCGGACTATGTCTGAAAAAATATACATCAATGTATGTTCGTCAATGTGGGTATGATACTGACAATTCTAGCAATGGACAAATGACCAGCAGAATGAATCTAGTCGTTATTTCTAGTCGTTTAGGTCCATTGTTACCGGCTTATTACTTTACGCTGTATAACCTAAACAGTGTGTGATTCATTCTAGGCTACAGTCGACATTAAATACACAGACAGCTAAAGGAATAGCTAGAAAAGCTACTCTAAATAAACTGTCGGAGCGACTCTTCGCGTTTCCTGAAGTCCCCCCCATCCTCAGAACCGACGCGGCGACGTCATAACGTAATCAGAAGTTCGCGACCCGGCCCCTACATTGACGCTCCGTACGTTTTACTGTCTGTGTGTGCCCAATCCAATCAGTTTGTCGGCGACTGGCGCCCGCGGTGTTAGTCGTTATTTGGGTTGCCTTATTATATATTAAAATTGTGATACTGTTATTTTATTTCTCAGTTCCTCACATTTTTTATTAAATAACTTCAGTGTTTTATAATACGTGAAATTTATATACATTTTAAAATCTTTCCTTAATTATTACTTCAGTACTTACAGTGAATGTTTATACTTTAATAGCCACCGAGCTACACTGTGATATTCTGGGGAATGTAAAATCATGCGGTGCTATTTTTTTTATTATGCAATCAAACAATTCTCTGAATGAGACACGTTATAAATAATGATAATTAAGTTGACAATAGAATATTTGTACATAAAAGAGATTACGAATATTTACGTGATGAGATAAAAGTGCTTTTGTATACTGACCTCCTTAAATCGTTTAAATAAGTATTGAACTATAATACTAGTAAGACTAATTTAAATAACGAAAAATGGATTCTAAGGTGATTCTGAAGGAAAAAAATCCTCACGACAATGCTAACATCATTTCCAAAGTCTTTTTAATGTAAGTATACTATCCAAGGACTACAATCTGACGAGGTATTCGAATCTGACAAACTTTACTAAATTTAATGTCATGTCATTTGTATCAACAATATCAAGCAGTATTTGTAGCGTACCCTGTAAAATTACAGTTTCCAGGAATATCCTATGTATTGACGTTCAAATGGTATCACAGTATGAAGTAATACATAGGATCGGATTTTTATAAGGCATTTTAATAAAGTTTTTAGCAATAGATAGAGTTATTCAAGAGAAAGATTTATATGTATAATATACATTTATACCCGTGCGAAGCCCGGGCGTGTAGCTAGTTGAATATAAAGTGGAACAGTGAATAAAAATGTATAGTGATAATAGATAAGTATTTCTATAGGAGTAATATAGGGTAATACCTTTCTACGCAGTAAGCCAGTGCTTCGGAGAGCTGGTCAAATTCTCAGACGCTTTATGTTTCGCCAAATACTCCCATAATTCTGTATGTGTTCGAAAAAACATCAAAAGAAAATATATAAGTAAGGATAGTGAGGCCACGCCACAAAGCGCGTACTTCTACTAAATTAGGTATATTTTATACTTAAACACCGACTACGGCCAAGTCAAAGCTATGCTTGCTTATAGGTATCCAAAACAAATACCACCATACAAGTATTCGTCATTAAGACCCAAAACTTGGAAGTAGGAACCTACGCAGGTAACGTGGAACGGTCTTAAATACCTATTTCTCGGCTGAATGTTATAGTTCAGATACAGTTCGTCTTCTGTATGACCGGAAAGCGTGTCCACCTGTATATGAAGATTGTGACGTATAAAACCCTCTTTAATACAGTCAAAATGAGGGAGGTACAGCAAGTTCATTGATTGTCTTTAAGAGAGATAGTCTACTGAGTTGTACAGTTGGAAATACATATCGACATTGACACATCTTTGCTTAAAAACTACCTTGACGTTGGAAACCGAAAGTCTGACAAGTGTATTTACCAACAATAACTTTAGAACATGTTTACTCAGAAAACTAATACGAGAATCAGATACTGAAATGAAATCTGTGGAAGTTAAAGCTTTATATAGCAGTCTAAAGCAAAGATACTTAAATTTCAGCAGGCGATAACTCAAATAATGACTTTCGATAATAGCTTTAATTAATCTGTAGTGGCGAATTCGTTAGGGAAAAACCATTATACCATTTGCAGGCTACCGTAATGTTTACCATAAAATGCTTATATGTAAGTACTATGCTCACCACTGAACTGACGGCAGTAATTATTTACGTATGTTGTGACGAGCATGAGGTTGACAAATTAATTATGACTTGTAGCTGATGGTTAAAAATTGTGTTAGAAAACAGACATTGAAGAATACTAAATTGAAATAATAGTATTTTTTAACCTACAACCCTATGCTATAGAAACTTTCTGCACTTCTGCAGTAACCATGTTTTACTAAGTTCTGTCCATCTATATAAATAAATAAAATTGAAGTGTCTATTTGTAATTTAAAATTAACAGCTTTTCTCTAAATGCATATGAAAGTATGTATACAGTACTTCCATCAAAAGTTTAATTTATAAAATTTCTGTTTGTTCTTGCTAATCTCTGACACGCCTGGACCGATTCTGACACGACATTCAGTCGCTAAGATAAGCTTACTTTAGGAGTAACCTAAGCTACTTTTATTGTATAAAATTTATCTATTTTAATATAGGTAGGTTAAATTCCACGCGGTCGTGGGTAATATTATAGGTAGTCTACAATAAATTCGATAGTTTGGTAGTATCAGGTGGTCGTTATTATGAATAATAAAGGAACAATTTTTTGTACACATTTCTCACGTCTAACACAAATATTTTTAGTTGTTTAGTTTAGTTAATCGTAAATGAAAACAAATTACTCTGTCTTCATTGCAACCGATCCTTTGATGAGCTTAAAGTGCATTTCGTTCAATTGTCATTGATTGTGATCAGTTGTGTCGCAACAATTGTCAATGATATATTAAACAATACTTATCATTATTTACATTATATTAGGCATTGGCAGATGTGGTAGATAATATCTTGGAGGCTCGTGATTGTGGCAGAGGTACTGTGCTGGTGTTACTGGATTTTTCTCGGGCATTCGACTCGCTGCATATTTCTTTTTTGCTGTCTAAACTGGCATATTATGGTTTTGACGCAAACACTATATAATCGTTTGACAGTTATCTTTCTGGGAGGAGCCAATTTGTGCAAATAAAAAGACGACCCATCCTGGTCTTTCGCAACTTCATCGTTGCAACCAGTACTGAGAGGAGTTGCTCAGGGATCAGTCCTGGGGCCATTATTGTTCATTCTTTCCAGTATCAACTGTATCAATAACTGTAATTACCACGTGTTTGCAGACGATTTGCAATTGTATATGTCCTTTATACCTAACGATATAGTTGTAGCAGTAAACAAAATTAATGAGGATCTCGACGCGGTAGCTGTGTGGTCTGCAAGGAACACTGTCATGCTTAACCCCATAAAATCGAAATATATGATCTTGGGCAGCCGTAATCAGATAGAACAGATAACATTAAAAAATCCTGTAATCAAAATAATGGGATCAGATGTGCAGCGAACCGATAGAGCACGTAACCTAGGGATAATAATGGACCCTGAACTTAAATTTGATGGGCACATAAACGATTTGGCTAGACAATGTTACTACAGACTGTAAATACTTTACAGAATGCGACAGTATCTCTCTCTGTGGACGTACGTAAAAGACTAGTGGAGTCCTTGGTGATGTCAAACTTCAACTATGCAGATATTGTTTATGGTCCTTGCTTATTAACTACCGGAAAGTAATATAACGCGTGCAAAATGTATGTGCACGGGTTTTAACATACCGAGAAGAAGTCGGGTAACACCATTCCTTAACAATAATGGTGTAATTAAGATGAACGCTAGAAGAAAATTGCACTTAGCTGCATTACTGTTTGATATCATTACTCGAGGACAACCAGAATATCTTTATAAAAAGCTCATCTTGAAGCAGGACCGAAGTAAATATCCAGTACGAATTACAGTTGGTCCCCTGTGTAACCCAAGCTACAGCTCTGCAGCGTTACGAGGATCATTCAGATACGCCAGCACATATTACTGGAATAGCCTGCCCCCTCCCATTCGTAACTCACAAACAATATACACGTTTAAAAAGCAAATGAAAAAGTATTTATTAGAGAAACAAATAAGTGATAACTTGTAGTGCATGTAAGATATCCGAAATTATAACCTCTATTCTATTAATTTTATTTTTATTCTATTATTATTATACTAGCTGTACCCGCGACTTCGTCTGCGTGGAATTTGACTTTATTTTTCTAAAAGTAAAGTTTCATAACTTACTCATTATTATATCAGTTACCTGCCATTAAAAGTCCCATCAAAATCGGTCCAGCCATATCAGAGATTAGCTAGAACAAACAGACAGACAGACAAAAAAAATTTGTAAAAAGTGATTTTTTGGTGTATGTGCCTTGTTTATATTCATATGCATGTGGTATAAAATGGTTATTTCAATATTACAAACAGACACTCCAATTTTTTTTATATGTATAGATTATACAGCATAATTACATTTTCTCAGCTTTATATATTCATTGTTGTCATTGTCATTTTGTGTATTCGTATCCCTGACTATGCCTAGATGCAATGAAAGACGTTTACTACCTACACTAGGAAATGATTAGTTCGATTGTGTACGCGTTGCGGGTAATATGCAAATATGCGAGTTAAATGTAATAAAGTATGTAACTGTCGGCCTTGTGTTTTTGTTGTTCATAATTGTGAATTTGGGAAATGGACTAATACGTATATGAATGTAAGTAGTATGGATAAATTTTATTATAAATTGTCAAATTGTGATTTTATATTCATATTTTTGTTCAGATTGTCGCTTATAAGTCGATCCATAACTATTATTATTTTCTATAATTTTGTTTATTATCTATTTTATTTACCCTAAGAGCTCCTCTGAAAATCAGTGCTGTAGCTTCGGCTGCAGCAATATGCTGAGCGGAGTCCTGTTTAGCAAATAGTAGTGTATCGGTTTTAATTATTGTTTTACTGCATAGGCGTAACGGTGTGTTCATTCATGTATATATACTACATAATTAATTTAATGTAGGTATGCTAATTTTGACTTTTTTTTGCTAAAAAAAGTGTATATTATTATTATTATCTATTAGATATTTACGCTAATTATTTTGACTAACCAATATTTTTAATCTATTTAAAATTATATTTGTACTGTAACTGTAAGAGAGAATTTTGATGAATATGGATTACTTACATTGAAATGCGTATAAAGTAGAGTTTAATTATATTGTTTCATTAATGAATGTCCAACAAAAATAGATGTAATATTTCAACGGGCTCCAAAGAATGTTAGTTTAATATTAAACGAGGTCGCAGATAGTAAATGATATTATGAACTAGGTACTATTGTTGCCTTTATTTAATGTAGATAATAATATGGTGCACCCGCCTACTGTATCTATATGTTGGCGATGTATGAATTTGATAGTATGAATCCACCTCACTCTTAAGGCTGCATGTCCCGGAGTCCTCCATACAAAACGTGTAGAATAAGCCGAGTAGAGAGGAATGCAAATATTTACGACAAAATTATGATTGAATGTACGAGAGCTATCGCGCTTGGATGAGAGTAGACGTAAGGTATCTGAATAGAGATTACTTATATTATAAATTGAACGCATAATGAATAATACCTATATCGTAATTCAATCAAAACAATTATTAACAAAATACCAAATAAAAATAATGGTCGATTTTATCTCAAAATTTACGTATACATACAAATCTACGGCACTATCAATAGCGATTGTAAATTACTTAAACAATTTTTATTGATAATAAATGCTTAATGTACATACTTTAATTCTGACCTTTCTGTTAAAATGCATCCATATTTGTTTGTTTATAAACTTTTATAAAATTTCCAGGATCTCTTTCCTGGAAAACTTGTGTTACCAACAATGAGATCACGTTTGTATCACAGTAAAAGTTATACATGATGCATAAATATCTATAATAAATTACCTAATACAGTTACAAATCTCTGATTAGAATGCTTCAAAAACAAACTAATGAAGTTGGTTATTGAAATATTATTTTATATGCACAATGGATGACATTATATAAATTGTTATTAATATTATAATAATCTTCATTATATAAGCTGACATTAACTAATATAGATAATAAAAAGATAAATTTTTTTTGCATATTGAATAGACTGAATTACTATCAAGTACTTCCTGTCACTTATTCGGTGCGGAAACACGTACGTGCTTACAACTTCAACCACAGATGGCAAAATATTACATACTTCAATGAAGTTAACTGATGCACAACCACTTAGATGTAGCATATCCGTACATGCGAGTGGCCCTTACATATAAATACTTATGTACAAACTAGTCAGCATGTAGTTTAGATATATAAGTACTGTACAAATGGTCACTCTCTAAGAAACCTCCTCTCCTAGTCTTCCTTATAATTATCCCATCTCACCTTTGTTCCCATATTAATAATAAATATAATAACAATAAAAAAAATATTTCATCTCCACAAATTACATCATTCCAGTTTTATTATATAAATGCTAACAATAAAAATCTAAGATAAGAAAGAAAGACTAAGAAAAGGATTATATTTCATTTGAAAAAAACTTAAAAAATAATAGTAGGAGAAGTTTGTATGTTGTTCAGATGGCAGGCAGTGCCTATAATTAGTGACCGAGCAACTAATTAGTTTTTAAAGAAACTTTTTAATTGAATATGCCAAATGTTGACCCAGTTTCGTTGAGAAAATAGTTACAGAAAAGTTAAATACTTTTGAACTGTTTTTACATTGAATTGTTTTTACATCTGGAAGTTAATTCTCTCTAAAACAACAATTAGGTACCCTAAAATAATAATTAATTTGATCTTAAATTTACCGACTGATTAATTATTAAGTTGCTCCTATGTTATAATTGGTTTTATTTAGTTTAAACTACTTTTGTCGTAATTGAGAATGGAATGCACGGGGTAAATAAGGATAATGTGTTAGAGTAAATAAAGTGGTACGATTACCGAGCGAATGAAATTTTTAATGACGCAAACACATCCATCCCAGAGCTAAAGACTATAACTCTTTTAAATTTTCATGTAGAATGATTCTGTATTATATTTCTGAAGATGTATTTATTGTTTTAGATGGAGTTTTAATTTATTTGGAAGAGGATATAAACATGGTCTTAATGTGGGCGACTTGTGGAAAGCACGAGATAGCGATCTCTCTGGGCGAGTGTCCGATCGCCTGGACGAGGCCTGGCAACAAGAACTGAATAAGGCAAAAAATGATAAAGAATACCGGCCGTCTCTATCTAGAGCTATCATACGGATATTTTGGCTAGAGTATATGGTTTGCGGAATTTTTACAGGGATCCTCTTTATTGTATTCTGGTTAGAAATTACCCATCAGTTTATTTGATTATTATATTCTTAGTTTATGTTTAAATATTTAACACAGATCTGTTTTTTTCTCAGGCCGCTTATTCCTTATACATTGGGTTTATTTATTGATTATTTTTCTAAACCAAGAACGGAAGAAAATTATAGAAATGCACACATTTATAATTTCCTAATGAATCTCTTGAGTGTGTTGACATCCCTGTTGTTTAATCACCTACAGCTCGCTCAGGGCTGCATAGGAATGAGAGTTAGGATAGCTAGTTGTTCACTGTTATACAGAAAGGTTAGTCATTACAATGATTTTAATGATTAAGTGAATATTTTATTAACACTTTTTTAAACTTTTTTCACGGTTTCACATTTGCACACACTATATAAACGAGATATTGAACATGATAATATTTTATTATAATTATATTGAATAAAAAAATCTACTAAAAAAACAGCAAAACGATCATTAAGATTGTTATGCTGTTTTTTTAGCTGCTGGATAATGGTAATATTAGGTTTGACGCCATAAACAGATGAAGTGGCTGCAAAAAATTAAGAGGATTTCATTTGGTGACATTTACCTACAATTCTACATACCTATATAGCTTTGTAGTTTCGTAGTACAAAGGTATCACCAAAATATCTACTTATACTCACAAAAAATCTTTACCGTAACAAATTTTTGATTATCCTGGCGTATTTTATTTTGTAATCATGTATTTGTTTAGTTTATGTATTTGTAATATACCTAATATTAATATAGAAATATTGAAATGTATCATATTTATTTAGACAAGTGCATGTTGTGTATTTGCTTTTGAATAACTAAAACATTTCTAAGGAATATTCATTCTTATAAATTCGTTCGTATCTACTGAAAGAGATATACCCTCACCTGTTATTCGTTAATATGTAGGCACAGAAACCAAATCCTGAGTCAAAGGTATTAAAATACAGAACAAAGAAGTAATAATAATTTATAGTAGGTAGAGTATTAGAGCAGTTTTGGGATTAATTCGTTTCAGCGAGCATACTACGACAAATAGATACTAATTTCACTAGGAATCGATTAAATGCGCTCCATTCCACTGCTGCGATACTGTAATTTCTGAATTTAGTGCAGTGGTTACAAAGCTTTTTAAGGCAGTCTTCCCTCGTAACAAAATAATCTTTCCATTGCATACATTATAAAGTTATTAGTAACTTTAATTTTTACAAAATTAAATACATTTCATATATTTTTTAGATATTAAAGCTTAATCGAACTGGAATGAGTAAAACGGAGCCAGGTCACGTTATAAATTTAATGTCCAACGACGTGAATCGGTTTGATATGGTGTCAATGTTTTTGAATTACCTTTGGGTAATGCCTATAGTGGCTCCCGTCGTCGCGTACCTGGTTTGGCAGCACGTGGCGTGGGCCACACTGGCAGCTCTTGCTGTTATATTACTACAAACAGTACTCGTCCAAGGTATGTCACATTCTCCTTATTATAAAGTCAATATTTAAACTTATTCGACTGTAAATAGTTCTTGAATCTGAGGTCTGTGAATTGTTCAATCACGGATTTTGTGAATTTATTTGTGAACTCTATCGAATACTTAGTCGGGGTAGACATTAATTATTTATTCAGGCGCCAAGCAGCTTGCTTTGTAAATTATATTTTAGTTGTAGTGTAAGATTAGTCAATGAAATTACAGGATAAGAGGCATGATATCTTAGTAACACAAGTGTGGTATCATCATGTAATGTCCGTGCTGCCCTTCAGATATATAGGCGACGATTATCACTTACCATCAGGTTAGCCGGCAGCTTGTTGCCATAATAATTACATAAAAATCCTTTAGGAATTGGATGTAATATGTATATACTTGTACTATATCTAAAATGATGATTTATATTCGTATTGTATTTGATCATTAATATTAGATAGTTCACTGTCAGTCAGTCAACTGACAAACAGAATTAGTGCTTAAACCTTGGATAATTATTCAATCGGATTGTAACATATAGATAATTATGTAAAAAAGTACCGCATATTACTATTATTACCTAATCTTTGTCTAACCTGTGTATCTTCTGACTTATTAATGTTTGTAGCTTACTTGAGTAATCTTCAAGGAGTTCTACGTGGTAAAATTGCGAAACGTACAGATGAAAGAGTAAAAGTGATGAGTGAGTTAGTAAACGGCGTCCAGGTAATCAAAATGTACGCTTGGGAAATACCTTTCCAGAAGCTAGTCGACAAATTACGCAAGTACGTACCTATCCAACTCATAATTATTGTCTAATACCTACCATATTATATAAGCATAATATGACTAAGAATTATTAAACTTTTGTATTTACTAATTTAGTGGAAGCAATTTGTGATTATAGTTCCTTTTGTAACTTACTAAACACACGTGTAAATATGATCTCATTATTTTACAATGTAATTTATATTCCTAATATTCACGATATGAATGCAGTGGAATTATAGGATAATGGACCTGGTATTTTCAGTCCTCCTAAAAAAGCAACGCATGAGTGGTCCATGTAACAGGTGTGACGTCAGTTTTTTGCTCTTTCTAATTATATAAAAGAAATCGTTGAAGTCTGTGGTTAAAATAACAATTTCCACATTGTGGATAATAAGATCCACGTCCTTGCAGGTTAATTAGTGATATTAATCCTCTTTATTGATTGTTCAGACTCGAAGTAAATTTCATCATGCGCACATCGATGATCAAGGGATTCTCAACAGCTCTGACAGTGTTCACGGAGAGGTTTATTCTGTATGCGACTCTGGTGACCTTCGTGCTCATTGGAGGACATATACATTCTGGCATCACCTTCTCTCTAGTGCAGTACTTCAACCTTTTGCAACTCGCATGTAACATATGCTTCCCATTGGCCTTGGCCTTCCTTGCAGAAACTAAAGTTTCCATCCGACGCATAGAGGTAGGTATTTAAATTAATGAATTCTTTTTATATTTTATTTTGCACTGAGATTTTATCAGTCTATAGGTATTAGGTTGTGTGTATATATACTTATACATACTAGGAAAATGACATTGACGATGGATGACTGACGAAATTTTATGTTTACACTAATCAATTACAAGTTTTTCGTTAAAATGCAAGTCACAGCACATCATCACATCTTATTTCTTAAAATAGTTACTTGTGTTAATTTACTTTATTTACTAAATTTCAATATCAGTGACGACTGCGTAGGGTTTTTTAATGGATAATAAAAGAATAAGTACTAACGGTATACGCTTGTATACCAGTGGGCACCAGTGAAGGATGATAGGATGAGCATGAAGTTAGTTGGTTCAGTCAGTTGGTTCAATTTACTAGGAATTAATCATGATGGTTTCCAAGGCGGACAACCTGAACGTCAATCTAACAAGGTATACTGTTCATAATTGTCCCACTATACATTATTATTAACAATCACCTCCTTTCGACTGACTAGGATTCGCCAAACCTTACTCAGTTGGGGGAGGAGATTGTTAATAATAAATAATGGAAATTGAGTGGCACTATTACCAACTGAGTTAGTAAGACCAATAATACAAATAATAATAATGCGAGTATCTCTACTTACAGTTGTTTTAAAATCAGGAAAGACAAAAATAGACGGCCTTGGCCCGTAGACTTTTATACGTAAGAGCACACTTATAAACAAATACACTTCCATATCTATTAAATACTTTCTAATGATTTACCAGATATATATGTATTTATACTAAAGTTTGATTTACCTAATATTGTATTTTGCCAGGAATTCTTAGCCTTAGATGAAATGGTGACACCAAAAGCAATTGAACCTAAACTGGAACTGAAGAATTTAGAAACTTCTAGCAATGGTACAGGAAAAGATACAAAGTTAGAGAAAGATATACAGAAACGGAGAGCTAGTCTTTCTGGGCTGGTACTGTCGGGAGTCACGGCTAGTTGGCAAGATGACTCCATTGTAAGCACGCTGAGGAATATAACATTGTCAGCAGCACCTGGTGAATTCATCGGCGTCGCAGGACTTGTAGGATCCGGAAAGGTGACTACATATAATACTAGCTGTGTCCGTGGTTCCTGCAACTTAAAATTTTAGCCTATGTGGTATCCTGACGCTATAAGCTATATTTCTGTAAAGTTTTTTCGTGAAAGAGTAACAATCATCCATCCATCAATCCATCGATGCTCACAACCTTTAGCGTTTATAATATTAGTAAGATAATCAAAATCATCATTCTATTCCCATAATCATGTGGGGTGTGCGTAATATATATTCATCCATATTAAAATTCTATGATCGGTCTCTTGCCTGATGGCAACCTTTGGAAATGCTATGCGTAATAAATAATAAGGTTTAAATGATGTGATGGGAAGTAGCTTGCTTGGATGTTATGAAAGTGGAAGGATTTTTAAAGAATGACGGAAAACTAAAATAATAATAATAATATATTTATTGACACCAATTTACGTAGTTATTCTTCTTAAAAACTATTACATTTTTGTTAAAAACGCATCAGACAAAAAAATTACTTAATTGTACATACTAATCTTATACCAATATCCCGTCATATTGTTATAAGAGGTAGAAGGCAGGAAAGGAAGTTTCATCTTATAGGAACGGAGAAATAACTAAAATAAGACACTTTTGACTTTAAGTTTCTTTAGTAATAATAAAAATAATATTAAATTGATGATTATTGAAATAATCGATAGGTGGATTTAGTTAGATACGCTATATACTACATATGCAGTTTGGTCTGAAAATAGACGTAACTGCTTCGTAATTACTCACTGTACTACATAAACCTGTAAACACCACACCCGTGTTCTCAGGTTACAGTGTCAGTACTTAAGTAATAGCCATTAAATCGGTAAGTAATAAGTAGAGCTGTCCAAGGTCTAATTCTACTGAAAGACTTTCTGCAAAATTAAAAGAGGGCGAGAGTACTTTTATATGTAATTGTTTAGGAATATTGCATTGTGTAGCGGCATGACCAGACGTTGAGTTTTTTATTCAAATAAATACAATTTCTGAGATAAAAGTATTCTAAGTTACTCCTTAGAACATCACCTATCTACGCGTGAAAGCTCCGCCAAATCTGTTCAGGGGTTTTAGAGATTAGCAAGTATAAAGAAACAATGTTTTTATACATTTAGTGAAACGTTGTTAAATAGAAATTAGAAACAGACAGTATGATTGTTTGTATCGGACTGGGTGTTGTCTATATATTATCTGTATATTATGTAAGTATTTCAAAATATCTAAGTACTCGTACTTATATTAGTTATTTAGTACCCATAACATTAGCTCTGCTTACCTTGAGACAAGGTAACGGTGTGTGAATTGTCCAGAGGTTTTATTACTATGTGTATACTGTAATTGTCGTTAAAAATTGTCGGATAAACGTTGGGAGTTATCGTTAATGAAGGCATATAGACTTGCATAAGTGGATATCGTATTTACCAATTCAAGGCTTCGATCAATAAGTTCAAGGCTAAGTTATAAAGTAATATGGTTCCGAGCGCGAACTCAGTTTCCGTTTTACAATATGTGAAACAATGTTTTATATACACACTAGCTACTCGCCCCGGCTTCGCCCTGGTGTACATGTATTAGACATATAAACCTTTCTCTTGAATTACTCTATCTATTAAAATAAAACCGCTTAAAAATCCGTTGCGTATTTTAATGATTTAAGCATACATAGGGACAGACAGCGACAGCAACTCTATTTTATACTATGTAATTATGATGATGATATGTACATATATATATTATTTTTATACAGTTTTAAGGAGAGCAATTTGGGGCATAAGTAGTAGCACAACGCGTAATTAATAGATAAGATAAATAAGACATTTGTGGGAAGATGATCTACGATGAGTAAGGAACTCTTACCTATTTCTGCCCGTCAATCAGCTTGCTGAGTAAGCTGTGTTTTGGTTAAGAGCGAAATATAGCTGTAAAATTACGAGGTACAAGACATGGCATATTAATCCTCCAGAATGATAAAGTATTATAATGGTATAGACACCTCATACGTTATCATGGGTGTCACGTGATGACGTGTGTTCATGTATTGAATGACGAGGAATTCCATCATATGGACCATCGAATGAATCGAATTGAAAAGAGTTTCATACAGTCTAATTACCTTTTTGTTTTTTTTAATATAAATTCGTATCATATTATAGTAATTTAGTAAAATCTAGTCGGTAACATTTAAATAATTATCATATTTTGTTACAATTTTCTATACCCTGACAATGAGATGACCGGTCGTTCACTTTAGTTATTGGTGACTGTCAATAAGAGTGATGTCATTCTTAAGTTATCGACTGAGATAAAATAGTACTTACATATTTAAATTATTGACCGTGAAATAACATTACATATACATTATTACTCTATGTAGAACGAAGAAATATATACCATTTATATAAATAGTTACACATATATATGTATACATATAAATATTAATATTATCCTGGAAACGGCTATTATCATTTGCATAATTTGTAGGTATTTTGCTATTGTTCATCTGTTCGTGTATGCGAATAAGTATTATTTATATAAGTAAAATATACTCAGTTACCCAGATGCTCAATACATCACATGTAACTGGCTGTTGTTAATTGCAATGTCTATTTATATCTCCCAATTTATTTAGTTCGTAAACTATTACGAGATAGCTACGAGCATTTTTAGTTGTTACTATGTCCATCTTTTTTTTAAACAAAATATGTATTAGGTATATATATTTATATTTGGGAGAACATATTTTTAGCGGGATACCTATCAAAATATGGTCGTTACTATTTTTAATGATATGTATATTATTAAGTGATAATAATAATTATATGTAATAAAATATAATCTGCGTTACTGCAATAGATATACATAGGTATATGATGAATTTATTAAGAAAGAGATGAAAGTAGTAGCTCTAGCCGTCTGATCGCATAATCATACTCCTTATGTGACGTATGATATGTACATAATTTCTGTTTCTTCATATTAAAGCATGTGTTTTTTCAGTCGTCACTGCTACAATTAATCCTGGGTGAGTTGATGCCCTCAAAGGGTTCTCTGTCGCTTGGTGGGGCGCGGATCTCATATGCAAGCCAGGAGCCGTGGCTCTTTGTTGACACTGTGCGTCAGAACATTCTTTTCGGTCTACCATACGATTCAGCAAGATACAAAAAGGTAAGATCCAACGGCCATCTTGTTATGAATAGAATAGAAATAATATTTATTTAAATTTAAGCACTTTGGTATAGTGAAGTTAAATCTACCACTCATTTGGACGGTACCCTAAGGTAGAATTAAAAAAATCTGCGTATGTATTTCTTGGCTACGCCTGAGCGGTAATGCGGGCGCAACATGATAACGTGATGTTCGCAGTGCTGTTCATGTCTACTTACTATTAAGTAGACTGTCAGCATGTTTGCTATTCCAATTTCATAAAAAATCGGAGTCAGCCACGAAGAAAGTGTTATATATGACTACCAACCCGCCCCGGCTTCGCATGGGTGTACATGTATTATACATGTAAACCTTCCTCTTGAATCATTTAATATATTGCTAAAACTGCATTAAAATCCGTTGCGTAGTTTAAAAGATCTAAGCGAACAGACAGCAGAAGCAACTTCATTTATACTATGTAAATATTGAGACATACTGATACATATGTATATGTAACCTACATTTTACTGCAGAAAAATAACGTAGTAACTTTCAAATCAGTTGCAATGTGATATTAGGTTTGATTTGTCTTAAGTCGATTGTTTTCTTTCTGTATGAGTCAGGTGGTGACAGCGTGTGCTCTGCTGCGAGACTTCGAGCAGTTGCCGTCCGGTGACGGGACTCTGGTGGGGGAGCGCGGCGCCAGTCTCAGCGGTGGACAGCGAGCGCGCATCGGACTCGCTAGAGCCTGCTACAGACAGGTATTCTTTTATAGATCATAATGGAATGATGCACCCTTCTGTGCTAACACCGATGGGCTACCATAGGCGGATGATAAAATGAGCATGAAGCAGGTCAGGTCCCAACTTGCCTAATCCCAATTTACTACGATGGGTTCCAGGGGGAACAGCGTGGATGGCAACCTGACATGAAACATTGCTAGCAAAGAGGTTATTGTTCCACATTACCAGGAATCCCCCACAGACAGGTATTATTAAAACTGGATATGTAGGTACATGTGTACATATATTACAAACAATACCGTAATGTCATCAGGATTCATCTCCAATGAATTGTAATGCAAATACGTGTAGTAGTCGGACCAGCCGGTCTACTCTGGAAACTATTCGTTTCCAATGACATTCGATGACGCTGTTTCTCAGTTTCAATTATAGCAGCATAAATTCCATGTTTCATGTTCAATTAAAGCTGGCATTCTTATCCTTTTATTTGGTTTAGTCTGGGATTATATTTCAAAAGCACAAAAATGAAATCTGTATTGAGATTACACCCCAGGTAGATTTGCTAATAATGGGACCAATAGTTTCCGCTATTAACAATCAAGCGAGATGCCGGGAATGAGTGACTTGAGTGACTAATGCATTATCTTAAGTTATAACATATCGCTTGGTATTCGTGTGGCAGTTTTTCTATTAACAAAAGATACCTCAGTTAATTGTTCGTTTCTTCTTAAGGCATTTTTTAGAATTGTGCAAAATACTGCAATTTAACATATCAATATGTGTTTATTATGCTATAATGGAATGTAATGTATTATACATTTTCTTAATTGTTATATTTTTTCAAAATGTCTAAGCAATACGAAATGATGGTGAATGTATAACCATGATAAAATGAGTTTAGCCATATACTAACTAGTTTTTATAATTCTTTTTTGTTTACTTTATTTATTTTGACCTAGAATGGTAACTAAATAATTAGGTATGCCATATTTGTAACATTTACCAAAGACGATGACAATAATACGATATAAACTTTATACTACTGGATAGTGAGAATAGTTTTGTCATTTACGTACGTAATACGAGAACATGCGATTACGTTATGTAATCATGTAATCTTAGGTAGAATACAATTGAGTATCTCCTATTATATAAAGTACCGATATTTGTGTGAAACATGAATCAGCACTTTGAAAAAATATCAATGTCTCATACTTTACGCACTTTGATTTCCAGTTTACTATAATTTTTATCTAATCACGCGACGCATTTTATATGATGTGTAGACAGATATAAGAATAGGTTCCCAGAGTTTTTAACTGACATCAAAAAGATGGAGTGTCGCGATGTTTTCGAATGCAGTCTTATAAATATATTATATTATATGCATATTACTTAATATTTTCATAACTTATGTATAAGTTACCATACGAGCAATCACTCACTGTATTGAATGGTGTTTGCTCGCGTAGTGTGGTGTCGGTTGAAAAACATAGATAGTGTTTAGTGTTTGTTTTATATTAATAAGCTGATTTGTCAAGTCGATATTTTTATCAAACATGTAGGTTTTATATTTTATTAAAATTAAACTATAGGAAGTAAGTAATTTGCTGCATTTGGAATTTAGAAATTTATGACTTAATCTGCGTTTATCATTAACGCAGACGGAATTACCAAAATTTATGAATTCAATATTTTCTTAGTATTCGATGGTGTAAAGAAAAATATTTATCCAATTCGAATATGAAACAATCATATACCCTTTTTGAATTAGATAGGTAGGTGCAATTTGTATTATGAATCTCATTGTGAAATATCGCGGTCATAGCCTGAGATAATGTAAAAAATGTATGTCACTGTATACATTAAAATATAAGTAGCAATTTAAGTATTTGAACTCACTAAGCAGTCAGATTATTTTACAGAACATTATTACGTTTCTATTTACATTTATTATATTGTCTATTTATTTTATATAAATTATCTTAAATTTACCTACAATAGAAGATATTGTGCAATATTTTTATCATGTCTTCTATTTACAACATATGATAAAAAATACTGCTCAAATATATATTGTTTAGTTAAGATGTTGACAATAAACACTAATTAAAATACATAGGTACACACAGACTTAAACAATTATTTAATGTAATAATTAACATCAAAATTATAACCATAAAATTAATTACAATCAATAAAATTGGAGTCCCAAACGATCTCGATGGGTAGCTGACACAAAAAGGCTCCTATTCTTTCTATATGGAAAATCTAATCTACTCTAAGGCGTTATACCAATATAAGCCATATTATTTGTAGAACGAGAGGTGGTTAGGGTAGATCAGAAACTCGTTTAAAGCACCCCTAATTTCTCGGCCCCCACTGGGCATTCAAACAAGAATGAGCCATCTGGTGGTTTATCAGTACGTTATACCTACCAGTTAGGTATATATAAGTAATGTGTGGTTGAATAATCTAAGTAGGTACTTATTTCGTAGCAAATAATAGTCAATCAATCTTGTTTTGGTAATATTTAATTTCTTTTTAGTTCTTCTTGTGATGAGACAGCTTTTCGAACGAGCGGTAGATTAAAAAAAATGTGATGACTATTCATGTTTCATGTCCTGATGAAGCACTTTTGCTTCAATGTTAGTTTATTTCAATAAATTATTTTCTATTCTATTATAATGATTACTTTTCATTATAAAGGATATTATAAAGGTAGGCTTTTATAAGAAAAAAATCATTTTAATATATATATATATATTTGTTTTCTGCAATTAGCTATTTATAGTTTAAAACTATCTATAGTTTAGATATTAGCGTATTCAAACTAACAAACTCGTCAGTTTTATATTTTCTAGATCATGATTGTTAAGACATGTTTAGCTCATAAATTTAATATTGTAATTATAAATGAAAATGTATTACGCAGGCGGACATCTATCTGTTGGACGACCCTCTATCGGCTGTAGATACGCATGTGGGGAAACACTTGGTGTCTGAGTGTGTGACAGGCCTTTTGAGGCACTCCACTCGTATTCTCGTCACCCACCAGCTGCACCACCTCAAGACTGCCGACAAAGTAGTCATACTACACAATGTAAGTTGATACCTGAAATTAATAACAGTAAAATTGTCCTACTTAATTAAGAGTTACAATTAAAGTAGTATAGGATAAAAAGCAATAACATTGAAAGTATAAAATTTTTAAAAAACAATTGTAAATCCTTAAACACTGTAAAAGACGAGCAGAGGTAATTCTTATAAATCATAGTTTTTAAGTTTGGAACAAAATATGATCATTTTCCGGAATACGTTTAGTACATGTATAGAGGTTTGAGATAAATTACGTCACACGTTAAGGGGGTGGCGACTAAGGGTGACATTAGATAACAAGTTGTTGGAGTAGTCGGTAGCCCCTTAATGATAAATTTTTTCTTTCTAATTTTTATACGTAGTCGCCTAATATTTAATTATTGTTATAATAGGCGGATATAATCCTATCCGATTTTTTATTGTTGTACAATAAAGAATCGGATGAAGACTTAAATGTCTGACGTTCGAACCATATAGTCTACCCGAATAGCCTCACACCCAGTTACAGTTATGTCTTTACTAAATATGAATAATAATAATATGAATCACTCGATGTCGCCATTTGGGGGTCAGGTAAGATCACAAAACTGTAGGTACCTACTATGGAATAAAAATACTTGAGAATATAATTAGGTGAAACCAAATTAATTAGGTATTTAAAAATATCGTGACTTGTAACAATATAGTAAGATTAATTGTACTTTACCTAATTAAATTATTTATTATTTTTATACGCAGACGGATATTGCTATCAGTATTGTTGAAATTCTCGATATTGCTTTAATATCGCCAGGGTGAAATTGAAACTCAAGGAAGTTTCGAAGAGGTATCACGGTCTCCACTATTTGCGGAGTTGCTACAGGAAGAGGAGCAGGCCGAGGATCCTGCATCGCTGAAAGTACAAAGACAGCGCACCATGTCCGTCAACGTAAGTATAACTCGTGAATTAATTAAAACGCTAGTTTCTGTTAAAAATATAAGTTAATCAGAGAATATATTATAAAAGTATACATGCATTTGTATGCTGCAGTTAAATAGATACTATTTTTTTAGAAGTGTAGAGGAAATAGAAAATCACGTCATGACGTTCCCCATTTGTCCTAAATTTATTGAATTTTTGTTTAGAAGTCTAATATTTAAAAAGAATTTATAATAGGTACATGCTAATATTATAAATGCGAAAGTGTGTCTGCTATTTATTAGTACTAGTTTATCGTTTTTCACAACTAAATGGCTGAACGAATCATAATAAAAATATATTCCGGAAGGGGGAAAAAAACTGATGAAAGTTAGGAAATAGCTGGTAAGAGCTAGTTTATCATGATGTATCATAATTTTTGATGTATGTTTTGTAGTCTCACCTGAGTACTAGCACTATTCACGATCCGCTGGTCCAGGACGAAGATAGTGCGAAAGAAGACGAGGAGATGATGGAGAAAGGTGAAGAATATTGTTTATTATTATTTATACGGTTATCTACTTATCTTTAAGTAAACATAACTATTACTTTTATTGAGAGATTAGCAAACAATTATAAACAACTTAGGTATTTATCTAATAGATTAGATTTTCATTACACTGAATCACAAATCACATAAATATATACGTAGATATAATGCCCGCTTTGCACCAGGACAGACGTTCATCTATATATGCAGAAATATATATATTTGTGTCTGTCTGTCTGTTGCCTTTTCACGATTAATTGGTTGAGCTTTAGTCGTGAAATGGTTTTAATAATAATAATCTCAGGACAATTCACAGAGCGCCATCTAGACTGAAGTTAAGCTATCTAAAGCTTATATTATACTAGATAACTAATACATAGATATTTTTTTTTTCGTAAATACATACATATTATACATCGAATACACCCAGACTGATATACTAAATCATACTCATGAATACAAATGTTTGTGCTGTCGAGGAATCGAACCTGCGTGCCATCGGAAGTAAGGCCGTATACTAAACCACTAATACTAAACACTAGATCACCAAGGCCGTCTTATCTTAATGAAACGTGAACATATATTGTATCACGAGTACAATCGTTGGTTATCTTTTTTCTGCAAAAATGCAGACAGATCCGCGGGTAATAGCTAGTATTTTATTTATAACAGAATATGTAATATGTCCTTCATATTTTGTAGTAAATTATTTCGGGATTTAAATTTTACTTCTTTGATATCACATCCATGCATTAGGTATCTAAATACTTCTCCGTATAAACGTTTAGTCATAGATAGTGATGAATACATAGTATGTCGGATAGATATGTTTTGAACTTTAAGACTATCCATCAATTGTTGATTTATAGATATGGACATGTGGAGATACGGAATTGTTATCAAGTGTTGTAAGCAGAATTACACTTTTGCAATTCATGCGTGTTTGCTAGTTTACACATCGTTTAAAAAAAATATGACCACAGTTACTGATCTCAATGGTCTAATTGGTAAATATACTGCTAGAAAAATCTTTTTCTAATAAATACCCATGCTATCATGGGTGTTTATTAGAAAAAGATTTTTCTAAATATGACAGCTAGGTACGGTTGGTAAGAATTTGTGAGGCTAAAACCCGTGTAAACAACTAGTCTATAGACACGAAAAATCAATAATTTTATATCTAGTGTCTGTTTGTAATATTCAAATAACCGTTTTTACTACATGCATATGAATATAAATACGGTACACCATAATAACATTTTTTACAATTCTTATCTGTCTGTTTGTTCCGGCTAATCTTTGAAATGGCTGGACCGATTTTGACGGGACTTTTTTTGGGACGTAGCTTATGTAATAAAGTTGAATTTCACGCCGACGAAGTCGCGGGTACAGCTAGTATTATATATATATGTATATCATATACAAAAATAATGACTGACATAACATGATTCTCATGGGTAGTATGGTATCATCATTTCGATGGGTAAATGTACATTTGAATGCAACAGGGAATAGTCTACCGCCGTTTCTCCGTATAATTTGCTCATTTAACAGTGTTTCTATTACTATCATGAGGCATTTAGCATTTATAATTTGATACATGATATAATTTGATGTTAAAGTCAAAATGAATAGGACAAAATTGAATTATAGATTTTATTGTAAGCATTAATGGGCTTTTAAATTCGTATTCAGGTCGAGTATCAGCGTCGGTGTACAGCAAATACTTCCGTGCTGGAGGCAGTTGGTGTTTGCTGTTCTTTACAGTTATCTCTATAATACTCGCACAAGTCGTCACTTCAGCTGGTGATCTCTGGCTCACGCACTGGTAAGTATAGAAATAAAATATTACCTAATGTACCTATATACTTTTTATTGATAAACTGTTGTACATAAATTGGTGAAAATGTAAGATGTGGAAATAACTTTTCATATACATAGAATAATGTAAGAGTAATAAAAAAATACATAGAATGAAATTTCGCTCCGTAATCGAGAAGTTCCGAAGTAATAGATTGTTTTGGTATGGATATGACATGAGGAGGAAGTGCGGATTATGATAAATTAATGGGATAAAGACAAGACAGTGATGACGACGCATAAGCGATTTAGTGAATTCAAAAAATATTTGAATGTTTTGTCTATGAACCTTAGGTATAAAGTGGGTTACTTTTATGAAAATATAATAATAATCTCAGGACAATTCACACAGCGCCATCTAGACCCAAATTAAGCTAGCTAAAGCTTGTGTTATGGGTCCTAGACAACTGATACAAATACATAGATAATATTTTTTTTTCGTAAATACATACATATTATATATAGAAAATACCCAGACCGATACAAACAATCATACTCAAGAATACAAATGTTTGTGCCGTGCGAGGAATCGAACCCGCGACCATCGGTTGTAAAGCGGTATGCTAGACCGCTAGACCACCGAGGTCGTCGGAATATATGAATAGTCATTACTCGTATTAGAGGGTTTTACCTTAACTAATCCAACTCAACCTATGTATACAAAACTATAATAATAGCTAATGCCAATAAAAAAGAAAGAAGCCAAAATAAGAAGAAAAATACTTATATGGATTTTATTTTAAATTGTGTTATATTTTTGATGCTGAGTAAATAATTATTTAAGAAATTATCCAATTGCCACATGTACACCATTTTAACTAATACCAAGAATAACGGTAACGGTTTTTATTACTGTGATCGAAAGTATATTTTATACAATCTGCACGGCTTCACGGCTTTAATAACTTTATCTAGTTTTATCTTTGCCAAATACTGATAAACATACCCACAATAAAGTTTGGTTTCAGTTATCATGAATTTATACTTGCTACGTAATTATTATCTTATATATTTTAGTTCATTGACAATGGTATTCTCAATGATTATATTTCATTATTACCAAATACCAATGGTAATAATGAAATATAATCATTGAGATTACTTTTTATTTTTATCTTAATATATATTTGAGGCGATGATATTTTTTTCATCTATTGCAGGATGAACGACATAGAATTAATGCACTCGCCTAAACCAATGAATGATATTGTAAATAATACTAGTATAAACGACACCAGCAGCATTGGGAATTCGTCACTCACAACAACAGAAGCTACCCCAATAGATACCACTACTACTGTTTTGTATAACATCACTGATGTTCAGTTAACGACTATTAGCAGTGTTATTAACGAAACCGTGCCAAATTTCGCCCAACAAACTGATAACTATGATTTTTATATTTATATTTGGACCCTGGCAATAGTTGGCTGCATAGTTCTCACTACGGGAAGGTATGATATTTTTTTAAATTACAAACAAAAATTTTAAAAATTTTAATTCCATGTGTATTCTGTGAGTAAAAATATAATCTACAATTACATTAGCATTGCGTGACTATGTCTCCGATTTATGTATGATTTAAAATCAATAAACCACAGAATCATAACTGTCTATCTGAGAGTCAGACCTACACAGTTTTGCTAGAAATTTTGTTTCTCCCTGTTGCCATTGGCGCATCCTCATAGTTTTAGTATATATCAGAAATATTCCTAGTTAAGAACTAAAATAAATAATTCTGAATACATCACAAAGTATCAGATACCAATATAGACTTTATATAATGTCATGTGTATGGTTATGAATATGTACCTCTGTCTGACCTATTTCTGCCGCCATATATTTGTAATCTGTAATATTATCGAGGGTGAGATATGGCAGTTAAATTAAATGATACGGAAGTATGACACTTTAGGTGTCCGAAATGAATATGTAGAAGGGGTACTATAGTCTAATGCCTAACTACTTGATAATATAACGTAATGTAATACATAGATCCGTAGTGCTCTGTCTACAGTTACCTACATAAGAAAAATAATCTATTCCCAAGCCTGGATACAAAACTACAGATAGAAATAATTAAATATAATTTCTTATTTGTAAATACGTTCGGAATGTAGGTATAGTAAACACATAAACAATTACCCATAAATACAAAACATCGGAAGATGAGACTATGACCTAGCCACAGGGAGGATGTGTAAGTGGTGATAGATTTTTTAAACGATCCACAAATTAATGTTATTTATTATTTCAGGTCAATATTATTCTTGTGGGTGTGTATGCGTAGTTCAATAAAACTACATAATCAAATGTTCGGCAATATAATGGCAGCGACCATGCGTTTCTTCGACACCAACCCGTCCGGTCGCATCCTTAACCGATTCTCAAAAGACATGGGCATAATGGACGAAATCTTACCTCGCATGTATTTAGACAGTATTCAAGTATGCCATTTTGATTTATTGTACTTAATTTCAATAAATTAGATTAATAGGTTTTTGCCTTTTACCGTGGAAACGTTGGGCCTATAGAGACCGGAAGCTAAATTGTTTTTGACAGGGAAGCTCAGCGACGTTACATGTGCCAGCTACTTTGCCCAGAGGATAAGTTTGGCCATTCAAAGAGGCAGTTCTGCCAGTATCTTGGACGCGCTGCCTCGATGTGCCGCGTTATTTTGCAACCATTTTTTATGTTAATAATTCAAATAAAATATAATATTTCGTGAAAAAATTATAAAATATATTTGTATTAAAAATAATTTTATATACTATTCATTACGCCATATCTTTCAAGCTGGTTTGAAGTGATAAACCATAATTAGGTTCTTATTTAATTTTTATACTTAATAATAAATCTATAATAATGAAATATTAAGATAGGAACTTATACTTATGGTGATATATATTATTATATATAGAAATAAGTATGTGTTGTGGTATGTTACGGTAATAATTACGTCAATATAAATAATAGCACAGATAACATAATATTACATAATAATAGTGTCTAAACAGTATAATTATCTATACAACATTTACAATTATTGTTTTCACTTTCAGGTGTTCATGGTAATGTTAGGTATTTTAGTGATGGTGGCTATCGTGAATCCATACATGTTACTAACCACGTTAGTTTGTTCCATTCTTATGTACGTGTGGACAATCGTCTACCTAAGTACTGCGCAAGCTATTAAAAGGTAAGAAATATTGTTAATTTCCTATATATAATAAGTGATGTTAGACTGAAAGTTAAAATCTGGCTGAATGGCAAAGAAACTTTGTGTACAAATTTATATTTTTGGTTGATTCACCGGTCTAGGAAACACCGAAAACAATCAGAAACTATTTAGAGAGAAGCTAGTAGCTACGCGGTCAGAAACTTTGGATTCTAATATATCCAAATAAATTTGGGAATGCCCAGAATTGTTTTTATCACTATTCAGTACGTCGAGAGTTGATAGTTCCTATCGGGCATTTTTATGAATATTCCTGTTTCCTTACGTATACCTATATATGAGCTCATATATTAATACTAGCTGTGCCCGCTGTTTCACTCGCGTAAAATTTATAGCCTATATGTCATTCTGATGTATAAACTATATTATTATAAAGTTTCATTAAATCCATTAGTTAGTTTTTGCGTGAAAGAGTAACAAATATGTATGCGTCCATCCATACTTTCTGGCTTCCGCGTTTATAATATTAGTAAGATGTTGGGAAAGAACTGGCTTCTGTTTCTCAGGAAGAACGTCAGCTGTATGACAGAAGCTGAAGAACACTTCAGATTCTGTCATACAGCTGACGCTAGTTCAGAAGCCAAGAGTATACAAAAATATTAAGATAGGAACTGTAATTTGCATTAATTAGTAAATTGATGGACTGTTATGTTAATTAAAAGGGTGGAAGGTGTATCTCGAAGCCCGGTGTTTTCTCACGTATCTGCGAGTATGGCGGGACTAACGACGGTACGGGCTTGTGGTGCTCAAGAGATGTTGAAGCGTCAATTTGACGATAAGCAAGACGTCCACACGGCCGCCTGGTGAGTAACCAATACAGTACCTATATAGTATATACAGACATGTTAACGAGTATCACGTAATAACAATAACTAGCGGTAGCCCAGTGGAAATTCGACCATAATTAATTTAACATTCAGTAAGACCATAGACAATGTTTGTGGATGTGTAATATTTTTTTATTGATATAATGTATTTTATGTGCATATTTAAAAAAATATAAGACAATTCACACAGTGCTGTTTAGTCTCAAATAAAGCAGAATTTGTTTTACGGGTACTACATCAATTATATATTAGTTTACTATTTTGTTTCTAGGTACTTGACCCTCGTAACAAACACAGCCTTTTCAATATGGTTGAGTTTAATATCTGCGTTCTACGTTATCGTCGCATCATATACATTCTTGTTTTTGGATAATGGTAAGTTTAGAAATGTAATTAGTATTTTGTCAAATTAAATCCATGTAACTTAAGGACTTTTGTACAAACTAACAGTACCTGCCAGTCCTATTGTACCCTAAAACTATTGAATATCTATATCACTTTAGTGAGGAAATTGCCTTAGCCGCACTATCTGAAGGATCGTCTAAACACTTTGTATGACACCAAAGTACATCGAATATATTAATTTTATTGTCTGACATTATTTTATGTGGTAAAAATCTCGAAATGTTGATTGTTTCTCTCTGTGCAGGCTCTACTAAATCGGGCAATGTGGGTCTCGCTCTCAGTCAAGGCTTGATTCTCGTGAATATGGTACAATACGGCGTGAAGCAAGCGACTGAGGTGATATCGCAGATGACGAGCGTAGAACGTGTGGTGCAGTTCACATCACTGCCCCAGGAGCGTACTGCGGGGCCAATGCCGCCTACAGGCTGGCCACAGCGCGCCAGGCTCATCTTCAAGGATCTTTACCTTCGATACGATATCGACTCAGATCCCGTACTAAAGAACTTGAACATCGTTATCGAAAGCGGTTGGAAAGTAAGATTTTGCTAAGAATTGTTATAAACTTACACATTAGAGTCTAAGTCTAACTTCGTTCGTGTTTATGATTCGTAAGAGAATTCTAATTTAGAATTTAGTCTGATATCTATGAGTATACTAGGGATCAAGAAGAAAACTCTATGTACTCGAAGGTACTTAAAAATATTCACGATAAATACATTCATGTATGCCATTATGAGAACTTAATGTTGACTTTGTACAGACGTTGTTATTATTTATTTCGGTTACTTATGATTAATTGTTAGTGTCACTAAACAGAGTATAAGCATAAACAATTCTTGCCTGTCTCCAGTTGCACTAAATCCATAGCAGTATTCAAGATTTAGTTATACGAATAAATATGTTATATGCCTATAAATAGGTAGGTCAATAAAACTTTAATTTAAAGAAAACCATAGATTCTATATAAAACTCATTTCTTAATTTTATTGCCATGAATAGCTGGATAACCGGGAAAATTAATTCCATAGGTAGGTGTTGTGGGGCGCACAGGCGCGGGCAAGTCGTCCCTGATATCGGCGCTGTTCCGGCTCGCGCCCATCGACGGCCACGTGTTCATAGACGACATCGACACCGGCGACATCGCCCTCAAGGTACCATTAATATTATTATTATATTGTATTGTACCAGTTACTCGTAACTTTGATGAACAAACTATTCCAAATTAATTTTTGAGATAATGGTGGTAATCTATGGCCGCCGTCGTCATACAATGTATCTTTATGTCGAATTTAATTTAAATGCTTTCACCCGTTTATCCGCTAATATATTTTCGCATTTATAGTACATGTGGCTATTATCTCTGTTCGAGTTTATCTGTAAGGTTTGTCGATGGTTATAAAGTATTTTATGCATTTTACAGAATCTATGAAATGGCGGGAACTAAATGTGTACGGTTAATTCATTTTTTATTTAAATTCATATTTAGATATAATAGTAATACGAATTATTTAGTAACATTTTCTCTAAATGTGACTTTATTTCCAGGAACTTAGATCTAAGATTTCAATCATTCCTCAAGAGCCTGTTTTATTCTCGGCATCCCTCCGCTACAATTTGGATCCGTTCAATAAATACACAGACGCTGATATATGGACCGCATTAGAACAGGTATTTTTTGTTTTTAGATGAATATAAAATTTTCATCAATGAATGATTTCATTTCATTTCATCAATGATTTAAATAAATTGTATACTTGATAAATTTATTTATCGCAATAGGAAAGTATAATTTTATTTAATAAAGTCTTTTTATAATTTATTTCTTATATTTTCGGACTTTGACACAATACTTATTAAAATGTATTATAATATATAATCTATAATTGTTAACTATTTTATATATATGAATAACAATTATGGATTTTATAGAATCTGTCTAGTTCGTAAATAAGCACTTAGTATTTTGTCTATGATGTACGTTAATGCTTAACAAGTAGCTTTAGGAAAAAAAAAAGGGCGGGAAATTTTGGTTTGACCGGACGCGTTTTTTAATTCAGGAAATATTATTTCAATAACATATAGATTAAGGATTGGTTTTTAGTAATTTTAGTTGTATTTAGTGTTATTATTATATTTATTTTTAGTGTGTAATTTGGTGTGTACATATCATATTGGTAAGTTAGATTTTATTTCTATATGGGCGAACCGCCCGACGATCCTGGGGGAACTACGACTATAGTTCCTCCAGGATTTGAAAATGAGATTCCAAACACTCCAATGGACATCTTAATTACGGCTTTAGAGTCGTCTATGGATACTGACTGTTCAGTATCTGATTCTGGAAAATTAAAAAGGAAAAGAGTTGCTCGTGCAACTTGTAGTACATGTCTAGGTAAGAAAAGGAGACACGGTTCAAAAAGGATGGGACCAAATGTTTGTGCATGCATAACAAATGAAACAACAATAATAGATCAATATAATAATAAAGATTCTGAAGTCAATTCCAAATCTCAAAATGCAGTTTCTACTGCTCTTAACAATAATATTACACAAAACACTGAAATCACTCGAACACCTATTGCTCGCACTAGGTATCAGCCATCAGATGCAGCACCATATATAATTCATGTCCAGAGGGAATTCTCAGATGATAACAGCAACACAACATTGCATCCCGTCACATTTGGTCGCTTTCTGAAACGTAAAGAAATTAATGGTATTGTGAATGGTAGTCTTAAACGAATTGGTCGTAATAGAATTAGTTTGTCTTTCTCAAATTTCACAGCAGCAAATTCATTCTTATGCAATCAAAGTTTAACAACTGAAAAATACAAAGCTTTTATTCCTACTTTTAACATTACACGTATGGGTGTAATAAGGGGTGTCCCCACTGATTGGTCTGATGAAGACATTTTACAAAATATAAGTGTCCCAATAGGTTGCGGTACAATACTTAAATTGAGAAGGCTTAAAAGGAAAGTTAATATCGATAATACAAATACATTTGAAAATATAGGCACTGTTGTTCTTACTTTTGATGGACAAGTACTGCCAACCCGAGTTTATATGTGTTATACTGCATTACCTGTAACCCTTTATATATATCCCACAGTACAATGTTACAACTGTTGTAGGTATGGCCATGTTAAAAGCCAATGTAGGGCCTCTCCAAGGTGTTTTAAATGTGGACAGGGACATTCAGGGGAGAATTGCAATATTGATGAAAATGACTATTGGTGCTGCTTGTGCAAGGGTTCTCACCAAGCAAATAGTAAAAAATGTTTAGAATTTGACCGGCAAAAAGCAATTAAAGAGACTATGAGTAAGAGTTGTATTTCATATATGGAAGCCGTCAAATTACATCCACCAGTTAATAAAATGTCTTATGCAGATGCTTTACTTACAGCTCCTTCCTCCCCATCTAATATAAATAATGACAAATCTCCAAACTATACTACATTAAATACAGTTCCTGTAAATAACCAAAATAGGTCATATAAAAAGACAGTGTTTCTGAAACCAAAAGCCCTACCAAAATTCTCAAGAGGATATGATCAATATGCACACAATGAGATCATAAAAAGTCCCACACTCCCTCCATCTCAACCCATTTTTAATAATAATAATCATGATAAAAATATTCAGATTTCAGCAATTATAAAAACATTATTAGACCTTTTACAACAATCGAATTCAAATATATCACCGTCCAACGTAGCTTTACTTATTGATACTATATATAAGATCACAGATAATGGATCAAGCTCAGGCCATACAGTGGAACTGCCGGAGTCTCATCAATAAAAAACATGATGTTATACACATCATTAATAAATATGATCCCTTCATAATTTGTTTACAAGAAACTTGGTTAAAACCGGGATCTATTTTTAAGATCCCTGGTTATTCCTGTTTAAGGAATGACAGACCTGATGGGTATGGAGGAGTCGCCATACTCATCAGGAATTCTTTATCCTATAATATTCTTCCTTTGCCTTCACACAGTGATGATATCTCTGTTATTGCTATTATAGTGAATAGTATTTGTTATGTGTCTATATATTTCTCCCGCCCAAGTAATGCCATTTTCAATGAAGTCAATAATTTATTCAACATCCTACCAAAACCATTTATATGCTTAGGAGATTTTAACTCTCACCATCAGACTTGGGGTTCCTCTTCATCCAATAGTTATGGTGACCAATTATTGGAGTTAATTGACTCCCATAACTTATGTATTTTAAATACTGGTATGCCAACACGCATCACAAGACCCACTGAAGGTCTCAGCTCACCAGACTTATCTATATGTACACCAGATCTCGCTTCATCTCTTGTTTGGTGTCCGCTAAACTATAGTTATAATAGTGATCATTATCCATTATTAATTACTTTTCCTTTTTCAAAACCCTTGCAGCAGATGAAACAGCCCCGTATGAGATATAAATTAAGTAATGCCAACTGGTACAACTACAAACAGAAAGTACATGAAAAATTATCAACTTTACCCAAAATATCCCATGACAATGTGTCAGAGTGTTCTCTGTCATTAGCTAAATTATTAATTGAGGCAGCTGATTCAACATTTCCAACAAAAAATAGTGGTCCTAGTACAATACCCTCTCCACCTTGGTGGGATGAAGAGTGTACTATTGCAGTAAAACAAAGGAAAATAGCTGAAAGACAGTACTGTGTCTGTATGTCTGAAGATAACTATAAAAATTATCAAGAAGTAGCTTATAATACTAAAAACTTATTAAAACAAAAAAAGATTGAAGGTTGGAGTAAATTTTGTGCCTCATTATGTCCTAATGTCAATCCATCTATTATCTGGCAAAATATACGTAGATTTAGATCGGCCTTTAATGTATCTCAACAACAAAAGATTTCTCCCACTCTTGCAGAACAAATATTAGATAGATTAGCCCCACCTTTCGTTCCAGAACAGCTCCATGTAAATCCTTTAACTATTAATACAGAAATAGTTAATAATAATGATTCTACATTTGATCTCAATTCATCCTTCACTGTCAATGAATTAAAAGGTGTACTTTCTGTTATTAAAGACTCGGCGCCTGGTGAAGACGGCATTCCATACTCTTTTATAGTACATTTAGACGAAGATGCTCTTAATTATTATCTCTCTTTAATCAACACAGCTATGACATCAGGTAATATTCCCAGTTCTTGGAGAACACAAACTTTAATCTTGTTACTAAAGCCAGATAAACCAAGTTCCGAACCTTCATCATATCGTCCCATAGCTCTATCTACTGTATTGGCGAAAATATCGGAACATTTAATAAAAAATCGCCTCGAATGGTTTTTAGAACACAATGGATTATTCTCAGATAGTCAGCTAGGATTTAGGAAAGGTAAGAGCACTTTTGACAGTTTGGGGATTTTTGTCACAGATATTAGATTAGCGTTTTCTAGAAATGACTCTGTAATAGCTGGTTTTCTAGATATAACCGCAGCTTATGATAATGTTAATATCCTGATACTGAAACATAAATTAGAGATGTTGAAAGTACCTAGACATTTAATGAATTTTATTATAAATATGTTAACAGAAAGATTTATTAAATATCCTTTAGATAATAATGATTGTATATATAGGACGGTATGGAAGGGGCTACCTCAGGGTTCCGTAATGAGTCCAATTCTTTACAACATTTATACTATTGATTTAGAAGTATCCATAAATAAATGTGTAAAAGTTCTGCAATATGCGGACGATTTGCTTTTCTATGTTGCCGGCCGATTAATTAACGAGATTAGCGATTCCCTTTCTGCAGCATTACAATTTCTTAAAAAATGGCTAGATAATAATGGTCTAGATCTATCCCCATCTAAAAGCACTGTAGTTGTATACTCTAGGAAAAGGATTCCATTAGTAGTTAATGTTTTATATGATGATTCCCCCTTATCAGTTAAGGATCAGGCAAAGTTTTTGGGACTTGTATTGGACTCAAAACTCACAGGTGTATCACATTGTGAATCCGTTGTAGTGAGATGTGAACGCAACCTAAATATTTTAAGGTGTCTTAGTGGTGTATGGTGGGGCGCCCATCCTTCTATTATGAAACTCCTATATAATGCCTTAATTAGAAGCATTATAGACTACGGCTCGGTTTTATTAAATCCAGCAAACGCAGCAGCTTTTAAAAAATTGGATTGTATTCAATATAAGGCACTACGACTTATCACTGGATCAATGAAATCCAGCCCAATAAATTCGTTACAAATAGAGTGTTGTGAACCACCGCTAAAACTGCGAAGACAGTACCTGAGTGATACATTTTTTTTCCGTAGCCTAGCATTAAAAAAAAATCTCTTAATTTCTAGAGTAAAGGAATTGGCTGAGGTGATAGCCTCTTCGAAGTATTGGACTCATAAAGACCAACCTTGTTTAGTGAAAAGTTTCCAAAAATTTAAAGACATTACATCTCCAACATATCAGACTCAATATCTTCCCCTGTACCAACATAGTTACACTTCGCTAATACTTAATCCCCAAATATTATATAATATAGGTATAAATAAAGATGAAATTAACGCCAATGACAAATTTAACTATATTATGGATAATGAATGGAAAGATTGGCACTACATTTTTACGGACGCCTCGAAACATTCTAACGGCGAATGTGTAGGTGTTGGAGTCTACCATTCACAATACAAAATTCATCAAAAAATTAAGCTTCCGCCAGAGACCTCCGTCTATACTGGAGAATGCTACGGACTTTTTAAGGCGATTGAATATGTACTTCTTGCTAAACTATGTAAAACAATAATATTCTCCGATTCACTTAGTAGTTTGCAGGCTTTATCACATTTTCCCTTTAAATCCTACAAACAATCTCCGATAATTTTTAAAATTCGTGATCTACTTTCTCAATGCTTATCATTACAATTAAATGTTCACTTCGCTTGGATACCAAGCCATCTTGGTATATCTGGTAATAAAAAAGCTGATCAACTGGCTAATGATGCTGTTCGCGATGGCGATTTATTCCCATATGTCAATTACTGTAATGACCTAGCTTTGTTGTCAAAAATATACTTGTATGAGGATTGGAATCGGCTTTGGACAATTGAAACTCACAAGGGGAAGAATTACAGACTAGTACAAGAAACTATTCCTTATAAACCTTGGTTTAGTAAATTTAAATTTAATAAAAAAACCACATCAATTATTTGCAGACTTCGATTGGGACATGTATGTACACCAGCAAATCTATACAAATTTAATATTGTTTCTGACCCTACATGTGCTTGTGGAGAGTACGGAGATGTTAATCATGTGTTCTTCTCCTGCCCTCTATATGATCGCTCTGAATTTATTTCCCAACTCCTTCTGATCCGTGTCCCACTTCCTACATCTATTAATTGTTTGTTACATAATAGCGATACCAATGTATATAAAATATTAGCCACATTTATTTTATATAATAATATAAAATTGTAAATATATACATATATATATAATATATATACATTGTAAACATCATAAACCTGACCAATCCTTTATCCTACAAAATTCCGTTCTATTCCGTATATTTCTGTGTATATTTCCCTAACTTTGATATTGGCTAAATGCGAAGGCAAAGCCAAAGATGGAGGAGGAGAAGAAAAAAAAAAAAAAAAGTAGCTTTAGGAAAAAAAAAAGGGCGGGAAATTTTGGTTTGACCGGACGCGTTTTTTAATTCAGGAAATATTATTTCAATAACATATAGATTAAGGATTGGTTTTTAGTAATTTTAGTTGTATTTAGTGTTATTATTATATTTATTTTTAGTGTGTAATTTGGTGTGTACATATCATATTGGTAAGTTAGATTTTATTTCTATATGGGCGAACCGCCCGACGATCCTGGGGGAACTACGACTATAGTTCCTCCAGGATTTGAAAATGAGATTCCAAACACTCCAATGGACATCTTAATTACGGCTTTAGAGTCGTCTATGGATACTGACTGTTCAGTATCTGATTCTGGAAAATTAAAAGGAAAAGAGTTGCTCGTGCAACTTGTAGTACATGTCTAGGTAAGAAAAGGAGACACGGTTCAAAAAGGATGGGACCAAATGTTTGTGCATGCATAACAAATGAAACAACAATAATAGATCAATATAATAATAAAGATTCTGAAGTCAATTCCAAATCTCAAAATGCAGTTTCTACTGCTCTTAACAATAATATTACACAAAACACTGAAATCACTCGAACACCTATTGCTCGCACTAGGTATCAGCCATCAGATGCAGCACCATATATAATTCATGTCCAGAGGGAATTCTCAGATGATAACAGCAACACAACATTGCATCCCGTCACATTTGGTCGCTTTCTGAAACGTAAAGAAATTAATGGTATTGTGAATGGTAGTCTTAAACGAATTGGTCGTAATAGAATTAGTTTGTCTTTCTCAAATTTCACAGCAGCAAATTCATTCTTATGCAATCAAAGTTTAACAACTGAAAAATACAAAGCTTTTATTCCTACTTTTAACATTACACGTATGGGTGTAATAAGGGGTGTCCCCACTGATTGGTCTGATGAAGACATTTTACAAAATATAAGTGTCCCAATAGGTTGCGGTACAATACTTAAATTGAGAAGGCTTAAAAGGAAAGTTAATATCGATAATACAAATACATTTGAAAATATAGGCACTGTTGTTCTTACTTTTGATGGACAAGTACTGCCAACCCGAGTTTATATGTGTTATACTGCATTACCTGTAACCCTTTATATATATCCCACAGTACAATGTTACAACTGTTGTAGGTATGGCCATGTTAAAAGCCAATGTAGGGCCTCTCCAAGGTGTTTTAAATGTGGACAGGGACATTCAGGGGAGAATTGCAATATTGATGAAAATGACTATTGGTGCTGCTTGTGCAAGGGTTCTCACCAAGCAAATAGTAAAAAATGTTTAGAATTTGACCGGCAAAAAGCAATTAAAGAGACTATGAGTAAGAGTTGTATTTCATATATGGAAGCCGTCAAATTACATCCACCAGTTAATAAAATGTCTTATGCAGATGCTTTACTTACAGCTCCTTCCTCCCCATCTAATATAAATAATGACAAATCTCCAAACTATACTACATTAAATACAGTTCCTGTAAATAACCAAAATAGGTCATATAAAAAGACAGTGTTTCTGAAACCAAAAGCCCTACCAAAATTCTCAAGAGGATATGATCAATATGCACACAATGAGATCATAAAAAGTCCCACACTCCCTCCATCTCAACCCATTTTTAATAATAATAATCATGATAAAAATATTCAGATTTCAGCAATTATAAAAACATTATTAGACCTTTTACAACAATCGAATTCAAATATATCACCGTCCAACGTAGCTTTACTTATTGATACTATATATAAGATCACAGATAATGGATCAAGCTCAGGCCATACAGTGGAACTGCCGGAGTCTCATCAATAAAAAACATGATGTTATACACATCATTAATAAATATGATCCCTTCATAATTTGTTTACAAGAAACTTGGTTAAAACCGGGATCTATTTTTAAGATCCCTGGTTATTCCTGTTTAAGGAATGACAGACCTGATGGGTATGGAGGAGTCGCCATACTCATCAGGAATTCTTTATCCTATAATATTCTTCCTTTGCCTTCACACAGTGATGATATCTCTGTTATTGCTATTATAGTGAATAGTATTTGTTATGTGTCTATATATTTCTCCCGCCCAAGTAATGCCATTTTCAATGAAGTCAATAATTTATTCAACATCCTACCAAAACCATTTATATGCTTAGGAGATTTTAACTCTCACCATCAGACTTGGGGTTCCTCTTCATCCAATAGTTATGGTGACCAATTATTGGAGTTAATTGACTCCCATAACTTATGTATTTTAAATACTGGTATGCCAACACGCATCACAAGACCCACTGAAGGTCTCAGCTCACCAGACTTATCGATATGTACACCAGATCTTGCTTCATCTCTTGTTTGGTGTCCGCTTAACTATAGTTATAATAGTGATCATTATCCATTATTAATTACTTTTCCTTTTTCAAAACCCTTGCAGCAGATGAAACAGCCCCGTATGAGGTATAAATTAAGTAATGCCAACTGGTACAACTACAAACAGAAAGTACATGAAAAATTAACAACTTTACCCAAAATATCCCATGACAATGTGTCAGAGTGTTCTCTGTCATTAGCTAAATTATTAATTGAGGCAGCTGATTCAACATTTCCAACAAAAAATAGTAGTCCTAGTACAATACCCTCTCCACCTTGGTGGGACGAAGAGTGTACTATTGCAGTAAAACAAAGGAAAATAGCTGAAAGACAGTACTGTATCTGTATGTCTGAAGATAACTATAAAAAATATCAAGAAGTAGCTTGTAATACTAAAAACTTATTAAAACAAAAAAAGATTGAAGGTTGGAGTAAATTTTGTGCCTCATTATGTCCTAATGTCAATCCTTCTATTATCTGGCAAAATATACGTAGATTTAGATCGGCCTTTAATGTATCTCAACAACAAAAGATTTCTCCCACTCTTGCAGAACAAATATTAGATAGATTAGCCCCACCTTTCGTTCCAGAACAGCTCCATGTAAATCCTTTAACTATTAATACAGAAATAGTTAATAATAATGATTCTACATTTGATCTTAATTCATCCTTCACTGTCAATGAATTAAAAGGTGTACTTTCTGTTATTAAAGACTCGGCGCCTGGTGAAGACAAGGTCTCAGCTCACCAGACTTATCGATATGTACACCAGATCTTGCTTCATCTCTTGTTTGGTGTCCGCTTAACTATAGTTATAATAGTGATCATTATCCATTATTAATTACTTTTCCTTTTTCAAAACCCTTGCAGCAGATGAAACAGCCCCGTATGAGGTATAAATTAAGTAATGCCAACTGGTACAACTACAAACAGAAAGTACATGAAAAATTAACAACTTTACCCAAAATATCCCATGACAATGTGTCAGAGTGTTCTCTGTCATTAGCTAAATTATTAATTGAGGCAGCTGATTCAACATTTCCAACAAAAAATAGTAGTCCTAGTACAATACCCTCTCCACCTTGGTGGGACGAAGAGTGTACTATTGCAGTAAAACAAAGGAAAATAGCTGAAAGACAGTACTGTATCTGTATGTCTGAAGATAACTATAAAAAATATCAAGAAGTAGCTTGTAATACTAAAAACTTATTAAAACAAAAAAAGATTGAAGGTTGGAGTAAATTTTGTGCCTCATTATGTCCTAATGTCAATCCTTCTATTATCTGGCAAAATATACGTAGATTTAGATCGGCCTTTAATGTATCTCAACAACAAAAGATTTCTCCCACTCTTGCAGAACAAATATTAGATAGATTAGCCCCACCTTTCGTTCCAGAACAGCTCCATGTAAATCCTTTAACTATTAATACAGAAATAGTTAATAATAATGATTCTACATTTGATCTTAATTCATCCTTCACTGTCAATGAATTAAAAGGTGTACTTTCTGTTATTAAAGACTCGGCGCCTGGTGAAGACGGCATTCCATACTCTTTTATAGTACATTTAGACGAAGATGCTCTTAATTATTATCTCTCTTTAATCAACACAGCTATGACATCAGGTAATATTCCCAGTTCTTGGAGAACACAAACTTTAATCTTGTTACTAAAGCCAGATAAACCAAGTTCCGAACCTTCATCATATCGTCCCATAGCTCTATCTACTGTATTGGCGAAAATATCGGAACATTTAATAAAAAATCGCCTCGAATGGTTTTTGGAACACAATGGATTATTCTCAGATAGTCAGCTAGGATTTAGGAAAGGTAAGAGCACTTTTGACAGTTTGGGGATTTTTGTCACAGATATTAGATTAGCGTTTTCTAGAAATGACTCTGTAATAGCTGGTTTTCTAGATATAACCGCAGCTTATGATAATGTTAATATCCTGATACTGAAACATAAATTAGAGATGTTGAATGTACCTAGACATTTAATGAATTTTATTATAAATATGTTAACAGAAAGATTTATTAAATATACTTTAGATAATAATGATTGTATATATAGGACGGTATGGAAGGGGCTACCTCAGGGTTCCGTAATGAGTCCAATTCTTTACAACATTTATACTATTGATTTAGAAGTATCCATAAATAAATGTGTAAAAGTTCTGCAATATGCGGACGATTTGCTTTTCTATGTTGCCGGCCGATTAATTAACGAGATTAGCGATTCCCTTTCTGCAGCATTACAATTTCTTAAAAAATGGCTAGATAATAATGGTCTAGATCTATCCCCATCTAAAAGCACTGTAGTTGTATACTCTAGAAAAAGGATTCCATTAGTAGTTAATGTTTTATATGATGATTCCCCCGTATATCAGTTAAGGATCAGGCAAAGTTTTTGGGACTTGTATTGGACTCAAAACTCACAGGTGTATCACATTGTGAATCCGTTGTAGTGAGATGTGAACGCAACCTAAATATTTTAAGGTGTCTTAGTGGTGTATGGTGGGGCGCCCATCCTTCTATTATGAAACTCCTATATAATGCCTTAATTAGAAGCATTATAGACTACGGCTCGGTTTTATTAAATCCAGCAAACGCAGCAGCTTTTAAAAAATTGGATTGTATTCAATATAAGGCACTACGACTTATCACTGGATCAATGAAATCCAGCCCAATAAATTCGTTACAAATAGAGTGTTGTGAACCACCGCTAAAACTGCGAAGACAGTACCTGAGTGATACATTTTTTTTCCGTAGCCTAGCATTAAAAAAAAATCTCTTAATTTCTAGAGTAAAGGAATTGGCTGAGGTGATAGCCTCTTCGAAGTATTGGACTCATAAAGACCAACCTTGTTTAGTGAAAAGTTTCCAAAAATTTAAAGACATTACATCTCCAACATATCAAACTCAATATCTTCCCCTGTACCAACATAGTTACACTTCGCTAATACTTAATCCCCAAATATTATATAATATAGGTATAAATAAAGATGAAATTAACGCCAATGACAAATTTAACTATATTATGGATAATGAATGGAAAGATTGGCACTACATTTTTACGGACGCCTCGAAACATTCTAACGGCGAATGTGTAGGTGTTGGAGTCTACCATTCACAATACAAAATTCATCAAAAAATTAAGCTTCCGCCAGAGACCTCCGTCTATACTGGAGAATGCTACGGACTTCTTAAGGCGATTGAATATGTACTTCTTGTTAAACTATGTAAAACAATAATATTCTCCGATTCACTTAGTAGTTTGCAGGCTTTATCACATTTTCCCTTTAAATCCCACAAACAATCTCCGATAATTTTTAAAATTCGTGATCTACTCTCTCAATGTTTATCATTACAATTAAATGTTCACTTCGCTTGGATACCAAGCCATCTTGGTATATCTGGTAATAAAAAAGCTGATCAACTGGCTAATGATGCTGTTCGCGATGGCGATTTATTCCCATATGTCAATTACTGTAATGACCTAGCTTTGTTGTCAAAAATATACTTGTATGAGGATTGGAATCGGCTTTGGACAATTGAAACTGAAAAGGGGAAGAATTACAGACTAGTACAAGAAACTATTCCTTATAAACCTTGGTTTAGTAAATTTAAATTTAATAAAAAAACCACATCAATTATTTGCAGACTTCGATTGGGACATGTATGTACACCAGCAAATCTATACAAATTTAATATTGTTTCTGACCCTACATGTGCTTGTGGAGCGTACGGAGATGTTAATCACGTGTTCTTCTCCTGCCCTCTATATGATCGCTCTGAATTTATTTCCCAACTCCTTCTGATCCGTGTCCCACTTCCTACATCTATTAATTGTTTGTTACATAATAGCGATACCAATGTATATAAAATATTAGCCACATTTATTTTATATAATAATATAAAATTGTAAATATATCCATATATATATAATATATATACATTGTAAACATCATAAACCTGACCAATCCTTTATCCTACAAAATTCCGTTCTATTCCGTATATTTCTGTGTATATTTCCCTAACTTTGATATTGGCTAAATGCGAAGGCAAAGCCAAAGATGGAGGAGGAGAAGAAAAAAAAAAAAAAGTAGCTTTAGCAAGCAGCTCATATTGCTCCAGCTATATCACATGTTGTGATTGACAGGTGGAGCTGAAAAAAAGCGTGACGTCGTTGTCAGCGGGGGTGGAGTCCGGCGGAGCTAACTTCAGTGCCGGCCAGCGGCAGCTGCTGTGTTTGGCGCGCGCCGCACTCGCCCGGAACAAGCTGCTCGTGCTCGACGAGGCAACCGCCAACGTCGACCCTAAGTACGGCTAATTTATACTTTATTTGATTATATATCTTACTTCAGGCAACTTAATATTATTTATAAGTAGTAGGTAGACGCAAGTTTCTTGCTCATTCTTGTGACGTGTATGCGTTCCGAATTACTGGCAGAATAAAAAAATATGTCTATTCAAAAGTCCTTGTATTAAGTATGTTTGAATTTCTATATAGCAATATTGGCCCTTATAGATATATATCTTAAAGACTAACTTATATATTTATGCAAACATGAACATTATACGTATACGTATAGATCGTTTAATATAATAATGAAAGATTGATGATGATGAAATGAGGTGATTGGCCAAAATTATGACGTTTTTAAAGGCGGTTCTTGATAAAAATAAGGACACTTGTACCTATTTATACATATTATTCTATCAGACATCTTGTAACCTTGTACAAGGCAATTTGAAAGAATAAGAGCCGAGTTTCTTGTAATTTTCTTTTTTCTTCTTTCTTCTCAGCTCTGAAGCACTCCGAACTGACAGTAGATTTGTCATATCATAAAGTCTGTAACAGACCTACATGAATATTTTGATTGATTGATGGACATCATACGGTTTCAATGATTTGTAGGAATCTGTAGTAACTTTATTTCACTTCCATATAGTAAAAAAAAAAGAATAATGTTTACAAATGTTTTTATAGTCTTAACTATAAAAATTTATACATAATTTATTATGAAGTGAGCGATTAAAATTTTATTTTGAGGATTTTAATATTGCAGGTAGATAAGATAATGTATTTATATCAATTTATATACATGTCTTCATTGACCTTCCTCAATATATACCTAGTATACTTAATCACTATTGTGATGCGGATTCCCTTAATTAGCGTCATAATTGCGGTTAAAAAACCGAATCGTAAATGTATGGAAACCTACAAATCCTGTATTTGGTTTCCATACATTTACGATTTGTTTTTTTTTTCATTTATGAAATTTCATATTAGGCAATATGAAATTTCTCCGATGTCCGATGATTCTTGTCGATAGGCTACAAACCTTCCTTCTCTATGGTTTTGCTAATGTTCTTTATTACTTTTTTCTAGTACTGACGCACTCATACAAAAGTCGATTCGGAAACATTTCGCCGACTGCACTGTTTTGACTGTCGCCCACCGACTGCACACTGTCGCAGATTCCGACAGGGTTGTTGTAAGTATATTATATGTATATATGAGGTAAATAATAACATCACAATAAGCAATATGTTAACATATTTTTACCTTGTCACAATCATGTTTTATGGGTAATGATATGTAAAATATTTAAATTTGTTAATATTATTATTGTCACAGAACCTGATCTCTGATAACTGTAATAAATTATAAAAACATACACAATATTACTACTGTATAAGTTGTGTGTATTGTACAGGGATATAAAAAATACATGAATATTTTCTTACTTTTAGGTAATGGAGGCTGGCCAGATAGTAGAATGCGGGCACCCACACGATCTGTTACAGAACCCTGAGGGTCACTTTACCAGCATGGTGAAGCAGCTGGGCACCGCCTCGGAACAAAACCTGCGGGAATTGGCGAGTGCCGCGTATGCAGAACACATTAAGTACGTCGACGCGGACGACCAAGTTGTCATTAAAAGCAAGAATGCCTAATAGCTGTTTTATAATGTACTTATTCTTCACTAATTATATTTATTAATTTAGTTATCGAAATGAGAAAATTGAATGCGCATAACTACTTACTTTACCAGTGTTCATCTTAAATAGATACTTAATTACTCAATGAACCATTGTATAATATATATATACATGTATACAATACATGTCTAAGAAAATGATGTCTCAAATATTTATTTGCAATTTTATTACTTAAGTACGTACTTTTGACTAAAAGGTATATTTATACAATATATACCTTTACAATTAATGTAACGCTATCGAGCTTTAGTACTTATTACTGTACTTAGATTTATTTAATGTACTTATTTAAGGCCACTATTACAACTGTTTGTTTTATAGTGAATACTATGCATCATTTTACGATAAACTTACAAATGTACTAATGTAGATATTCATAAGTAACTTAAAATATATTTTTTTATGCATACCAAAGTTAATTATGTCAGTTTTAGTCGTATTATGTAAGTATAAATTTACAGGTATAATGGTGGCCTATAAGAGACAAGTGTTTATTTTTATAGATAAATAATTACACATACATTTCTAGGTGTCTAATGAGATGTGTAATTAGACTACTATAAAGTGTTTTATATTGATATAGCTTCCGTATATGAGTATATAAATTCATATATACTCTGATTATATTTATAATGAATGTTTATATTGTCAATTATATGTTATTGGCAAAATTCACTTATAATACTGTTAATACGATAATAATAATCATAGGCATGTTATGATACATATATATGTTATGTACTTAAGTTTTATATGAGCTGTGTTATACAAAAGTAAAGGACTCCGTCTGTATGTTAAAGAACGTAAATTATTGTACAAAACACGTATATTATTGAATTTTATACATGTTATACTTTTTTAGCGTTGATTTACAAAGTTACAAATGCAAGAAAGTAAATCTATGGTTATATAAATACAATTCTAAAAGAGATTGTTATTTTATTAATTCAGCTAGCTCCATCAACTTTGTATCTAATATAAATGTGGCCTTTTATTGTGATAAATAAATGTACTAACAACCAATTTTATGTACTTTCATACTTGTCTTAGATAGTGAACAAGCATTTGAGATGAAATCGAATATTCCTTTCTAAATTATGTCAAAAACAGATTTATTTTTTTATATTTATGTACTCTGAATATATAAAATATTACAAGCATCGTAGTCTTCGTACAAGCATCAAAGTGTGACTGTCTTCAGTTAAGCTTGACAAATGTATGACTGCTCTGTCCCAAGTTCATCTCACACACACATCACTCCTGTACGAAGTCGTTGATCCTAACCGTACCCTCTAGCTCTACTACTAACTACTAACTCTAATTGGCCTCTGGTCCCATTTCAACGGAGATCAAAAATAGCTTAGCCGAGGTTCAAATTCCTACCAATGATCTCAGACTAAAGTAGTTTCCGTGAGGCAGGACTAGCACTGGTCTGCACTCGCACCCATTAACCTTTTTTTTAAGTTCAATTGAAGTACTACTTCAAATGCCATTTGCAATCCACTGCATTAAGATTTTTATAAATAATACGTTTTGAAGCCTATACCTGCAAAAATAAAACAGATATATTATGTGTTATATTCATGAATATTCATTTAATATATATCATACTAATGCAATGATAATAATACTTTGTTCTTTTAGTCTTAATCTAATCTCATGATCTATTTAGTGAATTTTCACCTAAGGTCAAATTGCCTACCTATTCCCTTAATATACGTCGTTAGCAGAGACGGACTCTACCGATCGAATTTACGAAAGTAGTGCCAAATAACGTTGTGCGTGCACGGTGTACTGATGTTATTCACTAATATAAACGTTATCTTGTCGTTTTTGGCAAAAAAATATAATATTAAGATAATAAGAATATCTCAGGACAATTCAATTTAAATAGAGTTTGTGTTATGAGTACTAGACAACTGATACATAGGTATATTTTTTAAAAGTATAATACATACATAAGACTACCTAGAAAACACCCAGACCGATACAAACAATAATACTCATTAACTAGCTGACCCCACAAACGTTTTGGTAAAAAATTTGCCCAAAACATAAAAAAATAATGTTGGGGTGGACAACCCTTATCACTTAGAGGTATGGAAAATAGGTAGTAGCCGATTCTCAGACCTACATGCTTATATGCATATAAAATTACATAAAAATCCTTCAAGTCGTTTGGGAGGAATATTGTAACTAACATTGTGACACGAGAATTTTATACCATGCCAGCAATCGAACCCGCGACCAACAAACAGCTACTCACGACACTTAGATCAGGGGTAATATCGAAACAGTAGCAGGGAGCACCCGAATCGCTTCAGCTGTAGCGAAATCAAGGCTGATTACACATAGTATCCCCGACGAGTAACCTCCATTACTACTGCTTCGATATAACTAATTTTAGTGCTGTGTGTGTAACATTCATATAAATAACACACGAACGCATGCCTGCATTTTACGAACTAAGGTAATTTTTATTTTTAAACAAAATGATTTATTAAGTATTTTTTGATAGAATGACATGTTTTAATAAGTAAATAATATTTCAATAACATTATGAATACGAAGAATATTTCATTTGTAGTATATAAATTAAGATCCTGTGCCTACATGGCTCATATGTGTGATACATTTACATTTATAAATTATTTGCAAACACCGAATTTATCAACGAATGTTACCAAAAATGATACAAGAAATATAACTTACAAGGTTTAATAGACGTTTCATATTTATATGAATAAGAAGTTTTTACTGAAATTGCATACACCCTACGTTTAGTTACGTAAATAGGTACAATATTTTACTTAAGGTAATAATAGATTTTTTTTTATAATTTTTCCAAGTATATACCTAATCATGTATTATTATTGTACAAGATTATATAATTAAAATACACTGTATATTTTTTAATTATATTATCTACTACTCAACTGTTATTGTAGTCAAGTGTTCATCTAAATTGTTGGCTACTTATATTAGTTGTTAGATATATATTAAAAATCTATATGAAGAACCAATACCTATGTATTTCACATCTTAATGTTGAAACATTCCATGTTATTTTGAACAATGATCAAAGATCACGTTCAAAACCGCATTGCCTTATACCTAGCCAATATAATTGTTATGTACTTATCAATTATGTTTTTTATGTATTAAATATATGTCTTACTGTCTTATTGCTATGTTTTATTTCGTGATACCTAACTTTGAACCGACTAAAAGAACGGAGGATTTTAATTAAATGATCAAGATCGATTTAGTATTTCGAATTTTTAAATCTACAATAAATATTATTCAGGGGAGTTTATTATATAGTTTATTGGGACTAAGTATATTAGTACTAATAGAGTCTGTAATAAAGCATTGTAATTATTTTTTAACAACTGAAGAGGGTATTTTTGCAAAAATCAGAGCAGTTTTGGTTAGGGTAAAATCGGCTCGGCGAACATACTCGTACTATGTGAAATTGATTTAGCCACATAGACGGTACGACTTCATCCGGTTGAAGCTCATCGTCCTGCGAAGCTTTACAGCTTTAGCTTAGGCGAGTTGCGGCAAACAGCATTAGAGTATTCCGAAAAAAATAGACGGGACAATCTAGGAAGCGATCCAGAGTGATCCCAAAACTGCTCCTTTACATTAATGTCAATATCGTGTATATCGTTGAATGTTTCACCTAGGTAAACTTTGCATAAAGCAATCTCAGCATCTTGTGTAAGCCACTTCTGCATGATTCATTGTTTTCCACTTTGTTCCGATTTATGGGGGAGCAATTTGTTAGTAATAGCACAGTAATGTGGACCAGGGGCCCCATGGCTGGTAATGTAATATAAGTTCTCTGCTGCACCTGGAAATCATTGTCGATAATTACGGCTGCATTCGTCACGATGGCCTAACTTGACATCATGATATCCTATCATGCCCTACTGGTGTGGTGCCCGTTAGCATATACTATTATCGCAGTTGGGTATCAATATATAATAAGATTTACGATGGTCGTATATTTATTTATGACTTATATATGATAAGATGGAACTTTATACGTAAATTCCGAAAAGAATACTTTCCATAATTAACTTAATTCCCGCCCTTATTTACTCCAAGCACTAATGGTAATACGGCCTAACAAGGATCTGTTCATGATGTACCTATACCTAGTTGATAGATATCATATTACAATGAACTTAATTTTATAACTTAATGACAAAAGCGTCTTAATTCATAAAATCAGAGTTATTATTCTAATCTAATGGTATAGATTCTATACGCTGTTTCTCTTATGCGTCCTCTACTAGTGCATTATTCTAAGTTTGTTTTATTGACTTGCATACATAATCCACCCGATTTGCACTCAGTCGATGTGCGTCAACCGGTAGAGTCGATTCTTGTAAAACACTTGCCTTTATTATGAAATAAATATTGCCTATAGATTACGTTGATATAAAAACAAACTGTGTAAATTGAAAATTACGATTCATTAAAAGTGTTTCAAATTTAGCTATTTCGTCAATATTATTCTTATGGTATAAGTGTTTATAATATCAGTGATTTCAAGTAAATAAGTGCTTCCTACAAGGTTTTCCTTAATTGTTTATAAAATAGTGCTCGTAAAAGTCGTCAATGTTGTGGGAGATTTACTTTTTCAAGGGTTCCGACCTGTATTTCATATATAAAAATACCTAGTACAATATACTTAATTAAAATATATATTTATTTTTCTTATATATATAGTATAGATTAGACTGAAATATTTTTTGACTTACAGGTTAGATTATCTGCCAATATTTCTTTCATACATTGTAACACATTCTCCTTAGAAAACCTATTATAAGGAAAAGTGTTAAATTCCACCCCAAGAATACATGTAGGTACCTATATGCGTTGCTGTATCACGGGAATTTGATCTGATAAATCAATAATAAAATGAGACGGTGAATCTCGCTTTATTATTATATTGATAAGATTCATATATTTTATCTATAGCCGTGTAACTCTTAACATGCGAATTCTACCTGTTACATAATTTTTTAAAACAGTTATAATTTTTCAAATATGGATTCAAAGATTATACTGAAAGAAAAAAATCCAAACGAAGAAGCTAACTTTATCTCTAAATTATTTGTCACGTAAGTATAACCAGACTACATTATATATAAACTTACAAAATGTTTGTGTTTACCATACTCCTACGAAACGGCTTGACCGATACATATTTTTCATACCCCTAAGTGATAAGGGTTGTCCATTCTTAACATTCTATTTTACTTTTTTATAATGTGGCATTAAAAAATACATACAACCCTAAATTTTCACCCTACTTTCACTAACTCCTATTATATTTAATAGCGATATTAGTACTTATATGGCAAAACTAAGTTTGCCGGGACAGTACAGTTTAGATATAGAAGTCTAAAAGATCTTTAAACACGAGTATATAGTTGTATCTTATATCTATATAAAATTCTCGTGTCACAATGTTAGTTACCATACTCCTCCCAAACGGATTGATCGATTTTTATGAAATTTTATATGCATATTCAGTAGGTCTGAGAATCGACTACTATCTATTTTTCATACTCCTAAGTGGTAAGGGATATTCACCCCTAAATATATATTTTTTATTTTTCAACATAATATTTTATTTTCAATTTATTATTATTTAGGTTTGAAAAATACATACAACCCTAAATTTTCACCCTTCTAGCATGAACCCCATTTTTTAAATAGCAAAACAACGTTAGCGGGGTCAGCTAGTTGTATATATAAAATTTCACCCTTTCTTGGTAAGTGAAACCACGGGATCACAGTAAATACTGTGCTGTCCTAAATGCTGGTCAAGCGACCTATTTGGTTATATATACCACATTCCATCAACTTAACAGCATTATTCGAAATTTCTGGATCCCTCTAAAATATCTTTTTAGCAATTAAAACTGGTATGTCAATCTGGAATAATGTATATTTTATATATATTATCCAACCCTGGCTAAAGTCCGAAGTTAGAACGGAGCACTAATATGCACTTATTAAAATTGATTCTAATATGTCCTCGGTTAGTATAAGACATAGATACGTATTTCCTCGGTTAGATAAATACGGAAGACGTATTCAAGATCACGTTAATATCATATCACAATAAACTATTATCATTAAAGACAAATAATTTTGAAATAGGTAGATAAGACGACTAATCGACAATTACCAACGAGTTTGCTTTCTGATTAGAAATTCATCACATGCGAATAAATTATTACAATATGTATGCAGGCGTTTTATTCTTATTATATCTATATTATTTGCATTATCCACATTAATTGACCCATCTAGTCATTATCTAGAAATCACTAGATAGGTCAATTAACGTGGACAGTACAAATAATACAGATGAATATGTATGTCTCTATAAAAGCGATTTAAGTACATCACGTACGTTAGTGCAATGTTTACAGATCGTTGTAATAACGGTTTGAATGGCCTACGCATTTTTACATTAGGACCATAAATACTAACACGAGATATGGAGCAAATAGATTGAGAAGTTAGTAAGTAGATATAATATTCCTATAAAATATCACTTAATAGTCCAAAAGACACACATTTATTGCCTGAATTAACTATAGATGATAGTAGACATTCCGAGTATTATACGTATTACGACACATCTAGTGGCCATGGCCATGATCTCGCATGATTGTTTTCATAATGCGATGCAGCGTTGCCAATGACAATATTAATATCGCAGTCAAGTCTTAGTGTTACCACACGGACATGTATAGAGCGTAATCAAGGTTACCTATATACCTTATATTATCATTTTTAGTAATTATATTATACTCGCTTTAGACAGAATATCAATGAAATTATATTTTTAGAGTGTGCACTCCTGAATGCAACAGAGATAAATTGGTACTGAGCGACCATTAGCACCTGACTTCTTTCGACGTATAATTAAAATTAATAATATTGTATACTGAATAAAGTAAATATCTATTAATTCACAAATAATAATATTATGATTGATATGCTTTTGTTAAGTTTTGTATATTCTTATTAAAAAAGTAAAACATTTTTGGCGCCAATATACTGATTATTAAAAAAAAATATAGAGATGTTAGAAAACAGAACTAATTTATATAAAATGCAGTATTTACTATTAATATAATTATATATAAGAGCACGATAGTCCGAATGAATAATAAAGTATATGGACTTAATGAAATAGAGGTTTAAGTAATAAATTAATCAATACATTTTCCAAAGAAGTCACGCTGTTGTACAAATATTCATTTATGTAGGCGTCGATTAGGGCATGAATTAAACCTAGTTTATACTACTACATAAGTACATATATACTACAGAGTTACTAAAAGTTAGTTTACCCCCGCCGTACCACATAGGAACTTGAACAATCATTGTGGATTAAAATATATATATTATTACAGATGGACAATTAATTTATTTAAAAAAGGATATAAAAATGGAGTCAATATAGAAGACATATGGCAAACTCGACAGAGGGATCTCTCAGGGCAGCTGACTGATCGACTGGAGGTCGCTTGGGAAAATGAATTGTACAAAGCCAAAAGCACTAAGAACTACAAACCGTCGCTGTTTAAAGCTATCGCGCGTACATTTTGGCTTGAATATATGCTATCTGGAATTATTGTTGGATTTGCCTTCATTGTGGTCTTGTAAATATGTTTGATTGATTCATATTAACTACTTAGCTGACATTTTATATACACTTATTTAATATAAACAATTCTTATGAGCACATTCATATGCATGTGTACTCATACATAATGGTATAGTTGTTATAGAATTTGCCATAACAATACCCTCAAATAAATTTATAAACCAAGGTTTCTTTTTCAGCCCGTTAATTCCATATACGCTGGGATTCTTTATAGAATATTTTGCTGGACCAAGAACATCTGAAAATTATAAAAATGCTCATATTTATGTATTTTTCATAAATGTGCTTAGTGTTGGCACATTGTTGTTATTTAACCATGGTATGTTAAATCAAAGCTGTACGGGGATGAGAGTTAGGATAGCTTGCTGTTCACTGGTATATAGGAAGGTAAATCAATATATTATTTAAACTACTATTATTTATATACATATTTTTATTTGATGATATACTTCATTATCTTTATAAATAACTTCTGTATCTTTCGCTAAATAAGTATAAATATCCTTTCGTCTATCTAATATAACTATTGGGTAAGTTTTTGAAATAGAATTTATAGTAACTTTGCTTTTTCATTGCCTGTGTGTTTTCAGATATTAAAACTCAATTATAGTGGATTAAACAAGACTGGGCCTGGACACGTAATAAACTTGATGTCTAATGATGTAAATCGGTTCGATGTAGCTGTGATATATTTACATTTTGCATGGGTAGCGCCTATAGTAGCGACCTTTGTCACTTATCTTGTATGGAAGCTAGTATCTTGGGCTACGTTAGCTGGCATAGCAGTTATGTTTCTCCAGACTGTAGTTGTACAAGGTAACTACAATTTATTAATGTCATTTTCATTATTTTATACCTACATATATACTCATGCATATTACTGCATCTGTACTGCATTCGCACACGTGACCTTTCTGTCTATATATAGATATTTATATCTGTATCTGTATAACATTGCAAAACTAAGCCTACCCTCCCGTCGCGTCTGTCTGCATGTTCTCAATAATCTAAAAAACTACATAACGAATTTTCAGCCATTTTTATAAAGAAAAGTTTAGGGGAACATTAATAAAGTTTCTTATGCAAGGTTTAGGTGAATGACTTCGGAAGATTGTTTAAAGTCTCCCTCTCGTCTCCTCTGTCTACATATTCGCAATAATCTCCAAAAAGATATAACGGATTTTCATCCATTAATAGAGGAAAGATTAGGTGAACAGTAATAAAGTTTGTTGAGCAAGGTTTAGGTGAGTTTTGTGTTTGTCATTTTACGTAAGATGTTTTGAAGTATGACGATGATTGTTAAATTCGTAAATCAAGCCGTCTGGAAGCTTTTATCAAAAATCATCTGACGAATGCGTTGAGATATAATAACAATGTATGAATTAACTAGTCTACTAGAAAGTCCAACATGTCATAGATCTTTTATTTACCAATACTGTAACCATTCGAAGCTCATATAAACCGTCGCTTATTAGTCGGTAATATTTTTTTCTTGTTATATACAAGAAAAAATATTTCTTTTTCTTTTTGTAAAGTGTTTGTGGGCAGCTGGCTATACTAATGTGTAGTAGGTACAACACTACTCATAATTGATTAAAAATTCTATAAGCATATAATTTATAGTTTTGTAAGTATATATGTACATACCACTCATAAATATATATACACCACTCTGCAAGAAAAGGTCAGCTTATTTCCTTCTTCTTTACAATATATATGGTTAAATATCTATTTTTACCTGTAGACAATATTGATTTGTCTAAGGAGTAAATAATAGAGGTTTATGTCCTCTATATTTTCTAACCCACTATTTACTTTTAGTTTATTTAAGCAAGTTACAAGGAAGTTTACGTGGTAAAATTGCAAGACGTACTGATGAAAGGGTGAAGGTGATGAACGAACTTGTTAGTGGTATACAAGTAATCAAAATGTACTCGTGGGAGGTGCCATTCCAGAAGGTTGTTGATAAATTGCGCAAGTGAGTCGTCAGTCTTTATTATCTAAATATTTTGTAGCGTCATCACTAAGTGGTTTAGGAAGACGATATCACCTTACCTGATGGAAACCTAGGATAAAATATCGACAGAATATACCTATTCACTATTAACTAGAAGGAGTCCGCGGTTCTATTTCTCCGGGAACCATAGAGCAGGTAGGGAGTTCAATTTTTTGGCTGGACGCGTTATTTATGTTTATTAAAATTATATTTTTCAAATTAGTAAGATCCTACAAAACAATTTAGTAGTACTTAATACTTTGTCAAAATTAAATAGTAGAGTGCCTATCTGTAGGTACCTATATAAACTTAACATTATTTGCAATAAAATTTAACTTATCCGTTGTCTTACAAGTTTAAAAAGTACCTAGTATATTATAAGTTTATTAGTTTCCCTTTATAGGCTCGAAGTGAAATTGATACTGCGCACGTCAATGATCAAAGGATTCTCGTCAGCACTGGGTGTGTTCACGGAGCGGTTTATATTGTACGCCACTGTGCTAACCTTCGTGTGTATGGGAGGTGACATATACTCGGCCATAACATTTGCACTAGTGCAATACTTCAACCTTTTACAACTTACATGCAACATCCTATTTCCAATGGCAATGTCTTTTTTTGCTGAAGCAAGAGTTTCTATAAAGCGACTTGAGGTAATACCTACTTCATTTACTACCCCTCGCATATCCAAGTTAATGTCCTAATGTTTAGTTTTTTTTTTTATATATTATTTGAGCGCATTTGACCGCAATCTCACAGTATACATCATATGTTTGATTAGTAAGTAAGTTAGTCATTTATTCGCAATACAGACAGATATGCACATAACAATAAAGCCCCAGTGACATTAGTAAGCTGCGCTGTAATAAGCCTTTTTTCAGTAGGCATGCAAATTTTATTAATAAACCCAATAATTATTATCTAACCTAACCTATCAATCACTAATTAACCTACCACCATCTAACTTTATATACCTACAAATAAAGAATATAGTTAAAATATAATTATCTGTTGTTACAATATCACACTGATATTTTATGAGCAATTTTAAAATATGGGATTTTATTCATTCAAAGCAGATCTACAATGAAGATCAATTGCAATAAAATTTCATATATAACGTACTTACAGTGTAAATTTGTGCAAAATTAAGTAGATAAACGATACAGTACATCATTATTGTGGTTAATACATGTCTACGTAAATATTTAAGAATAGTACCTATTACGTATTAATATGTACTAAGTCACTAATAAAGAAGTATTTTATTATTGAGAATTTTCTTATTAGTATGTAATGCCCTTTCATAATTATAAGGTAGATATGTATAATTAACTACTTAATTATATCTAATTATATTACTTAGGACATATGCGATAAAATAGAATTACTTGAAGTCAATAGTCAATTATATCTTAATTTATCATTCTTAATTACCCTTAATATGCAATAATTTTAATATAACTAATTACATCTTATCATTTAGATACTAGTAGTTATTTATTATGTTATGTAACATTTGTTTCAACTAAGTTGGATTTAATTGAATAATATTATATACGGCCATACATACTTACGTATTTACTGACATACCTGTGTTTTTATGAACACTTACACTATGTTATTTTTACACTTGTTCTTGTTGACTTATATTTATGTCATATTTATATAATAAATTACAATTAATGTATTGCATACAAAGAAACTTGTACTATCATAAATACATCTGTGCGACCTAGTTTCTTTTGTAGCATTATTTTTTTTACGAAACATAGCAAAAACATCTGTACCGTATATATAAAGTATCTAATCGTGTAACTTAACAGCCTAATATTGGAAAATTGAAATTAATTTTTAATACATTCAAACAAATTAGGTCGTCGGTCCAGTGGTCAATTTAGTATAAAAACTTAAAAATAACTTAAGTTTTCTACTTCATTTCTTGATGAAAGTGATTAAATTCTAAGACAATGTTTAGTAGAATAATATAAATAAATATATTTGGCTAATTACAGGAGTTCTTAACCCTCGATGAAATTGAGTTGACTAGCGTAATAAATAGTGAAGAATATACGAACAGTACGAAGCTTATTACAAATGATACCAATAACCACGACAATAAAATTTATAATGAGAAGCAAAAGATGGTGATTTCAGAAGTGACAGCCAGCTGGCAACAAGATTGCATTACATTAAAAAATATTTCGCTATCTGCTGCTCCTGGAGAGTTCGTTGGTGTTGCTGGGCTGGTGGGATCTGGTAAGGTATGTACCTGCACCTGTTCTGAAATGATGTTTAAAGTCTAATAATACCAGCAAGTAATTAAAGTATAACAATTCAATCAGGGCACTTAGTCTAACGTGGAGATTTCACCAAGATATAATCACGATGGTTTCCTGGGGACCTTCGAGATCGACCAGATGTTAATATATTTATTCCTACATTATTCAAGAACTAATAAAACTAAATGATAATTCCTTTCATACAGAGACTTTGCACAAAACCCCTTGCATATTGATTGTGCAAACTGTGTTCTGTTAAAGTTACGGAGGTATAAATCTTTATCAGCTGGCACTATAAATAGAAATACACAGGTCCTGATGTATTATGACAATCTATTTAACTATTAGTAGTATCTGCTATGATTACATTACACAACACTATCACAATTTTAATATCTACTTACTATAATATGTACGAGTACATTAAATCCAACCTTCTGAAACTTAAAGAAACTAGTAGGTATATGCTTCAGTAATACGAATATTATTATGCTTTCTAAATTTTTTGCACAAATCAGGCAAATTGTTAAGAAACCATATCATTTAATCTAGTTAATTTCTGTTATTACTTTCTACCATGTGGTAGAGCCCTATAATTTTTCCCTTACATGAGACATGTTTCCTTGATGTTATATAGGCCTCTTCCTAATAAGTAGGCTATCCAACACTAAAGACTTTTGAACTAGCTGTTCCTGAGATTAATTAGCCGTTCAACCAAATAAGCTCCAAACAATTTATTCATGTAGGACCTTTCGGCCCCTTGTGCATATTACCTATACTTTTTATTACTATCCCTGCTATACAAACAAACTTTCTGCTTTATCATATTAGTGTTACCATGGATTATCTATTAAGATACTTGCCTACCTGTATAGTTACATAGATTTATTTTTAAACCCTACTCTAGTTGAGTCTTCGTCTGGCTAGCAGCCATATTTAATTATAAATGTATTTATAAACATAGATAATAAATAAATTTGTATGAGCTCATTAATATTTATAATTTATCTGTTATGGTAATCATAATCAAGACAACTGAAGTTAACAAGAAATCAAGTGCATTGGAAAATTATTATAATTGTCTATATAGATAACATTCGACATAATCGTTATGTAGAGATCTGTACTTGTTTTTAGTATTTTCTATATTATTATTGATACAGGTTAGGTAGGTATACGGTTAAATGTCGTATTATGTATCAAAATAAAAATTTGAACCTACTTATTTATATATACTAAAAATTATGTCCTATTTAAGTATGTCGGTTTTTCTAAAATATAGGATGTAGTCATAGGATATAAGTGTATGTTGGTGCCTTGGACTACGTATACATATTGGTCAAAAATATTTTTCCTTTGTATTTAGTTTAATTCTATATTTTATTTTTCATTAATAGTAATGACTACGTTCCTATTATTGCACTGCAACACAACTAATACAAAATGGCATTATGATATATTTACGAATTACATAAAAGTATTATTATTTACTTTCGTGAATCCCTATAAATTTTAAGAAATAATTAACTTGTGATCTCTTATACAGTCGTCACTTCTCCAACTGATATTGGGCGAGTTAGTGCCATATAAGGGCACGGTGTCGCTGGGCGGCGCCCGAGTTGCATATGCAAGTCAGGAACCATGGCTATTTGTCGCTACAGTGCGACAAAATATTCTATTTGGGTTGCCATACGACCCCGTCAGGTATAAAAAGGTAATAACGACACTAAAATCAGGACCAATATTTGAGCAGCTATGAGGAGCGTTCCTGGATCGCTTCTTAGATTATCTCATACATAACGAAATAGGGACTGATTTTGCAGTGTACAAGAACTGAATATGTCACTACCACTACTGCTCGGTTTCTCTTTTTACTACTATTATAATGATTATTTTATATTGTAATATATTATTATTTGAATTTATTACTATGAACCATATCCATTGGACTAGAGCAAGCATTATATTCTGTATTTATTTTATATGATTTTTTAAAACGCTTAGTTAAGAATTAGTGAAAATACCCCATAAAACCAAATTACTTCAATAGTGGGACTATTGAAGTAATTTGGTTTTATGGGGTAACGTTATAAATATTGTACATCGTAGTTCAAAAATTATAAAATATCATGATATTTTTTCATTAATTATGGATATGAGAAAGCGTATTGAGTGGAGTAGTCCCAATAGTATATTAAAAAATGAAATAAATATTAGTCGAATGTTGATTAACTTAACGTTTCAAATTTCAAATTCAAATTCAAAATATCTTTATTCATGTAGGTCTATTACAGACTCTTATGATATGTCAAATCTACCGTCAGTTCGGAATGATTTCGAGATGAGAAGAACTGACAAGAAACTCAGCTCGTATTTTTTTTTTAATGTTGTACATATTTACAATAATACTCATTTAAATTCAAATTTGGGAGAATAGAGTGACCACCAGCATATGCTATATAAAAAAAAATCATAAAATCTAATCAGTGTTCGCAACCTGAACAGACCAGTCCCCACAAGCAGCACCCGTACACGAGTATGACGGATGAGCCAGCCATCATTGCACTCAACCATATTAGAGGGAGCACATCGACCCGGCCCACCACGCCGCCACAAGTTTGAACTTTATAGCGAGCATGACTGTTTCAAGTTACTCCACTACGTCATTTATATTATTTACAGCATAAACTGTACCAATCACAGTTTTCACCCATTACAATATTTAATTTACATTATTTAAATTACAATATGTCATTACTAAATTTAGGATAAGTTTCTTTAGTGTTTATTATATTATCTATGTCAATGAGAAAGTTATATACCTCATAACAAAAGTTAAAATTGTAATTAAGTCCACGCATTGTAGTCATTCAAGTAGTCGTTTATTTTGTAATAAGCTTTAGCGCAAAGTGTATTTTTTACATGTATTTTAAATTTCCCTTCATTTAAATTCAAAACATTATCGGGCAATTTATTATAAAAACGTATACAATGTCCCATGAAAGATGTACTTACTTTTTTGATACGAAAACTAGGCATATTTAATTTATTTTTTATTCCTTGTTTCTGAATATTACTTGAATATCTATGTTCAGAAGATGGGTGAAGTTTTTTTTAATAGACGATAATGGAATGGTGCTCCCGCCTAACCCACTGGCGGGCCACCAGCGAAGGAGGATAAGAAACTAATGAGGTTAGGTCAGTTAACCCATCATGGTAAATTCACCAGGTTTTTATCAACCAGACATGGTAGATTGCTAGCAATGGGGTCCACATTACTAACAATCCTCTGTACCCCCGAAGGGTGAAGTATTGTCCTGTTATGTCAGGTGGTGACAGCGTGTGCTCTGCTGCGAGACTTCGAGCAGTTGCCGTCCGGTGACGGGACTCTGGTGGGGGAGCGCGGCGCCAGTCTCAGCGGTGGACAGCGGGCGCGCATCGGACTCGCTAGAGCCTGCTACAGACAGGTATTCTTTTATAGATGATTAAGGAATAATGTACCCGCCTGCGATAACGGGTTACACTGACTGGCCACTGATAAAATGAACTCAGGTCAATTAGCCCATATTCGCAAAGAGCACTTTACCACAATGATTTCCAAGAGTTACCACGTTTAGTACTAACGATGCTGAGGTGATATCGTGGTGCTGTACATGTATTGTAAGTAACGGTTGCTGACGTAACCAAACTGACGGCCCTTGTTGGTACTTACCAACAAGGGCCGTCAGTTTGGTTGCCATTCCAATTACAAAAACATGTATATTAGACTCATGATGGTTTTCCAGATTTTGAGTAAAAAACTTCTTTGTAGGCAGATATATATCTACTAGACGATCCATTATCAGCAGTGGACGCTCATGTGGGCAAGCACCTGGTGTCCGAATGTTTGTTAGGCTTACTGCAGCACTCCACGCGCATCCTCGTCACCCACCAACTACACCATCTCAAGAGCGCGGACAAAGTAATCATACTGCATAAAGTGAGTTATAATTTATATTAAAACAATCCGAAATACAATTGTTGAAATTTGATATCGTTATTTACGAATATAAATATTAATTCCTATATTATCTATTTATTTAGTTACAATAAAATTTGAGAAATTCTTTAAAAAAGAATACTCTTAAGTAGATGTTACTATTCTATTTAGAAATCGTAATTTATTATGACTACTTTGTCAAGCCCGTAATATTAAAAAGAAAATTGTAATCTAGTTGTATGTAGTATTATACTCTGTTGGGTTTAGTTGGGGCTTTATATATACCTATCTTACATTTCGTATCTTCATATTGTTTTAATCTAATGAGGCACTAACAAAAAATACTGTACGTAAAATAGAATATATAAAAATTATATATTGTGAACTAAAAAGACGTATAAATAAAATAATACGTTAATCATAGGGTACAATTGACAGTCAAGGCAGCTTTGAGGAAGTGTCGCGGACGCCATTTTTTGCGGAGTTGCTACAAGAAGTTGTTGCAATGGACGATGTATCACCAGTACAGCTACAACGTACCACGTCCATTGTTGTGAGTAATATATTTATGAACTTTTGTATGGGGACTTCCAATGATGGCTGCCACCACAACCTATACTATTATATATATTATAATATTAATAATTATATTAATAACACTTGCCAGTATTAGTATGGTCGTCAACAAACTTGCTACCAATCCTTAGAATATAGATTATGTTCTCAGTAATGAGTTTCTTTTTCGGACTACTCTAATGCTGTTGGGCGCAGTTAACCTTTACGGCTTTACTAGACGATAGGGCGAGTGCAGATGGCACTCCAAATCAGCAGGGTGACTTGCGGAGCGGCTGTAGGCCAGCTTCTGGCCGACATCGAACCTCGACTCAGGCCGTCCTAATTTCGATCCCCGTTTGAATTGTATGGGGGATCAATCAGATAACAGTAATGACTGTGGTTTTTGATGCCAATAGAAATAGTACAATTCCGTACATTTACTTCAGAAAAAGTCTCCTTCTGGTCTAACGCGTATAATAAAAATCTAAAAAATATAACAATTGTTTAATAAATTTTCAGTCACATGTCAGCAATAAAGAGACACCAGACGCAACACCGAGAGAGACCGAAAATGAGGACTCTCAGGAAACAGATGAAATGATTAGCAAAGGTTCAATAGAATTATTTATACCAACGCTAGATACGTTTTATAAATTACTAGGATACTACGATTCACCTCTACTTCGCAATCATCCTTTTGAATCACTCTATCTATTGCTGAAAATTACATACAAATCCGTTGCGTAAATTAAAAGATCTAAACGTACAGAAAGCGGTGGCGACTTTGTTTTATCCCATGTAAAGATAAAATACCTACTTGTTTATTTATATAACACATACTTCAGATTCTATATTGTAAAACAATACAATCAAATCCTTTATGTTATACATATAAAAAATCTCTAAAAATTTTTTGAAAAATTAATATTTTCCCTAAACTATACACGGTACTCTTTGGGTTATACTATTAAGATCTTACTATTTGCTCTTCGAACGACCTATTTGGTCTATTCTTATGACTTTTCACAAACCTATAGCCGAAAATAAAATATATCATATTCTATATATTAGTTTCATATCCCGCGACCAAAAGGTTTATTATTTATTTTTAATAATTTTGACAAGCGCATTTTGACTAATAATGTAATAGATTAAATTATGTACAAAATTTATATTAATTTCACAGGTCGCGTGGCTGGATCAGTGTATACAAAATACTTCGGCGCCGGAAATAGTTGGTGTACATTATTACTCACTTTTGTGGTCATCATTATGGCACAACTTGTTACGTCAGCTGGTGACCTCTGGCTCACACATTGGTAATATTTAAGTATATACTTAATGTACATATTACTGATTGTTCTAAGTAATCTAGGTACCTTATGATTTACTATTCCACATTTACCCAAAGGTTGTCTGGAAGAGATTGCATAAACGATAAGGCCGCCTTTTGACCCTAGTACTCTGTTAATTTGGATTACTTTAATGTATTGGGTGCAATAAAGAGTATATTATAAGAGTAGAATAGAATAGTCATAGTTATCATTATTTTTAATATACCCCTTATTCGGAAAGCTCTCTCAAGAAGAATGAGCAAGAAACTTAAATAATAATTGTAACTTTACAATTTTAAGTCGCAACGTGTGAATTCAAATTACCAACGAGCATTAATTTATTTGGGTCAAATAATAAATACGAACGAATAAATCAGCCGTAGTTATTAGAGCAGACACTGCGCTCGACCATATTTTAAGGGGGTCTTCCTATGTGACGGCCTGTTTTTTAGGGATATTTTAGGATTTTTTTTCTACGACCAGTAAATATTTAGAGCTTCAAGTTTTTTATCATTTATTAACACATATTTGGACAGTATAAATATAAAATTTCAGCTAAAAATATTCAGTCAAACTAGAGTTACAGCGCTCTGAACACCCCCGCCTCGAAAAAAAGAGCACTTCCTCCACGATTCCGGCTGATCGGCTTATCTGAAAAAAAAAAAAAAACGGCGTTTTAATTTGTAGGCTTAAAAGCACGGAATGACCTATAATCAAATGAATATAAAATTGATAGACATTTGAAATAAAAGTTGCAAATTAGGCGTTTTTTTTTTTGTTTTTTTGCTATAAAAAAATCGAAGTTTTGAAAATTTTCGATTGATAATAGTTCATTCCATGCGTTTACATATATTGAGTGTGCCCTGTAAATTTCAAGTAATTCGGTCCAGCCGTTTCTGAGATACAATGGAGGAAAGTTTGAAAAACACAGTTTTGAGAAAAACGCGTTTAAAGTTTCAAGTCCGTTAAAAACTATTAAAATATCAACTTACTCTCAATCGGCGATGCCTGGTCCATAGAGTATTCCTTCCTCTTCCTCGTGAAACTCTTTTAAAGCAGATTGTTCAGCTCTTGAGTCAATCCTGGCTTGTTTAACGACATCATTTACGCGCCGCTCAGAGCGTAAGATTCGCTTTTCATCCCGTTTCTCAACATACGCTTGGGCTTCACGACCAACAGGGCATCCCATAATCGACATAACTTTTAAAATACCTTGAAAACCTTCATTAAAGATAATAACTGCTAAGTAGCTAGCAATTTCAACAACTTTGGGACCAGAATGAAGATGTTTAGGAGCGAAAGTCCAAATCAAAGAATTCAAAGATTCGTTATTGTTTTGTGTCTCTGCTCCTAAACAACGAATTAATAATTCGTCTTTCGATAAATCTTCGAAAACCGGTTTGATAGCTTCTTGGACTTGCGGAATTAGAGGTGGTTTATCGTGATGAAATTGGTCCAGTTCATTATTAGCTTCAGCCTTACGCCATTTACACCAACTGTCTTCGCCTTCTGGACAAAATTGATGCTGAGGGTTTTCATCAGAAGAACATTTGTGATAGTACGTTGCCCAAACTTCCTTTCTCATATCTTCAAGCGAATCTGGATGGCGTCGAATTGCTAATCCGTAGAATTTTGTAATTTCTTGGATAGACTAAAATAACTTCGGTAAAATATTATAACAATAGAAATTTCTGTTTAAGTCTGTAGAAACGTGTCTAAACTTGTATAAACAAATATATTAATAAAAGGGAGGCCAGGTATAAAGCCGACGGTACACAATAGGCCCGGTCTCTAACTGCCAACTCACCGCTCCGAACCGCTCTTTCTTTTACCTGCTGTATCTTTAAAACGACTTCGAATTTTCTAAAATCGCTTTACTACCGTATTATAGACATGTTAAGGGAGCAATTTATGAAAAAAAAAAATCGATTTTTTCAACCCATCACATAGGAAGATCCCCTTAAGGAGCACAATGATGCGGCCCAGTGATGGTATATAAAATTAATAAACATTATTCTTCCATGGTCTGAATGACAATGTGAACGACATGTCGTCAATTTTAAATATCAATTGCATTGCATAACTACTAATTCACATCTTTATAATAAATGTATCGATAAATCACATTTGAATTTTTTCCAGGTTCGATTTTGGCACTATAAAAACATTTATTTTAGTATTGTAGTATAATTTATTTATCTATCATATATTTAGTACAATTTCTGCTAAATTTAAATTGTTCTCAGGAAAAAAACCTTTATAACATAAAGAATCTATAGGGTAGGTATATGTTCATAATATAGGCATAGAAAACACGTAGACCAATACAAACAGTTGCAACCATAAATTACAAATTCTTCACTGTTTGCTTAAGAAATTTTGCAATGAAATAAAAAATAGTAAGAATTTGTACAATAAATTTTAACCATTTTTTATTTCATTGCAATATTTCTTCAACTTACCCTATAGATTCTTTATGTTATGAAGGTTTTTTTTCCTCAGAACAATTTGAATTTAGCAGAAATTGCACTGATATTTAAATGCGTCGCTACGGAATGTTCGAGAAGAAATCAATCAAGAAAGATAAACATCAATGTTCCATGCGTTACGTTACATATTTGATTTTTATTTTTAAATGTATTATTTGTCTATTTGCGATCGCAAACAATTACAATTTAACGTGAAAACTACAGTTACTAATTAAACTATGTACCTAATACTAAGTAACAAATTAAATAATTAATTTCAGGATGAATTCTATAGATGAATTGAAGTCAGCCAAGACCCAAGATATGAATAATACTGAAAGTGATATTAACACAATAGATATCTATAACGATACAGAATCATTTAATAACAACTTAACTAGTTCAATAAACTCAACAGATATACTTGCCACAAATATAACCAATTCAGATTTTTCTTCTAATCCAAATATTCATCAAATGTACATTAATATATGGACCATATGTATATTCGGATGTATAGGATTTACTGCTGGCAGGTGAGGACATAAAGAAGAAGAAAAAAGATGGCGCTGTGCGAATTGTCCTTAGATCTTATTATATAAAACTTATTATGATTTTATTAGTAATTGAAGCTAGCAGATGTAAAAAATCATAGACCATTTTGTCTACGTATTAATTTTATAGAGAGAAATAGTATAAAATTATTCTTTGAAACAAATAAAAATTTTTATGTGCGAGAAGACAATACAGGAAGTTTGTAACGACTTACAAATATGGATAACAGATGTTATGTAAAGGTCATTTGTGCGCCCGCATTTGTTTCTGCATCCGCAATATCGAAATCCAACATGGTAGAAAGAGATTATTGCAGTCCACAATTCTGTTTTAATTTACTAAATATTGTAAAGTATTTTAACTTTACATTATCTTACCTGTGGTAAAATGTAATAGTAGCGTATGTTGTTATATATTTTGCATATTGTTCTTTTCAGAGCCGTTATATTTTTGTGGGTATGTATGCGGAACTCAATAAAACTGCACAAACAAATGTTCGGCAATATACTAGCAGCGACCATGCGTTTCTTCGACACCAACCCGTCGGGTCGCATTCTCAATCGGTTTTCTAAGGATATGGGGATCATGGATGAGATCTTACCCCGTTTGATGTTAGATACCATTCAGGTAAGGAATTCATTGAACGAGTAATTAGGGCCGACTTCGTTGATATATATATGTATAAAGTAAAACAGCACTTCCGGATGATTTGTACTTCTGACTCTGTTGCTCTTTATGAAAACCCCAACAATAGCCTATACACCAAGAAATGGTGCCCAGATCACAATAGTCAAGAGACTATTGTGATCTGGGCACCATGACTATTGTGATCTGGGCACCATTTCTTGGTTTTTATTACGTTCAAGAGCATGGATATCACAAACAATACCTTCACCGTTTCAAAATAATTAATAGTGTCACTTGCCCGTGCGACAACACTACTCCATAAACTATGTTCCACCTTGTTAAAGATTGCAACAGATTTGCCACAACCAGAAATGATCATGAAACCGCCTGCCGAATGTTAAATATAAAAGACTCCTATAGCCTAAAAGACATTACAAGTAAGGAAACCACAACAAATACGTTTATAGCACATATACAATATATCGTTACCGAATTAAAAAAATTTAATCAGACATGAACCAACTTTGAGTGACTGATGCGGTGGTTGGTAGTACTTTTATACTAAGTATAATTGCGCTGCATGCCGTCGACCCAGTAAAAAATGTACAAAAATATTAATTTGAGTTTCACTCCCAATACTAGCAAGCGTACACCGATAGCGCAACCGCTGTATTGAAAGGAAATCCAATATATAACCACATAAATAAAAAAAAAAAGGATATCCCCTTTATACATGTATGTATCTACGAAGTCGGCCCCTTAAGTTATCTAGTACCCATAACACAAGCTTAGACCCATAACACAGGGAAATCTAGACCGAAGTTAAGCTAGCTAATAGTTTAACTTGGGTCTCGCTGTGTGAATTGTCCTGATATTATTATTATCTTATTAAATAGGTGTGCATGGTCATGACTGGGATTCTAGTAATGGTGGCAATAGTGAACCCCTGCATGTTGCTAACAACAGTCGTCTGTGCTGTTCTCATGTACTTTCTGACCATTTTCTATTTAAACTCCGCACAATCTATAAAAAGGTACGTATCAGATAGGAACTTCAAAATATTGAATGTTACAAAATTAAAGACTCTAAAAAGATCGAAATCAGATATGCTTAATTTAATATATAAATGTATTAAAATCAAAATATCTTTATTCATGTAGATCTTTACAGACTCTTATGATATATCAAATCTACTGTCAGTTCACTAAGAAACACTGACAAGAAACTCAATACTTCTAATTTAAAAAAAAAAATCTTGTACTTGACTAAAATGCGTATTAATTTTTAAATTAAGTTAGGAAGAATATAGTGACCACCAGCGTATGCTACCAGCAGCTTTGTCAAAAGGAAATAATTTAATCAGTGGCCGTAACTCGAACTGATAAGTCCCCACAAGCAGCGCCCTTTCACGAGTATTACGGATTACTATAAGTATTGCCTAGTCTAGTATACACAGCACTTTTTTATTTTCAATTCCCCGGATATTAATTTCCAGGATTTCTACAATTTTCTTTAGTAGCACATACAACTTATTTAATTCAAGGTACATTAACAATACATATATGACAGGCAATAAACTTAAACACTAAGGCATTGAGATACTCGCTCTCAGAGGATCTCACTCTGCTTAGCTTGGGACTAGATGGCACTGTGTGATTTGTCCAGAATTATTATTGTTATCATTTATGAACAGAGTTGAGGCTGTCTCTCGAAGTCCGGTGTTTTCCCACGTGTCAGCAAGCATGGCGGGTCTGGCGACGGTACGTGCTTGCGGTGCTCAAGAAATACTACGACGACAGTTCGACGATAAGCAAGACGTACACACAGCCGCTTGGTAAGTATGTAAGACTTCCACTGTGCGCATCCTGATTCCTGATTCATATCAGGATAGGTATGATGATGTGATATATAAAGGCTACCAGAACTGACTGTGTATATAGGTATACATTCCCCACGTTCTGTTACATATTCCATAAATTATGAGAAGTTGACAATCCAAACGAAATAATATTAAGCAGTTAGATGACATGTATACATTTTAAATATAAGTTAGTAACCCTGGTTTGTATGATGTCATATTATAACTGAAAGTGAAAAAAACTTAACAAAATATGAGTTTGCATATTTTCGAAAAATGTACCTCTATCTTACATATTAATTCTGCTCTCAAGTAAAGTTTACAAAATGTATTCCAATTTTAAAGATGAAATATATAGATGTGAAATTTACGAGTCAGGGTCTATAGCAAAAAAATCCAGGCGCTCATGATTTGGTTTCGGTCCATAGTCTGATTTTAAAAACAACAGTACTAATGACTAATCATATACTCAGTTTAAACGTTGTTACAACGTCGTTGTATAAATAAAAATACTTCAAGATTTCATATGTATGTTAAGACAAGAGTGAAAATGTGGGACCAGAAAATGCCCGCGGCTAGCAGCCAGCATTTGCTACTCTAGCTATTAGGTTAATCCGTCACTGCAATTAAGCATGTTACTGTTCTAGTATGTCTGTTAACATGCAAGATAATAAGAAAGTGTTTCTGTGATCCTATCTCTCATGTGTGTGTCAGCAACCAATACCATAGACGGTATTGGTTGCTGTCCCAAACCATCAAAAGTCGTGCTTTTTGCAAAAGTATAATAAAAAATATTATTTCTAGGTACTTAACATTAACAACTAACGCAGCTTTTTCAATTTGGTTAAGCGTCGTGTCAGCTGTCTATGTAATAGTGGCCTCCTACATATTTCTCCTATTGGACGGTGATGGTAAGCTATTGGGCTTTTTATTTCGTATTTTAAAAGACTATAATCAGTATTGGAAACCTATGCAATAGACATGATTCAATCCGTCTATTTTCAGGAAATTACAAATCTGGCAATGTAGGCTTAGCTATAAGTCAAGGGTTGATTCTGGTAAATATGGTACAACTCGGCATAAAACAAGCAACGGATGTAATATCTCAAATGACGAGCGTGGAGCGCGTCTTACAATTTACCTCGCTGCCACAGGAGCAAATCGCCGGCCCTACGCCGCCCGCAAGCTGGCCGCAAAGGGCCAGGCTTGTTTTCAAAGATCTCTACTTGAGATATGATGAGGAAGCCGAACCAGTACTAAAGAATTTAAATGTCGTCATTGAAAGTGGTTGGAAGGTAAAGTTTATTAGACTTTCATTTATCCACGTTTATATGAACTTAATCAGTAATCACTAATATCTATAGTTTTGGAAAATAAGACTTATTGAAAATTATCTGGAAAAAGACATTTTAATGTAGTTTTAGCATGATTAAACCTGAAATTTACTTATACCAAACTTATACCAAATAACTTTTTATGAAATAGGCCGATTTTGGTGTTTATTTTTAATCAGAATGAGTTGAGGAAAGACAAAATAAATATATTGTACTGAGAGTAAACCGTCTGCTTCTTGATCATTAATGGCATGTTATAAGAACGATGAGTTAGGTATACATTCAAATTGTGTTATTATTATTATAGGTAGGTGTTGTGGGGCGCACAGGCGCGGGCAAGTCGTCCCTGATATCGGCGCTGTTCCGGCTCGCGCCCATCGACGGCCACGTGTTCATAGACGACATCGACACCGGCGACATCGCCCTCAAGGTACCATTAATATTATTATTATATTGTATTGTACCAGTTACTCGTAACTTTGTTAGCAACACACTATTGTCCTCTATTTTATTCCTTTTACCAAATATTTTTTTGAAATAATTGATAGTCTATTGTCGGCTGTCGCCCTCGTACGTATCATTACGTATCTTTGTAATAATGCAACAGAAGATTTTCGCTCTGAATTCTGAATAATCGTTTCCTAAAGATTTTTTTAAAATTCAAACGACTTCATACCAGTGAACATTGATTTGCAAAGATTATATCTAGTTAAAAACTTGTCTTATTTTACAGTCACTTCGGTCCAAAATATCCATTATTCCTCAGGAGCCAGTGCTTTTTTCTGCTTCATTGCGATATAACATGGATCCTTTTGATAAATACTCGGATTCTGATATATGGAATGCACTAGAGCAGGTAAGAATAACAATCGCTTTATCACTGTATAAATCTTATGGTGAGCTCATTTTTATGGAGATAATTTTATTGTAGGTGGAATTAAAGAGCAGCATTAATTCGCTGTCGGCGAATGTGGCTTCAGGAGGTAACAACTTCAGCGCCGGCCAACGGCAGCTGCTGTGTTTAGCACGCGCCGCGCTCGCTCATAACAAACTGCTTGTACTTGATGAGGCAACCGCCAACGTCGACCCCAAGTATATTAACTTCTTATACCCAACGTTTTTCGTAATAAGGTTTAAAAAACCAGTTTCTTTGGCAATACCGAATGCGTGATCCATCAGGTGGAGAAAAAGCAAAATAAGACTCGCAGATTATTTTTATTTTTATCTTTTACTAGCCACTCGCCCCGGCTTCCCACGGGTGTACATGTGTTATACATATATATATATAAATTTTCCTCTTGAATCACTCTATCTATTTAAAAAAACCGCTGCAAAATCCGTTGAGTAGCTTTAAAGATTTAAGCATACATAGGGGCGGACAGACAGCGGCAGCGACTTTGTTTTATACTATGTAATGATGATGATTATTAACTTCAAAGACACTATCTTTAGCTTACTACAGACAGATTAATTAGACCACCATGGCTAAAGCAAAGTAAAATAGAAGATGATATTTAATATACGAATATGTAATAATATATCCCATTATACTGTTTCTAGCACTGACGCCTTGATTCAAAAATCTATAAGGAAACACTTCAGCGAGTGTACGGTGGTCACAGTAGCACACCGTCTGCACACAATCGCGGATTCTGATCGCGTCATTGTAAGTCTTCTATTATACTGTTTTAAGTTAATCCATAAATACACATGATATATTTTTCAACGCGGCTGATTTCTGGTATACAAATGAAAGAACGATTTATATATATTTAGTAACTAAAGGTCAAGGGGGAAGAGGATTGTTAGTAACGGAGACTAGCCCTATTACCAGAAATGTGCTGTGTCAAGTCAACCTCGATGCAATCCAACTGGAAACAATTGTGGTTCATTCCTGCCAAATTGACCATGATGGGCTAGCTGATCTAACTTTATTATAGCATCCTCCACAAGTGTCCCGCCAGTGCATACCGTTAGAGCAGGTGGCTGCATCATTCCATTATTATGCATTGAATAAACACGCGTGTCAGACATGCATATTATTGACAAAATCTCTAATTTAAATAACTAAAAAGAGAATATGTAACCTGATAATGTATTTTTTGTTTCAATAATTATATGAATAGCAAAATGTAACTAACATAAAATTTATTATAAAAACAGGTGATGGAAGCTGGTCAAATAGTAGAGTGTGGACACCCACATGAGTTACTACAGAATTCAAAAGGTCACTTTTATAGTATGGTCAGCCAACTAGGGCCTGCCTCAGAACAAAAACTGTGTGAACTAGCAAGAAATGCTTATGCAGAACATGTGAAAAATTATAACTCCAGTGATGCAGCAAATTTAAATAGATAATTGCTAATAAATCCCAGTTATATGGACAGAATAGTAGATAAATTGATTAATGTCATATTCAAAATTTAATATAGAAGAAACTTAGATAGTGAACATACAGGGACTAAAACTATAGACTCATCTAAATATATATTTAGTTAAAATATTAGATTTTAAATTTCAATCTCTATCAACAATATATATATATATATATATATAATATTTTAATCATAAGTTAATGTTATATTTATTGTTACCCAATGATTGTAATTATTAATAAATAAATGTTATTTTATTAATCTCTTTATTATTCTAATTCACACTAAAGATGAATGATTACAAGAATGAATGTACTGAAGGAAAAATTACAATTTGAATTGTAAAACAAGGACTTATAAGTAGCATTTATTGAAATATGTATGTATGTTTCAATAAACAAAGTTAAATAGACAAAGTATAAGAATTTTGCATACACTAATAGTACCTATTCAATTTTATTACGAACTGAATATTGAAGTGGTTAAATAAATTTTTATTTAAACTTACATAAATATTACATCTTAACATTGTATAGATTTAATGTGCAGGGGCTGAGAAATTTCTATCACGTCCCGAGCCTTGTGATAGATGTATAGAATTTCATCACACTAACTTTCTACTACTGGCATACTCTCACTATCCAAGTCTGATGACATGCTAATGCAACATTGAGTATATATACGTAATTCAAACGTATCATATAAAATTGATCCCATAAAAATTTATTGAAAATATTTATAAATTAAAATACTGAGATTGTCTTATAACATATATTTTACAAAATATAAAAATAACACTTATACATAGTTACAGTTTAATTTAAAATACTCACAATTATATGAATATTATTTGTATGAATGTGGACCTCAGAAATCAATCAATTTACAATTATTATTTAAATAGTAACATTAATTACATTACAAGCTTTTGTCATATTAACTGAACTTTTCCATTTTTAACTAAATCTGCCACAGGTTTATACTGCAGGATATGCTGTGATCCCTCTGAAAAGATATTTATTCTTATTATCATGTGTTCAATGCATAGAGCATGTTATTGTAAAACAAGTTATCAACTTTTCTTTAATAATTTAAACTTATACTATCTACACAATAAAACCAGATTTGTAAATCCAAATATCTCAATGTATTATCTCTGAAAGGTCAATTATTGTCAATGACTAACATTTTATTGCACACTAAAAAATATCTATACATCTGTTTCAGTGTCTCATAAAGAACTTAAAATACTTTTTAAAATCATTATAGCCATGTTGTCGTTCATATTCATACTGAAAAATAGTAGTGTTACTAAACAAACCTTCCAAATCAATTTCTTCATCTTGATCTCCAAATATATCCTCTAACACCACTCCATTAACAGTCTCATTTGCTTGTAAAAATACATGGGTCTGTAAATTTGGATAAACAGCCATTTTACTTGTTTCAAATGTCTGCATATTATTTGGTACTTTATTTAAAACAACTGTTTTCAAATGATTTTGCATGTTTAACAAATATTCTTGAGCATATTTATATTCTGATGCTGTTAGATAATTTGTACCAGATTCTATTCTTTGTTTCTCTTCATTTAGAATTGGAATACAATGTTTTTCAATTTTGTTTAGCCTAGTTCTAAGGTAATTACATATAATAAATTTAATTCTACTAAGCTCCATTTTGTGAATAGAAGCACGAAGATCTGTTTTAGGTAATTTGTTAATATTCCTCTCCATGTGCTGTATTTGTCCAAGCATACATTCAACCATATCATTCCGGTGTGGAAGTATTTCTGGCGCCAAACGTTCGTTCTGCCAAGCACTTTGAATTGATTTTAATACAGTATCTGCTGTGATTTCTTCTTCTTCATCACTTAGTTCTATATCGTCCTCTAAATTCATATTTATAAAAACAATGTAACAAAAAGGTTATTCGGTAAAGTACCTTACCCACCTTGCTTGTAAAATCACAGAACAATTGATTCTATGCCATTGAATAGAAAAAAAAACTACTATATTACATTGTATAAATAAAATAAATAAATCTTAATGCCAAAATTACTTGATTTAAATTTCAGTTGAAGAAATTAAATTGACCATTGTATATAAATATGACAGGCAGAGTTTGACTTTGACAGCCAAAGATTCCAGTTTCGTGACAGCATAGTCTATTAATTTAGAATATTGAAAAATCGGTCAACATGTGAAATTATCTATTAGGATTAGAGTTCAGTGCATGAAATAGTATGAAACCATTACTATAATATATATGGGAAAATATAATTAATATGGAAATTATATATTCTAGAAATAAATATTGTAGTGAAAAACAGCAGCGTTACTTATACTTGTGTCAACTATACAAATAAATAAAATTGAAGTGTCTGTTTGTAATTTCAAATTAACAACTTTTCACTAAATGTGAAACGTTTACATACAGTACCTACATCAAAAATATTTAATTTTTATTAGTCTGTTTGTTTATTCCTGCTAAACTATGAACCGGCTGGACCGACATTGATGGGACTTTCACTGGCAGATCGTTAAAATATAAGTAACATAAGTTTCTCCTTATAGCATTATAAGGAGTAACTTAGGTTACTTATATTTAAAAAAAATATTTATTTTAATGATAAGGAAGTTACTCCACGCGGACGCAGTCGCTGATAACAACTAATTTTAAATATAAACTATATATATATATGTATATATTTAACCTTTTTAAATATGAACCGTACATCTGTTTATATCTGCATCTTTCAAAATCTTCATATGTAATCTTTCAATCAGACTGTAATAATAAAACAATTACAATTACGTTATAATAGCTATAATAGTATGATATTTCTATAGATATAGAATTATTTTGAGATAACTTAACTATTATAAGTACTAGTCGTACTATTTACCGTCAAACTCACTGAGTTCTCTACCTACATATTTTTAATCCAGTTAGCTCTATGCCTACTGTATGTATACTTACTAAGAGCCTTATAATCATATTACTGGCATACTTAAGACATAAAATACAGGGCGGTAGTGATACACAAGTCTACACTTAAATAAATATAGATATAGAGTCACGTGGGGCAAGTGTGCGCACTTAAGGTTTGAAGTATCATATAATAAAATATTTGAAGTTAACTGGAACAAAACAAGGTTTATTATATAAAATATTTAATAATCAACAACTTAAACGCAATATAAATAATTATCATTTACACAAATTCTTTGGAAATCAACAAAATCAAAACTGTTTAAATGCGCACACTTACCCAAGTATAGGGGTAAGTGTGCGCAGTAGTGCGGGTAAGTGTACGCAACATGTAACATACAGTAAATAGAGTCAGACTCATATGATAAACCAGAAAATAGACATCCTCAACCTAATAATACATCAGTTCAAATAATTCCTTTTCAAAGTTATTGCTTTGTTCATGCCACCAGCTCTTACAGATGCTGTATTGGATCCAGTCTTCTTTCGGTGGAAATATGTATTTTTCTCCATACAGTGGGCAAAATAATTCCTGCTCATCATTTTATTTATTTTCAGATCAAGTCGTATCTTCTTTTTTGGCAATTTATTCTTCCTCTTGTTTTTGTTGAGTATTGTTTTTTGCTTGAAATCGCAATATTTCAAGCAAAAAACAATACTCCCTTACGGAAACAAAATGGTTCAACGGCGGACAGTGAAAAAGTTGCACTAAGTATAGCCTTTTGTGCGCTAATGAGGAGGGGTGTTATCAGTTCGTACCTATAAACCGTTTTTGAAATACTTCGAGTGCGTACACTTACCCGCTGCGCACACTTGCCCCACGTGACTCTACGTGTTTAATTCTACAGCTATATATGCTTGTTCTTTAGAATAACTACAATTATTAATTAATATACTGAACTGTACGGTAGGGAAAATATTTAAATTATAATGTAAAAAATTGACGTTCATAAGCGGCTAAAATGTCCTACATGAATAAATAATTTTTGAATTTGAATTTGTATTAAATTAGAAAGGCGAAAGTATTCTAAGATTTATAATAACTAGATGAACTGATTACCTACCAATCATAATTGTTACCTGAATAATACATAATTTATATATTCGAACCTTATATTCGTAAGCCACATTTTGACACAAATTATTTTGTAATTTTGTATCATAAAATTGTTTAATTATCTTTAAAGTATATGATATCTTATTAATATCTATTATTGCATTGCATTAGTGAGCGTAATGAATGAATATGGAACGGTGTAAGTTGGCTAGGCATCAGTGAAGGATTATAAGATACCTAAGCATGAAGCGGGTTAGTTAGCTCATTATGGCGAATTTATCAGGAATTAACTACAATGGTGTCCAGAAAAGACCGCGTGAGTTTTAAACTAACAATGTAATCAATGTAAACAATGTACTATACCTACTGACAATCCCCTCTTGATAAAATTCATGAAGATTTGAAGAACCAACTTGCCTATGATTGATGTTATGACTAGAAAGGCTTAATGAAGTAAGATGAATATGTGGATACATATATATGTAGACATGTTGTTCAAAATTACCAATTATAGAACTTTAAACAGAGAAAATGAAAGGTATATGAAGTATATTATTTTCCTTTAGTCCCAAAATATTTAATATTTTATCAAAATACTTAATTGTTATTTGTTTTGTTACATTAGTAAACCCAGAAGCCACCCCTGGGAAATGTGTAAGTAGAGTAATATATTCACTGTCTTAGATATCTATATCTCATTATGAATATCGATTTACTTAGTGACGTCGTCTTTAATCCATAGCATTTCCCTTATAAAGGTAAAGGCATCTCTACAGAAGACGAGTAGCCTCCGCCTCGGCAAGCCCGCAACACGAGATTGGTTATAACTACACTAAAGACTGGAGTAGTTCGTGTAACGATTTTCTTCAGTATTTTTAGTAATAACCAGCTCGAGTGGCCTTCCTCAACCCTGGACCTATACAGTAAGCGCCTGGATTACATGTGCAGTGTTCAAATATTATTTTTTTAAATTTATCTTTTTCATACATATACATTTTAGACTAATTATATTTTCATTCTTTATGTTGAACCTATCTGGCAGGCTGATGCGTAATAACTGTATTATCTGTCTAATTTGAAAATTGTCTTTTTATAGGCTGTTTTTAGACACTCACTATTATGTTGCGTTCATATGAACGGATTTAATTTGGTTTTCGATTATTTTAAGTTATAGGTAATTTACACTGGTTTCATTCAGTTCTGAAAGTTATAATTTGATAACAATATTTAAGCATTGGAGCGAATTTTTAAAGATTTTTGTAAAAATATACCTTAATAGCGTGTATTTATACAGGTTAATCGCATATCGTGTTTCGTATGAAGATGTCTTTCGCAAACCTGGACCCCGGCCCAGGTGTGGCAGCGCTGCAGGCATGGGGTGGACAGGCAGCAGCGTACGGGGCGTCAAACCAAACTGTTGTCGATAAAGTACCCCCTGATATGTTACACATGGTGGACCCACATTGGTAATTATATATTACACTACACTTAAAATAACTTTATTTACAACAGTGTAATTCAGTTTAATTTAATATATTGCTGCAACCTGCTTCTAAAAATGTTTCACTCTTGTTTTCTGTCGTCAAAAGTTAAAATATTTCCAATAAAATTGGACATATTAATACTTTTCCTCGTCGCGAATTAATATATATGAATTAAAACGTCCGACTTATTATGTAGCTCATTTATTACTCGCTGTCAGAATATCAAAATCAAATGAATATCTTTTCTTTAAAAGAAAACACAAATACATTTTCATAATATTAAAAGAGGTTTACGTTACGTTATACGCATCACTAAGTAAGTGTTAATTCAATAGAATACACAAAATGTGTATTGTATGTAACATTATTCGTGTGTTAAGATTAAACTTAGGCACCAATTGAATTACAATTTTAGAAACAACTAAAGAAAATCAGTTGTCATAGACTGTCTATATGTACTACTCGGACGGAAGAAGGTACTACTACTAAGACTGAAATATTATAGCTGTTAATAATAATTATAAGAATGCAGATAGAACAGAATTTCATTAAGAACCTTCTTCGTTATTCCTTGTTCCTCCGAATTTCAATTTCAACGAAACTACAAGAAAACTGCATGATGGCCGACCTGGGTATGTGTATTCTAAGTACAAGTTAAATATTTTTTATTATTTAGGTATCAATTTCCGCCTATGAATCCACTGTGGCACGGACTATTGGGTTTCACTATCGGCGTACTTGGCTTCATATCTATCACTGGCAACGGAATGGTCATATACATATTTTCTTCTACTAAGGTGAATGAAATCATTTACAATGTCTTGAAGAAATATTTATATATATAAATACAATGTACTTTAGAGTATTTAACATTTTTCTTTGTTTGCAGAGTCTTAAGACACCCTCAAATTTGTTAGTTGTGAACTTGGCATTCTCGGATTTCTTAATGATGTGCGCAATGTCCCCGGCAATGGTTGTGAATTGTTACCACGAAACTTGGGTATTTGGTTAGTAAATTTGTTACACTATCCTCGAGAAGACACGTAACACCTACTGTCTATCTGTCCTAGTGTATCATAATTATCATACTGAAAATCGACGGAATAAGATAAAGTCAAATGTCTATGCCCTGTGATACTCCTTATCATAAGTATGTATGTTAGATTTCTTTTTTCTTTTAAAAGGCAAAGTATACTTATATAATAAATAAAATTTTCAGGCGCATTCGCGTGTGAACTGTACGGATGTGCTGGCTCGCTATTCGGATGCGCGTCCATATGGACAATGACAATGATCGCCTTTGACCGGTACAATGTAATCGTAAAGGGTATCGCCGCCAAACCCATGACGAACAATGGCGCCCTGCTTCGTATCCTCGGTATTTGGGCATTTGCTCTTGCTTGGACTCTAGCGCCGTTCTTCGGTTGGAACAGGTAGATTCTTTTTTATTTTTTTCTCTTTTATCTTCTTATTTAAAATTCAGTTAATTCCGTATGTTTCAACCTACTTTTTCTTAACTACATTATTCTACTACAACTCAGAACGATTAATTTAGTTAATGCTGTTCAGAAGACGTAATATATTAAATAAAAATGTTATACATTTCTTCTATTAAGCAGAGTACTATAAAACCAAAAAACCATCGTCTACTACACATAAACAATACTATGTGTATTAGTGTACGCTGCTCGTATCAAAGGTGTTTTTACTATCTTAACTGTTTTAGCGAAACAATAATTTTGATAGCTCACGATAGATGAGATGACGATGGCTATATTTAAACTCACGTCCTTTTGGGAGTACCTACATCTGGGTAGTATAACACTAGGCCACGATTCTCTTAAGAATCAATACATATGTTGTAGGTATGTACCAGAAGGGAATATGACTGCTTGCGGAACAGACTACTTGTCCAAGGAGTGGCTCAGCCGCAGCTACATCTTGATCTACTCCGTGTTCGTGTACTTCATGCCACTTTTGCTCATCATCTACTCTTACTTTTTTATTGTTCAGGTATGCAAGAATCAGATGAACATTTTATGAGTGTCTTAGTTTTTACTAACCTGTGTATTTACGGGTGAAGGGGATTGTTAGTAAGTTGACTACTGTTGACCCCATTGCTAGCAATATATATAGCATGTTAACTTCCATGAGGTTCCCCCTGGACAGCATTCTGATAAATTCCTGCTGAATTTGTCACGATGGATTAACTAACCTAACCTCGTGTTCATCTTACCATGTTCCACTGGTGCCCCGAGAACGTATACAGTTAGCGCAGGCGGGTGCACCATCCATATTGATAAAAAACCTGTCTACGATCCTGTGATCTTACCTAGTATTTTAATTACAGGCTGTGGCAGCTCACGAAAAAGCCATGCGAGAACAGGCCAAGAAAATGAACGTTGCTTCTCTTCGATCTTCAGAAGCGGCTAACACAAGCGCTGAATGCAAATTGGCTAAAGTAATAAATTAAACATTTTTTCATGTAATTAGTATGAGAAACAAGCTGACGGTTCACCTGATGGTAAGTGGTAACCGTCATGAAGAGTACTATGGAAACGTTATCGTGTGACATCCATGATACCACTCACGCATTACCATTCCAGAGAACTGAGAAGTCATGCCTCTTATCCTGTACCTAATTTCAGTACCCAATCAGCACCCTATAACCGAAACAAAGCTTACAAGGCAAGTTGCTTGGTGGCTAAAGTACCCACTGAGACAAAAAAAATGAGGTTCCTACACAGACGACTAATACATTATGTTATGTACTTGCATAGACCACTTCGCAAATAGTACTAAGTACTACGTGTTATTTCAGGTAGCGTTGATGACTATTTCGCTGTGGTTTATGGCGTGGACTCCTTACTTGGTGATTAACTATACTGGTGTATTTGAAAGTGCACCCATAAGTCCTTTGGCTACAATCTGGGGCTCACTCTTTGCTAAAGCTAACGCCGTATATAACCCAATTGTATATGGTATCAGGCAAGTATTATTTTATTTGACATATAATGTCGTAAATTATAACATTTCTGAATAGCCGAAACATAACTTTGCAGCCCGGTAGCAGGAAAATCTGATTGGCTATTGGCTTAATGAAGAATTTCAAATATACATATTGGTATATCACTTATTAATGTTATTATAGACATTCAGACATATATTTATATTATAAAAAAGCACTATACATATATAAGTAATATTATATATGCACAATAAATGTATATTATTAAGTATATACATAGATATAATTTGGTATATTTAAATATTGAGGAACACTAACATAATAAATCTATATAGTACTTAAATATAGTACTTAATCATGTATTCACTCCTATATCCATTCGCGACTCAACTTTAGCTGCAATTTGTCGGGCACACACATGTACGCGATAAAAATAATAGCTTTCTACGTACTACCTGGTGACTATATTCTGATTTTTTGTTCTATGCTTGTTTGCATTATATTAATAACATTGCATTATATTATTGTATTGTTCACCCGTAGTCATCCCAAATACCGTGCTGCGCTCTACCAGAAGTTCCCGTCACTGTCATGCGAGGCATCCCCTGATGACAGCGGCTCAGTCGCATCTGCAACCACTGCAGTCTCCGAAGAAAAGCCCACAGCGTGAATATTCCAAACGACAAACGGCTTACGAACCATTGGACACACGATATTGCCAAAGCGATGTTATTTATTATTTTTATACGAAAACATTTACATTTGTACGATTTCTAAACTCGAACACAGAGCGTGTGCTGGGTGCAAAATATTCGGGCATTTGTATATTACGTTGTTATTACCTGCGTATTTTGAGTGCACGTTTTATGTCTCGAGTTGAACGGTGCACACTTTTCTTATACCTAACATTATACTTCAGAGGCCAACGACATAAAAAAAATATAAAAAATATTACACGCATACATATTATGTCGCTAGGCCGCCCCTACCATGAGACTGCTCCTTTAGGATATAAGTACTTGGATGTTGTATATAGAAACTTCTTAGTGAATGACTTGTAATTAGTACTAAAGAATAATAAACAGATTCTGTCAACATCTCAAACTGATATTTTATTTATCCAATATTTTATATTAAAAACCTTTAATATAACATGGCGCAGTCGGTAAATTAATAAAGATTTAGATTCAGCGCGGTTATTTGGATTTATTACTGTAATGGCTGACGAAAATAATAGTTATGGAAATGTATTACGGACACCTTCCGAATTAATATGGAATGTCAATATGGAAGATAGTTGGAAAATTTTTCAACAGAAATTAGAAATATTTCTGTTGGCATCGGGGAATGACAGTAAATCTGGTAAGATAAAAACAGCTATTCTTCTAAGTCTTATAGGTGATAGAGGTCTAAGATTATATAACACATTTGTATATGATGCATCAAAAAATGAAAATAAAGATGATTTTGAACTAATATTATCTAAGTTTGAAGAACACTTTACTCCTCAAAAAAATATCACATATGAGAGATACAAATTTTTCTCTAGAAATCAGAAGCCAGATGAAACATATGAAGATTATATTGCGTGTTTACGTGATTTGAGTATGACCTGTGAATTTGGCGCGTTAGCCGAAAGTCTTATAAAGGATCGTTTGGTATGTGGAATATCAGACATTACAGTAAAGGATAGATTATTACGAACTAGGGATTTATCATTGATAAAAGCTGAAGAAATTTGTCGGGCATCACAGGAAACGAAAATGCAGATTCAACAACTTTGTGCTAACACAGCAGATTGTAATGGTGGTGAATCCAGTGGAATACTAAAATTAAATCGAAACATACGTGATAAAGTTGACATTGACAGAAAATATGAATCTTCTCGATATCAGATAAAAAATAGTAATTTGAAAGTTAAAACTTTTTTATGTAAACGATGTGGATATGAACATATACCTCAACAATGTCCAGCATTCAACAAAAGATGTTTGAAATGTCAGAGATATAATCATTTTGCTAGACAGTGTCAAGTAAAAACTGTTGAAGTTGATGAATCCGAACATGAAATTGAAACTATTCGTTTGGGCGCAGTTTTCATACATTCACTCAATGGTAACAAAGACTGGGTAATAACAGTTGGAGCATATAATCAAGGTAATTTAAAAGAATTGAAGCTAAAAGTGGACACTGGTGCACAAGCAAATGTACTAAGGGCAGATAATTTACCTGAATTAGGTGGTGACATACATAATTTACTAATTACTAATTCCAAGTTGACGACTTATACGGGAACTCCGATCAACTGTTTAGGTAAGACTGTTCTGGACTGTAAATATAATGGTAATGTTCATAAATTAGAGTTCTTTATAGTAGATTGTGAACGTGCGTGCAATATTATTGGATTGCAATCTTCTGCACAATTGAAAATAATAAATCCTGAATACAGTATGGGTCAGGTATCATGTGAGCAAGTTGTTATGACAGATTATAAAGAATTGTTTGTCGGTTTGGGATGTATGAAAGAAGAGTATGACATTAAATTGAAAGAAAATGTGAGTCCTGTAGTTCATGCAAGTAGACGTGTACCCCTAGCTATACAACCTCGTCTTAAGAAGAAGTTAGAGGAGTTAGAGCGAATAGGTGTTATTTCTAAAGTTCAAAATCCTACTGAATGGGTTAACTCTTTAGTAATTGTGTATAAACCTAATGGCGATTTGAGACTATGTATAGATCCTAAAGATTTAAATGAAGCTATTCAAAGGCAACATTTTGAACTCCCGACTTTTGATGAAATATCTAGCAAATTATCTGGAGCTAATATTTTTAGTACGCTTGACATTAAAAATGGATTTTGGAATATTAAATTAACACAAGCCAGTTCAGATCTTTGTTGTTTTAATACGCCATTTGGCAGATATAAATTTCTTAGAATGCCCTTTGGTATTTGTAGTGCTCCAGAAATTTATCAACATCGTATGCGTCAGATGCTAGAAGGATTAGAAGGGGTTGAGGTATATATTGATGACATATTAATTTGGGGTAAAGATGAAAGTGAGCATGAAAAAAGACTAAGGAAAGTATTTGAAAGATTACAAGAAGGTAATGTAAAGTTAAATAAAGAAAAATGTAAAATAGGTGTATCAGAATTGAAATATTTAGGTCATATAATAAGTCAAGAAGGAATACAACTAGGAAAAGATAGAATTCAATCAATTTTAGACATGAAAAGTCCTAAAAATCGTAAAGAGTTGGAACGATTTCTAGGAGTAGTTAACTATATTTCCAAATTTGTGCCTAATTTTGCAATAGAAAATGCTCCTCTTAGAAATCTTCTTAAAAAAGATGTTGAGTTTGATTGGAATGAAAGTCATGAGGAAAGTTTTAATAGAATAAAGAGTTTATTAGTAAAAAAGCCAGTGCTACAATTTTTCAATGAAAAGTTACCTATTCTTTTGTCCGTTGATTCTTCAAAATATGGATTAGGTGCTGTTTTACTACAGAATAATCTTCCAGTAGCGTATGCCTCAAAAGCGTTAAATGAGTGCCAAAATAATTATGCTCAAATTGAGAAGGAGCTTTTGGCTATTTTATTTGGTTGTGAGAAGTTTAATCAATTTATCTATGGTCGAAAAATTACGATTGAAACTGACCACTCTCCTTTAGTTTCACTAGTTAAAAAACCATTGAATACTGCTTCTCCTAGAATACAGAGAATGTTAATTAAACTTCAAAAATATCAATTTGATTTGGTTTACAAAAGAGGTAGAGAATTATATTTGGCTGATACATTATCTAGATCGTTTAATGAAAAGTGTAACTCTGAAATTGATTTAGAAACTGAGGAAATTGAGGCTAAAATTGATATTTTACTTTGTGTAGTTAATATTTCTGATAGACAATTAGGTAATATTCGTGAATTAACTGCACAAGATAATGAATTAAAAACTGTAAAAGGATTTATTAAAAATGGTTGGCCTTGTCATAGAGCCCAAGTACCTGATATTGTTAAATCATACTGGAATGTGCGAAATGAGTTAATAATTAAATCTGGTATTATTTTAAAGAATACATGTTTAGTAATTCCTCATAAATTAAGACATGAAATGCTATCTAGAATACATTATCCACATTTAGGTATAACGAAGTCATTGTTACGTGCTCAAGAAGTCATGTATTGGCCTGGTATGCATTCTCAAATTGTTGACATGATTTCTTCTTGTGAAACATGTAAACTTTATAGTAATAACAATAAAAGAGCCTTTAGTTTCTCATAGTGTGCCAGATAGCCCCTGGCAAAAGGTAGCAGTTGACATATTTGAGCTTGGTGGAAACAGTTATTTATTAGCTGTCGATTATTATTCAAAGTATCCTGAACTATGTTATTTGGAATCAACTACAAGTACTTCGGTTATTATTAATCTTAAACGAATATTTAGTAGGAATGGAATACCGGAGACATTAATAAGTGATGGAGGTCCACAGTTTTCTTCAACACAATTTAAAGAGTTTTCTATAAAATGGGAATTTGATCATATTTTTAGTAGTCCTGAGCATGCACAATCTAATGGGATGGTAGAGCGCACGATTCAGTCCGTTAAACGTTTATTATGTAAATCTTTACATGAGAATAAGGATCCATTCTTAGCAATGTTGGAATTTAGAAACACTCCTATAGCTCATAATATTCCATCGCCAGCAGAAAATTTATTTAATAGAAAACTTAGAGGAATATTACCAAGTAATTCTGAACGATTCAAACCTAAAGTTAGTATTAAACCAAAATTGATAGAAAGAACGATGATGAGTGAGAGAAATTATAACAGAAATAAGGTGAATTTAAAAATGTTGCAACCTGGGGATGTTGTGTTGTTTAAAGTTAGGAATGAATGGAGAAAGGGTGTAATTAAGAGTCAGAGAAATGCTAGATCGTATTTTATAGAATCTGATAATAGAGTATTTTTGAGGAATAGGTTTTTTATAAAGATATTACCTTCTGTACCATACTATATCCCGGATGAGGAAGATAATAAAGTTACTGTAACTACTACAACGGGAAAAGAAATAATTGTTAATAGTGACACTGCTACTGATAGTGCGTCTCAATCTGCTAGAGTACAAACACATTCTGATTTCCCATATATTACTCGTTCTGGTCGAATAATACATCGTCCTCAAAGATATGATTATTAGTTAAGATAAGGAAGTTATTTTTTATTAATTTCATTTATGTAAAGAGAAGGATGTTGTATATAGAAACTTCTTAGTGAATGACTTGTAATTAGTACTAAAGAATAATAAACAGATTCTGTCAACATCTCAAACTGATATTTTATTTATCCAATATTTTATATTAAAAACCTTTAATATAACATTGGATAGATCTATTTACGACAACGAATGCTCTGTATCTTGGACCAATAAAGTATATCAAGCAAAGTGGTTAATGACCAAAATATAATTTTTTACTTTAGTATATTTTACCCTTATTTATTAATCCGGAGATAAGAATTTTAGAAGGGCTAAGGTAAGGGCATGTCACTAAAAAGATTTGAAGTACTGCTCTATATAAGGCCAACTCTTTCCGCCCAACTGTCACAACGTTGGTTTTATAAAGCTAGCACTGAACAAATTAAGACACAAATGGTAACCATCAATTTGAAATATAGCGTAGTTTTAACTGGAGGGTCAATTATAATGGAAATTAAAAAATATTGTCTATGTAAAATAGTATATACCTATATATCGAATATAGGGTTATATAGGTATATAACCCTATATTACTATATACCTATAGGTATATAGGTATATAGTAATATAGCTTATTTTTAAATTTAAGCTTCTTTATTTTTACCAACCTAAACTATACAGTAAAAATAGAAGTATGTTTCGAACTAAGAGTTTATGAAATATCCACAAAAACCCTACAGGAAACTTATTTACGTGGTCAAGTCTTAAACAACCTATTTCACGTAAACATTACATTTCGTTCGTAACCCTTTTTGTAACGGAATCCGACTCGGAATTTATTCTATTTAATCTTTGTCTAGACAATTACAGAATTAGACACTATATACGATAGCAATAAATTGAACAAACATTGATTTATGGTTTCAACAAAACTTGTTGTGCTAATCCGCGTTGCTTGGCAACGTAAGTGTAAATATAAACAGACCAAAACATCAAATGTGTTCAAGTCCTTCTCCATTGCTTATCGTTAGAGCTTTATAGTAATAACAATATCTAGTAAAGTAAATCAATCAATTAAATTAATACGTGTAAAATGGCCACTAAAGCGTCACACGAACTTCATCATAACTTTCCTAAGTTGGCAGAGGAATCTGGTTTCACATTTAATAACATTCGACCCCGTATGCACATTGATTGGAATAAAATTAGTAAGTATTACAGAATTATGTATATATATTTTAAACTGAATTGGATAAGTATTATATTATCTACTATACCCATTTTATTTACTACAATGGACAATAAAATACAAATTCAGCTTAGTTTTTATGACTATTAGTTGGGTGTACCTACAGATTACAGTAGGTACATTAGTATTATCCATTAATGTGTTAATTTTTATTTTATTAAATTTGAATATTATTATGGACGTTACATGTGCTCACCTACATCCTATTTTCATTGCAGGATTAATTGATATAGAATATTTAATAAAGGAGAGAAAATTTTGTCTAATCGAACAACATATGAGTGACGTACGTATTTATTATCAATTTATTAAAATTCCTATAACACTAATATGAGTGTTTCATCGCTGAAGTATTTAATTATATAACTTTTATTAATATTTTATTGAAATTGGGTAAACCTAAACATATATGACAATAATAATTAGATACATAGGTTATTTGAAATATAACCATGCGGAGAATTAATTATTTATTCACCAAGGGATTAGCATGGATTATATGGCAAACCGAGTTGGCATCCAATTGATTAAATTGAATGCAATAAAAAACTTTAATCAATTAGCATCTCGCATGTTGACGTAATGTCTGTAATAGGGATAAGTTAAGTGCTACCTACATATGTATTGTTAGCACTAGTGTTGTATTACAATACCGTTTTGTATCAATTGCACACATTTCTAAACAAAATGCTTGAACCAAATAATTGAATAAATACTTAATGCTAATTTCAACGATAAAATACTTGAGGTAATAATTTTAATATGTAGGTATATGTGTGGAATACAGACCACTTATTTGTTTATAACTATTTTATATGCTTTATATTTCGAATACCAAAATTATATTCTAAATTGTCACTACTATCTATTGTTCCTTTTCGGTTTCCCTTCCTGGCCCTAGTTAGTAGTGTTTCTTTATAATATTAATATATACAATATATATATCCTACAACTCCCTGGTTTCCTTCATCGCCCACAATATGCGTATGTTAAAAAAAATAGAAAACCATCATTTTATAAATACCGAGTATTTATAAAATGATATTTTTTCAAATTTCATCTTATTTATCATTGTTATAGAAGGCATGATCGTAGTCATTTAATTAATTTTATTATTAGGCATATTTTCTGCTTTCGTTATGTCATGTCCAAATTGTACCTACCTATCACTTCCGTTAGTTGAACATGCGCCCTAAACATTTGTTAGCGTTCGTTTAAATATGTCTTTTAGTGGTTACCTTCAATTTCAATTGCAATATCGGATCGTCATCGAGCAAGCTGTGTAACTAGAGCTTTAGTCACTCCATTGTAACCACACAACAAAGGGTGTCATGACCTGGAATACAGGTACATTCTACTATGTTAATTATGTTGTTCGGGTCTATATATAATGGTTATTTACACGTTTCATCAAGTAATAATATCCATTAATTTTATGCGAACAATTATATGTGTCTCTGTATTATATATATTACACTAATGTAAGTCTTCTTTGTATCTCACCGTCATTACTCATAACTAAATTTTTAGTAAATAGAATCATCTTTAACATCAAACAAATCTTAGTAGCAATTAGCGTATAATACAGAGTGTATTAATGGTTTTATTAGATACTGAACTGCGCATTGGAATCTGAATTCGATGTTCGTATCCTCAATGAAAGCGTACTGAAAATGTTCCGGCTGGCCCAATTAGCGGTTGAGTATCAGCAATTTTGCCGACACTATCTCGACCGAAGCGTTTATGTTCTACGAGAGGAAATATCTTCAGTTATACAGGTGTGATAATTCAACGAGCCACCGTAACCTTTTAATATAAGCTATATAATACTTATTGATTATACTTTCTGATTTTACAATAGCAAATATTCTGGTGGTCACTATATTCTCCCAAATATGAATTTAAAAATGAATCTATATTATTGTAAACATATACAACATTTATTTGAAAAGCATAATACGAACTTAAATTTTATTATTATGTTTAAATTCCTATAACACAATATTTTTATAGGAGCTTGATGTAACAAAAAAAGATCTAAGAGAAAAAGACGAGGAAATAAGAAAATTAAAAAGAAAAACGAAACATACCTATAGGACGCCGCTTCCCTATGGAAATGACAATATAGCTAATATGATCCTAAAAACTCTTACAAACAGAAACGATGTGCTTGCATCGACTTCTAACGTTGACACCATGCAATACAATAAGTGTGGTTATTGCGAAAAAGTATTTCTAAACCAACTTTATTTAAAAAGCCATCTATCCAGGCGGCATCCAAATTTAATAGATACGCCTGAAAACAATAAAGCAGGCAACATTCAAACTACTATTAATAACAACGAAAATACTAAATTAAGCCAAGAATTGATGGAACTTAAAGCTAAATTAAAGGAAATGGAAGATATTGTTAAAAGTAGTGTCTCGCATGAAAATAAAGAAGAGAGCAAAACTACAGAAATTAAAAATAATAATGACAAAGTTGAATTGGACAAAAGTGTTTCAAAAATAATGAAAGACGCAGAAGTATCGACCAATAATGAAGATTATTTGCTAGATAAAATAGAAGAATGGAAAAAAGAAGAACACGAGAAGTATAATAAAGAATTAACACTTTTACGAACTCAAATTCTAGAAACGATTACTTCCCTTAAAGAAAATGATAGTAAAACAGTTGTACACAGTGATTCTAGTATTGTAGATCAACTACACACCACTATACGTCAACAAGGTGTTGAAATCTTAGCTTTAAAACAAGAATTAAATGATTCGGTAAGTGCTTTATTACTTTTCTATGTATTTATAATTATATTGCAATTATTATATTATTAAAACAAATTATTAATAAAGTTGCCATTTATTTTAAATACTTATATTAAGACTTTCAAGGAAGACTTTTAAATAATTATATAATAGGGACATCAATATGTTACTTTTCCTTAAATAAATCCAAAAATAGTTTGTGTCATGTAAGTACCAGCACTCATGACCACCCAAAGCATTCGAATCACTAGAACAGTGATGTCACACTGCAAAGTCTCTAAAGATACCTTTTAACTGACTGATTAAGCCACACCTCAGTCATTTCAAAGGCCCATAACAGCGAAAAAATTTTTTTATGAATGAACCTGCCCGTTACGTCCCCTTTAATAGATATAATTATTTTTTAGAAATTAAAAGCCGCAAATGATTATTCTCAAAGACTTAAAGAAACGGAAGAACAAGTGAGATTTTGGGGGAAACGATCAGAAGAGCAAACTAAACAATATGAGTTATTACTTAAAAAACTAAACGACGTAGCTAAGGAAGCTGAAGAATCACGCAATCAGGCAGAACAAGAAAAGGAGAAAGTCGCACAATTACAAGAAATTTTAGAGAATCAATTACGAAATAATGAAATTACTGATGACGAACAGAATTCAAGTGATATTGAGGTAAGCCTTACATGTAAAAATTGTCTTGACAGTACACTTAGATATTAAATACAAAATTATAAAATAAACAATTGTATAAATGAATTATTTAGTCATAATAGTATATAGATAGTATATATATATATATTATATATACATACCAAGGCATTAAAGTCTGATACGTCTTAAGAGAGATATACTCTCGTCAGTTATTCAATAATGACAACGTTTATATCTTAAATAATATGCAGAGTAGGAAACCGCATACCTGAACACAGATTCTTTATGTCTTTCGACACAGGAAAATCTTAAATCACAGATCAAAGAAGTACAAAAGAAGTTTTAGTATTATAAGAAATTACACGACACATGGTTCATTTTTTTAAATGTTTTTCAATTTTCGACTTCTGCTTGATTTGGATGAATAATAATAAAAAATATCAAGTCATTAAACCTGAATCCTGGCCCAGGATTACGCTTTGCAACACATCTGTGACTTCTAAGTCTACATATTAGCTTATCATTCAAACGTTGTCGTTATCAGGTAGTACTTTTATACAAGTATAATTGCGCTGCATACCGTCGGCCCAGTAAAAATGTAACAAAATTATTAATTTGAGTTTCACTCCTAATACTAGCGAGCGTACACCGATAGCGCAACCACTGTATTGAAAGGAGATCCAATATATAACCACATAAATAAAAAAAAAATAACAGATGAGATAATCTCTCTTAGAAACTACAACTATCATAAACCGCATTCCCAAAAAAAAACACTTTGTATTATACTGTACTAAATTGTGTATCAAATATATTTCATATCATTGGAGATGGTCATACATATTATTCATATCTATAGTAGTTTAAATGTGACAATAGATAAATATTTCCAATAAAATTCGTCCCTTAAACAACATGCTTTACGTATACCTAAGTACAACAAGTACAAGTACCTAATATGTCCTTTATATATAAATATATAATTTCAGGAACAGCCTAAGCATAACAATAGAGATAGTAATTATAAAGGAAATTTAACTAATGCATTAGACAATATGAGAAATTCTGTACGAAAATCTACACCAGTGGCTGATCGAAATACGCTAGAAAAACTTCATTTAAAAGCCAAAGAACTTCTTAGTATTGCCTCAATTAGTTCCTCTGATGTATCAGCTCCTGAAATAGCTAAGCCTATTGTACAAACACAAAAAGTAATGGACAAAAAACAACGACAGCAAAAGCGTAGAAAAGTTAAGAATGACTCTAGTAAACAGTATATAGACAAAATAGAGAAGGCTCCAAAATCAAACAATAATCAAATCCACAGTATGAAAAATGGCCCAAAAGAATCATTGAAGTTAAAAGAATTAAATTCAAGAAATGATAAGTTAAAATCTAGTCCAATTGTAACAAATGGTCCTATTGTTGCTCCAAGAAGGTAAGACAATAAACTATGTTATATGACTACTGACCTATATAATGATAAAGTATATAAGTGAACACGTAGACCCATCAGAAGTACTGGCCAGAAAACAGGGAGGGGCCCGAGTACAATAGTCACAAAATGATCCACATTGATCCTGCCGTTTAAGAGGAATTAGGTTACATAGGTACACAAGTATAGAAGAATTAAATACGTACGGCGCGGCGGCGTAGCGGTTTAGCATGCCGCCGCCTTACTTTCGATAAGCGCGGGTTCGATTCCTCTTCAGTATGATTGTTTGTATGTACTTGTATATTATTTATGTATTTACTAACAAATACATGTACGTATTTATATCAATAGTATACTATATTGTTTAGTACAAATAACACAAGCTCTGTTTAGCTTGAGACTAGATGACCCGAATAATGCGATGTGAATTGTTCTGGGTTATTATTATTTATTAAGATGTAATGACAACTTCTATTATTTCAGTCCATTAAAATTAGTGCGTTCAAAAATAACAGAGGAAGTAAACAATAGGTTAGTAACAGCAGGAATGGATCCTCTCAAGAACAGATTACCCAAGACTTTATTCCAAAAACAGAGACTCCATTTACAACAGCAACATGAATTAAAAACTAAGGTACTGTTATATAATATTTTAAATAATCTAATTGCTTTAAATCCTTTCAGTAAGCGTTTAAGTACATATAAATGTTTATAATTTTCAGAAAAACCCAAACCATGACAATGTAAGACATACTATTTTAGCATATTTAGACTCAACAGTAATAAAAAAAGATAATCCCGCTCCTCAGGAGTACGTTTCTCCGGATAAAGTATCGAAATTCATTAGTTTAACATCTGTATTATCCAATGTAAAAAGTAAAGCTTTATCATTAGTGAAATCAAATGACAATCACGTTAAACGCAAATCATTGAACGCAGATATGGCCAAAAGAGCAATGTCTTTATTGAAAACGCCTCCTGGATCATTACATTCCAGTCCTATAATTAAACAACATAGTCCAGTAAAAGAAATTTCCGAGAAAGGAAGAGAATTTAACCACCATCCAAATCATAGGAATAAAAATAATATTGACTCTACGTTATCTAAAAATAAAATAAAGAAACGACAGTTGGTTTCTAATCCTGCATTAGACACGTCAAACAGCGATTCAGGTGAAAACGATCATAAATATTATAAAGCGATTGTTCAGCAAACGTCTAAAAGCGTAGAAAACTTGATTAAGTCTCCAGCTAGGAAACCTGTGTCTGCTAATTCTACTAATTCTGTAAAAAAATATGCTTTTGATAAAGAAGTAAACTTACATAATCAATCAGAACCGAATCTTTCTAATTATCAAACTGATTTGGCTAATAATCATATAAACGATGAAAACCCCATACAGCATGACGACAGTAGTGATGATGCAGAATCATTGAAAAATATGCCCCTCGTAATGGCGATCTCTGATGAAAACATTCACGCTAATGTGAAACAAACCAAGGGAGTCTTAAAAAATGCATCTTCAATGTCTTCCTTAAACAAAAAGAAAGTATTATTCGACATGGATGCAATACAAATGAAATCGGTAAGCGCATCACCATCACAAAGCATCACTGAAAAAAGTGACTCCAATGAAAAATATGAACTGGGACTGGTGAATCTTGACGGCGAAGAGTGGGACATATCTAGGTCTGTATCAATTTATGTAATTATGCTGTTCTTGAAATATTCGTAATATCTTTAAGTAATAATTACTAGTGTAGCAGCAACCTGACTTTGCCCTTCTCTCAAACTGAATGACATTGATCGATCAATATAGTTCATCACATAATTCCAGGACTCGTTTCCATTTTAAAGATTTTGTGAAGCCATTTTGGAAAAGTACTATTGAAATGGTGACTCTACTAGTAATATGTACCTGTACAATACTATACATATAATATTTTTTTATTATTCTTTTCCTATATTTAGATACATGAAAATAACAATAATGTATTCATTTTTACATAATACAGCATAGAAAACGAACCACTGAAGACTAGTACCAAAATCCAAGTAAACACACGAACGAGTCCAAAAATTGCCGAACTCAAACAGACTATAGAATCGCAGTTGGCACGCCGCAATGAGACTCCATCTACTGTTCTCGTCGGTGGAATAGATGTTTTGTCTGGGCAGATCAGAAGAGCTTCCAGTGTAGGCGGCAGTAACACCAGTTTGGGCAGTTCTATTCTTGACGATTCCGATAGTGTACCAGCAATTAACCACAAAGCATTTGTTAAACCGAAACATGTTACACAAAAAGATGATAGCGAATTAGATATTTCTGAATTCAGTATAGATGGTTTAGGTAATAAGAATGAAGCATTTTAATCTTGCTGTAATTTTTTTTTTGGATTTTTATAATATACCTTAAAGTAATATTAAACATTTGTATTATTTTCAATTATTAGTCCTATCCTATCCAAATTAAAAATGTGAATATGGATGGTTATAAGGGCAGAGGAAGGCAGGAAAAGAGTTGGATGGACTGTGTGAAAGATGATATGGTAAGAAAGGGAGTAAATGAGATGGCTGGATGAATGGAAGAGAAAATTTACACCGACCTCTAATAAATGGAATAAGGAAGTAGCAGATGATGATTCCTATCCAAATTGCCGGAGAGACTTGGAATTTATTAAAAAGAAAGGCACTGAGGGCAGGAAGTTACAGGCACAGATAACATATTACATATTAGGGTGTCATCGCCACACCCCAGTTATGTAAACATTATTACTGCAATATTTTATTAAGATGTTGATCTCAGTGGTCTAGCTTATAGTACACTGACTTCTATGTATTTTATGTAGATATACATGTAATAAAGTATTTTTATCAGTTTTTAGTACCCATAACACAAGTTCTGGTTAGCTTGAGAATTGTCCTCGATTATTATTATCTGTCATTAGTAAATAAAAGTCATTTTAGAATATTGGTACTTTCAATATATTACATTTCTATTTAGAACATTAATAAAATTAAATTAAATACCTATTATAAAGCTCTTTGTACTCTACGCACATGTTGACTTTTCGATTCTTTTAATGCTTGGTCCAATACATTTGTCATGTGTATTAAATTGGATAAATCACACTGAAGCAAGTGATGATTAATAATGTTCTGACAATGACTTGCTGCTTTTGCATCTTGTACAGTTGTATTAATATGTATAGGAGACACATTTTTATTATTACTTGTAGAATTTAATTTATCTAATTTATCCTCTTTAGATTGTCCAAAATTCTTAGGAGTCATCAGGACAAAATCCATTGCCACCATTGGTTTAATCTCTTCACTGGTATTTCGAGATGCAATCTGTTATTACAAAAAAACAATAATGAATAATTGCAAATGTTAAAGTTTAGGTGTGTGCTATGGAAAGCAATAAAATCTGGTCAGATTTGTCCTTATTTTTAAACAATAGCACTATATCAGAACTATCGTAGATTTATTTAACATTAAAATGTAAATTATTACATTCATAATTATTCATATTTAGATCTTAGAGACTTAATATGCAAAAAATTTATATAATTGAGTATGTTGTCAGACACATACATTTTGGATTCTATGTAGTTTCATTTAAAAAGATATTTATACAATGAAAAATCTGTAAAAAAATATACCTAACTGTGATTAATATAAGTACCTGCACTTCGAACCTCCAACTAAAGTCCTGATAAGTGGGGTCTTTTTGCTGTAATAAGTTCAGGGCACTGGACAATTCAATCTTTTTTGTATAATACAATTTCAGCAATATTTCTTGCTGTTCTGTAGAAAATCCAGCTAATGCTAGCGATGATTTGAAATCTGATTCAGATAGCTGAAAAGATGATTTTAAATATTACCATGGTATACTTCATACAAAGATTTTATAATGTATTATATATATATTAGAATGGCAAACAAAGGACCTGAAGGTATGGTATAATCATCCTACAGTCATGAACAGCACTAGAGGCATCAAGCTATCATGTGGTACTATTCGAGTATTACCATTATGGAAGATTAAGTTGTTATGCCACTTATACTGAAATTTCACTGCTTCTTCTAATATAAATTTTAATTAAAATTTAGTCAAAGTTAAAACAAAGACTGCAAACCACCACATACATGTACATATATATAATATGATAGTAAAAATCTTTGATTTAAAAACCTTCAGTTGTTCAGTTGTTACTTATCCATGTAATAAGGAAAAACAAATGGGCAAAATTCAATTTGTAGTGGATAATTATTTTATACTTACATTGTGTTTGCAGGCCTCAATTATGAGATACACTAGAGCATGCACCAAATTTTGTACAGCCATCAAAGGCACATTAAGTTTTTCTGAAAATTTTTAGTGAGTACATAAATAACTTTATAGTCAAATATACACAAAATTATCATAAAGAAAAATCAAATTAATTCTTTTTTATGACATTCTCATGACAATTACTTACCTGCTGCAATATTGTGCTTCTTTTGGTCAACTCCATTATTCAAGTAGTCTATGGTGAGTTTACAAAAATCAATTAAAACTGTAAAGAAATAATATTTCTTTTTACTACAGAATACATTAAAATAAAACTTAAAAATACAACTATAAAATTGCAATTGGATACTTCTACAATAAATGCATTTTAAATAGAAGTACTTTAATTGAATAAAAATAGGGCTAGCCCAATAAATTTAAAAAAATATACATGTTGATTACCTTGAGTAGAATGTTTATGGAGTAAATTCAGATGTTCTTTTTGGAGTTCACTTAAAAATATTATCATGTTGAATTTGATTTAAAATATACCATTTATCTGATAGTAGTATAAATATATTAAAGAGTACTTATTTCAGATATAATTATTAATATTTATTTGTCGGCAAAAACTATTAGTTGTCTTGAAGCTGTTGACTACTATTGACAGTCGATTGCTTATTTATTACTGAGGTTAGGGTGTATGCCTTGCATGTTCTGCCTCCAGGCACCACATAGGTATATAGTTTTTGGTTATAAATAATAATGATACAAAATATAACAATAAACATAAACCGTCTTTTAAATATCAAAGAATAATATGTGACTATCAATCAAGGAAATCTTATACAACCAACTGAAAAATAATTATTAAACATATCTGAGTCTGAAACTGAATATATTATTTTCAAAATAACAATAATAAACTTATCAAGTTTTCTAATCTCAAAAAATAACCAATTTTTGAAAATATTTTACTTCAAAAGTGAAATTTATCTAAGGTTGAAATTTATCATTTGGCATTCTGTCAATTTTGACAGAAATCATGAGTGTCAAATAATGCTTTACACAGCCATATTTGTGTGGGACTCAGTATTGCTATTTTAATTATTTTACCACTCAAATCGGCACTTAGAGAGCTCATATTAAGTTTTACAGGCTAATTATCGTAATATTTAATTTGTGAAACAATAAGTAATCGTTCAATATAGGGAAAAGCAATTACGCCATAAGTACTAGTACTCACATGTCTAAAGCTCAAAACTTCATTATATACAAATATCAATATAATTTAACCATTATAATTAGAATTATATTTGGTACACTTTTTTTGTAGCCCTAAGCTATAGGCTATATTAATATATATATTATTTATATAATAGGCTATATTAATAATTTATTTTAAAAGTTTTCTTAATTCTTCTTTAATAACCAGATGAAAATTGAATATTTTCCGATTATGTATAAGAAATTTATTAATTTATCAATCATATTAAATATATCAACGGTAGATAATGCTCATGCTCAGGTTAGATTACGGGACTTTCGTAGTGAACGCTCCGCTCATGTGGAATTACAACAACTTTGGTGGCAACACTGCTGCCAAGTGCCACCCAGCAGAATTCAGTGTATTGACATTACGCTACACATTTTCTACAGTCATAAAATTGTTATTTTATGAATGTTTTTCTTAATTGCAAATGATTGTGATTTCTATTAATGCCTAATAAAGTTTTATCAACATGGCTTTGAAAAAAGTCAAAGGGAATTTTGAACGAATGTTCGATAAAAATCTCACGGATTTAGTTCGGGGTATACGAAATAACAAAGATAATGAGGTATTTGTTTCAATTACATTTAGTTAATGATTATTGAACATTTCATTGTTCTCTTTTACAATAGTTAATAATTTTTAGCCCAAGTACATAGCACAATGTATGGAAGAAATAAAAGTAGAACTAAGACAGGACAATATAGCAGTGAAAGCGAATGCTGTTGCCAAATTGACATACGTAAGTAAAAATTTTAAATTATGCTATAACTAAAGTGTTTTAGAATCATTAGCGATAATGTTAAAATAATTTTAATTTATCTTATTATAATAATAAATATAATAAATAATTTTGTAATCTGTCAGGCATTATGGTAAAAAAATATTTAAAATATAAAATGTATATTCAGTATCATGTTATTTATATATCATATAAAATAATTTCAAAAGTATATATTCAGCCATTAATCTTACAATACCTACATTTTCTAGTTCCATAACTAATCATCATCATGTCTTCTCTCTTTAAGAATAATTAAACTTTAGAGAATTTATGAGGAGCCTTTACTATGCTAGTCGACATATATATATATATATATATTTTAGGTGGCCTGCATAAATAACAGTATAATAGTATTTTTTATATTGACAAAAAAATTTGAAGTCATTACATATCCATAGCAGTATGTAAATAACATTCAGTAAGAATATATTGTTATATTGATTACCATTATCTGTTTATGTCATTTTAAAGGAAATGTTAGTATTATAATTTTGGAATAATTGTGTACATAGTCTATGGTTTTGCTAAAATTGTTTAAAACAGGCACTATGTAAATAATTTCAGAATTTCTGAATGTATTGTATAATAACAGTACACAAAAAGTAAATATTCTATGGAAGACCTTGTAGTTTTAATTAATTAACTTAATTAATGCCTAAATTTAAATTAAACTGTATTATGAGCTCAACAAAAAAATATTTTTCTATATCTACAGGATCCGGACATATCTAGTACTGAAAAAGTGTTCGTAGATTTTTATTCTGATAATAAATTTATTTCAGCTACAAATGCTTGGTTATGACATATCATGGGCAATATTCAATATAATAGAGGTAATGAGTTCAAACAAGTTCACTTACAAGCGCATTGGATATTTAGCAGCAAGTCAATCATTCCATGCTGATTCAGAATTGCTCATGCTCACAACAAACATGATTCGGAAAGATTTAAATGCTCAAAATCAGTATGAGGCTGGCCTTGCACTTAGTGGACTTAGTTGTTTTATATCACATGATTTAGCAAGAGATCTTGCTAATGACATCATGACATTGGTTTGTATTGTCTTAAATTATATTTCCATATAGGTATAGTATTATTATTTTAGCTGTAAGTACTGTCATTAATCAGAGTAAACTGTATATATTTGTTAATGATTGATAAGTTAAATATTTTCTAAAATTCATACTGGTTCACCTATTTTTAAATTTGTAACAATTAAATCTTAGTATCTTAGTTTGCAACTATTTGTTGACATAAGATATGGCTATTATAATTATAAAATTGGTAGTTTCAATAACTTACAGATGAGCTCAACAAAACCATATCTGAGAATGAAGGCTGTACTTATGATGTACAAAGTGTTTCTAAGGTATCCAGAGGCACTCAGACCAGCATTTCCTAAACTCAAAGAAAAACTAGAGGATCCTGATCCAGGTTAGTAAATAAGTAAAGTAGTTTTTTCCAGAGTAAGTCAATAATTCAAACACTGTAAGCAGATGTGTTATTTGCAAGAAATATAATTTAAGTTGGTCTATTCTACAGCAACAACATCTACTTGTAGAAATTTGTCTACATTCTATCTGTTACATCAACAATTACAAAGAAACTTAATAATTTCTATTTCTACATATAAATTCCTATTTATGAACTGCTATTAGTTAAAATAATACAATATATCTAATTTAGGTAGCATTATTATTGACATTTAATAAAATATTATTTTCTAGGTGTACAGTCAGCTGCAGTGAATGTTGTCTGTGAACTAGCAAGAAAGAATCCTAAAAACTACCTGTCCCTTGCCCCTGTCTTTTTTAAGTTAATGACCACATCTACTAACAACTGGATGTTGATCAAAATAATAAAACTGGTTTGTATATATTTATAATAATTAATAGATTTGTAATAATTTTGCAATTACAAAAAAACCTAATGAAAATATCAAATTAATAGTAATTTAAAGTACTGTTTTTCTGTACCTATCAAACATATGGCTAATATAAAAGTTGCGAGTGATACACAATATTATTTTTATAATTGTAGTTGAATTATCTCAAATATTACTAAATGAACAGAGGTTGCTGATAGTTATATGGATTATGTATTTTTATTCTGGTTATAGATAACATAAATTAGTACCACTCACACTATTCTGTGTATTAAAGTAGATGAATGTAACAAGTGAATATATATTTTTTTTGTTTGGAATTAACTGATACCAAGAGTCCGCTGTTTTACCGTGTGGTAATGTTATCACAATTTTAATCAATATGTGAAATCAATATCAAGATATGTATATTGTTTTTTTAATAGATATATATTATTACAGACTACTTTGCCTGGATTTTTTAGATGCAAGGTAATCTAGGTATGTGTGTGATACAGTCTATCTTCACGTCTTATTTCATTAAAATCTTTTCTTGATAACTTAACAGATAGATATATACATTTTCATATTGATGATATTAATGTGCATATATTATGCAAACTACATTTTTGAAAACATTTTACACCCACATCTATCTTTACAGTTTACTTTATAAAATTGACTATTGTATTATATCACTTGAGACTTAGCATAATCTGACATTTGCATGTAATTCTCCGCAGTTTGGTTTAATGACACAGTATGAACCAGATATTGGAAGGAAAATTACACAAAGCCTCATAGATCTAATTTGCAGGTACCTCAAATAAAGTTGGAAGACAAGTTTAGCAGCTAGCCTCATTCACCATATTATCTCACCATTACATTTTACAACTTAGCAACAAGAGTACCTACCACATTTTTATCGCAGGCTGATTGTACATAAGTTGCAAATGCATTATTATCAACTTACATTCAAATAGATTTTATAATTTGCAATTTAAATCATAATTATAACTGTCATTTATATCTACAAGTGGTGATATGACAAAATACTTCATTTTCATGTATAGATAGCATATTAGCCATAAATTGGGAGCAATTGCAAATATGATAATAATAAGCCTGTTAAACAAGATTTTCTACAAGGAAAGTACACTATCAATTAGCACAGCTCACTTTTATATTAATTTTGCTGCAGAAAAAAATTACAATTACCGTGACATAAATAATCAAAACAAATTAAAATGGACCAACTATTATAAATTGATACGCCACAATGATACAGGAACAAAAGTAATTTAATCCGTTTGGATAATATACAAAATACCAAAGAATCCGCTTATGACGTAAGCTAGTTTTATGTAGTGTCATTGTGTTTGTTGCAGTTTGGTGCCTTAACCCCATTAGAGCCCCGACTTGGCAAGAAACTGATAGAACCATTAACTAATTTAATACATAGGTGAGTCAGTTGTTGTCAAAGTGTAATTAGAATTGGTCTCTATGGGGTGAAGGGAAATAATTCCTTTGCATAGTGAATAATATGGATAAATTAGTAAGGCATTATAATTTAGTTGTTTGTCTATGTTCTAATTTTTAAATATTATTTTGTGAAAATAAGTTACAAAAAATAACTAAAATGAAATGTATATAATGGGCTGCTTCCATTGCTTTTTTTAATACTTTTGTTATGAATCTTTATTTCCAATTTACCACGTAGATTTTAATAAATGCTATTACACTAGAAATTCTGCTTAGTAACCAATTTATATTCATATTTTTATGTGTTATTTTTTGTGTTAATTTGTCATTTTCTAATTATAGCGTAGGCAAACCTATACTAACTTAGTAAATGATAACAGAACATAATTAATAATTCATATATGTGAATTGAACAAACATACTATTTTTATAAACATTTTCATCACTAACGGGTTGTATTTTAATATATAATATAAAATAGTCTCTGGAGAAGTTATCTACCATTTAATTCATACATAGTCAATGTATGATTTTATTGAAATTTAATAAATGCAATGTTACTAAAACTGTTTCTACTATTGTCGTAACATTTTTTATTTTATGTCAAGAAATAACCGACTGATTTGCATGTAGAGTAACAAAATTAACGCTGGCATGAGATCTAGTTGCTTCTGCGCGAACAAAGTCACAGAAAAAAATAATTATGAATTCATAAACATACTATTAGGTTGTTCGGAAAGTAATTTCGTTTTTTCCTAACTTAGGATTTAATTGTATTTTTTGCACTGTCGAAAATGCTGCTTATTCCTCTCCATATTTAAAAGGGTACCAACCAAAAACTACTGCTTAGAATTAATTGTAATTTTTCACACACAAGCCTTGCTATATGAGCTCTCAAAGCATATAAAAATTATACGGCTTAGTGTGAAATTTAGTGCAAAAAATACAATTAAATCCTAAGTTAGGAAAAAAACGAAATTATTTACCGAACAATTAGGTTGTTCGGTAAGTAATTTCGTTTTTTCCTAGTACTACGTTCTATTTCTGATAACATCCAACTGACTACCAAAAGTAGAAGGTTCTCAATTTTCATGCTCATTATAACTATAACTATAACAAACATGTAATAAGTAAGGGTCTTATTTATTTGTTAATTAATCTTATCTGAATCTATGATACATTAATTATAGAAACATTAATATGGTTTAACTCTGTTTTCATATTATTTTTCTCAGAATTGGTCGTCGGTTTGGGTTTTTTAAATCAAAATATTTATTACTTTCACAACTTTATGTAACTACTTTACTGTTTTTTTAATATTTAAATGTATTTAATTTTATTATATAAAATGCAAACAAAAGCATATTCTCTATATTTTTATCAATATTTTGTAATTTATTATAATATATTGTAATGACGCAATATTAATTTTAAGATACAAGTGACGTGTTCAAATGCCAATGTTTGTTTTGTGGCAGCACGTCAGCGATGTCTCTATTATACGAGTGTATCAACACGGTGATAGCCGTGTTGATAAGCATCAGCAGCGGCATGCCCGGCCACGCGGCTTCGGTGCAGCTGTGTGTGCAGAAACTCAGGATACTTATTGAGGACAGTGATCAAAATTGTGAGTAATATTTAATTAATGTTATAAGGTTAACGTGTCTATCTAAGTGTCTCTTCTATGTCATCATAAACCCCAAACGGATAGACTGATTCTTCTGTTTTTTTTTTTATTAAAGTTGAGGTGATCAATAGTTTAGAGCTATAATTTATGAAGATGTTTGAAGCCTCAACTCACTTTATAAATCACAATGGCATTTCGCTAACAATTTATGTCAGGACTAAATATCTTTTCTTTAGTATGTAATAGTAATTGTAAACTAACTGACGGTCCACCTGATGGTAAATAATAATCGCCACCTATATACATAAATAGCACTATATACATCACATTAACATGTGACTCTAGCAACGCCATTTGAGAGAACTAAGATTTAATGCATGTTGCATCCTGTAATTACAGCCTAATCACACTCTACACGTCTTACAAAGTAAAAGCTTTGCAGTTGAATTCGACGAGACTGACGTATCCACACAAGCAACTGTTCACAAGTATTACTGGTATTATTTAATTTAATTGTAATATGTTTAACACAATGTTATATAAATTTGTAGTGAAATATTTGGGCTTATTGGCGATGTCTCGAATACTGAAGTCTCACCCGAAGTCGGTGCAGGCGCATAAGGACCTCGTGCTGGCGTGCCTGGACGACAAGGATGAGTCGATTAGACTTAGGGCACTCGGATTACTGTATGGAATGGTTAGTCCCATTTACGGCTTTTAAAACAATTTTGGGCACTATCATGGTATTGAATTTTACTTTATATTAGGTACAATTGCATTAGGCAACATAAGTATGCAGCAAACTAATATAATGAAATTTATTTTTATTACTTTTTCTAACTTATCGACATAACAGTAACAGTATTTATATTAAAGTGCTAAATAAAGCAAAAAACGCTAACAGCAACTTAATTCCATAATGTTCATTTTATTGTTACCTGTAATGGCAAACAACCCACCTGAGTCAAGCCTCCAAGTGAGCCAAGTCAAGGTTGACCTCTTATATATAGACTGCAAAATGTAGTCATCCAAGTACATTTAAGTAATCCAAGTTTATTTACTATCTTAATTTTTATCATACAAGGTGTCGAAAAAGAATTTAATGGAGATTGTGAAGAAGTTGATGGTCCACATGGAGCGAGCGGAGGGTACGCTGTATCGCGACGAGTTGCTGACACGCATGATCGAGATATGCTCACAGAACAACTACCAGTATGTGGTTGACTTCGAGTGGTATGTCACCGTGCTAGCGGAGCTCACCGAGATGGAGACGAGCGCTAAACATGGTGATTATGTTTATATACATATTATAGACAATAATATAGATTATTTTCATATACATATAAACTCTAAATTCTATAAAATAGTATCAATATGTACTGGAAATTACATTTACCTACTAGTTTAGTTAATATTTACGTCGTAGAATTATCTGTTGTAACGTATTGTAATTATATTTGTTCTAGAATTTTACCTAAGAGCATATAATTTTTTCAAGAAAAATTGTTTTCTAACGATGCTATGTAGATGTTTATATATGTATCGTTTTTTTCCGTTTACAGTTTAAAATACAGGTTTTAAGGGGCACACCTAGTGTGAAATTTTCAAAATATCGATTTTTTTTTCCATATTTCGATAGGTTATATAATAATACCTTTAAAAATGACATACTAAAATTTTAAATCGATATCGTAAAAAGTTTTTGAGTTACAGCCATTTAAAAGAGTAGCCGCTCGGCAGTTAGATAGTTGCATTGGCTACGGGATATACCTGAGCTATTGTTCGGAGTCTGCCGTCTCTTCCAACCCTTGTAATACGATTCCGGTTTTTGTTGCTTGATAGATGCAAAGGTAGTAATACCTGAAACAATAATGAAAGTTACAACGGTTTACTTTGGCACTTTTCACCAAAGCACCTTCATAATGGATTGAAAACTACTGAATTAGCAAATTTTTTTGCAACTTCAATATTCAATGACGGTTACTCCTCAATTTTAAAGATATTTAATGTAATGGGAGTAAAAGTTGGACCTGCAGCAAGAGATTATACGACTCTTAAGGATGAGACGAGACTACGAATCGCTGATCATCGCCAACGGGCTTTTTCAAAAGAGGGTCGATCATCTCGAAGAAGAGCTTCTTCAGCTCAACAAGCACTTTTTGAGGAAGAGGAAGGTGAATTATATGGGCCTGGAATAGCAGATTAAGTGTGTGTATGATTTTAATCCATTTATAAGAGTGAAAACGAGTTTTTCTCGAAACAGCATTTTTCGAATTTGCTGGAGTGATTACTCGGAGACAAATGATCCGATCGCTATCAATTTTTTTTGCATCTCCTCTATATAGTTCTCCATACGATGACCCTCCAGTTTTTTGATCTGATCAAAAATCGAATTTTGGCAGGCCAAAAACGACCAAAATTTTGGGAAAAATTTAATTTTTTTTTCAACATGCCGCCATTTTGTCAATTTTTGATTTTTTTTGTTCGTCCGAGGGTCATCGTACAGACAATATGTTTTAGTTTAACGAGAATTTTTTTTTAAGTTTTATCAACGGAGAAGGCTGCAAATTGCAATCACTCCAGCAGTGGAGGACCTTTTTTTGCGCCGATCACACGCACAGATCGCGTGTCATTTCAAAAATATTTAATATTTTATTTCAAATATTTTACTGTGTATTCTCAAAACATGTATAAATATACCCTCAAAATTTTAAATAGATTGGATTCACTAGTTTTCTTTTTTTTATTCCCAAAAATGGCCTTTTTTTAGGTTGTCACACTACCTGTGCCCCTTAATACTTACATGTATTAAAATAGGAAATGTGACATCACGAAATTTAGGACCTCTCTCAATCCGCGTCCCATTTCGTGGATCCCTCTCAACTCGTGAGGTAGCGTATAGAGGGAGAGAGGGCCGCTAGCCGCCGTTTAAACCGTTGGAGTGGTGCGTGCAGGGGCGGCGCTGGCGCGGCAGCTGACGGAGGTGGGCGCGCGGGTGGCGGACGTGCGCGCGTTCGCGTGCCGCGAGTGCGCGGCGCTGTGCCGGCGCAGCGCGGCCGCGCCGCCCGGGCCCGCCTCGCGCGAGGTCCTCTACGCCGCCGCATTCGTGCTCGCGGAGTACTGCCAGTGAGTCCCACGCCTTCGTACACCTCGCTTCCTCGGTTATTTCGATTCTAAAACGAATAATAATAAACCTCGAACGGTTGACACGTCGCCGTCTAGTCCCACGACGAGCAGGGTTCGTGTTATGAGTACTGGACGACAGATATGAATACTTAGATACTTTTTTTAAACACATACATAATATGTACGAATGTTTGTACCGTGCGAGGAATCGAACCCGCGACCAACGGAAGTAAAGTGATGTGCTATACCGCTAGACCACCGAGGCCGTCTTGTTCTGTTTAAATACCGTGAATTCGAACTCAAATGTTACAGAGACAGTGAAAACTATAAATCCGTAATATTTGAAAATGCAATAAAACCGCTAATATTTTCGCAAGTATCATATATTCAAATCAGCCTGCAGAAAGAATTTTGTTTAAAATAACCATTCACTATTAACCTGTAGTGAGTGGCTAACAAACAAGCAGGATTACTTAGGATGTCTTGACACTACTTTATTAAATGATAATCCAGTGTAGTATACTATAAATCGTTTTTATTAGGCGACATTAGTTTGCAATTAAATTTAGTACGACGTTTTACAACCAGTGGTGAACTAAGACTAACTACTAAAATCCTATTTTTCGGGCTCCAAAAATTACGGGCTTTAGGCACGTGCTTAGGTTACCTACGCCTTAGTCCGCCCCTATTTACAACGGAAAAGGGCGAGCGGCTACGCGTCACTAGTGATGTTCGTGATATATAGTGACGTACCAGCTAAGGATTGTATGGGCCGTATCAGGGAGGAGTCGGTGATGCGCGAGTCAGTGTCGCCGCTGCTGGTGTGCGCGGCGGTGGGCGGCCCCCACATGCGGGCACGGGCAGTCTGCGTGCACGCCGCCTTCAAGCTTACGGCCAGGCTGTTACACGCCTACGAGACACGCGGAGACCTCGACGCCGCCCTGTCGGTAAGTTATCTGAAAACATACTAATTGTGCCCGCGGTTACACCGGACTTAAATTTTTAATTAGTGTATTATTCTAATATTATATAAGCTGATGTTATTGTAAAGTTTCATTTAATTCCATTCTAAAGTTTATGCTTGAAAGAGTAAAACATCTAACCACAAACTTCCACGTTTATAATATTAGTAAGATGAACACACAGCATATGCCTATGACGCGTTTTGGAATTAAAAATGCCAATGGTATGTCTAGTTTAATCAACATACAAATAGATGTAATGGAATAGATATAGTACCCCATGTGAGAGACCCAATGCGGAGTCCAAATGAACATGCAGGTATATTTATATAAATATGATACATTGAAACACCTATGCAATGCACATAAATTTCCTTAACTATCAAAAAACCCGTTGTGTGCAGGTAATCCGCGAGGCGCTGGCTGGTTTGCGGCCGCTGCTCTGCAGCGAGGATATGGAGGTGCAGGAACGTGCGCATAACGCGTCAGCGTTACTGGCGATAGTGCTACCGCGGCTGGATCCCGCCGGCGAAGACTACCCGCACGACACTCAAGAGAAACTGCTCGACCATGAACAGAGGTACCATAATCTATACTTCTATGGTCATTCGAATGTATACTAAATCTAGTTTAAAACAAACGCCACAAAGAATACAACTTACAAGGATATGGATAAATGTCAATTATGTGTATTAAAGTAGATTATATAGTTAGGAACCAAGTTGTTAAAAATCTATAAAATTATATAGTATGATTTATAAAATAGTACATGTGCAGTTAGCAACCAAAATCGAAACGCAAATCGTATCGAAAATATTTTCATTATGGGAATGTACTTTTACCTGTATAACCTTTTTTCTCTACTTTTAGCTCCGGTTGTATAACGTTTGTAAATACTAATAGTTTCATACTAACATTATAAATACGAAAGGGCGTTTGTTGCCATTTTATCACTAAAGAGATGAACCGACTCTAGTTAAATATGACGTGAACATCGATATATGTTATATGTTATTATATTACGATCATATGTGCTTAAGACAAAAGCTAGGCAAAGTCACTGTTAGCAAATAATGGACTATATATTACTGTTTTAGCAATGGTTTAGAGAAAGAAACAAATGGCGGCAGTATAAATGGCGCGGAGACGCATGGATTCAGCGGTGGATTAATCGACGAACTCGTAGACTTGTTTGACGGCGAATTGAAACCTGTAGCTCCGAAGGCACAGAAGAAAGTTCCCATGCCTCCAGAGTAAGTATTTGAAATAGCATATACCTATACTTATTTGTGGTATTATCAATGTTCCTATTTATAATGAATAAAAACCTTTTCGTTATCGATATAAAAAATATAATTATATTAGTAGTGTCATGAACCAATTACTCCACATATTGACAAAACTTTATCCTCCTATAATCTAATTTATTTGATAATATAATAACCCCAAGAGTGACATGTAACAATTAACATTAGAGGCAGTAGTCTCATTTTGTATAACCCATTATGTATGTACATAGAACAATCTATGCATATTATATATTATTACTGGTGAAGTGCAATGAGCTGACTGACCTCACCTCATGTTCATCTTATCACCCTCCACTACCTCGCTATTGTAGTGTAGACGGGTGCGCCATTCTATTATCACCCATTAAAAAAAATTGTGATAGTTTATCAGTTCACATTACTAGTAATCCCCCTTCGCTCCAATAACTACAAAGTGTTAAATACGCTATATTGTAACAGTTTACCATCAGATGTGCCATAGGACAGTTTACCACTGTCGTGGTTTAAAAAAATTTTGTTATGACCGGCAGCTTGGACCTGAACGAGTGGTTATCCCGCGAGCACTGGTCGTCGGAGAGCTCCAGCTCCGAGGAGGAGGCGGAGGGCGGCGCGGTGTTCGCGGCGCCGCAGCCCGACCCCCGGCCCACCGCGCAGTTCACGCCCGAGGAACTGCAGATGGTACTTCAGAATTATATCTTTTTTTTTGTATTTAATGACCACCATCACAGAGGAGCTACAGAAGGTACTTCATAATCACCAATTTTTTTGCATTCAATATTTCTTTTTTTTTTCATTTACCACCAGGGAGCAAATTTCTACCATTTCCCCAAACTATAAAATACATTACTACTAGTATATGTTAATTATTATCATTCATATTTAGTATTGCTATGCAATTTTTTTTATTTCTCTAGTCCATTCTTGTGCCAAATGATATACCACTTTCTGTCTTCTCTGCTTTATCCAAGGGTTCTCTGGGAGAAATTGCTGCGATAAAACCACCTTTTGTACGTTATTACTTCTATGTATTATTTATTATAATTTACTTCTGGTGCAATAAAGAATAAAAAGATGTTATGCGTTTATACGCATTTAAAACTAATTATTTAGTGAAAATCCCGTGACATTTATTAATTTTACGTATAAATAATGACCTTGTCCAATTTAAAATAAAGATATAATGTACGAGTATATAAGTCATTACTTAGCTCTTTTTGTATACACTTTTTCAAATCGCGTATGTATTTAATTATGCTTAAATAGGAATAATAATCTTTTTATCTATGAAATCAAAAGAGATATATTAAAATTACTTTATATACGATGTATGTGCAGTTACGAGAAGCACGTCGTCAGGAACAAGCGAACAATCCGCACTACCTGAAGGACGACTCACCGCGCTCGTATCAACTGGAGGATGTGCCCATCGCAGAGATGGCATTAGAAGTTCCACTTGAAATACAAAGTATGTATAATTTACCTATGTATCGACAAGCTGCCTTATTATATTGCGAATAAGAGGGAAGAAGGACTACTGGCCGAAGGGGGTGGTGTATCAGCGTTACCGTGGTAGATTACCGTCATCAGTGCCGTGATCACAGAATCAGTTAATAATTAAATAAATCAAACTAATCATTTATTTTTTCTTATTTTGTAGCCAAGAGATCTGATAAGTACTTAATAATTTCAAGAGAAAATTCAAAGAAAACAAAGAAAGAGAAACGCTCTTCTAAGAAACGGAAGAGCAAAAAAAGCAAGCATTCCACTGAATCTGATAGTGACGGTGAGTTATTGTTTTACTTATAGCTGTGTAATCATATTTCAAGTAAAATATATTTTATTAATATGAAAGCATCAGTGAATTTACACCGACATTATATATATAACAAAATTCAAAGTACTGTCTTATTCATTAACCCATTACTTCCCAAGCATCGGTGTAATAGGATTAAGGTCTTAATACATTAAAAAAAATTATAATATGTATTACTACCAAAAAAAGTATTTTAATAGAAAAAATATTTTAAAATACAAATTTCATTAGTAGCTATAGTATAAATACATAGTTTATTGAACAAAAAAAAAATTAAGTGTCCTAAAAATAGGACAGTGGGAAGGAATGGGTTAAGAGAGTACTTTGAATTTTGTTTATGTAATAAATAAATGGTTTTATAAATTTTCAATAGGGTTTTCATAAATCTTAAATGTAAAGTGAAATAAATTCATTATACTGTACACAAAAAAAAAATAGTAAAATGCAATCACTCCATTGAGCGCGCCGGCTTTCCCGCGCGTGAGTTTTGTAAGAGCGAGACTATAGACTATATATAGGTGAGACTGCAGTACCCATTTTTAGTTTTTACTAAGTATACCTGTATGTGTGTACAGATGAAGAAGAGAGCGTGCGGCGGCCGGCGGTGGATGCGGGCGGCGAGCTGCCGGACGGAGCCGCGCCCTCCGACGACGAGCCGCCGCCGCCCCACGACGACCCGCACCGCGCGCTCGACCTCGACCTAGATCTGTAAGGACCTTTACAACTCATAGTTTAAAAATGTTTAATATACCAGAGTGGGGGAAAGTGGATTGTTCCCATTGATGGCGATGTACTATGACAGATTGACCTTCTAGCGGTTCCTCCAGAAAACCAACGTGATAAATTCCTGGTGAGCTTGCCACTATGGGCTAACTGACCTGACCTTCATGCTCATCTTATCATACCCCGCGGGTGCCCCGCCAAAGTCATATAAGCATATCATATATCTTAATAATATTATAAATGCGAAATTTTGAATGTTTGTTACTTTTTTATGCAAAAACTACTGAACAGATTTTGATGAAACTTTACAGTATATAGCTTATGCATCAATATAAAAATATATATACACAGCAGTGTCAGCGGTTGAAATAAAAACAATAGTCATAAATAACACTTATATTTCAAACATAAGTAATATACAAAACTATCAGTTAATCTCACTTGTAAGTTTAACATTCCTGATATTTGTGTGACGTAATTTATGGAAAGAGTCTAACTTTCCATAAATTACGTCACACAAATATCAGGAATTTTGAGTTTTTTTATTACATACTCTTGTCTGTAAACAGATAATAAATATTCATAATTTGTTATTATTTTAAATTTTAAAGATGTGTTATAACATTTTGTACTGAATTATAAAATATTTCACATATAACTGTGTATGATAGAAGTCATCTGAATATGAAAGATTTATTGATAATTTTTCCTACCGTGGTGTATAAAATTTAGCAAATTAATATACAGAATTATAAGAATAAACAATTAATAATATTAACATACGATTTCAGACCCCTACGTGAAGAAGAATTGTTAACGTCCAGAATCCATCAGTATCCATCACCCGAAAGTGGTTTACTGTCAAAGAAATCTAAAGAATCTAAGAAGAATAAATCTATCAAAAATGAGTCGACTGACAAATCAGTCAAGAAAAAGAAAGATAAGAAGTCTAAACACGGCAAAAGCGTAGATTTAATGTTACCTGAATCAGTTAAAAGTACTGTAGATGAAGATTTGCTTATAGATGATTTTAGCAAAAGTTATGGAAAAAGTGCATCGAAATCAGGCGACAATGATAAAATCGTTCTTGACAATCACGTAAAGAGTATTAAGACTGAAAAAAATAAAAAGTCCAAGAAAGATGCAAAAGAAAAAGATTCCAAGAAGAAGAAATCGTCCAAAAAAGGTGAAAATAAATTTTGTAGTTTTCGTACCAAATAGGTCGTGAATACAAGACCGTGCATTTTGCATAAAGATTTTAAAAACTTCATTTTTATATCTTCGCACTTGGTGTAATGTCTTCAGTGTCACTTCTGATTAGTATAACTTTTTTGACTAAGATGTATATTTAAATTACTTCCTTGCAGTAGCTGTGCTTTAATAGTTTAATACTCAGACATAGAGGTTAGAGATGGAAACAGGTTGGAATATGGTTAACCATAAGACATTTTGTTTTTCAATCTATATTTCTGGCTGAAAGAACCAATAACAATTTAAATTAAAGCAGGATACAATGTGAGATTCCCTAAATTGAACTCGAATAAACCCAGCCAAATGTGATCATGTCAACCATGCCTCTGAATACCTCAATCGGAAAACAGTCGTGAAAATATATGAAATATTACTGTAGGGTGCGAAAAATCAAATAATATAAAAACAATGTAATCAAACAATAACTTGATTGTATTAACAAAAAAAATGTATTTTATTTAGTGGTAAACTATGTGACGAGACATCTCATCTTATCTTATCATTATCCTATGTTAGTTTTTAATATTAACTATTGCTTTTCTATAAATGTATGTATATTATATTGATCATACTTATGAAAGAAGACATTTCTTTTTCAGATAAACACGAAACCAAGATTGGTTACGAGGAAGCCTTAGGTATTTCAACACCAAGCAAGGAAGTTGTATAGTGTACAGTATAATTAATTATATACTATATCCTTGTCACATTATACGTACCCGTCTCAGTGCAATTGTTGATTTGAACAACTTAGTAATAATTTTGTTGTAATTAGTTCAATATAGTATATTATATATATTTAGTAGGCCTTGTTTTCATTAATATTTCTTATTACACCATGACCATTTATATAATAATGTAATGTTTCCTTAAGTATATATTGTAACAAAAGAAAAACAAAATATATAATCATGTACAGTTTATTAAAAGTGAATAAATAAATAAAAAGCATTATATTTTTACATCGTATGATATTAGAAGGCCAATTGTATAGTAGTGTTATGTCTAAGATTTTAACAATGAGACAGAAATTTAAAATAATATCTAATGTGTATAATATTGAGCATCAAATCTTTTTTCTTTTTCGTCTGTGTAAAGTGGGACACACGCCACCGCGGCCGCCACCACCTTTTCCCCCTTTACCATCACTGCTCTTGTAGGAAACGGCAACCTATGTATATTAATATAAAATTGTGAATTCTTCTATCCGAAAATATAACATAAACAAATACTACTAAGAATAATAATTATGAATGGAATGGTGTACCCGCCTCCGCGGTTTACGCTGGCGGGGCACTAGTAGAGGATGATAAGATGAGTATGAGGTCAGGTCTAGCCCATCTTGACAAATTCACCAAGAACTTATAACGATGGTTTCCCGAGGGGAACCACATTGCGGTCAATCTGACATGGTGCAATAAGATCATCAATCCACATTACTAACTTCAAAATCCCCTTTCTCCCTGATGAAATTATTTGTTCTAGCTAAGAATTTTAACTAAAATTCTTTTTGTAACTTTAAATTTTACCTTAACTTACTTTAGTGGATATAGGCCTGCTTCTTTTGCTCAAAAATATAATTGTTATAAATAATTTTATCTAATTATTAAATGTTGCTGGACATTGTGAATGTATTTGCATAGCAAATCTGCAAACAACCAGAGCATAACACGCAAGTTGTGGCCTACATGTCGTACACCGCATAGCAAATTTGTACGTAATACGAAGCTAAACTCATATCCACGAAGATCTACTTTTCATGCTACCATACAATAAGGGAGTTTTATTTGTCAAAAAATGTACACAACAAACTGTTTTTTTACAAGGAAATAAAAGGTATTGTATTAGTAAAACGACAATTTTAGCGTTTATATCAGTATTTATATAAACTAATTTTTATGAATTAATTCCTCTTTCTAGTGGCACAGTAATATATTCTGCAAATTGTTACAGGCATAATTATTCCTATCCTAAATAATCTGGGGTCTAAGCTAAGATAGGATGTTATGATACAATGCTTAAAATAGTCCCCGATAATTGTAAACACCTGTATGAATAAGGAAATAAAGAATTCTCTGCCTGTATCGGAACATCGGTCAATGGCCATGTGACGTTTATCATCTTTCATCATAAGGAAGATACAGGAGGATGGTATATAGAAAAAAATAAAAACATAGCAGATCTAAAATAACGTTTATTACGATACTTTGCATAAAGCCAATAAATAATTATACTACAGAATCAAAATGGATTAATGACGTTATTACAATATTGTACTTAAAACTTTCCGATCAAACACAAACATAGGTCAACTACAATAACTAATCATTTTAGTTTCCTACTTGCTATTATACCAGCAACATATGATTTAAATGAGACCATGTGTCTATTCCCCCTATTGTTATAGTTAATCGATGATCTCTAATATGTTTCACTATCACCAACAGATAAACATAAGTTGCTATTTACAATGGAACAGTACATAATGTACGTAATACACGTTTATTGCGCTAATACACGTCTTGATGCTACTAAGAGACATCTATAAAATACATACTTGAAATAATATTTAAATTATCTTCTACTGAAATATGTCATTTTACCGTTTGAACTATATCGTACGCCATAGTACGCAAAAGGACTCAAATTGACAAAACATATTCAATTAAAGCAGCAATGAAACATTGGTTAACATTATATATACCGCCACTTTGAAAAGTGTTATTCATCAATGAGAGTCCTAAAATTGTTTCAACTAACTATTCAACAACCAACTTTATTACTTAACTACTAACAAATAATGTTACTTCAATAAATAGAACAATGAGTGAAATAATTCTTACAACTAATTGTTGTTTTACAACCCGTACCATGTTATATTAATCAATTTGCCTTCGTTATAATTGTAATAATGGTAAGCAAAACACGATAAACATTTCATCTACATAACAATGACTTCAACTGTCAAAAGTATAATGTAAAGATACTCAAAAAATAATATGATACATAAATAAATGTTCTATCTACAAAATAATGTAATAAGCAAAGCCATATTAGACACCAGTTGATTTAGGTCATATGCATTGAAGAATATTTTCGAACTCCTTAATTATTATATAACATATATTACTTATATTAACATGGTAGTACATAAGGACAATCAGCATAACATATACTACATTATGAAATCGTGTACATTTGATATCCACATAACTATGGACGCCAGAAACGTCATGCCAGTTGGCCGATTTGTACCTTTTAAATTAGATGTTAAAGCTGTTAATGGCATAATATGAAGTTACCTGTGGTAATTTGGAAACTTCTGTGCCCATGCGTATTTGGAGAAGAATGTGAAAGATCTTAATCTGCATGTCTGCTTCTTAGTACACTTAAGTAATAAGAACAAATGCTGGTCGCATATGTTTCAAATATACCACGACAATACAAGTTATGAATATAGATTATAGATAGACATCAATAGTGATTACGTAACTGAGTACTTGCATGTGACATACACTATATTAACAATATTCGAGTAATTACTATTGAATTGTGAATATAATTACAGTTTATTCTGTAGTTATAATGAATGTCGACGAATCGACATTCATTATAATTATCGATGAAAATACTGAAGTTTTACTTTTCAAGCATATATCTAGGGATGTCAAATTTGACCTCGACTCCGGCCTTCCTGGCGAGTGCTACGATCTCAGACAGTTGCACCACCAACTGAGCCGCCTCGTCGAGATCGTCGCGGGGCACGATGCGCAAACCTGACTCTGCTATCAGTTTCCTGGCTTCATTTACTTTTGTACCCTGTAAAACATTGTTTACATTTAGCATTCTCAGTATTATTCCAACAAACATGTGTTATGTGCTATTTATCTACATTCAAAAGTTATGAATTTAAAATTCTAGTGACAGTTCTGTCCCTAGATCAGACAAATCCCAAATCTAATGGTCCATTCTATGCGCGCAAACACCGGTAATATGTCACATACATTGCCATTCTAGAGAACGAAGATGTTAAGACTCTGTACTCTGTAATTTCTCAGTCATATCTCACCTTCTAGCCGAAACACAGTCTATAAAGCTGCTTTGCAGCTGACTGTAATAATTAAGACAGAGTTTAGAAGAAAAAAGTTAACCACCAATATTTTGCAGAATTTTTTTGGCTTAGCAGATCTGAGTAAATGCATTTTGTATATTAAAGTATTTACCTGAAGTCTAACAATGACGGGAATTTGGATGTTCAAGTTCTTAGCAGCGTTGATGATACCTTCAGCGATGACATCGCACCGCATGATACCTCCAAAGATGTTCACTAATATAGCTGTTACTTTGGGATCAGACAGAATGATCTTAAAAGCTTCCTGTAGACAATACATTTAGTATATTTTTCATATATATTTTTTATATTTTTCATATTTTTTTTGACAATACATTTTTGTGTGTAAGTATATATATATATATATAACAAAATTAACAAAAAAATAAATTTTCATTGTCAAACACACCATATAGCCAAAAACAACCTTAAGAAATGGTTATTAACATTAGATTATGAACAGACAGAATTATTGATACGGTAATAGCACTTCTATAGGCGTTTCTAGATTATCACAAATTTCTCAAGACACACACCCATACACTCACACTCTCAAACACACACACCTACGATTACACCAACCTACTTAAATTGTAATATATCATAACAAATTCACTTAAAGTACATCTCAATATGGAAGAGGACACTGACTTCTCTAAAACACAGGTATTTTCTATACCTACCTCAGAATTCAGGGACTTCATAAATTATTTGTATTTGTAAAAAATATTAGACAATAAAGATATTATATTAATATAATTTCTAACATGACAATAGTTCACAAATACAAAGATAACCCGCGATCACTAGCACGTCTTTTAGTCCAGTCAGCATTCACGGGGTCCTGTTCCCGTCATATATACCTACTCATACTACTATATTAAAAATATGGTTGAGTAAGTTTCATATTACAAGGAAAGTAAAAAAACGAAAATTAAAGAAATTGACATTTTATTTTATGTTCGGTATTATTATCGAACATAAAATACCCCAGATGTTATTCTCTGGGGTACTTTTAGCACCACGTACTACCGGAAAGAAAGTGGTGTACAAAACCGTTTGATTTGTATTGGTTTTACATAACTACTTATTTATTTTGATTTATTTTTGTATAGGTGTAATGTCGGTTATGTTGTGATACCATTACAAAAAAATGAGTTTGGAAAGTAACACTGGCAAGTCCGTACGTTTTTATCCGTGATAAAGCAACATATTGGAGACTGTTGCTATAATTACGGATAAAAAACGTATTCAAATAATATAAATAGTCTTAACATATTATTACTAGGCAGAAAGTATAATAAAACACGGACTTTGGCGTGTCAGTTAAATAAACAAGAAATTAACAGCTATCAACAAATCCATAGTACATTTTTTTATCAAATGAGTAGTTAAATTTATCAAAACACGTTAGGTCATCTGTTTGTCATAAGCATATCATAAACTTATATAAGACAGTGCATTTTGAATTCATTCATCGAATTACGTAATACGAGAAGGCGATAAAAACATCTTAACATATATTTAAAATAAGAACCGACTGAGCTCTGTATAAGCAGTGGCAATCCGTGAGGAAGTAGCCATTATTATTGCTAAAAGTTGCATATAGATGGCGTGATTGGTATCGATGGAATTCTTCATAGTTTTGCAAACGATTTAAAAAACAAAACTGTGTTTACAAAAATGTTTAATCAATTTTTAAAAAGTTATATATACATGTTAAAATGAAATAATGCGTTTAGAAAAGTAATTTTCATATATTTACTCATTTTGTTATTTTCCAGTACTTAATTAATTTAATCAGTGCTAATACGGGGCTCAATGTTTTCAAAATGCTTTCATAGATGGCATTGTTGTCATTTGTATCGGCCTAATTAAATGTCTTTTTTATATTTTCCAATAATAAGCACTTAATATATCATTATTGTAAATTAAACATATAAAAAAATTTTAAGTAAATTAAAAATAGCCGAACAAGCAAGTAATACTATTTCCAATAATACTTATGTATGAAGTGTTGTCATATTAAAAATAAATACATGTATTATCGATTTTTTTGAATAATCGATAACAGGATTTTATTACAGTGCATTATTCGATGATGCTTTTAATGAGTCGTTGTGAACAGTAAATTTTCATTATTTTGTATTATAGCAGTGTTCCGTTTCAAAGAACGGAATATAGTAGTACATTATTAGTGTCGTTGGTTATTTACATTTGTACTAAAAATCGATTACATAATAATTTAAAATATCGAGTACGAATCGTAGTTGTCTTTGAATACTGGCAAGTAAAAATAGTATTTAAAAAAAAAGAGAGAAATCGACCCAAACTCGAATATCATAAAGTTGATTTTCCTTTCTCATTAATATCATAGCAGTTTGTTTTTAACTTGCGTATGACTCTGTTCTATGATGTTTAACGTGTATTGTTATTGTACGGTGCATACATTTCAAAAATTATATTTTAATGTAGGTACATACATTTCTTTCATACATTTCATACATGTCAAAAATTATCTTTTAATGTAGGTACATACATTTCTTTCATACAATTCATACATGTCAAAAATTATCTTTTAATGTAGGTACATACATTTCATTCATACATCTTATACATTTCAAAAATTTTATTTTAATGTAGGTACATACATTTCTTTCATACATCTCATACATTTCAAAAATTTTATTTTAATGTAGGTACTTACATTTCTTTCATACATGTCAAAAATTATCTTTTAATGTAGGTACATACATTTCTTTCATACATTTCATACATGTCAAAAATTATCTTTTAATGTAGGTACATACATTTCTTTCATGCATTTCATACAGGTCAAAAATTATCTTTTAATGTAGGTACATACATTTCTTTCATACATTTCAAAAATGAACTTTTTATGTAGGTACATACATTTCTTTCATACATCAAAGATATTATTATTGTAGATATCGAAAGTTATGTATACAAGTAATTCTGAATATTATCAAGTTTAAAATAAGCACACATTACTGGCTTAGATAATAGAGTAATATTACTTGTAATAAAAAATTTGTGACACCCATATGTATACATATTACATAGTAAGTACTTACGCCCGTGCCGTGAGACTCATCTAAGCGTACAGCGCATGCGCGTCGTGCGGTAACCGCACCGACCGACCAATAGGAGCGCGCCTCTCGCGCATCCAGAAAGTTCGCGACTAATGGACGGTATAGTAGTAAAGCAATGAGTGTTCCAGTGACATCATTATAATATTTTCTCGTTAAGTTTTATTGTAATATACATAATTTCGTACTAAGTAACGTGTTCCCCCGTTACACATTTCTATAATAGTAATGAAAAACCTAGATCGACCCTGTTCACTTCATCTAGGATTGAAGTTTTAAGCTATTTAGCTTAATTAATATTCCTTCTTTTGAAACCAAATTTCATTTCATTATAGATATAAATTAACTGACTCGGCAAACCTTGTTTTGCTTTATAAATTAACTAGCTGTACCCGCGACTTCGTCCGTGTGGAATAGTGACCTTTATCAAATAAATAATAAATATTTAATAATGTAACTCGAAAAATCCAAAGAAAAAGTTTCATCGTACTAGTTTTGAAAATGACGAATTTTTTCATCATCTTCAACTTTCATCTTATATTTCATTTTACCCTCTAAGGATAAGGATAACATTTTACATACTTAGAATGTCATATTTATTTATATTTAGTCAGCAGCCTAAAAAATATTTTAAATTAAATTATAAGATTATAAATTAAAGCTTTAGCTTACAAGATCTGACTTTAAAAATGACGATATTTTCATATAGCCTTTCATTTCCCCTTTCAACCCTTTTTCGCATTAAAAAGTAGCCTTTCTCTCGGTCTACATTAACTGTGTACCAAATTTCAATTAAATAAGTTCAGTAGTTTTGGCGTGAAAGCGAGACAAACAGACAGACTGAGTTACTTTAGCATTTATAATATTTGTAAGAATATCGCTATTAAAAATAGGGGTTGGTGAAAGACGGGCCAAAATTTAGGCGTGTATGTAACATTATAAATAAATAAAAACTTGTCCATAATACAAAAAAAAAAATTCAGGGTAGGCCACCCCTATGACTTAGGGGTATAAAAAATAGATAACAACCCTACCTCAGACCTAGCAAGTATACATATCAAATTTCATCAAAATGTGGGAGAAATATGGCAACTAACACTGTGATACGAAGTTTATATATAAGATATAGGGGAATTCTCATTAGGGAAAAGAGGGGTACATCGTAGAATACATGAGGTATATACCAGTAAATTCATTGTAGCTAAAACCAGTCTCTTACACATAACGATTGAAATAAAAAATCATATAGCCCGATTTTGATACGTACGAGTATAAACGTATCAAAATCGGGCTATACGTATAGCGCAGACGCGTTACAACATATCTTCGTCGAGAGAAAAAAATAGGCGTGGAATGTAGAATAAACTATAACATAATATATACATTGGCACATAAGCCATATCTGCAGGGTGTCGGCTAACGATATTATACCTACACATTTACATTGAATCTTGAATCGTCCCTAATGAGGTACACGATACAGTTACCTACATATCTTGTATATACCTATCTTTGCAAAACAGATGTCATGTAGACTGAATTGACTGCCATCTATTTTCGTGCTTTGTTACTAAGCACCCACTAGTAATCCGAACTGCTTCAGATCTAGAGACATCTAGCGGCTACGGCGGCGAAATAAAATAGCCCGAAGAATAGCCCGAGTTAGGAAGGAACCATTTTCTTGTATGGGATGGGGTATCTGTATGTAATATTATGTTATCTGTGGTATAAGTAAATCATGATTCTGATATTTTAGCCATTAATCTGATAGATTTTTGTCCTTGACTCAATTACTTCTTCATGTCAATGCTTTGTAATAGTGACTTGTCTTATTTTTAGTACATTGAATGTACGAAAAGCGATATACATTTTATTCTAAATCATAATAAGAAATTGTTGCTTGTTATTGTAGGTTCGATTATATTTATAAGTTTCCTAACGTAATTAATGGCCATCATATATTTTATCAGTTATCAAACATAATTTAAGTGTTTATATATACATACACTATCCATATATATCAGATAAGCCGTTTTTATATTTTAAACAACAATTTAAAAACTTACCGAAACAGCCTGTGCGGTAGCGCCACCGCCTACGTCAAGGAAGTTGGCTGGATCCCCGCCGTAAAGTTTGATAATGTCCATGGTAGCCATGGCCAAGCCGGCACCATTCACCATACATCCAATATTGCCTAATGAACAGATTACAAAATATAGTACTACTACTATATAAAAACGTATTTCTACATTCATTTCTCGATGCAAGTGTTTCATACTGTAGTGAATATAGAAAGGTATGTTCAAAGGATTTCTTTAAAAAGAGCATGATAACTTGATATTTTTTACAAAATACAATAATTTTTAGACAGGTATTTTTTCAAAAAATGTCTTTCTACATTAATAATAATTTTGACAGGCTTAATATAGTCTAAGTTACCTTACTTAAATAAGTGTATTTTCTGAGCATGGTTTTGCACCTTCATTTCATATAATAAATATTGGCACACTTTGCGTTTCATCAATAAATATCAAACTTTAACAACAAAATAAATATATAAAGAGATAAATAATAACTCCTATACATACTCAAATCGTAATTCTTCTTGTAAGTGTCATTATATATATTGCAGTACACTTACCGTCGAGTGCGATATAGTTTAAGTTATATTTAGCAGCTTCAATTTCCTTGGGATCCTCCTGTGTCGTATCACGGAGTTCGAAGAGTTCCTTCTGTCTAAATTCAGCATTGTCATCGAATCTAAATTTGGCATCCAGGCAGTAAACTAAAACATAATTAAAATTGTTAATAACAAAAATACAAAAGAGATTAGTTATATAAAATCAAAATAGTCTAAAAATAAATAAAAATTAACTTACACTTTCCATCAATAGCATCCTCGGCATAAGGGTTTACTTCAATTAGCAGGGCATCTTTCTTCAAAAATAGATCGTACATTTTCTTGATCATTCCACACGCTTCATCGGCATGTTCTTGCAGACCAATCTGTGACAATGTAATGATTGATTGTTTATCAAGATAACATTTATTTATGGAATATATTTCCACGTAACTGACTAAGCTATAAATGAAATTTAAACAGAATTATTAGATTATTAAGTAATTACACATAGTTATGCATAATAACATACTTTAGAAGTAAGATGTATTCAAACTATAAATAGAACAACTATTTTCATACTTTACCGAGGATACATATTAATCCTTATAGATTTACTTTGCTCTTTATCTTTCTATAAAGATCATTTTTCAATAGAACAATTAAAAATATTGAGTTGTAGTTCTAAGGAATTCAAGATTCTAACACACTTTAGCATTTGAATTTGCAATAAAAATTATAAAAAACGATCTTAAAATTTTGATTGTTACCAATTTATAGACAAAAAGAAATATTTGTTATATTGGAATAAAAAGGCACTTGAAATAAAGTGCAATAAAGGGTTACAAACAAAATCAATTACAATTAATATAAGAAAATAGTGATAGTAGACAACTACAATTAAGTTTATTACAGTATGATTGCATGAGCAATATTCTTAAGACTCAATATCCTTATCCGTCCCCCTCATCATGCACTAGCAACTGTGTCAATTTATTAAGAACTATTTTCATCATAACAATTCCCACTCACGAACAAAAATGTGACTGGCATAAATGACATAAGTAAGATAATATAACGGTTACTGGCTGTATGGACACAGTGCCCATTGCCTTTCCTAAAGTATAATAACAATTAAAAAAATGACACTATTGGATGATTTCATGATTACTATGGGAACAAACCTTCTGTACAACTCGGCTGACTTGGTCATCGGTAATGCCGGTCACGATGTCAATCGGTTCGTAAGTGATAGCGTCGGGATTCTCGGCGGCTACGTCTTCGATGTTTACACCACCTTGTGACGACGCAATTATTACAGGGCCCTACAACAGACATCAAACTGTAAAAAACATAGAAAGCACCTTCAGTTAACTGCATCACAACTATTTCAGCTAGATGGTTTCTCTCAAGTTCAAGTTATGAATATACATTAAGATTTAAATAAAAAGAAATAGTGCCTAATATTTCGCTATGGTAACAAAGTCTTGAATTCGATATCTGACTATGTTACCAGTAATTAAAACACTAACATACTTCACAAAAGTAATTTAGAGCAATCACTCTAAATTAAGACTTCTACTTTATTTACAAGTTCCCATTCCCGTGGGATTTCACTAATCTCCTTTCAAAATATCATATTCCCACCTAAACACCTGATTTGTTTAACCAAATGTTAAACCAAGCAGGAAAATCAAATTCCATAAGATATCCTTCTTTATGAAAATACCAATTATTGTGTATAATTTATTTCCTGTCAGATTTATGAAACTAATAATTATTGTAGTTTTTGATCGGAATCTCCGGTGTGAGTGTTCAACTGGCCAATTTTATCTACATAATAAAAGATAATACACAAAACTTCATTATCATATATATATATATATATATCTATGTAAGTATCATATAGTATACAGGCTTCATAAGTTTTTTTTATTAAAATTGAATGTCAAGAGAATTATCTAATTTTCATCACGAAATACAAAAAATATCAAGCATCTTCACTTATCGCGTCGGTCAAAGTGCGTACACGATACTGATATTTGATGTTACTAAATTAAATGTACTAATTAAAGTTTATTTGTAAAAACTTAATTAAAAATTTTCTATTGATAATTATTCAAACTGAAAATTATTTGCGACACTATTTTAGCATAATTATAAAAAGGTAAGACATATACAGACAAACATGCTGTCCTACAAGCACACACTAATATTCATTATAATAGAAAATATGCCAATAGACGTACGTTAAAACTACGCTCCATCATAATAGCAACATAGAATTCTCGGCGCGGGAACTTGCGTTCAGTAACCATCACCATGTTACAGATGCGACCTGCGGCGCCCGTTTGTTTCGTCACCAGCAACTGTTTTAGCATCTTGCTTGCTAATTCACCAGCCACGGCAGGCCTGTGAGAACAACCAATAAAATTATGTAACAATTTAATTGCTATATATAATACCTACACCAGTGAATTATGTAACTAGTTGTTTTCTCGCGCATTGCAACTACGCCAGATCGGAGAATTATAGTAATTTTCTATAAAAGACATTTCACAAACAAAAGTTCTATCAGATTAGGGTAAATAATGTGCCAGTGCAAATATCGACAAACAAATAGATATTGCCAACTGTTTAAGGTTTATAAAACTAACATCACTGTACTATGAGAAACAGCTGATGGCCCACCTCATGGTAAGTGGTAGCCATTGCCTATATACATGCAACAGCACTATGGACAATGTGATACCACACACTCTGAGGTATATGTTACACCTTTTATACAGTAATTTCATTCAAATTCAAATTCAAAAATCATTTATTCATGTAGGACATTTTAGCCTACATGAATAAATGATTTTTGAATTTGCCTATCTCCATTGCCTTACAAAGCAAGCTGCTTGGCTGACCTGTTTTCTTTGGGTTAAATCCTTTACTGAGAGATGTTCACATCATAGTTAGCACAATATATTCTATGATAAAGGGAAAAAAACGAGAGTTTATAATCAGAAGTAAGATGATTATAAGATGATTATAATCAGAAGTAAGATGAATATGTAAGATATCAAAAGCCAAATATATAACAAATAGTTATTACATTAAAAAATAATTGTACAATATCCAATAAAAAAAAATCTTACGTGTCCACCATCCTTACACCACCTTTAAGACCACTTTTAAAGGAACCCTTGCCTCTCCCTCCAGCCAGTACCTAAATATATTTCCAATATTAATATTCTATGAATAATTTGAATCTGGATTTATAAATATTTTATTAAAAAAAATATATAGTAAAAATTATTAAGGATGTGAAAATTATTATTACCTACAGGTAAGACTGCATGTATGTATATAATTAAATAGTATGTAATATGAAAAATTATATATTAATGTAAAGTTTAAGAATTATAATAATTTCATTGTAAAGAAGAAAGGTAACATAGTTGAAAAAAAAACTATGGTATTAATTACAATGTTAATAGTTTAATCATTACCTGTGCCTTAAGCACAATGTCTTTAGTGTTAAGTTCCTGGGCATATTTGACCACCTCATCCGTAGTTTTGGCCACATTGAACCTAGGCACAGGGATGCCATTGTCACGTAATAGAGTATAGCTCACATACTCATGAACATTTAGGTGTCGAACTTGCTGTTTGTTGGGAAGGTTGTTTGTTGTTGATGCTGCTAACAACTGTAACAGAAAAATGTATAATAATATTATATGTTTTTTCTTATTAACTTGCAACCAGTTTTTATGACAGATGTAATGTGAATACAGTTTTAATTAATCTAAATTAATGTTTATATAGAGGAGAACTCAATGTCAGGAGTATCAATCCTCCATACCCTGTAATTTCACTGCCATATATGAAATTGAAATAACTTACAAAACAAGTTGGTTGATATAGGTGAGATGGTCATTAATAAGATAGTACAATTATATGAGTTGAGTACAGCTCAATTTGTAAAGGTTTAATACTAACTAAACAACCATTAGATTAAAACTAACAAGTGAAAAATAATTCACAAAACAACCAATTTTTTTTTAAAGTTAAGTTTTCCTAGTTTACTTCACTTGCAATAGTTTTAAACATTCCATGTGATAATTTTTTTGATATAATTGAAGTGGCAAACAAACCGATAGGTGGTGGTATGCAGTAACTGTCGCCTATATACATGATATGACATTATCATGTGGCAATACCACAATGTCATGCCTCTTATCTTGTAATTTCACTGCCTAATCTGCACCCTCCAACCAAATCACAGCATACTAAGCATGGTGCTTGACAGCTGAAGGTGAGACTAATTAAATATATAAGGTATTACCATTTTGTATTATTTATACTGATAGGTTGGATAATTTGACTGGCTTGTCACAATGATATATGCCTTAGCTTAGTATGGACCCATGACATATTATATTTTTTATATGACAACAGTTTTAATAATCATACATAAAACATGACTTTGTGGGTGTCCTTTATAGATACATAGGTTACAGGTATATTTGTTGTACACAACAAACTGCCACTTGGACTTGGTATTTACTATAAATTAATCTAACAATATTAATATACTTAGAACTTAGAAGTACATTAAGTTACATTGAAATTAGGATTCATAACAATTCCTTTTAGGAGTATAGTCCAGGAGCATTACTTATATGTTTAATATCATAAAGTTTTCTCTAAGGAAAACAATAGATAATAAAACTAATAGAATGCAACACTTTGTTTTTATAAGTTAAAAGATGTTTATAGTAAATGAATATGAATTCTACTAATAGTAATGTTTGTAATTTGTCTTAAAAAGGCCGGAATCCCTATATATATTTAACTTATTTTTGGGTAAATTTATGAAATATTAAGCTTGAATGAAATGGAATATTATGATCATGTGCTTAAAACTATTATTTTAAATTAACATGATAATGACACATTATTTTTATATCGATATGCAAAAATTATTTATTAAATTAATAAAAATTATGGAATAGTTACATAGCTACGACGGTGACGTAAGGTTGGTTTAACTTCTAATGACAAGGCCAAATGTATTAATAACTTCATACTATAGCCAACGATCGTGACCTCAAAAATTATATTACACAATATGAATTAAGACAAAAAGAGGTGTTAATTCCATTAGAAAATTCATACATTATTATATACATTTTATTATTAACTGTAGCAGAAGGTGCTGTTTGTTTCTCAGTTTCGAACAGTTAACAAGGACATTAGTATTATACATAATAACATTTTAAACAGAAATTTATGTATAAAGAATATTTAATTTACCTTATTTCCATTTTTCAATAATAATGTTTCTGCTAAACCAAATGAACGAGGCAGAAAAGTCGCCATTTTTCCTAATTTATCACCACAGACTATTTTCTGAACTTCTTTTTTTCACTTCCAAAAGTACTCTGTGGTATCTTTATTTAGTTATATGTTTTACGGCTCTGGATACAATTATTATCAGTAAAACCATATTCACTCTAGGGAAAAATACAAGATTTTTAAAAACTGCTTAGTAGGTATTTAAAAGTTATTTGTATATAATTCATTATAAATAAAATTTGCTTTTGATGACTTATAATACTGAAGAATGTTAACAGTTATTTGACCTATAACATATTTTACCCAACTACATTCATATATGCATGTTATCTCGACATACATATTTAAATAACTTTATTACAGCTACCTGCAATACAGCATAAATTATAATTGCTGTTTTCATCTGTCTATTTCTTTAAACCATGGTATTGTTTTTACTAATATTTGAGAATTGGTATAGTTTCATATTAATCTAAGAGGTTAATATATATTAGATAGTAATATATACACATGTAAACTCAGACATCATTACATAAAATTATATAAGTACAGAAAACTACTGCTTTTTTAATAGGCAGTGAATACGATATAGGTAATAAGATATTAAATATGCCAAAATGAATGAAATTGCTACATATGGTCACACTGGAACAATTTTTTCAGCAGTTGCCTAATTGATTTCAAATCTTTGTGCTAACTAAAACAAAAAAAGCTCGATTATTCCAAAAATATAGGTACATATATAATTATGTAATTTTTTATCGTTTTGAATTCACCAGTGTTTCCAGGAAACGGGTCAATGGGGCTACACAAGCTCTTATTACAAAGACACGGTTATATTTTTTATGGATGATAATGGAATGATACACCCGCCCACGCTAACGGTTTACGTAGACCGGGCACCAATGGAGAGTGAGAAAGTGAACATGAAGTCGGATTAGTTAACCCATCTTGGCAAACTACTACAATGGTTTCCAAGGGGAACCGCGTGGAGGTCAATCTGACATGGTACTTTGCTAACAATAGGTTTGTCCGCATGTATTGTTAATCTAAAGCGGTAGATTAAAAAAAATGTAATGACTATTCAAAAGTGCTTCAATGTAAGTTTATTTGAATAAATGATTTCTATTCTATTCTAACTTGACGGTGATCGTGACCATCTCTGTCTTTCGCATAAAAGTGGTATGTTAACGATGTTCAAGAGCAATGAAAATTACAAGTTGGCGCAATTTTTTTTGTGTCAACCTTACTTAAACCACAAGAAGATAATGTATAAATAACTGTAATGCAACAGATGAATGTTAACAATTATTATTGAGGCAATAATATCATAAGCTATCATCAGAATTTCAAACAATATTTCAACAAGTAGATAGATGGATGGCCATAGTAGCATTATAACTGTAAAAACAAAACATAAATAGTAATAAATCTTTATTAAAAACAAAATCTAGGTTCTTGCGGATTTAACCACTATTTCAGATTCTTGAAAATATGGCAAATCCACTTGGTTCTTACATTTTTCATCAACCCAAACTCCATTTCCAGAGAAGTAATGATTTTTTTCAAGCAAATATAAAATGATGCTTAATTTTTTTGAACTGTTCAATTTCTTTATGTCTAACTGTTCATAGATAACTTGAAATTGTCTTTGCTTTGTTGGACTATTAAAAACATCCAGTGTTTCTTTTATTTTGTTCCAAGGATAAAGAAGAATAAAAGAATTTTCATATATATCTGATTTAGAGAACTCTTTACACAATTGTTCATAAACATATTTCACTTGCACTAAGGGAATATTGATCCAGAAAGGATGTCTTCTTATCATTCTACGTATGTCATTTGCACTGTAGTCATTTTCTAGAAACTGTGATATACAGAACACCAAGTCCTTGCCTTTTCCCAAACGATCACCAGGTGCTCTCTCAAATGTTTTAAAGTGAGCTGAGCTCCCTGATAGGATATTTAAACTGAGACACTTCTTATTGTTACTGTATAAATTGTTCAACCTCTTCATTGCTGTTTTTTTGTAATGAATCATTTTTAGGAATCTTGGATGATTGAAGAATGTAGAGAATTCTGGTATCTTCATTGCAGTTTCTATTCTTTCCTTTATTGTGTTTGGACTAAGAGTATATATGTCAAAACATCTTCTCTGTGCCTCATTGCTTATACCATATTCTTGTAAGACATTTCGAATTTCAACCAGGGTAGTATAATTTTTTGTAGCCAGTTTTGGATGAAGTCTTATTATTTCCTTAATATCTATGCCACCAATTGTTTTAAAATTATGTATTATATTTTTTAAATTATCTGGATCAACATGAATTAAATAAAAGTTTGTTTTTAACTTATAATTTGGCATCATAACTTGAGACTGTAAAATATTTAATGTTTCATTGATTGCCTTCAATGGACGATGTTTAACTGTTGGATATGTTTTTATGCCTCTATGGAACTCTTCTGTGCTAAGATCCAAGAGAAGTTCAAGATATCTTTGAATTATTTTAAGGCGTAAAGTGTATAATGAATTCTTATTTACATCTTCATAAATTAAATTTGTAAGTGATGTAGGCCATTGAGTCATGTGACTTGCTAATTTATTTTCTACATTCATGTGTGGAGAAATTAACCCCAATTTTCTTAATTCCCCAATACTTTTTTGTTTTACAATAGGTAAGTATGTTAACAAATGTACCGGTTGTATATCAATAAAGCCACATTCTTTTAGAACTCTATAACGAAATTTCAATGTAACTGGAAGTAAACTCAACAATGAAGGTTCTTTAGCTAGTATTATTTTTGGAAAACCCAGTTCATGTACAGTTTCGACCATATTTAATATGCTCTTTTCATCTAATTTTTCTATTACAGGATGTTTCAAACACATATATTCTGCCTTAACTCTATTTATCTTTAAATATTTACCTAGATTTTTCAAAACATTTTCATTTCCTATAGTCCTTACATTATTTTTATTACATGAATGAAGGGGTCTCCTGCGAAGGAGGCCCAAATATAATTTATTTGAAAAATTCATTCATTAACAAATTATTATTGTCCATAGAAGTTAAATAAATTATATAAATAAAGAAAATTACATGAAACTATAAATCATAATTTTAAATAGTTTAGGTTAGTGATGATTTTTTCTGTAATCTGAGCCGTCAGTCAAAACGTCATTATTCTATTATTTTGACATCCTCCGATATCATAGGTAATATATAAAATACAGTGGCTGTATGGGCTGAGTCCTTTTGCCTTTCCCTAAAAAGGGAAAAACCAAAAAAAAAATTAAAATACAACTGTGGCGAATTACATTCTGGACTGAATGTAATATTATTGTAAATGTTTCTTATGTACATATATGATAACCATCACCTCTAAATATTCCTACAATATGTATGTGAATGGTACGACTGGTTTAATTTCGTTACCTGCTTCCTATCTGTTACCTTGATTTTATTTTAGACTTTAGTTGAATAATTAATAGTTTAACGTAATTTATTACTATCTATACAATAAAACCATGTCGAATAATATGTAGGTACTTACTGTTAAATCGAATTTTTTTTTCAACACTGACTAAAATTTTTGGGATTGCCAACCATAATCTGTGAATATGTGTAATTTACTAACTTTGAACGACAGACAACGGTTATTATTATCTGTGCTCTATATTGTCTATTCTTATGTTTTGGTTTCATTTCGTATTTTGGGCGTGTTTTGATTTTGCTTCTTTTCTTACTTATTATTCATTTTGTATTCATTAGTATTAAGTAACATGGTTAATAAATCGAAAACTGGACTCTTTGCCTTAGGTTTTTTTATAACGGCTTCTATATTTATTGTAATAGCTTTTGTTAGCCCTTATTGGTTAGTAACCGATGGTAAACTTTCTGACCCGAAATTTCTCAAAATAGGTAACTGTATAATTTTATTTCTATGAAAGAATATTGTGTTTAAATTAACATCATAAAACTGTTAATTTATAAAACTCAAATGATTGTGCTATTTTATTACAGGGCTATGGCAAGTTTGTTTCAATGGGTTTGAAGAGGTTCATCACTGGTATGATACACGGTTTACTGGATGTTGGTGGATATTTGAAGAGGAGTACTATATAATACATGATATTCTTTTGCCAGGATTCTTTATAGCAACTCAGTTTTTTTTCACAGTCACATTGTGCAGTGTCCTGGCATCAATGCTTCTCTCTTACTTATACATAGGCAAAGATAAAGATGATGAGAATTATGTGACGTTATTAGTGACTTTAGGGACAGTTCTTGTTATCGGTGGTATGTATTTTAAATATTAAACCAATGTACCATAACATAAAAAATATTATTTAAATTAATGATATTCATTATTTAAATTAATGATATTCATTAATTTAAATAATATTTAAGTTAGTAATAATTTGTCAACAATTCTACTTACTAGAGAAGTACAGTAGTACTGTACGTAATTGAAATGCATATTATTATTATTTGTGTGAAAATAAAATTTAATACTAAACAGATAGATAATTTCCTTATCAATCTGTATGAGCTCCTGTCCTGCCACTAAGCATACTATAATGCAGTGAGGATACAACAAGAATGGGTTATATGCACATTGCTATTCAGTAAATAAGTCACATATGAATAGTATAATAGAATAGTTTGTAGTGTAAAACTGATTTTAGTTTATCCCTTTTTCTTATCTCTATTATAGTGAGAAATAATATTGCATTGTCTTTTATTGCAGGATTTTCTGGAATTATATCTGTTGTTACTTTTGGAGCTAGAGGTGATGGCCGAGACTGGATGCCAAATTGGGAGCACAATGATCTTGGCTGGGCGTTTGCACTCGGTTGTGTTGGAGTAATTTTTCTATTTCCTGCTGGCATACTGTTCTTGGTTGAAGCAAGAGTGCATAAATATAAAAGACTTCATGAAATGCAAAGCCGTGACCCTTCCTCTTATTCAATGCATGAGAGGAAAGTTGGATACACTGGAGGACATACTGACATATAATTATAGCTTTTTATTATTATTGACTTAATTGTAGTTATGAAGTCCGTCCATTATAGTAAATTAAATTTTTAATAGGAATGTAGATGTGCTTAAAAAAAATGTGTTTGTTCTGGTATATGGTGACTGAGGGTGTAATCTGAATATCTTCAGTTTTATTGAAAAAAAAAATGTACAAAGGATGAAATGAGATGTGTATATAACTATATCCCATTTCTATACTTCTTATTTGTCATTAAATTTTATAACAAGACTTAAAATCCAGCTGTGGTGGTACTCCTTAATGTAGTGGTCACACATTGATTAGTAAAGCCATCTTTGGTATTAACCTATAAAGAAATTAAAAGCTGTATACATTTTTTTAATTAGATTAGCTCAAACCAGTATTAACCACTTAGTACTAATCAACCTCAAGGAACACAAGTGAGTATATAATTAATAATAGCTTCTCCAAATATTTGTTAATAATTATTAATAATTTTTTGGCTTCATTTACTACTTATATAAAGTCCAAAAGAAGTAATTTTAAGGCCCAATTGGACCACAACTGCATATTTTTATATTGTTTTAAATGAATCTCATTGTTAGTTATTAAGATACTATGATATGATTGAGCCTTAATAAAATCAATCCATCCTTGTTTGATGAAATATAATGTATTAAAAATTTTTAATGTTTACAATCAATCTCATTCATGAAATTTTTGATTTTTTTATATTTAAAAATAATTTGTTATATATTATATGTTTTGTGTATATACATGTGTCCCCTAAATAGTCTTTAAGAAGATTAATGTGAAATTAATTTTACACACAAAATTGCATTTAGTACATAGTATTTACATCTTTAAGATTGAAGATTTTTTATCCAATTCCCATTATTTTATATGACCCTTATGTCCATAATAATATCAAATATAGTGACCATGGAACCGTTGGATATAAAACAATAATAATAGTCATGATATTTTGGTTAATTCTATATTCAATGATTGTATATACCTAGAATAACAAAATCCTGATCAATTTAATAATTGGTTTTTTTTACTTATTATTGACCAATTTCTATATTTAATAAAATGAGTTTCTCCGTTGTATAAATATTTTTTTCAAGGCAACTTCCCTTCAGTTTGTATTTTAATTGCAATAGCACATTTGTTCCATTATTTTTATTATTGTGCGGGATTATACTAAACTACGAAGGGAATTAATCATGGACCAATTTGAATTCAATTAATGAGTAATAATTGAATTACCTTTCATATTTTCTCATAATTTGTCAAATGTAAACGGTCGTAATATTGAATAGTTTTAATGATTTGTATGCCTGTTACTCACACTACAACACATTATAATCTATATTTTTTTAATGTAGTTTAAATACTTGTCAGTTTGTTTGCAAGTATACAGGATAGGTACATTAATATTAATATAAAGAGAAAAGATTTAGTGTCTGAACCTAATGAAACTACTGGACCGATGGTGAACAAAGTCGAAAGGGATCCCGTATGAAAAAAACTTGGATAATGTATGAAAAAAATACCAAAAAATTCATATATCGCGTACACTACAGTAATATATAGGACATCAATATCGAGGTGTGTATAAGCGTGTCTTCTGATTTTTGTAATATCTGGGCGAAGCCAAGTTATATAATTAAAATACTCGTGGTTACTTATTTATTTTAATATCAATTGGCACTTAACTTACTTGCTTATTAAATTATCTAATTGAAAAAATTTCGCATTTTTACGATAAACATTTAATTCAGTTGGCACAGTGGTTGACGTAAGTAGAGCAGCTTTAGCGGTTTGAAATCCCATAGCCACGCAATACGATTCATCTAAACCAGAGAGCAGTCCAAAAATGTAACCCCCGGCAAAACTGTCTCCTGCTCCGGACACGTTTATTATTTTATCTACGGTTTCTGCTGGGTACAATCGAACATCGGGCTCTCCGTTTCCTCTGTTTTTAATAATTATCACCCCTTTAGCTCCCATTGTGACTATAAGAACTTGAATGTCCTTTAGAACTTTAGCCAGTTCTATTATTTCTGAAACCTCGTCGGTAGTATGGCTTGTGTTTATTGTAGGCGAAACATATTTTGCCATTGCACGTAGTTCTGATATATTTGGCGATGTATACATTAGATGACATCTAAAGTTTAGTGGTTTTATTGCTTTTCTTATGTCCGTTGGTTCAAAGAATACTGAAATAAAAATAAAATTAATAGAATCATAAGGGCTTTAGGGAGCGGAGGAAAATAGGAGTGGGCGTTAAACACGTCATGGCTAAATCGAGGGTGATTGAACGAGACTAGCGAGAAGCGACTTAACATTATTTGTCAAATGCCATTGTACTTTATGCAATCTGTAGATTTTAATACGACATAAATTTGTATGGATAAGAAGGGCCGTAACATACAGGTGTTTATTATTTTTGAAAACAGATGCAGTGACAGTGCAGCCCTGTAGATGCCTCTCAGAAGGCGGTTTTTCCATTCATGACTGATTAGTATTCCTACTTGTAGTGTATACGCTGTTATTACTCAAGTAAATGGGAGGAAGAAGGGATTGCTAGTAATGGGGACTAGCGAGTATGAACGGCCACCACGCGGTTACTCTAGAATAAATTAATGGAAAGTAGTATGATTATGAAATTAGTCTAGTCAGTTAGCTCAAGGTGACAAATTAACTAAGTATTAACAACGACGGTGATGAGTGGGTATCGCGTAGATTTTAATATAAATACATACGTTTTTTGTAAGTGTATAGGTAGTTAGGTACATATTGTATTGTAAATGTTTTGTATCGTGCGAGGAATTGAAGTTGCAACCATCGGAATTAATGCGGTATTTTTAACCGCTAAGCTATAGAAGCCGGCATACAATATGTAAGTATTAATATTTATTCATAGTTTTCTAATTTAAAAATATTCAATATAATTCATAACTGATTCGATACGTTTGGCACATTTTCAAAGAAGTATAGCATAATCCGTAATTTCTATGTGGTAACACTATCTCTTGTAGGGTTCCCAACTTATAGAATATCTCCCTAGTTTTAAGAGAAACAGTTGAATGAAATTTCATTGCATTAACTTACGAAAGAGTAACCCGTTTTGTTAGAATTTAATAGTTCACACACTGTTTAATGGTGTTATACTTTAATTTTAGTTTACTAGTTTAAATGGTAATATAAATAAGGTGTGCACCATAGCAATTGTAACTGTTACATTGCTTCTACAAAAATTGTAAAATAAGCGATTGTAGCGGCTTTTCAAAATATAGCCCCCGTGCCCGTGTCATTGAAGGTATATGATTTCACTCTGTAAGTTATTAGTTTAAATTATTAGGCTTTATTTTATGGATAATTTTGGTCAAAGGATATTTTTTTATTTGTTTTGAACTTTCCACTTGTCACTAGACGAACATGTATCGTGGGAATTCGCAAAAGTATTGCCAGATGTTATTCAACATTTTGGATCAGTGAGTTAGAGTATAAAAACATTTGAGGTCAATTATACATTACATATATAAAAAACAGCATTTAAAATTGATGTATACGTCCCACTAAATACATTTTTTTTGATAAGATGTACATAATCCATATTAATATAATGCAGTTGTGGGTAAATACATATAGAAACTGGTAACCCTGCCCTGCCCATTTTAAAAATATATTGTCTGACTTTCTTGGTCGTGTAGACGTTTAATTTCTATACGGTAAACAATTTCTGTATTTTAATCTTAAAATATTCTTTTGTTATAAAGGTATAACCTTGTCGTACCCGTACCCATATCATATTGGATTTAAAGTTGTGGTAAGTTAATTTGTTTAATAATTATTATTTTGTTGGCATCTTCGATTTAAGTATTAACAGTGTTAGGAAATTAATGTACATTCTTTCCGAATAACTTAATGGTTATTATTAAATAGATAATATTTATAATTAGAAAGAGCTGTACTAAATTTATATTATTAATGGTGGAATAATAAATTTTACTGTCACAGGTTAATACTAAAAATTAACTCCCATATTCATGTAAATAAAACTACATATTTAAGTTTCGAATATATTATCACTTTCTTTCAAATTAAGCTAAATAGCTAGAAAGAAAGAATTAGAAGAGTTCCATACCACAATAGAATAGTTTGGTTACAAAAACAATTTGTTTATTCAATGATTGGTGTTTTTAGTGGTGTTTTACTTATTAAATTTATGTTTCTGCGGTGATCAAAAGTAATTTTTTTGGTAATTGTAAATGGAAAGTTTGGGAAGATGACTGGACCAAGGATTGTGTGTTAGAAAAATTTGTTGTCTTCAATAAATTATTTAAATCGAAATTTGATTCAGTATTATTCTGCGAGTTATCATACTGATAAACATAATATAATATAATATATATAGACATAATACATTCTTCATAAATTTATAGAGAATCATCCTTAAACTCTTGTTTACACAAGAGTTACCTTAACACAGGTATTTTTGGGTTTCTTATTTTTGGGTATTTTCTGTTCTTACTACTTTTTTATATCTTTATGTATCATATGTTACACATGTATGAATATGTTTGTATTGTTATGTAAACATGAAACCAACCGTATACCGATTCCCATTGTTATTATTCAATGGGAAATCATCCATATCAGTTCAGAATTTGCAAACATAGACCATTTTTGCAGGAAATTTTAGTTGCTTATGAATGTCAAGTTCTTTATATGGATATTTCCATTCCCACTAGTCTTTTCAGTCTAAAATTGAGAACTGGTAGGAAACTAAATTTTTTTTTAATAACATATTATTGTACTTATTCGAGGGTCTATGTAGACACTCTTATCACAAACCACAAAATTTCTATGTGCACACACACATGCCTGCTTGTCATTTAAGTAATCTTTAAGTGTGTAATATGCCTAGCTCAATAAACACAATTTCAGAGAAATTTTGAAGTTATTTAAAGTTAATTTCAGAATATCATTTATATTATTAGGAAACCAACTGTTACCTCAGACTTTGTATGCATCAAATTTAATATTTTGTAATTAAAATATATATAATTTCTAAAATATAAGCTCTACCTTTATTGATAATGATTCCTTATAACTTTAGCAAGTGAAAGTGCTGTCAAAATAAATACACCTGTTTTAGAGATTAATAAGAACAAAGAGACAGACAAACAGAATGTTTTAATTTTTTTTCAAATTAAGTACCATATACTTTTATGTGCATTTAGTGAAAAGTTATTAATTGGAACAGACATTTAAATTTTATTCGTTTGTATAGATTTTATACCCATTGTCACAAAGAACCTATCAACTTTTTCTAAACAATACTTAGGAACAGTGAGTTTCTCTTTTATCTTAGCATTTTTGTTATAAATATGGCTGTAGGAGTATATAATATAAATAAATATACACAAGAAAATATAATCAAAGTGGGAATCTTCATTATCTATCTTTATTATTTACAGTTTTCTGCTGAACATGACTTATGTTCAGCAGTAAACTGTTCTGTGCCGATCTTATAGTGCATGACGGTGTGATCTTATAGTGCAGAGGGGTTAGCTTTTTTTTTTTTTATTTTATGCACCAAATCATTCTAACCGCTTTATGCACACTATGCTTGATTAGACATGCTCCCAATTTTAGAATATATTTCGATTTTTGACAATAATTCTTAGCAGAATTATTATACTTGCTAATAATTCTTTATGTCATCATTTCATTTCTCTAATTGAATATCCATTGGAATCTGATCTATAAACCCTAATGGCATTTTGTTTATATGTTGTAACTAGAACAGTATAAAGTTTTATAAGGGTTATTGCCAACAATCCATGGGAACCATCGTAATAAATTCTTGGTGAATTTGTCAGGATGAGCTAACTGACCTGACCTCATGTTCATCGTATCATATTCCACTGGTGCCCCGACAGCGTAGACCGTTAACGCAGGTGGGTGCACCATTCCATTCATCCATAAAAAATACATAGGCTTATTAATTCTTGTTCTTGGTCCTATTCTAATTTAGCCATGAGTCTTTAGTAAAATATAAGAAATTTGCATTGATGGACGTACAATGACGTACATTATAATGGGTTAAATTCTAAAGTTATCTTTTTAAATTTTTAATTCGAAACCCCTACAATATTAGAAAAACAGTTTTCCAATTTTTCTTTTTTTATGGTTCGTTGAAAACGGACCTCCGACGATTGAATTTCGTCAACATCAAAAATTTAATTGCAATTTGACTACGGAACCTTATTCAAAACGTAATTACTAAAAAATAACGGCCCCCAAAAAGGATTTTAAATATAAATATCTTGCCTATCAATTTCTCACAATAACAACGCGTGTGAACTTTTTAACATTGTGTTTCTTGGTGAATGTTATTACCTACCTAAGTGCACACACTACTCGAGTGTGTGGATTGTGAAACATTGGACGTTTGTTATTCCTCTCAGATTTACAACCTTGCGTTTGGTGTAAAATAGCACAACCGTCTATGGCTCCATGTACCTTCAAAACTTGCTTACTTACCGTTCTTACTAATTAACATGTCCTAAATTGTAACAATGTGGCTATTTCGAAGGAGCATAGCTTTTAAAATGTATGTCGAGCTGTATTTCTCAATAACTCATTACCGTCTGAATGAGTCAAGAGGATGATTTATATTTATGTACTCATAGGTATCTATTACTGTACTGAATTTACTTTAAAGATTGCTCCCATTCTTATTATATAATACTTATGTAAGTACTGTTTTCCATGAGGCGTTTTTATTGTTATAGAACAATGAAGAATAGAAGTTTAGCTGGTAATTGTGGCATTGGTGTGTTCATTATTGCCCTTGTCACAGTGGCATTGGCATTTGGCACGCCTAGTTGGCTGGTCAGCGACTCGAGAATAAGAGGCGCTAAGCTGGACAGGTCTGTAATTAGATGATTATGATGATATTTTTAGTCTATAAGTATCTACTGCACTATTTAATAACGTAGGATAATTCATACATCACCATCTAGTCCTAAAATAATGAGAGGTTGTATTATGGGCACTAAACACTAATAGAAATACTGAAATGCATTATTTTCTTGATAATACATACATAATATACATAGAAAACACCCAAACTAATACGAACAATCACACTCATGAGTACACAAATATTTCTATCGTGTGAGGATACGAACCCGTGGCCATCGGAAGTAAGGCGGTGTGCTAAACCGCTAGAACATGAGGTCGTCATACATACATACATACATTTCACGTAAGTCATAAAATTGTATTTCAGACTTGGTTTATGGAGCCACTGCTTCAGGTCACTCCCTGATCCATTAGACCAATACCAGAGGAGGTTTTTCGTTGGTTGTCGATGGGTATATGATCCATTCACTACAGGATATGACAGAATTCGCGGCTACCTACTTCCGGGTAATTAAGATTAACATAGTCATTATGTGCGAGTTGTAGTAGGTGTTAAATTAATTACTTTTAGCGTCCAAGTAATGTAACAATTAACGTCTACCCAGATACTAGTACATACAGTCGTTAACAAAAGTTTAGAATTACATGGTTTATTTTATTGTTATGTTATGTTTTTATTACATATTTTGAATACTAATCAACTTTTCACGAAGTATGTCATATCAATTGTTGTTATTTAAGTTTACCATCTAAACCTAATAGTTAATCTTTGAAGATTGCACAGGATGGCCAACTGAGTTATTGTCAATATTTGTTTATTTTTTTGTAATTTGTTTAGTTATATTATCAGTATGGAGTCATGTTTCGGAACATGACAATAGTAATAATATTAGTATATATAAAATGTCGTATTAATATATTCTCAATAAAAAAAAATACAAAATATAATTTAGACTTCCGAAACGTATAAAAGAAAATTAATTGAAAACCTTCGCTTAAGTTTGTTGAATATGTATTGGTTTTTTCTTTTCGCAGGTTTTATGATTGCTACACAGTTTTTCTTTACACTATGTTTGCTCGGAATCTTAATTTCGACCATTCTGGTATTAGTATTCTTTCTCTGCTGTGGTCCAGATCAAGACAGATTTGTTTTGTTAATTAAATCCATTGGATACATCATGTTGTTTTCAGGTTAGTCTTATTATATCACTAGTCTCTCTATTCCTAGAGAACATACACTACGCGTACTCTATGTATGTCATTACAAATAACTATGTGTGGATATGGCAAATTTTATTGATTTATTTTCATAAGGACATATATTACTTTTAAAGATATTCAATTGCACATTATTCGCCTCTACCTAAACTTTATATGATGAAGAAAGAAAAACTGATCGGCCAGTTTACTCTACAAACGAGTTCCGATCCAATGACGTTGGTTTGCAGTTTCTCTTTGTACTCTTGTATTACGGTAGCTAAATATTAAATGAATATTTCGTGGTCAATGAAAAGAACCAACTGACATTGTTATCGATTTATTTGGTCTAGTCTATAGAATTGAAAAAGAAACTAATAAAATGGATGGGATTGAATCCATGTTGAGATATTGAGAGTAGACCTGCTGTTCAATATTTGTTACATTTTCAAATATGCACCGTCGGCATGATTTTAAATTTTAATTCTGGAATTAATTTTTCCCTAGGAATATGTGGGGCCATTGCTGTGATAGTTTTCGCTTGCTTTGGGAACGCGGATGAATGGATGCCGGACCACCCGAATAATTATTTAGGTATGTATGTCATTATTTTTAGAGCCACATGACGTACGTGACCTTTTATCTTCTAGTTGAGATAGTAAACCATATTATCTCAACTAGAAGACAAAAGGTCGGATTAGAATCTGTCTAAAATAAAAATAGAAATCATAATATACCCAATATACCCAGAAACATTTTGCGTTCGCCATGGCGTCATTAGTTGATAAATGATAATACATCTGACTTCCCTATCGCGGATTGCTGTAATCGAGGTATATTATATCTCATCCTACAACCAAAACACAGTTTACGAGTACAAAGCAAGCTTCTTGGCGACTCACGGCTCACGGTTTTTTATAAAATAGACCCAGGTCTATTTAAGCTTAATTTTCAGTACTCATCCTAACATCAATACAAAATCATTTATTCATGTAAGACATTGTAACCACATATGAATGTATTTTTTTTTTTTTATTAATAGTTTTTCCTATGTTTCTGTTCAGTATATTGAGTCAAACGAGAAGAACTGTACTGATTTGATTTTTGAACTGTACTGTACTTTACTGAACTGTATTTGATTTTTTTTTAAAGACTGTTTATTTACATCGTGTACTTATATGTTGTCTATGTCTAACATTAAATGAAAATCCCGTGCATGGACGACTATTGTTATCCACGCTCGTCATTTAAGTATTCGTTTAGTGAGTAATAGGCTTTGCTCAGTAAATATGATGTAACAGTTGTTTTGAATTTATTTAGGGGTAATTTCAATATATCCTTTGGTATCTTATTGTAAACTTTTATACCTATTCTCATAAAAGACCTATTGACTTTTTTTTAAATGATACTTAGATACAGCAAGTTTGTCTTTAAATCTAGTAATAATGTTACGAATATGGCTAATTCTTAAATAATTGAAGAATTTTACGTTTTTAGTAACGATATCGTACTTAAGCAATTTATTCGAACTCACATCTCTAAAAGTTGTGAATAATACAAAATATATTCATACAGGTAGTATGTAGAAAACTGAATAATTTACGTGATGTTATTACATTTATGGTAGCGTGGGAAAATATAATATTATGTCAGTTTCTCACAGCTTCACCTTGAACGCAACCTTATTATACAAGGAAAATATCTCAATACATTTTGTAGTATGGCACGTTTTGACACGTACCTAGTCAGCAACCTACAAACGACATTATTAGGTTGCGTCCATATAAATTACTACTTGTTACCCGCGGATTAGTCTGTTTTTCTTTTTTAATAAAAAAGTAGCGCATGTTTTTCGAATGAAAAAAAGATTATAAGACTATTCAAAAGCTGATATTATGTTTATTTGAATAAAAATATTATATCTATTTCTTTCTATTTCAATTCGTTTCTTGTATTACAGGATGGTCGTTTGGTCTGGGCGTAGTCGGCACTGTTGCTTGCATCGTCACATCAGCACTATTTCTAACTGAATCCAACATTCAAATGAAGAAACGTAAAAGAATAAAAGAATCACAAACCCGTTTTGAAATGGAATACGAATCGAAAGCGTAATTCAGAGTTCATAATTGTAATTGGGTCTCGTTAACGAACGTTTGTTAATAACCATAGAGACGTAATAGTAGTACAGTATATGGACCACAGTGTTCAAAACAAATATGAACGAACATATTTTGACATTTTTAATGAATTTTGTATGTCATTGAAATCAGCTGGTCTATTTTGGAACTAATCTCAACGTAGTTAAGTTTAAACTGAATTAATCTATAAAACATGTTATTCTTTCAATGATCGCTAAATATATAATTAATACCTTCGAAACTGCACAATTAAATCGGAATTAGATTCCAAAGTAGGCCGACTGATTTCTAATGGTGTGTTGTGACTAATAATATTTGTAAGGAATTATATAATTATTACCTTATATACATATGACAATGAGTGTTGTGCCATTTTTATGGTATCACGTGCTTTAATGTTAACATTCCAGTGTCTTTGAAGTTTAAATAGATTATTAACAAGATGTTATATTAATATTACAATCTATTTATTGTCGTTTTGATATGTATTGACAAGGTAGGCACTAACCTTGTTTCCATCCACTTTTCTGTATGAAGTCCCGTGTAAAACGGAAATGGAGCTTTATCTAGCAGACCTAGTTTTGGTAATCACATTTGATAGGTATAAGGATAGGTAAGAATTACTTTACAGAGTTTTATAATATTTTATTGTCATTATGATTTAAAAAAAGAACCTCCCTCATTGATAATGACTCCAAACGTATAATAAATACGCTATTTTTAATTTTCAAGTTTTTTCACATGAGGAAACTAAAATAAAACACTTAATAGTGACTAGGTATTTGTATGAGTTTTTAGTTTATGTGAACGAGGGGATTCGTATTATTGATAAGATTCGTTTTAGTCTTTTACTTGATAGGTATATTTATAATTAATTTTAGAATTTTGATCACAAATAATTATAATAATCAATTAATCGATTCTCCCAAATCAGTTTGGTTCAAAAAATAAATTCCATAAAAGAGTTTAGTTAAGTTAGTCACTTGATTAATTAGTGCCAATAGTGAAAAAATATGTATAAAATATGTGTTTATGGACTTAAACAATTTTTAGTATAAATATATGCACTGACTGATTTACAAACAAATATCATTGATGAAGTTTTAATAGAAGAATTTGCATTTTCAATTAGTGCATTGTTTGAATAGTTTTGTACATGCGCCCAAGTAGAAAGTATGTAATGCACAACTGATGAATTAACGGCTTACACAAGTATTTCTACTTACGTATTATTCAGAAAACAGCAATTTCATATTAATGTTAAATAATAAAAAAATCATATTAATAAAGAATGAACATGAAACTAAAATGACGGGCGCATATAGAATAGAGCATGGGATTTAAATTTATTACATATAAAAGTAAAAAAATATTGCGATTTCGAATTCTATTTGTTTAAGGCCGCTCTATTTGCGCGTGGAACAATTTTTTACTTGTTCCCCTAGAATATTCGGAAAAATTCTTAGTAGGTCTCCCTTATAAAAACATCTTCTATTCAAAAGTGTTTATATCCAGTCGTTTATAAGAAAGACTGATCCATGGCATTATGTGGAATTGAGCATAAAGAAATAAGAGAGAATATCTATACTCCGTTCCAAAAATTACAAAAAGATAAACAAAGAGGTCCCTAACGCGGCCGTATGCGGTCTAGTTACCACCGATGTACACCAACTGAACAGCATTTGGTGTACATTAAAAAATTAATCACTTGAATATTTTAATTAGTTTCACTAAATTAATTATACAGTATTATGTATTTAGTACAATATTATATATTTAGTATGACTGAATAAAAACAATCTAAGATTGACATAGTAAATTTCATAATAACAGAAATTTTTCATTTTCAATTGAACACGACACCACACAGTTTAAAGATTGTAAAAAATATTTTTAAAGTATTAAAATTGTTTAGTTTCGTGAATACCTACTAGCACCGCCATTGGCTTTTTACTGCTAGCCTGTATATATATTATGCGAAGTAATTATTATTATTAATATTGTCAATTTAAACGCCGTCCATTTTTAATATTCATAGTAACTAAGAAGTTAAGTATTTTTTGTAAAAAATTTTATGATTAAGAATAAACCTTAGGAAAAAAATATAAGAATCTCTGTAACTGCCCTCCACCATTTTTTATTCTATTTTAATTAAATAACATTTAGTACAAGTGTTTTTTTTATCTTTCAAAATTATCACTTACATAAGGTAAAGGGCCATATTATGGAACATTGTACTAGTTTATGAAACAAGTGATAAAAATCCGAATTACAAATAATTTCTAACGTATTCAGTATTTATAATATTATCTATATGATCTTTAATAACCTATTTATTGATTAAATTAATTTATTTTTGTAAACACCTTAAAATGTATAGGAAAAAAAAATAGATGAAATGCCCGTGTCAGGTTGCATGAAAAAAGACTGTCTTTTAGAGTTAGAGAATGACACGTGTCATCACAATTGTTTTAACAATTTGAAATATTTGTCAATGATACAAAAATACTTGAAACATGTCAATCAAAAGTTTGACTTATTATCTATTGATTGATAATGAATTTAAAGTACTTTAATAAGGTATTTATTTTTTATTTAGGTGTTTCATAATTGCCGCAAAAATTTCTAAACAGACCGTATTTATGGAACAGTATATTCAGTGTTCCACATCCCCCTCACATTCGATTTTCTTAGTTGTCCGTAATTATGAAACAGCAAAAAGTGGACAATATTTAGTTAATTTCGTGTTAATCATTGTTAATTAATTACAACAAAGCAATTTACGTTAGAACAGTTTATATTTCTAAAAATTTGCATTTAGATATGTACATAGATTGTAAAATTCTATGAAAATGAAAAACTAACCTCAAAAATGAATAAGCTGGATGATAAATATTGTTTTATATTAATTAAAATATATACTTAAGTGGAAAACCTGCCTGAAAAAATTAATAACACTTTATTTAATTCAAAATTTTTACGAAGCACCTACATATCACATTTTTATAGATGTTTTTAAATTAATAATTTTTGTAGGTAGATACATTTTTTTTATAGAATTTGATATCTTTATTCTATAGATTTATTTTATATTGTTATTTTTATTTTTGATTGTTTGGTATAATTTTTATAATTTGATATTGGTTGGTTTTCCTGAAATAAATAAACAAACTGTCAAAGAAGTGACGTTGGTAAATTTGAATTTTTAGTGAAAGAACAGAACAGTAAGAAAATAATTTGATTAATAATCAAGTCGAATGATAAAACTAATGATTACATGACACTTAACAATGATTGTCATTCTTCTAATAAATATTCTCCTCTGATAAATACCAGTACCCAGTCTCAACAAAGCAGCCATTCCTGAGGTAATTACTGTATGAAATTATAGTATAAAATGAACCTTAGATATGGTTACTGAAGCTCATTCTGGTATTTATGAAAGTAGTAATTTAAATTGACTAAATTTAACTAATATTTTGAAGCGTAATGTTGGTGATGAATTAATATTTGAGTTGAATTTGAAGTCAAGAAAAAATAGATTAAAGCTGAGTCATCAGGTAAACTCAAACTACCTTCTGCTGGCACATCTGATCGATGGATGCAATATGACTAAAAAAAAGAAACTGATCGTAAAACTAAAGAAGAAAAGCTACATAAAAGAAAACAATTACTAAATGAGAAAAAAGTGATAGCTGATGAACGGAAAAAGCTACTAGAGAACGCATTACTACAAAGGATCAAAGAAGAAATGAAATAGTTGAATTTTTGGTTTAATTAAATGTATATTCGGTTTTTATATCTTGTTTATTAATGCTAAGATTTGAAACTGTTTTTGTCATACTTACTTTGTAAGTGAATATTTATTTATTGCTTGTTTATTCGTATAATTTTTAAATCTAACTGTATTAATAATTAGTAATAAAACTTTTGATACTATGAATAAATAAATTAGTAACTGAAAAATGTTTTTAATGCGAGTACTTCAGTTCATTTTGAGTTCCATAATTTGGGACATTCCCGATGGAACACCCGTACGTGTTGCTTTAGACTGTTTCATAAATACGGCCGTATGTACTTGTCTGTTATTTTATTCAATTTATTAGCATTTTCAACTAAAACTCACTTGATAATAATTATTATCACTTCAGTAGATATCAGGCAAACTATTAACTTAGAAAAATTTAATGTTTCAACTCTATTTTTTTTTAAACAATGTAAAATATTCAACTCCTACTCAAAAGGTGTTTCATAATATGGCCCTTTACCTTACGTAATTATAATCGTTACCACGAACTTATAAATATTATAACCACTAAAGAATACTTTATGAAAGACGGATTATTACTCCTTATGGATATAATAGCTCATTTGTAGAGAAATTTGGTAGGTATGTGGGTATTTTGTTATATAGATATTAATTGGATTTGTAAAATAAATAACATTTTTTTTTCAAGAATTGCATGTATTGGTCACCTCACTTGGTTACTTTTTTAAACAACAAATTAAATGCCAGTAGACACGCGCTAATGATCTCCATTAGTAGTTAGTAATGAGAAATGATGACCCCATTGCTAGTAATGTACCAAGTCAGACTGGCCTCCACGCGGTTCCCTTGGAAATCATTGTGATAGAATCCTGGTGAATTTGTCACAATGGGCTAATTGACCTGACTGGCCAGTTACTGACTGACCTGTTAAGTAATCGACTTATGAATGATTTATTAAATATATAAAGTATATATATGTACGATTTATTGTTTTGTGTATTTTAATCAATTGAAAAATCAAGACAAGGCGATGTGGATGTTTAATAGTATTTTCCTTCGTACTCTGAAAACTAACTTATTTTGAATGTAAGATAAGGGAGGGATTGCTCGTCATTGATAAGGGGTTCATTTTTACATGTGGCCTCGGACAGTGCGATTTCAGAAGAGCTTCTTCCCGCGTATACTTTTCTATAGAGACGATAGGCGCGTATAGGTCGGTACGTGATATGGTGTTTCAGGCGGCCTTTAGCTATGGTAAACGTTTACCTTCAGAGGGGCCATATGCTGGATTGCCACCATCGTGGTATAAAATTAAAAAAGATAAACGCAATAGTTACTGTCAATATGACAACTATACTGACTGACATTTGTCATATTGATTGATTACAACGTCAGTTACGTTACTTACCGAAGTCGTCAGTTGGTATTGCAAATTTATTGTTTGTTTAGAATTTGTATTCTTTGATTACTAAATTAATAAAAAATAACGGTATAAATCTAATTTACATACACTTATAATAATATTAGGTACAACAATGACGGCTACCGATAATGAATATCCCAAAGCTTCAAGTAAGTTAATATATGGTCACGCCCATTAATCTATATTATTATTAATTTAAAAAAAACTACAATTTATTTAATATACTTGTAAGTTTACTAGTTGATATTCAATAAATTCATTCTTAATTCATTTGTAGTTCTGTTAGTTTGTATGCTACCAAAGAATGCTTCTTATGAACGAAACATTTTTCCTTGTTCCTTTTGATAAAATATACTATATTATTACATTATTTTAGATACAATATTGATTGGCGCGAGCATCACTTATGTGGCTGGTTTATTCCTGTTGCTTTCCTTTGCTGGCCCGTACTGGATAGAATCATACCCTGAAATGTTTTCCTCTTTCAAGCACATGGGGTTGTGGGAGTATTGTTTTGACCGGTTTAGATTCCCATCATATCAATTTGATAAGCTGTTCCATGGATGTCATTATATTTTTAGTCAGGTACTTTTATGTTTTATTACTTTTGCTTTGTTTTTAAATATTTAGATTGTATGTATTTAATTAAAGAATATTATTAATTTAGTAATATAGGTATATACATAGGTATACACGCATACAGTATGTGAAAAAGTAAGATTACCTGGGAGAAGTGGTCTATTGTAGGAAATTGACAGATAAAGAAAGAAACAAAAAAATAGCCAGTGGAGAGAATGGTTTTTATGAGTTGATGCAATTGAAAGAGATAATGATCTTTATGAGATATTATAGACAGATTGAGATTATTAGCTACTATCATGATGGGGCTTTATTGAAATGGACAGAAACAAGAAAATATAAGAGTAACAACACATTCACATAGACATTCTCTACAGATAGACTTGTAAAATGGAGATGGACTGGCAGAATGCACCGAAGTAATCTACAAAAGTGGAGTAGATGTGTAACAGAATACTATTCAAATGAAACAATAAAAAAATTGACTACAGAGGCACCAGAAAGATGAGATAAAGCTAGCAGTTGGTTGCTAGTATAGAAGAAACGCCACAAAAAAAGAGAGAATTACAGAAGGCACATGGCACTCTGTACTTCTGATATAAAATAATTAATAGAATATACATATAATAAAATTAAAATATATAATGTTGTTACTAATAATAACAATAATTTTATTTCTTATTGCAATAATTGGAGCAACTAACATATAGTATATAAACATGATTAACAAGGATTATTTATTAGTAAATTCTGGTTGTTAAGATATTTAATAATAATGTCATAATTTCACAAGCTGTTGTATAAAGTATATATTAATTTTAAGGCACCTCATCCTATGCCTTAAATTTTATGTCTGATTAAATATAAAGCATAGGAAGTTTTTGAGACAATAAATTGAACAAATCTATAACTTGAGTCAAGTCTTCCAGCCAAGCTATTATATCTAATAAAAAGTATAAATTTATACATATTTTTGTTTGAAAGATAATTTGACTTTAAGCTACATTATGTAAAAATGTATTTAAAAATTATATCTAAGAATGATTTGTTTGATTTTTCTGCAGGAATTTTATGTAATAAGAGAGTGGCTTCTTCCTGGTTGGCTAATGGCAGTGCAATCATTTGTCACATTAGCCTTGATGCTGTCTCTGATATCTCAAGTTCTACTGGCATGTGTCATAGTAAGATGGCCATTACGTACTGTTCTGCGTTATGAATGGGTTCTTGTATCTGCTGCATTTGTTATGGTGACAATTTCAAGTATGTATATCATTTTTAGATAACTACTAGATGAGTCTGCGGTTTCACCCGCATGAAATTTCAATAAAAAATATAGCCTATGTAGTATTCTGATGCATATGTATATTACTGTAAACTTTCATCAATTTCCATTTAGTAGTTTTTTCGTAAAAGAGTAACAAATATCCATACTAGCAAACTTTCATGTTTGTAATATTATTAAGATATGATGTAATTAGACTTATTATAAACATACACTTTTACGAAATTTTTCAGAGTGAGCCCTGCTTTGTTAATTTCTTCTATTGATTTGAATTCCGCTTATTTTATATGCAATAAAGTATAAATAAATAAATAAGTACAATAATATTTACCTGCCTATGTTTACTTAACTGAAACATTTATTTATGGATTAAAAACCTCAGTGGTTTTGAATTTAAATTTAATATATGAAACAGGAGTAAGAAACTCCTGTTTCATATATTAAATTGGACAATATTTTTATTTTTAGGTGTTTTCTTGTTTCTGGGAGTGGCAGTGTTTGGAGGAAACTGTTATAGACGGGACTGGTTGTTGTATCCTTCATTCAATGTTCTCTCGTGGTCCTATGCTTTTGCTGTTATTGCTTTTATTATGTTCGGTAAGTTATTATATATATTTTTTTTATTTATTAAAACTTGCTAAAAAGAAAGGTGCATATGGCGGAGTTAACAACTTATTGCATTCTCTTACAGTCAACCATAGGACAAACAGATTAAGTGGATTTGATTTATTTTAGATAATTTAATATATTGTCATACTTATTATATTTAAAGTAATTATATCATATTAACTGAACAAAAGAAGCTGACTTACTGGCTGATCATGTTGTGAGGTTGCATTGTACATAATGTACAAAACTACTTGAACGTAACTCTAAAATGTAATCTTATTTTTTAAATTTTACATGAGGCATTTTTCATTTCCTTGTAATGTTACAAATATTACAGGCACTGCATATGCATATTATATATACACATCTGTGTTTAACTCCTAAACAGCTGGACCAATTTGAATGAAATTTTGTGTGTATGCTTAGATCGATTCTTAATGGTTTGAAAATATGGACCCGGAAGGTGGCGATTCTATTCTGGGCAGGACGTCGTCTGCCAGGTCTGCCAGGTCTGCTAGTAAACTATACTTGTTTATTGTAAAATATGTTTTAATATATCCTTTAGGTGCTGCCGCCATCCTCTTATACCTAGAATCGCGGAAACTGTATGAGCTACGGCTTGAAGCTAAGAACCTCGTGGCTCAGATGCAACATAGTCAACCTGAGCACGCCTTACAGCAGTTGCGTGATCAGTTGCAACAACAACGTCAGTGGAATATGTAGACACTGTGAAACATATTGTTGTTCCGTGATGTTTGTACGTTCTTTCGTATTGCTCCAACCATAATGTATGTAATGTTCACTTGCAAAAATTAATTCTATTTCTATCACATTACTTTTTCAAATGAGCACACTTTCATATTTTATATATATTTTTAAACAAGTAGCATTGAAATCTGATTTATATAAATGAAACATTTTAAAGTACCTATAAGTAACGGTTTATAGTGATCGTTATTGATTTAAAGTTTATTCTTATATTATCTTTATATATGTAACAGTATTATTATTATTTATCGGATGAAAGTGTTATATGTAATTTTTCATTTAGTGATGAACCTCTTAAGTCTATTTTCAATAACGTATGGTGGAAAATGAAAAATGAATAATTATTTAAAACAAATACTAAATATTTTCCCTATACATTTATATAGCTTTAGAACATTTGGACGATTTGTGGTATATACCACTTAATAAACTAAATTTTCAAAAGAGAATAATGTGGCGTGCCTTACTCAAATTTATAAAAATGATTAAATTTATTGCCTTTAGCTATAAAAATCACTACATCCTGTTATGAATGTTTAATAGAGTTTCAAAATAGTATTACTAAAGGGGTGTATTCTTATAATATGCATTTATGTTTTTACTCAAATTTAAGTTAATGTATGATGGTTGCATGTTGAGAAATGTAGAAATATTTGCAACCCAGGTGTACCATAGATAGAACTATTTTAGTATTGGTACTATTTTAATATGAGATCATATCATAGGGATGTTATAGTGACGAATTCCTATTACTTACAAATAACTATTTTCATGGAGACTTATTATTTTATTTTATAAAGCATGACTGATACCTCCGCCCACTGAAATGTACTTATTACTTATTTGGAGACTGAGTGCAAAATAATAATTAATACCTCACTTCAGATTTATTCTCAAATCTTTGAATCTCGCTGTAATTTGTGTGTCAGTTTATTATTTGCTTGATTGGACTTAAATGCACTAATATTATATTAGTGACATATTAGGATACTAGCGTCTTATAAATGACTTTCTCATATTTGAGTTTATTTTTAACATTAGTTTCATGTATGTATTATTTTAATTTTATTTTATGATTCTCGACAATTATTCTTGTATTATAGAATATAGTAATGCCGTAATATTGACTGATTTCAGTTTAATTATTAACAAGTTTACCTATATATTTTATTTTGACGCTTACGTACATTTTTATGAAGTCCTATTCTTCTCTAACATATTATTAATCTATATTAATTATAATGAATATATATTAATATAATTTGTTATAATTATACTTAATATTATTTAAATATTACACACGTTACAAATAATTACTTAACTCATATCCTTTGTCGAGAGTCAATTTAGTTTTAGTATTAGACTAATCCGTCCAATTAAACTAGTATATATTAGTGTATATTCCCATTTGATGGATAAGCATGATGTACTGAGATATTATGTATATATTTGAGTGGAAATATATTTTTACCTAAAAAAATCTGTATAATTTATTTTTGATAGTCCACAATGCTTTTGGGATAGACATCAAAGATAATTTACTGTTATCCTCATAGTTTTGTAAATTATTGTAATTTAATGAATGATTATTATTAGTGTTTTCTTTTTTGGTTAAGTTATTTATATAGTTGATATTATTTATATATTGGCTGTTTATAGAGATATTGATTTTCTTATGGTTATAGTTACCTGGTTTATTAAGTTTGTTGCATTGTTCTATTACGTGGACCATCGTCGTCTGCGGGACGTTACCATCTAGTATTACAAGTGGTGCCCGCACTAGTAAATCCATGTGTTTGTTTACCTACAAAAAAGAAAATTGTCAAGAATAATAAAAAGTAACTAAGAAACAATAAGCAGGAGGATTATGCCCGCGGTGGTTTTAAATAGAATATAAAGGGGGGAAGGGAATTATTAGTAATGTACTGATGATTACTAGCAAGGCACCATGTCAGGCTGACCTCCACGCCGTTCCTCCTGGAAACCATCGTGGTAAATTCATCAGGAATCTACAACGATGGTTTCCGGCTAACTGACCTGTCCTCGTGCTCATCCTATCATTCTCCACTGGGGTTCCAGCGTAAACTGTTAGCGTAGACGGGAGAACAATACCATTATCATCCATTAAAAAACCCATATAAAAATATAAATTGTCTATATACTTGCTATGGCATGGCCCTTTGGTCGTAATTGTAATAGTAAATGTAAACGGAACTTATGCTTCATTTTCTGCACTTAGCCTATCTTGACCATAGGTAGGCCTATTCGTGTCTACGAAGTATGAGCTTGTAAACTACAAGATCTTTATTTTAAAAAGCTGCTATTAGGTCAGTACCTAAAATTTTATCTATAATCTTAGCAGCAGATTATTGAGTTGAATTAAACGCGACATCTATGTAAATTATTGTACACATAAAGTACGTACAAGGTCAATGGTGATATAGTCGTATAGCGTCATGTCCCCTAGACCCAGTTGGCACTCGCCACTGGAATCCAACACAGCCGCATAACTCGGAGTTCTGCCACCTTTCACGACAGAATCTATAAGTTCAAATATTGTATTAATAATAAGATTTCTTGTAGATATTATACTCGGTTAAAGTTTTAATCGAGTCAGCCTACCTCTTGATTATTTGTTATGTTCTGGAGGGCGATCCATGGCAGTGAAATTACATACAGTTAATTTTGTTATGTTGTTGTTTATGACTTAGGAGACGGTAACTACTTACCATCAAGAATGGAATATTTAATTAACAATTATTACGTCCAAAACTGGTTAATATAGCATTCCATTTAAAATAATAAAAAATACCCTTTAATATAAGTCCTGGAACATTATCAGCCAAGTATTGTCCGTCAGCATCGTCCCCTATGGCCGTCAACAGGCGAGTTCTGCCTCGCTGCAGTCGCCATAGAACCTCCGCGATATTTCGTCCCACGCCGCCCGCACACTGTGCTGTCTTGCATGGGTGGGTGCTGCCGTCTAACTAGAAACGAAAATTAAATTATAACTTCTTTTGTGCTGAAAATAGCTATAAGGGTAAATTGAACTTTTCTAAAAAGTTATCATTAATTTTATCTGAATGTTAGTGAACATTTTAAATATACTATCCATGAATAGAATTGAATTATATATATATATATATATCTCTATAACTTTTTAATATATTTTCATTTAATTTGATTAGGTATATTGTTACGGCAAAGGTAAGTTTATTCATTTAACATTAAATACGTCTATAACAGGTCGGATATGTTTATATCTATGTACCTATTTGAATTTTTCATTTACAATAAGTTAATAATAATCCAAATACAATATCTACTATAATTTATATACAGGTACAAAACATACAATAATGAATTAGAACCTGGAACTTAATATCGCAAATTATTATGGTTCACGATGTATTAAACGAAATGTACCTATTTGTCACAGCAATTTATGCGCCCTAAATGCATGTTAATACTACAACTAGCAACTTTATAATAATAGAGTGGGATATATAAAATAGGTAGGTACCTATGTTATAACAGAGTCTTATTTATAAAACTATTGGCTAATCGGGAATTATAATTTGGTTTGATCTTTTAAATTGACTAGTAGGTACAACTATAATCGATTCCTTAGAATGAAGTATGGCCCCATTATTTCAGGTACTTTTCAAATTTTAGTTAAATCGTGAAATTGAGATTTTACATTTATTTTTATAGTGCCGCAGTCAGAAGGTCTATGGTGGTAAAATAGCAATGACTATTTGTTTACTAATATTCAGGGACTGCTATTGTTTCTAAAATTTGTAATGACATTTGGCTTTTTGCTTGACATGTTTATTTACTTTCTTTTACGATTATATTGTTGGATGTATTTGTCTAAAGTTTGTTACATAGCACGGTATATCATCTCATCTGAGTAACACTTACCTATAACTATAGCAAGACGTTGTCAAATTAGATTAGATTTTACCACCATGTTAAAAGAATTGGGCAATTATGTTATGACATTTTGCCCAAGGTGCGCCGGACATACTATACCGGAATGGGACTTAGATTGGAGTTCCTTATTGCTTCCCACAGTTAATTAAACTTTTGTATGTACCTAATGATATTTTTAGCTATAATGTAACAAATAAGAACAGCCTAAATTAGTTAGAGGTACATAGGTATAGAAACCGATTAGAATAATAATTTAAATGAGTAAGTGTAGTATGGAGTCAATATGAAAGTACCTATATCTAATATTACAATAAAATTACATTTATTAGATTAAAATAGAAAGTTGCCTAGAAATTGGTAAATACATCTCAGAAGGGACTCTAAAAAAAGAATTCATGTTTCTTCATGTTTCATCATATTTCATTCGTAGAAAGTGCCTTAGGTATTCCCCTACTTTTTATAATATCATGTATCTAACTATATAGAAATGCATGTTGGTACTTATTAAGTATAAAATTACTTAAATTTAAAATAGTTGTGTTTTTGGTCTCTGACGTACCTATAACATAACACTTCAATTCCGCTTTCACAAACAGTTTGGTCATGTTTTTGGTATTTCGACTTCCAGATCTTTATCCAAATAATAAATGTCTATTTAGTATTCAGAAATGGCGGGATACAAATGTATTTAGGTCTGTGGGCAAAGTTTGTATATAGGTATACATCTGTGGATGCATAACTATTAAGCACTAGATTTTAACCATGACTTCATCTGCTTTTTTTTAAGATAAGACACTTTATACGTGATATCGTCTATATTTATATTAAATTAAGATCTGTTTAGTTTTTTAGCCTTGGACCGGTAACAAGACGACAGACAGTGCAGAGGTAGACGGTAAGATGTGGTTTGCGTGGGACTGAGTAAGTCTCAACTACAACATTTCAGCTGCCATGCAGTGTGCTCTGTAAGGGTTTCGGTTGTAGTATGTAAATTAGGCAGTGAAATTACTAGATAAGAGGCATTGACATGTCTCATCCGCATCATCTCATCATTATCTAAGTCCTCGTCATCAATGTTCTCTGGAATGGACACTCATGAGTGGTATTGCGGGTGTCATATAATTGCATGATTTCAGTATCGTTGTTCATGTAGGTATATATATAGGCAATATTTGCGGCTTAGAACACAATATTTGTAGCCTGTAATAGACCCACATGAATAAAGATATTTTGAGTTTGAATTTAAATACGACGGTCAGCTTATTTGCCTTTCCAATTAAATAAAAATCTTGCAGATAGACTGGCGGTAGCAGATAAATAAACAGGAGTCTAGTAGTATTAGTATAGAAGTATGTACTATACAGTATTATCTGAAGGGTGAGGTGTAGATATATTTAGGTGGTAGAAACGTAGTAGGTGCTTTCCAAGTGAGTTTAAAGTACCGAGGTACCGAGTGAGTTCTATAACGAGGCCGTTAACAGCTGTTTCACTAGAGATTCTAGCTAGAGTGTAGGTAAGTAGGTACTTTACTTAAACTTTATAGGATTTGAATGCAATTATATAACAGAAAGTTTATAAATAGAACTTAGATTATTGTTCATGTGTTATATTAATGACAATTGAAAATTGTTATCAGATAAATAATTTTACCCGAAGAGTACCTATGTTACTTTAATTGTAACGTATCTATAGTAAAAATACTTCTCAATTTTCAATGCATATCGCGTGATCTATTTATTGATTCCTTAACATGTGGTCTGAGAAATTCATAAATAAGTAGGTATTTCAACTTTAGAAGCAAGCAGTCAGTGTATGCAGACTGGTCACCGCAGTGATGTTATCGGACGACTACACACGCGATTCGTCGCAATACGCTGTTGCATTGCAATCCACTTATTACAGTGCTTATTATATATATATTATTGTTATATAGGAACATGGGAACAACGCGACTGAATGTATGGCACATGTCATACGTTTATTCTTACAATTAGATTAGGTACTATATAGTATACATTGTGTTAAAGACATTTATTTAGTATGCTAACCAGTAAACAAGTAACGTTTTCGTCAAAAAATACTTGCATTTTTAATTATGTAGGTAATACTTGTAGATAAGTCTTTCTTGTAGGGAGCGAGGGGAATAACGCTCACCGAGTAATGGCACTCACCTTTGTAACTCTATCAAAATGGAATGTAGCAACATGCCACGTTACCTAAAGGACGAGGATAGGTAGCCTCTAAAAGACAGCAATGCAAACACATAGTCAGCTCGCGTAATGTAATCGTGAAGTGCGGATTTTCGTTAGCGGCCACACTGACCTTATTTTTGCATAAGTGTTTTATGGCGTTAAGTCTAAAATTTTAATGTTTATTTAATTATTAAGTATACTTTTCTTATAATAAAACTATTCTATTTTATGGTAATGCTATCAATTTAAAACAATTGCGTATGCTTTTTAAAATTTCTAGTTAATTACAAAACGACCGTTATACCGCTCACCTGAGACTTATTTTCTCGCCATTACTCGCCATTACCCCTTTGTGAGTTATTTTAATAATTCTTGTAGATATGCTAAGAAAACGTCAAAGGACCGCCGCTAAAGCTGTTAGACCGAAAAAGACCTTCAATCTGCTAAAACTATGATTAAAATAAGTTTGTCCAAAAGAAAGAAAAAAAACATGATACAAAAATCTTAAAAGAAAAATTTACATGAAAGTTCTTTAGATAGTGAAGAGCACCATAGCGACGATGACAGTGATGACAAAATGAATGTGGATGATAGAAATTATAACAAATGTATTATTTTACAGAAATTTGGAAAATAATATGAATTGTGGTATCGCTGCGCCATCTGCGGACTGTGGACTCATGCTACATGTTCAGGATGGGATTCGTAGATAGGTACATATGTGATTTATGTATCCAAGGATAAAATATTTTTATTTCTGATTTGTCTTACATCTAATAATAATAATAATTCTATAGTATATTACAATAATTGAAGTTGATTTGACTTCTAAGCCTGTACTACATTTACTTTTTTTATGTGTAAAAGGTTGATTTTACGTAGAAAAATGGGGATAATTGGGGATTGTAGATTTTACTTTTATTATACAAAAATTGATCTTATGAATATTTCTTTAATTAATATAGTTTACTGGTTATTAGACATTACCCTGAGCGGCATTACTCACAGTCTGAGGCAATGCCACTTAAAGATGTTTTTTATATAAAAAATGTCTTCCTACTACTAGTAGAATAAAGTTATATGCTTTTGTTGTTAAATTGTTGGTAATTAAAGACTTTGTTACTTTTTTAATTTTGATTTGTAATAAATAATTTATGAAATACACTATGTTTTCCTTACGCCATTCACCCTCCTTCCCCTACATTCCTATGGCCCAACTAAAAATAATATATTTATAATATATAATATTATTAATATTACAAGTGACAATAAAAAAAACAACAAAATTAAATTTACATTTCATTAAAATACCCATGTCTATCAAAAATATGCGCACGCTTTACTAATAGCGATTGTGAAAACAGATACATATAAAATCAATATATACGTATGTATAGATGTATATATATATACATAAAAAACGTGAATTTTATGTCAATTCATTGGAAATAATATTTTTTCATTATTTTAAGACCGTAATTACTCAGCATCATATTACAAATTAGCTAGCTGTTCAATGATATTTACGCGGCGTGTCGCAGAATGATTAATTTATTTGCAAATATCGTCCTGAATTCTGTGGTTGCTAAAAATAAATAAAAATTGGAATACCTATATAAAAGCAAGTTTACAATCGTGGATGCATACTATAAGTTATTAATCTTTTATTGAAATACGAATGTAAATGATAACTCTTTTTAGTACAGTAATTATTTAACAAAAATCATCTGAAGTAGCTACAGTAATCCAATGACTTGATTTCTATGTAGTAACTATTTATGATAATATAGATATTTTTTTAGACTTATATATATATCAGCTAGTAGGTAATTAGGTATTTAATACATTTGCGTTAGTATGATATATAATAATAGATGTTCGTAAATTATAACCTAATACATTAACTGTAAACATGGAATTTTGAGCTGATCCCACTACACCTTACTACTCTCTTACAGGTGGTATTCGATATAAGAATAGTTTTAAATGTGTTACTTTTTGTTCGTAAACCGATTGGTATAATAACATTTTAACTTTATGCAAAGCTGAGTTCTTAGGCACATTAATAAAAAACCGCACTCATACTGGTTAAACTGTTTTTGTCTGTCATTTTTTTTATACATCTTCCATTTATAAGTTTATCTTCCAGTTATTCCGCGACCATTTACGGATTTATTATATTACCTATTAATATGCAATTTCTATTATTGTCGTGTTAGTAATAGAAAACAATAAACTAATTTACAATTCCACTTATCATGTTGGTAATTGCTGCCGTGTTATTCTATAAATTATCGTAAAGTCCAGAGACATATAGTTATGTTTAATAACGACACTATTTCCCCATAAATGGAAATAAATATTACACATATTTATTTCCTCATATGCGAGTTTTTGTTCCTATTATTATATATATATGTATATCGTATCGTACGTATATTCAAATAATCAATCTCATCAGTTTTTATCAATGGGAGATACGTACCAGGAAAATCGTCAAAACTAATTTCTTACATTGTCAGTGTTTATAACAGTAGGTACTTAATTATTCAATTCATTGCTGTCTTCGTTTATTCCTATTTATCTAAATAAACACAATCTTACTTGGTTTGTATTCCTTCTGGAATTCGGGTCGCGTTTAAATTAAAAATAAAAAGATATTTAGAGGTCATTGACCCAAGTCTGGATTAACTGCTTCCAATTCGTGTCGATACCTACCCAAGATTTAATTACATTACATAGTTTGCCTAAAATAAATTGTGCCAAAACAACCAGGGGTTGAGTAGTGATAGATGATCTAATAGGAACAGCTAAAGATAAGAAAAGACAAGACATACGTTTATTGAAACAACTATATATAATGGTTGAATTTTTTAATAAAATAATGTTATGAAATTATCATATTGTCCATTTCGAACGTATGAAGTTAAGATATAGGTACTTTGGTTATAGTTAGTTAGCCTTTGATTAGTTAAATTAATCTGTATTATAGTTAGCTTTTTTACGTTTAAATCATCAACTAACTTGTTTTAACTTTAGGCATTAGCAAAGAAAATAATATGCTTATTGTTGAGATAATAAAATCTAAAGGGGATGAAACTTTACATGAGGAATTAATCATTGATAAATAGGAGATATACAACTATCATAGAAATTAAAATTAGCAGACGAAGTGGCATCAGCTAGTATATTATATACCAAATTTAATAATACTTGAAACAGTTCTTTTGATACTGAGTAATGTAGTATTTACTGGGTTACAAATGGTGATAGCTCGCTACGGTATCCAAACTCTACAGTGCTACGGATTTGCTACGAATTTTTATGGATCAAGTTGCATTGATAAATAATTTATGTGCACAAAATAAATTATTACGTTTAAATTTCACCAATTCTAATATAATACACTTAAAAAAATGTTACGTAGTTTGCAATTTATGTAGTTTGAATTTTATAACTAACGATATTTATTATTAATGTAGAGAGGAAAATACTGGGCCAACTGATATAATATTACTTATATTTCGATTTGTAATGAAAAAACTAAGAAAATTTAACCTATTTGAAAACTACCAAGTACAAATACGCTGTATTTTATTTTTAGATAATTGCGATAATTGCTTGTAATTTTAGTCAGTAGTAAAGAGGAAATAATTGCGTTGCTATATTTTTAAATAGATTGCGCCATAAGATACATGAGAATTATTATAATTACTAAAAATATTTATTCAATAAAACTGTGATCTTTAGTTGGTACTAGGTATATGTTTCTTACTTGAACGTCTGCTTTTTATCAGCCTACTTAATATAAATAAATCACATTACTACTATTTTAATTTGAAAAACAATTTGTGAGTAAGTCGATGTTATAAATTAAAATCAAGCGTAATATAAGCTCAGACAGAAATAGATACGAGGCCGGAGATTCAAGGCTAAATCAAATAAAAAAATCCTCTAAAACACACACTTATAATATGATTTAAGTTGACGAACTTAACGATTTTGTTACGTATTCGTCGCAAGAGGGGTTATTGTATATATAAATAATTGTACGTAGATTATAAATAATATTTTACAGAGTGTATTTGATTTTTTATAAATGGTTTTGCAATGTGGGAGGGCGCTGGGAAGGCGGCGGTATCGAGCGTGGGCGCGCCGCCCTGTAGAAGCCCTAGAGTTCAGTCCGCGGGGAGGCCCGGCGCGCACGGACGACGCTCCAGTACTCCGGCAAACCGGCATACACGCCACTACCCTGCTCACCACTGTACACTACAAGTATATCCACCTAGCGACACTGGTGATGCACGTGCCCTATTGCGCGTGATACTTCATTCTCAAATTAACAACGTGTATCGTGCGATCGGGTAAAATACGCAAACAAGATCGACTTTCTAAAATATTTAAATTTTTAGTGAAACAATAATATGATATGTGGCGGTAATTAGTGTTTATTATATCGACTGGGTGGCTTTCGTGGTACCACGTCGACGTCATGCTATGGGGTAAGGTATAATTTACTGTATAAATTTTAAACTACAATTACTATGACTTCTTTATTAGTATCATTTAATGTAATAACATTAAAATAATTAAGGCAGTAACATTTAACAAAATGTATGTATGTATCACCCTCTATATTATGTATTATATAGTAGTATAGTACATAGTTATATAATTAAAATAATTTAATAAATGTAACATAGCAGATTTAGATTTTCCCTAGCATTTAAAGTAAAAATAATAAAGTAATTGTGAATAAGTTAAAAATTACTTTTGGATACAATAATACACTTAAACTCGGCAAGCTGCTGATTAGGATACTAATTAAAATATAATTTTAAGTTATTCTAAGTTGCCTCATTGTCGCCAAAAGGGCTTTAGCCGGGATTAGGCGCTGAATAAAACGAATTCATTAAATATTTATGATCAGGACAACAATGGAAAACAAACGGCCCTAGCGAGGCTGTTTTGTACTTGTTGTAAACTTAACTTCGCCCTCGAGGCCTGCCCCGGAACTACGATCAAAGTGTAGGGAGCTTCGGGTTCCCTGGGGTTTCGATACGATAGCGTTTCATAATGTTAGTGACGTCAGACATATCTGAAACTGCAAAAGTTACCGACTAAAATGGTCATCACAAAGTAAGAAAAAACAATGGAGAACATTATTTTTTACGCTGTTAAAAATAAAATGCTCGGTAATGATTCAATATGAATCCATGGTTTAGTCTAATATTTATTTTTGAATATAATTTTTTTACCTTTTCATAAGTAATAGGCATGTTAAGGAAAGGCGAATTTAATTATGTTTGTAAAATGAAACTGATTTAGTTTCATTGAACAAACAATAAATAATAAAATAAAATTTTCAATAAGTAATAAAGCTACACTGTTCTTATAGATGTACCTTGAAGATATATAGAGAATGAATCTGATATATAATTAATAGTCTTAATTAATAATTTATCTGTCTGTTTGTAATATTGAAATAACCATTTTTTATTACATGCATATGAACATAAGTACGGTACATACACCAAAATAACATTTTTTACAATTTTTGTATGTCTGTCTGTTTCTTCCGGATAATCTCTAAAATGACTGGACCGATTTTGACGAGACTCTTTTGGTAGGTAGTTGATGTGATAAAGAGTAACTCAGGCTACTTTTATTTTAGAAATATAAAGTTAAATTCCACGTGAACGAAGTCGCGAGTACAGCTAGTACACTACATAGGTATAAGTAAAAGATGTAGTAGTTTTGTATTGTACGTTAATAACAGTTTCACTAGGTAGTAGTTATTAATTATACATAATAGTAAAACATATTATTAGATAAAAAGGCGCTAATATGATTGTACTATACATCTAGTGCTATATATTTTATAATATACCTATATTATCTACAAAAAAATACGCAACAAAAGGCTGGTCCGCAAATTACATAAATTAAGATGTACATAAAGTCATTTAAAAAAGTATATTATTATTATTATATCATACATATATATAAATAAATGGAAAATTATTTTATTGTTGGTACCTATACCGTTAAATTATTCGGTTTACAAAATATGTAATTAAATACAGTATGAAGTCATGACATATGCATATGTATCATGCCCTTACTGTTTGGCAAAAAATATGAATAAAAAATAAAATAAAATTATGTATATCAAACCAAACATATAATGTATTAAGAGATAAGAGAAGATTACACATAAAAGTTATTATATGGGGCGATAACTTAAATATTTTAATTTATAGTCAAATGACTACTTCGTTATAAATATATGTTAATTTAACTTTTTCTTTGAAATTTTATCATACAGAAATTCACTAATCGATTATTTAGTGATTGGTGATAGTCTCTTCCTTCTATATAGGTTATTTAAACAGTTAATAATAACACGTCCACTTTATATCCATTAGTACTAAGTAAGAAGTGACAAAAGTTGTGGGATGCGATCTAAAGTTGTCTAAGATTTTCTACAACGTATGTTAGCGTCAGTATCTTCAAGTATATTGGTGACGGTTTCTATTTTCCAACGGCGGAACATTAAATTATCTGTCTCAATTACAGTGTTCAAAACATATGTTTAAACTATTATAATACAATTTTCTTGTTTATTAGGAAACATTAAGGTAGAGTCAATTTTACTTCTAGAACAATTAAATTTATCTCCATTGAAAACAAATATTATCCCTAATTGTTAATAAAAAATAAATTGTTGTATACAAGAGAAATTGATTGATCTTCACGACTAATAATAATTAAAGTATTAATGTTTGTTTATCTTATAGTAAATGTAGCAATTGCTTTAAGTAGTTCTCGACATCCCATAATTCCATGGGCTTTATGCATTATGGCGAAAGGTCTAATTATTAAGGTCTGTGAAAACCCCTCATATACTGTGTAATTTAAAATGCCTTTGTGGGGCTCTTACGTAACCTGATTAAATATTACCATGTTAATTTGCAATAATGCGAACATGGTGTAGGGAATTTACACCATTAATATCCAGCGGAATGGAAATAATTTGAGGAAACGTAATTAATGAATATTGTATAGAAATTCAAATTAAGAGTAAGCGCAGAACAGGTATTTTAAGTTTCTTATTATTCATGGATCACTCCTTAAATTGATGGAATGACCAAAACAATTGTATTCTGTTTTGCTGATAACTAATTGGGTATATTTGGATAATAATGAATACCTCCATTTTTTATATACCTAATTTCCAAAATAACTATAGAAGAGGCGGAGTTGGCGGTATTGTATTGTCCTGGTAGCGAGGATTTTGTTAACAATTACGTTAATATACGAAACAGATTTTTTTATAATAATTACTGGTGATATCGTAGTTACATAATATTATAAGTACCTACTGTTGTTTCGAAGGCTGCTTTATTTCGATGAAGTTTGCTATCCAGAGTTTGTGAGGGATGATAAATCGACTTGACGGCACATATCTGTCATCTCAGAGTAAATTCGATTTTACGTGGTAATTTCTTTCGTTCACAAATAAAGCCTGGTTGCTCGATCAACTTTTAATATATTTCAACAAGAAGGGCAGATACCAAGTTCGCGTTTATGAATCTATGATGCAAATTGCAATATTTATGTTGAGATATTGTAAATAATACTACTAGATACCATTAAAACAGAAGTGTTTGAGGCCCAGTTACATTTAGTATTGATATTGATTCCAATATATATATAATATTTTCATGATTTTCACCTTTGTAATATTAAAGATACACACTATCTGATAGATGATTATATTTTTCTGTATCTTATTATGTCTCTAGACTTCGGTTACTGACACTATTGATGTGGGTGTTCGTCTTGTTTACCAATTCCAAATCGCATAAAGATAAACATAAAGACTTAATAAGACTTACTTACTCTACTCTACGTATTATATTTACCATTAAAGTTGTATTAGACGAAATAATAATCATTAATATTATATAACAGCGCGGGGCACGTGAACGAATGAATTACCTACCTGTGGTTTTCGGTGATCCGACCTTCAACATTTTAATTTATTCATGCATCCATGATCCCTTATTCCCTCCAGTCTCCCTCGCTGGGATGCTGCTGCTAGAGTAAAAGGTAGATAGATGGTACTTTTCATTGAATATACACATATATGTATGTATGTAAGGTTTAAACTAACTACTTTGTTATAGATCTTTTTTTGTTATTGTATGTTGGACATATTGCTAATTAAGTTAAGCTTTGTGTTTAACGGCACATAGTAGTATTAAGTGTAATATAGAATTATAAAAATTGTGTCTGCCCAGAGTTACGACTACGAACTGTTTTTTTTTTAATTAACTTCAATACGGAAGTTAAATGTTCAAATCAAGATGCATTACTGTGTGTTTGGTCATACTTTGACCTTTATTGCTAGTAATGGGGTTTATACTATATTATAGCATTAATCACTTCCTAATTTAAAAAAATTAAATTGTTTGAAGTTTTTTGTGAAATAAAATTACTAGTGCACCGTTATCCGTAATGTTTATAGCTTCCTGTGATCACTATTATTACAATTACGTTTAAGATGATAAAGAAAATAAGTTAGATTGATAGTTGATATTAGCTTTAGCATTATACCAGCATATCTGTTAAAATATTACCACAGATATTCAATAATAGATCATTTTGATTTGGCATAATGTCTATGATCATATGTTTATCGACTTAAATACAGGTAGTATTGAAACCGTGTGTTTTCATTGTATTGACAATCGTATTTAGGTACAAGTATTTTCCAGAGCTAATGGAAAATGGAATCCAGCGAGACCGTAAGTATGTTGATATATTATGCTAAACCTCACTCACACCTTGTATAGTAACGACATCGTCGTTTTCATATTATTAAACCTCGTAGCGGTGCCGGACCGACCTCACGTTGGCAACCCAGCTTAATGGCTTTCTGTTTATATCGACTGCGTGGCCTGTCACTAAATGTCTAAATTATTTATACCTTCCAGTTATCCTTAAACTAGGTAGGTATCTATATATTTAGTTATCATCTAATAATAAAACTCCTTGTTGTAATCTAAAAATAATAAGAGTGAGAAGTTTAAATAATGGGTAAAAAAGCGTTTATAGTTGTATGTATATATAAATATAAATGTTCATATATCATTGAATCTAGTTAAGTTGCAACAATTACAGTATCATTATTTTTTTACGTGACTATAATTTCAAATAAACATACGGTGCATAATGAAAAATGGTAACTGTTACCTACAGCTTTACAACGACATTACAAAATGGCATTACAAAATGCATTGGTTCAGTCTTGCGTGACAAAATCTGTCGCTCGTACGTTGCAATCTTGAGAACTACAATGTCATCTTAGCCGGTAAATTCAGTACGACATTTCCCTTCAAAGCGGAACATACAACTTGGAAACGAAGCTGCTTAGCTGCTGAAATAGGCGACAAAAGTATCTTATGTAGACGACTGTACGAAGTCTCCTTGGTAC